ACTTGAGATGTTTCTTTTTGGAAGACCAGAAAGCAGTCTTACAATAGTCAAGACGACTGGAGGTAAAAGCATGCATTAGTGTTTCAGTGTTAGCCTGGGAGAGAAAGGGGCGGACTCTGGCTTATGTATATGTGGAATAAAAGTCAGCTCAGAGTCAAAGATGACGCCCAGATTCTTTACCTAATTTGATGGAATTAAGGACAGGGTTTTCAGTTTTGATAAAAGTTTCTTTCCCTGAGCCTTGGGATCAATAGTTGAAACCTCAGTTTTGTCCTGGTTGAGCTGTAGGAAGTTTTCTGCCATCCAGGATTTAATGTCTAGGATACAGCTAAAAAGGGCATCAATTGGCCCTGTGTCATCAGGAGACATGGATATGTAGAGCTGTGTGTCATCAGCATAGCTGTGAAAAGTGATACCACACCTCCTGATGACATCTCCCAGTGGAGTCAAATATAAATTAAATAAATTAAAAAGTATGGGGCTTAAAACTGAGCCTTGGGACACACCACATTTTATGTCATGAATCTTTGAAAAGCATGTGTCCAAACTTACAAGAAACTTTTGATCTGTGAGGTAAAGTGTTAAACCATTGAAAGGCAGTACCTTAGTCTATTTGAAAGAATTGTGTGATCTACTGTATCAAAAGCAGCGCTTAGATCCAGTAGCACAAGGACTGTAAGCTTGTGTGAGTTCAAGTTGCACCTAAGATCATTAAAGGGGACCTGCCACCAAAATTTCATACCCATTTCAATCATTTTTTCATAATCCTTGATGTCCTCTGATCATGTTTGCAACATAATTTTAGCTGAAAAGTTATTTGATGGTTTGTTTTAGTATGCCTAAAAAACCTTACAGGAAAACCAACTGGTTTTGGCTCATTAACATTTATGGTAATGAGTTTTGCTCTGATTGGATCGCTGCTGTGAAGCCTTCTGTGCTCTGATTGGCTCAGCAATGGAGGTTCGGATTTCGGTTTATCCATTTTGCTAATGTGTGCTAAAGTAAGGTGACCCGATGTCTGTAATGAAATCCGGGGACATTTGGTGCGGCGGCGGGGGGGTGCAGGGGCTGCGTCATCACAGACAAAATCTCAGTACTATTTAGTAGCAGCGCATGCCCCTTGTAAAAACCCCCTTAAAAACTGTTGTTCAGGACTGCTTACTTGTGCTTCCTACCCATTTGGCTACTGTAATAACTGTTGTTCTAGCCCACACGCAACATTTTTGCACTTATTCATGATACACTTAAAATATTCATGAAACGCTTAAATCGGGGACTGGGTAGAAAACTCTACCAAGCATCTCAGCAGCAACCAGGGCAAAACTGTTCAGTGTTTCCTCAAGTAAAAACAAGCTTTCCACTGTATTAGAAACAGTGTTTTGAATAGATAAAGTTGAGGATCACATAGAATCAATTTTACCCCTTAAGTGGTCTGCAAAACCCTCGCAAAGTGTGTCTGAAGGAGTGAGTTGATATCTGTTAAAAACCAGGTTGATTAAAGATCAATTGTAGCAAAGAGGATTTTAGGGTTGTTTTAACGATCATGGATTATGCAGGTAAAATAGATGGATCTTGAGTGTCTGAGAGCATTATTATATATTTTCAGTTGCTCACAGTATATCTGGTGATTTATTGTAATTTTATTTTTCCTCCATCTCCGCGCAGCTACCTTGCAATTTCTTTTTTGATTTCCTCATTTCTCCACGGGGTTGTGAACGTAGGCAGTACCTTTTTTATTCTCAGTGGAGCTACGAGGTCTAGTGTTGTTTCAAGTTTGTTGATAAAATGTTGAACAATAAAATCACAGGATGCAGGTAAAGTAGCTGAGGGATGCTTGCTCAAGATCTTGATAAAATTTGCAGCCACTTCTGAGGTAAAATAGCATTTCCTGACAGATCGCACCGAGGTCTCCCGCTAAATAAAACTGGTGATAATAGAAAACATACAATAATGGTCCCACACAGCCAGGTCAAGAACAGAAGACACACCAGCTGACAGGCCATAGCTGAGGACTAGATTCAAAGTGTGTCCTCTGTTGTGAGTCGGTAAAAAACGGTATTGGTAAAAAACACAAAATCGCCATATTTCCCATACAAAATGGCCTAGATGATTTTTCTTTTTACAAATAGAATCTGGGCCCTGTCAATGATGAGTAGTAAAATCGATTTTGGTGCATTTTCATTTTTTGTAGTGCCAATTTCCATATTTTAGCTCCATCCAGCCTACTTTTTCCCCAAAACAGACATGCAGATAAGTGTTTATAAATAATCATTTTTAAACTTTTTTTAAAACTTTTTTTGACTCAAATCTCTCAAACAACTTCAACCCTAACCATTTAAAAAATAATTAACAAAAAATTCAATGTACTACCCTTTTTTTGCCAGTAATTGTGCACCATGTCATAAGACTTGTATTTATTGATAAAGAATGCGTTCTAAACAGGTGTGTCTATTGGAGCAAAAAAGACGCCATTTTTACCTTTCTCAAGCCTCGTCCTCGACCAAATTAAATGTGAGTGAATTCATTTGTTCATATTAAATTGATTCTATATATAGGAATATAAAATCAGAAGATATATGTAAGAGTGCTTATCCACCTCTAACCAAAATATGATCGCAAATACATTGATTATGGGCATATAAAAATTTATTGCATATTTGAGATGTGATATATTCTCACCTAATGATCCAAAGGACCTGTGCATCTTCACGCATGTCCATCCACTTGCTTTGAAGTGAGGGCAAAGTTGAAATTGTCCAAATGCCCCCCTCTCTTGGTCCGACACTGCAGAACTTGTATGTCATATTTTTGCCTGTAAAAACTCCGCTCACTGCATGCCCAGTTATAAATATGGATGAAGATTTGCACCCATGCATACACGCAGGAGCATATAAACTTTTACTTACACACATATCCCACTCTTAGACATCCATATCTAGTGGCACGTAAAGCTTTATTCACTTGTGATGATGTTTAGTGGATAAAATAGCGCTTCGAACATGTTGACTTCCCAAATGAAGACCGTCGTGCACGGCCCCGAAGGGGTTAAAATTATGTGCTGGCACAATCTGCTGTATCACTATTTGAAAGAAAAATTTAGAGCCCTGGTGATCAAGTGACTGGGAAAAATGGTATTGTCTGTCTTGCAGCCAAACTAGGGTGGATGAAGCTTAAAAGTGGCGACAGAGTTCCACAGGTGAGACATTTTTTTTTTAAATATGAAAAAAATAAGAACTCTCACCAAATTTGATGTACCAATCTTTATGTGACTGTTAGCTCAAAATAAAGATAAAAAAAGACAAATGTCCGCAAAATGAACATAGTAGGAACCAAGGGTTGAGTAGTTTGCTATCAACTTCTAGATGCTTGATGGTACATGGAAAAACTTTAGTTAACATCATAAGATGGTGGCAAACTAAGTAGAAGGCCTTTGTGAGGTCTAACCAGATATTGTGCAGGTCCGACTTGCTGTACATCTCTGACTCACTGGATTTGTTCACAAATGATCCCAGACTGTTTCACACAACCAGGAAACACTGGGACACCTGCCTTCTGACAACTTGTGTCAATGTAGTTAGACAGGAAGTTGGTCTTGGGTTTTTCCACGTTAAGCAGGAAAATGTCTCTGAACTGGCTGAGCTTTTGAGACACCTTTGCCTTTGGGATAAAGGTGGTGAATGCTTTGCACTGTAAAAATCAGTTCTTTAGTTAACTCCTCAAAGACAACCAGAGAAATCTTCAGTTCTCAGACATAACATTTATTTCAGTCACATGAAAAGTAATACAGCGCAAACAGAGCTTCTAGGAACTCCATCACAACAAGTGCCCATTTCCGGGTATCATTCCCATTTATCTTCTTGGCAGGGATTGCCCTGGACAGAGGTTGGACTTAAATGTATCATTAGCCAGTTATCTCCAACGTGAACAGGCCAACCCCTGTTTACACAGTCTTACTAAAATGTGCTATGAAATATGTGGGTGTGTTGTTGACCTTGAGGCATGTAGCTACTGTAGCAAACTGGTTCAACAGAACAAAGAGAGCCTTGTGATTTAAGTTCCTCCTTCTCAAGATAGACATCACACTGTTATGATTAAAATTAAAACAACCTGTGAGTAAATGAAAACATTCAGTAAGTTGCATTAGTTCAGAGAAAAAGGACAAATCTAACCTTAGCAAAGTAAAGACAATTATAACATTTCCCCCTTTTGACGTAATTTTATTATGTCAATAAAACACAAGTAGGAATGTTTTTCTGTATTGTGTCCCAGTTTCGGTATGGCAGCCAACTCAACAGCCCTCCCAAACTGTGAGTGACTAACCGTCATGAGCAACCAGTGGGTATGTGAGCAGTTCTTCATTGCAGCACCTTATACTATGTGTGCCAGTAAGTGTAAGCTGTTCTTCACTGCAATTATGAGCAGCAAGCAGTTCTTGAAAATGCATGCATGTGGAAATAATAAACAGAGCCATGTGTAAACAGAAAGATCATTTTTCTGGAATCTTTTCTCATTAACTAAGAAGTAGGCACATTTACACCAACCTGATATTTCGACTTTAAACTCTCCAAATCACAAATATTGGGAGATGGTCACTGATATCACTTCAGAATAAACCACTGGTTGCTGGGCCATGGATATTGGTAAAAATGTTATCATAGGTGTGGCATTTTTATTGGTTACCTGAGAAGGTTTGTATATTAGGGTCCATAGAACAAAACTAAACACCGTGTTACAAAAATCTCTTGGAAGGTTTCATTTCCAGAGTTGTGACCATTGTCACAAGTTTAGAGACATTTCCCTGCTTAACATGGAGGGGAAAACCCAAGACCAACTTCCTGTCTAACTACACTGAAACAAGTTGTCAGAAGGCAGGTGTCCCAGTGTTTCCTGGTTGTGTGAAACAGTCTGGGATCGTTGGGGCGAGGAGGAGGCGGAAAATAACATTCAGGAATCTCAAATCCATCCCCTCCTCTGCTTTCTCATTAGCCCTTGCCAGCAGAATGTCTGCCTCCCCTGCCCCCCCATCTGAGAATCCCTCTGAACTTGTCAACTTTTACAACCATACCCTATCCTCCTGCCTGGACCAGCTGGCCCCCATCAGAACCAAATATATCACCTTCAAACACTCAGCGCCCTGGTACACCTCTGAACTCCGCCGCATGAAAGCTCATGGGTGCCAACTGGAACAGCTATGCAAGAAAACCAATCTCAATGTCCACCGCCAAGCCTACGCCCACCACCTTCACCGATACAATGATGCCATCAAATCCAGCTCATTCAACCCCAAGGTTCTCTTCTCCACTGTCAACAAACTCCTCAAACCCTATGGTAACATCACAGATTCCTTCACAGCCACAAAGTGTAATACCTTTCTGTCATTTTTTCAAGACAAAATCGTCTCCATCCACCACAACCTGGCCACATCCACATTCCATGACCCCTCCCCCCTTCTTCACCCAGCCACTGTCTCAGTTCTCCCCTCTGTCACCAGCCAAGCTCCACGCAGTCATGGCAGGCATGAAAAACCCCACCTGCACTCTGGAGCCCATCCCCTACAGCTTCATCAAGGACTGCCTCCCTGTTATCTCCCCACTCACCACCGCAATCATCAACGACTCCCTCAGCACTAGTTCCGTCCCCCCATCTCTCAAACTGGCTGCTGTCACCCCCATCCTAAAGCAACCAGACAATCTCCAATCTCCCCTTTCTGTCAAAAATACTGGAGCAAGCTGTCGCCACCCAAATCAAGACCCACCTCACCTCCAACAATCTGTTTGAACCATTCCAGTCAGGTTTCCACCAACAACACAGCACAGAAACAGCCCTCCTGAAAGTAACCAACGACCTCCTCCTCTCTTCCGACTCTGGCCACCTCAGCATCCTTATTCTCCTCGACCTTACAGCAGCCTTTGACACCATCAGCCATTTCATCCTCCTCTCCCACACATCTGGAACTTTGGTGTCATCTTTGATAAGAACCTCTCCTTCGAACAACATACCAACCACATCACAAGAAGTGCCTATTTCCACCTCAGAAACATCGCCTGCCTCCACCCATCTCTCTCCCCCCCTGGCTGCAGAAACCCTCATCCACACATTCATCACTTCAAGACTGGACTACTGTAACAGCATCCTTTATGGCTCATCTTCCAAACTCATCAAAAAACTCCAGACCATCCAAAACTCTGCTGCCCGCCTGCTCACCCACACCCTTCTCCTCACCCATAAAGCTGCATAAAGCTCTTCACAATCAGGCCCCCTCCTACATCAGTACCCTGCTCCACCGCAACCTTCGCTCCTCCGATGCCAACCTCCTGTCCCCACCCCTCCGAACGACTCATCGAACCTGGGTGGACAGGGCCCTTCCCATTGCCGCACCCTTCCTCTGGAACTCTCTACCCATCCATATCAGATCCTGCACTGACTTGCCCTCCTTCAAATCCCTTCTGAAAACCCACCTATTTAAAATAGCTTTTAACATGTGACTATTTTACTTATTTATATTTATTTATTGTATTTTATTGCTATATTCAAATTGTGTGCTTTATGTAAAGTGTCTTTGAGTATCATGAAAAGCGCTATACAATAAAATGAATTATTATTATTATTATTATTGTCAGTCAGTGAGGTTCCTGAGTCAGTCTGAACCTAGGTCAACATTCTTTCTATAGGGTCTTGATCCAGTGCACAGTGCGTCTCATGGATCCAGTTGCTCAGTCTGTTGGTGCTGTAGTAAATGGATAGAGCATTTTTCTGCCTGTCAAAATCTCATGTTGGATGACATTCATTGTCACATTTGGAGTGGGTCTCAGTTTAAATGGGGATACGGATGGCTTTGATTCCTAGTTAGTTTGTGTCTGCGCAAACTTTAGCCAATCCTATTTTAATAGCTTTAAGTGTAACCTTTGGATTTAACTAATAATATATCTACAATAAATACAATATATTTGCAAGTGTCTTTGAGGTGGGGGTGCCACCAGTGTTAAGAAATAAGAGTTTTTGCTTTCGAGCTTGCACAGTGACCTCTTCTGTGGGCCTCTCGGCACAACAAATTTATTAATCCAGTTGGAGCTACTATCTTTCTTTCATGATTTCTCCAGAGACATTTATCACCTTTTTTGGCTCCTTTTTCTTTGTATACCTGTTTTTCAGATGGGACAGCTGCTTTTTTTGCAGCTATTAGACACATACATCTCTTTGTGGTTTATCACTTAATGCTTTGCGTGATTTGCCTATTCACATTGTATCACACCATGGATTTTGCTGCCATTTCTGCCTCATCATTTCCTCTTGCAACTCTGCTGTCTCCTTTTTGGTGTTCTCTGCACTTTACTATGGCTACTTCTTTATGTTCCAATAAGGTATAATAAAGATCAAGCAGTTGGTTCAAATGTTTATCAGGGGTTCCAGCTGCAGTCACAAAACTTCTCCCTCTCCAGTGACACATGTCTACATGTTCAACTTACACTGCATAGGCTGAATCAGTTTCGTCGCAGTTTTGTCTTTTGCTCATTTACTCAGCAGTGTTTAGGCCATCCCTTATGACTACCAGAGCGCCCATCATGGGAGGTGAGCTCCAGGTTTTGTGTGCGTGTGTGTGTGTGTGTGTGTGTGTGTGTGTGTGTGTGTGTGTGTGTGTGTGTGTGTGTGTGTCAGTAGCATCTGGTGTTGTAGGGCCTCAATCATAGCACATGCCTCTGCATAGGGAGGGAGTCTTTGGCTGCTATGTCTCTGGAGGAGTCAAGGTTGTAACTGGTGTTTGATGTATCATTTTATCATTTGTCCAGAGTACAGAGACTGTAGGGAGAATCAAACTTATTTAAAAATTTTAGCAGTCTCCAATAAACTTTTCTGCTTTTTTTAACTGCCTTCTCCACCTTCCAATTCTGCATTGTTCCTGCCTTTTGTAACTTTGCTGCGATCTTCTCTAAACTTCCTAAAGCTCTAATTTTTAAGTCACCAACCTTGATAACACCCTTACTAAAAGAATTCTGTTTATCCCATTCCAACCCCCCAAAACAGAACTACTTGACATTTTTGTGAGTGCAGGAATTTTTCCCCAGTCTAGGACTGTCAAATACGCTGCCACACACACAGTGAAAATACCAACCAAGTAGGAAACCACCCCAAATTTACATGGAAAATAACAGACCTATCCCTGTGTCCTTATAAAGATTTTTATCTTACTCTGGGATTGAAATCTAACCTCAGCAAAGTAAAAGACAATCATAACAGCACCATGAAGATGAAATAGACTGGATCTTCCAGGCAGTCATCATGAGCCTCCACAGCAGACTCAGGAGCCCGGGGCAAAGACCTTGTAGGGTACTCCATTTAGACCAGGTGCCAATGCTTTTCTGGCATGGTTTATGACTTGTCTGACCTCTATCCACTTCAGGAGAGCAGTGTCAAACTTTGTCAGGGGCTCAGGTGGGCTGGTTACATAGTGACGTGTCTCAAATCTCTGGGTGACGTCTGCTGAAGCTGTCCCTCAGGAGGTCCTGGCCTCTGCTAAGACTCTATGCTAGACACTGTTAGCTTTGTTCTTGCTGGCTTGGCTGAGTCTAAGTGTTGAGCCTTCGATGAAAAATAGCAAGCAGGTTCAAATTATGAGATGAGGCTGTCCAAGTTGCTTCCAAGGTACTTTATTCAGCATGCGAATGAAAAAAGTCAATGAGAATGAACTTTGCAGAATCCTGACCGAGGTAACAAAGAAAAACCCCTCCTTATACAACATTTCACAAAGGGTGTTCACTTCCTGTTTTGGGATCAAACCTTTTTCATCATGCAAGTTCTAAAACCCTTGTTTCCCTAGATAGAAACAATATAAGGCCCTTGATCGGGCCTCAGAGTTCCCGTACAGACTTTATTTTAGCAGCACTGTGACCATCAAAATGCCCTTCTACAGTTTCTGTGAGAGGGTCATATAAACACTTTTCTGTAAACATACATTGAACATGGTCCAGTCACAAAGACACTCTCTGTGAGCATACACTGAATATTACCTAGTATGAATATCATACACTGAATATTACCTAATAAGGATGTCATAAACTGAATATTACCCAGTAAGGATGTTCCATGATTTTGCATGTTCAGAAGAGTGTCTCAGGACCTCACAACAACACATCACGATAATTTAGAATAACTTGGCATGGCTTGTCCAAGAGAAGATACAGAACTTCCTCAAAAAATGACTCCTCAATAGCCTGTGATCCAAGTGGTTCCCCTCTGTGGTTTTAATTTAAATGCTCAAGATGAGCTGCTCCAGTTCCTGCTCGGGGGTATGAAGTATCCTGTTCTTCCTCTCCTCCAGTAAGTTGTAAACGTATTTGAATGGGTCCTGAAAGAATCTTGTTCTCTTTGGCATTTCTTTATCCTTTTGGCTCTACTGAGTTGTGCCAGCCTTTGTTAGACTGTTGTTCCACAGGTCCTTCAGGCCTTATTTTTCATGGGGCTCAGCTCTCCTCCATGCTTTTCTGAGGAGCTGTTGTTCTTTAACCAGCTGAAGGATTGCCTTTTCTCATCTTGTAATCTGTGGGGGGGACTGGTGCTCTTTTGGAGCATGACTCTGAAACAGTTACTTCAGGTAAAACCGAGTAGAACACGCCATTCCCTGTGCGCCAGCACTGGAATGTCGCCCCTCGACACCAAATACAAAAAGAACAAATACTGAAAAATACTGCAAGGTGTTTGAGGAGCTGAACGGCCTAATCAGCGCTGTATCATCTCCTCTTGTTGTTGCTTAGGTGAAATGGATATTCACAGACACATTGATCTTACGCGCTATAGCTTTACCAAACCAGGAAAATCTTAATGAGAGTCCTGACAAATGAATTTGGGGATAAATGTATTGCACTGTATTGTAAATAAAGTTCTTGTATTGTGTTTGTGGCAAGGGGGGTGCTATTTTGTTCATAAATAGAGAATATTGTCTCCAACCAGCAACGCCACCTGGGGACTTGCACCCCAGGAAACTGTACTTTCAAACTAAAACCATAACAGGAAGCTAAAATAAGAATAAGGCAACACAGGTAAGTTCTGAAGAGGCAGAGACAGAGTTCAAAATATTTATTAGATCAAAAAATGAAGTTAAACTTAAATATAACTGAGAAATTTAACCTAGGAGGGACAGAAAGGGATAAAGTTAAAACATCATAACAAAACACAAATAAGGGGCAAGAAAGTTAATTTTATTTCTATAATAAATTTAAAACAAGGCCTTCTACAAAACTTAAAAAGTACAATAACACCAACTTAAACTTAATCACAGAAACCCAAACTAAGTTAACTTAAGATAAGCTGAGGCCACCAGAAGGGAGGTGGACTACAGCGGGAAAGTGCAGGGGGGTGCTCCCTTATACTCACCAAGTGAAGCACAGCACACACACTGCAAACCTTCAACAAAAGAAACAAATCGGTGTAGTCTTGTGACCCCGTGTCAAACTCATGCAAAGGTGGAGGGCCCTCACCCGGGGTGCCTAGCCTCCAAAACTAGTGGGCTCAACTTCTGAAATAAAATAAAAGGATTAACCAAAGAAACAAACAAACCAACAACAGCGAACCCAGTTGGTAAACTAGAGGCACTAAGGAGAAAAGCAACTAAGGGTAACTAAGAACAGAATGCAAACTAATGGGGGAGTAACTGGGTAAAACAACCAAACTTAGAGGTAGAACCAAACCAAGTAAGGGGGGAAACCAATCAAAAGGGCAGAAACAACCAAAGTAAACAGGCAAAAATAACGACAGTTAATGGGGGCAACAAAACAGCAGCAGGTCTACCACCTACAAACAAAAAGGACATGCTGTTAAAAGCAATCATAAAACTCTAAAGATTAAAAGTTACCAGCCACCCTACTCACCAGCACTCCAAGCAGAGCAGAAGGCCGACTGCAGGTGAGCTGCTGCCTTTTATTCAGCTGACCTGATAAGGGGAAGGGAGGGGTTAGAGGAGGAGGGAGAGCTGCATTCAATAGCAGCAAGGTGCTGCCTGCCACATGTTGTAAAAAGCACTTGAACTTGTCATTAATTAGGAGAGAAACTGTCATGATTTATTCTAGTCTTTTGCTTGTGTTGTATTTGCTGTCATTCCCCTGAGCTTCTGTTTCAGGTGTGTATTTAGGATCCTCATGTTCCTTTTTCCCTCGTGTTTTAGTCTCAGGTTAAGATTCTATTGTTCGCTTTTTTTCCCTTCTCCTTGTGTGTCCAGTGTATCTTGAGTTTCCCGTCCCTTGCAATGACACTGTTATCTTGTTGCCACACCTATATTATTTCCTGGCACCCTGTAAATAAAATCTCTGTGTTGCCCTCCCCAGATCATAACTAACCCTGCCTAACGTCTTTGTTGCTCAGTGCACCAGTTTTTGTTTGTAAATGTGAAAACAAACCGTTACGTCGTTTGCACTCTGTAAAGGTTTAAAATAAAGGAACAGGTAAACCAGGCCAATTGAAAAAGCAGGTCCCTCTGACCTCGCGCAGACCTTGCTCATTATTATTCACGAGCGCGGCCTCGGTGAGCCGCGCCCACTCTCTCGTTCTGGTACTCATTCACAGTCAACATCACTCTCCAGCCAGAGCGAGACCCAGCTACCACTGTATCCGCTATGGGTCTTTTCCAAACGACCGCTGTTTCCTTGGGTTCACTGCCGGGAAAATGAACTTAAAGCTGGGCAGAATGAATGAGAAAACACCGCTGGAGATCTCCGGCTTCTTCTTCAACTTCCACCTCCTCTTCGGACTCGGGGTCTCAAATATATGGTTTAATACCTGCCATTTTTAGCCTTTAGCATAAGGTGACCAGACGTCCCCGATTTCCGGGGACAGTCCCCGTATTGGATGACCTGTCCCCGGCAAAAGCTGTCCCCGAAAATGTCCCCAATTTAAGCATTTCATGAATGAGAACAAAAATGTTGCGTGTGGGCTCGAACAACGGTTTTTAGGCTACAGTAGCCGAATGGGTAGGAAGCACAAGTTAGCAGTCCTGAACAACAGTTTTTAAGGGGGTTATTACAAGGGGCATGAGCTGCTACTAAATAGTACCGAGACTTTGTCTGTGATCACACAGCCCCTGCAGCCCCTGTGCCGCCGCACCGAATATCCCCGGATATCATTACAGACATCTGGGCACCTTACTTTAGCACACATTAGCAAAATGGATAAACCGAAATCCAAACCTCCACTGCTGAGCCAATCAAAGCACAGCAGGCTTCACAGCAGCGATCCAATCAGAGCAAAGCTCATTACCATAAATGTTAATGAGCCAAAACCAGTTGGTTTTCCTGTAAGGTTTTTTAGGCATACTAAAACAAACCATCAAATAACTTTTCATCTAAAATTATGTTGCAAACATGATCAGAGGACATCAAGGATTATGAAAAAATGATAAAAATGGGTATGAAATTTTGGTGGCAGGTCCCCTTTAAGGTCCGTTTAATTTAAGGTACTAAGGTCTATGCTCTTTACTCCACTTATTTACCACAAGCCAAGACTGCCTTGCCAACAGATGGCGCCGAAGTTGATGCCCTTCAAAAAGTCACTGTATGCCTCGATGCTGATAATCCGTTCACTTTAAGTTTTAACATCCTCCCACATTATGTAAAAAAGAGGCATCTTCAAAAGTTGTATTAAATTTTCTCAAATTACATAGAACATGAGAAGTATTGTCAAGTTTTCATAAGTGCCTCCATCTCAGGTGGAAGCTTTTTTTAATGTGTTCACAGTGATTTTTTTTTCTGCTCATGCTGAAGCGTTTCAGCTTTATTTGCCTATTTCTCTTTCCCACCCTCCATTTCAACATCCCCATTTATTGCACTCATTTTTATCCTTCTGAAGTTTCTGCACATGGGTCTTTGTTCCAATGTGACAATTTTATTGATGTAGTGGATTCTACTAACCTCTTCAGAGGTTTTATGTATTGAAAACTGTTGTGTTGAAAGTCATATAGCTTCTATTTCATTGTTAAACTACACTGAAGACACGCAAATCGCTGTCTATTATGATCAAATGTAATTAAAATACACATGACAACTCAAAAAATGACTTTCAAAATTTTAAGAAAAAAACGTTTCTCTAACAATTTCTGCTCAATTTTACTCATTTTAAGCTCCTCAGACCAGATTTTTTTCTTGCAGTTTATTCTGTCCATGAAATTGATAAGCTCAGTTTTCTCTAGTTAAATCTTTCCACAGAAACAATAACCCTGGTTCTTCCTCTGCTGTACAGACTTCTCCACCTGGACTGTGGACATTTTTATAGGCAGAGGGCAGAACTAAGTCAGTGTATCTATGATGGGCTATATTCATGGAAGGATGTCCAAACAAAAGATCAGCTTGATGACTTGGATGTGCGTGGTCTCTATCCTCTCTGTCATCATACTGCTCTGCACCGACAAGTGGGTGGAATTACCCATGTGCTCTGTTTCAGTACAGTCACAATCTTTACATGTTGTTCAAAAAGTGGATTTGTTGTATAAATCTGTATAATTCATGTATTATTTGTCTTAATTACTTTGCTGTGGACCTGCAGGTACTCCCTAAACTCTAAATACCAGACTCAGTTCTACCAAGCGGCCCCTAAACCTCTCACCAGGGAGCAGCAGCCACTGCCTCCACAATGTGGTCCAGGAAAAATAGGTAAACTGTTGGTAAATGCTGCTCACTGTGATTTCCCTGCTTTAATATTCAACTTTCGTTCTGAATATGTTTGAACAAAACTTTTTAAACAGTTTCTCTGGAGCAAAGGTTCTTGCGAGTGAAAGGGACGAAGACACTGCTGGTGTCTGCTTATCAGGAGCACCGCACAGGCAAAAAAGGGGTCAGTAAAGAGAGCTGGGTGCCAAGTCCAACAGATTTGACTCACTGGGCTCATTTCCTCCTTCTCTGTTACCAGGTACGTGTGAATGCAGTGGCTCTCAGGAGCCAGAGAGCATCCTACGTCTGTTCCCTCTGTTGTCATGGGAAACTTTACATCACTGAAGGTCTTCAGAGAATCCACCAGGATCACTTTGGCTTTGCATACGGGATGGCACACATCTTATGTGACCTTCCCCTCCACTGTAAGACAGCATCTTATATTGCTGTAACCTCTGCAGCTGCCTCTGCAGGTACTGACACATGTTGACTCCTGTTGGGGTCGACTTTTTTGATTCTGTTGGTGAATGTGACCAAAATATCTCTTGCCACTTAAACTTTTTTAAGGCGTAAACTGCTGTGTCATACCTCTGTTTTAAATTAAAAAACCGTCAGGTAAAATAAGACTTGATGTTAGTTTTAATTTCAGGGTTCTGCTTTCAATAAATGTTCATGAAATAGTCACGTTGACAACATCTGTCCACTACTTGTGAAAACTGTTGAAGGATTTTAAAGCTCCTGCAAGGACTTTTTGAAGGGCATCAACTTCGGCGCCATCTGTTGGCAAGGCAGTCTTGGCTTGTGGTAAATAAGTGGAGTAAAGAGCATAGACCTTAGTACCTTAAATTAAATGGACCTTAAAGGGGACCTGCCACCAAAATTTCGTACCCATTTTTATCATTTTTTCATAATCCTTGATGTCCTCTGATCATGTTTGCAACATAATTTTAGCTGAAAAGTTATTTGATGGTTTGTTTTAGTTTGCCTAAAAAACCTTACAGGAAAACCAACTGGTTTTGGCTCATTAACATTTATGGTAATGAACTTTGCTCTGATTGGATCGCTGCTGTGAAGCCTGCTGTGCTCTGATTGGCTCACCAGTGGAGGTTCAGATTTCGGTTTAGCCATTATGCTAATGTGTGCTAAAGTAAGGTGCCCAGATGTCTGTAATGATATCCGGGGATATTCGGTGCGGCGGTGCAGGGGCTGCAGGGGCTGCAGGGGCTGCGTGATCACAGACAAACTCTTGGTACTATTTAGTAGCAGTGCATGCTCCTTGTAATAACCCTCTTAAAAACTGTTGTTCAGGACTGCTAACTTGTGCTTCCTACCCATCCGACTACTGTAATAACCGTTGTTCAAGCCCATATGCAACATTTTTGCTCTCATTCATGAAATGCTTAAATCAGGGACATTTTTGGGGACAGCTTTTGCCGGGGTCAGGTCATCCATTACGGGGACTGTCCCCAGAAATCGGGGACGTCTGGTCACCTTATGCTAAAGGCTAAAAATGGCAGGTATTAAACCATATATTTTAGACCCCGAGTCCGAAGAGGAGGTGGAAGTTGAAGAAGAAGCCGGAGATCTCCAGCGGTGTTTTCTCATTCATTCTGCCCAGCTTTAAGATCATTTTCCCGGCAGTGAACCCAAGGAAACACCGGTCGTTTGGAAGAGACCCATAGCGGATATAGTGTTAGCTGGGTCTCGCTCTGGAGAGTGACGTTCACTGTGAATGAGTAAGAGAACGAGTGAGTGGGCGCGGCTCACCGAGGACGCGCTCGTGAATAATAATAAGCAAGGTCAGCGCAACATCAGAGGGACCTGCTTTTTCAATTGGCCTGGTTTACCCGTTCCTCTATTTTAAACCTTTACAGAATGCAAACGACGTAATGGTTTGTTTTCACATTTACAACATAAGACGAACATAATATGGACCTTATCTGACACAAAAAACACAAAAAATTACATTTTGATGGCAGGTCCCCTTTAAACCTCTTAGAGTAAAGCTCCACTGAGTAACTTTTTGTTTGTTTTGTGTTGATTTTCAGTGCAGGTGTTGCAGCTTTTTTTTGGCATTACACAACTTTACTTTGTTGTTCCTGTCTGAACATTTGTGTGTATTTTCTTGCATAGCCAAAAACATGCTTTAGTTTGAACATTTGATGTTTTCTTTGCATTAATTTGGTGGATGGCTCATTCCTTTCGGCACATTGTATCTCAAAAAATATATATTTCTGTTTCTTTTCTATGTGTTTAGAGAATAATGTGACAGAGTTTTTTGAGGTAAGGAACCAGGAGGCAAAAAGTGGCTCTTTTCCTTACAACTTCACCACCTGCTTTTCCACCATGTTTAACTTCAACAATCTGCTGCAGGTCAGTTCATAAAGCGGACAAAGTGTTTATTTTCCTCCTAATGTAAAGCCTTATCGAAAAGCTCAAAGGTCACCAAGTCCTTGTGTTTTCTTGCAGCTGGTCCAGAGTTTAGAAATGTTGCAGTTACTGGGAGTGGACAGAGTTGTGATCTATAAGACCAGCTACAGCCCTGAAGTTAAGCATTTACTCAACTACTACATACAAAAAGGTGGAGTATGGAGGAGGTGGGCTGTTTAAAGTGGAAATTTAAAACTGGAATTTACCACAATATTCTGTTTTGAGATCGTAAATGTTTAATTTCTGGGAGCTGTGGGAATCAAGATTCAAACCAACAAAGTCATGAAATGTTTTTCTTTGTGTGGGAATCGTCATTAACATATGGAAGATTCACTTTTTGAATGAAATTATGGGAACGAAAATAAACTCATTTTTTAGCTTCACCTTTACTTTGAGTTCGACAAGTTGAGACCTTTATGCATGAAATGAGTCTGGTTTTACATGTCCCTGGCTGGATGAAAACCTTTGCACATATGCAAAGTTTACATGTGAGCAAGTCTCACCTGCAGCTCTTGATTGTGCCATCTTTGCAGCTGCTCTTGGGGATTAAAAAGTTGACTAGAGTAGGGCCTGTGTATTGCTCTGATTATGCATTTTAGTGCATAATCATTCTCTGACTCTTTTGGTTGTCCAATTTGACTCTTGTAATGTCTTTTTCAGGTTATGTGGAGGTGATTGATTGGCCTATGATCAGATATCTGAATGTATCTCAGAGCTGGCGCCCTGACCTCTCTCCAGGTGACATCCATTACTATGGTCAGATTGCTGCTCTCAATGACTGTGTTTACAGATACATGTACAAGTCCAAATATGTGGCCCTGCATGATCCTGATGAGCTCATACTGCCCCAGTCTGTAAACAGGTATCAGATTAATGGATTAACCTCTCGGTGACTCCACCACTGTCTCATCCTCAGTTTGTTACATCTTTTTCTTTCTTTTCTTTTTTTTTTTTGTTACGATTTTCTCTCATTCTTTTCCCAGCTGGTTGGAGTTGCTGCCCCTTCTGGAAAAAAGATATGGCAAGGATAAGTGTTACAAATTTGAGAACAATGTTTTCCATAACAACATAATGCTGCCTCCCCCATCCTTCCAAACTCTGCCCCCCGAGAGCCGCTGGCAAAAAGTCTCTGGGGTTAACATCCTGGCTCATCTCTACAGAGAACCCGTCAACGGGTCAAATGTGGCCTTAACAAATTTTAAGATCATTGTCAATCCAAGAGTTGTGTTCGAAGCAACGGTCCACGGACTGCTTTCTCCAGGGGGAATCTGCTATATGGTAGACAGAAAGGTAGCACGGATGTACCACACAAGGTAGGTTAGTGGTTCTGAGCTTCAGCCTGATATCATAATCACATTCATGGTGGGAGTGTTTTGGTTGAGAAACATTTCTGTTTCATCAAACAGACTTGCAGGGAATTTGCTTTCCTCAAGAGTTATCATCAAATTCCCTGTCCTTCATCCATTTGGTAGTTTTTTCTCTGGTACAAATGGATTGCATTGTTATACTTAAAAATGCACTAAACGTCGAATCAGTTTCAGTTTAGTTTCTTTCTCTGTCAGTAAAGCAAATGACTGATAATGATATGCTGACCCCCCAGGGGTGAAATAACCATCAGATGTTAGTCCATCTGGTCCACGTTTGGTCCCTGGTTTCAACAGGATAAAACGTTTCATTCACTGGTCAGCTACTGTTTGAAGTCACCTTTTCCTGCTGTGACTGCCTATTGTATTGAACACCCTTATTCAAAAACAATTTTGTTTCTCAGCCCATGGGCTTTTTTGTGGCTGTAGAATTGGTATGCAGTTATTCCTTCCGCACCATGCATTGTCATTTTCATGATGCTCTTTGGTAACAATGAAGTTTATTGTGATTCTGATGTTTAGTTTATATCTGGAATAACTGCGGTTCCACTTTGTGTCTCTCTTTTCTGCTGCAGACAACCCATGCAAAAAGGACTAAAACCAGAGCAGCTCATTTATGACGGACGACTGCTGAACTACAGCCCCCAGCTGACATCTGCAGTCAATACTGTCCTCACAGAGAGCGGACTTCTACCGCAGGACAGTGTGGTGTAGTGTCTTTTGTAAAGAGGGACTGTTCGTCTGTAGGAGTTAAAGCAGGGACGTGTTCAAGGAGAAAAAAAAAAACCCTTCTTTGATTGACAGTTTGTATCTGAAAAGTTTTTAAACAGAGCAGCAAGCTTTGGTACTTATCAGTGTTGTGTCTGTTTTTCTCGACTCTAAGAAATGAAGAAAAATGTAACTACTAAATTATTCCTTATTTTAAAACTTTTCAGCAATCTCTGACAGAGCATTGCTATAGTGCCCTAAAGTTCAAAGCTACAAATATGTCAGAAACGCCATGAATGAAATTCATAAAACACAGACCACTTCAATGAATTCAAAAAGTATTTTATGAAACTTTAAATTTTTTAGAAAACGAGGAAATGGTGCACAAAAAAATACATTTTAGAAAAACTGAATCAATTTTGAAAACGTGAAAGTTTGGGGGAAAGAATATCAGGACATAAAATTATTTCAGAAAGACAAATTTAAAAAGAGAAATATTTTCCATTTGTGTGTTTTAAGTGTTAGAATATGTTTGCCATGTTTTTGAAATGTTTCCCATGTTTTGTAAAAAGTTTTGGTGTTTCATGAATACTTATTGGCTTTCAGAAATAATGGTGCCATTGACATTTAAGGCCTCCGTACATTTTCTGCAATGGGAGGAGAGCACAGAGCAAAAACTTTACATGTACACCCACTCAAAAAAGAATCTCTTACACAACTAACAAGATTGTATTGAAAATCTCAGCCAGTCTTTGGGCTACAAGACTAATTACTCTAAGGGCTCTATTTTATCTATTTTTTTATCTGATTTTATCTGCTGACTGTTTTTATTGTTTTGCCCTGTTGCTTGATTTTACTGTTATTGTTGTCTTTTTTTTTCTTTGTTTTCGTTGTGCACTTTGAGATTTGTTTTCAAATGTAAAGTGCGTTACAAAAAAAATCTATCATTGTTATTATTATTATTATTCTATATTCGTGACACGCCGGCGTGGCACAGGTGCGGCATAAGTTGGGTCCGCTGCGCCGATGAGGCATGCCCAAGCACACTGATATTATTTGGTGAGCGGCGCAGCCCGGCATAAGTATCCCTCCTCCCTAACTCAGCTCCTCCCAGCGGCGTAAGTAGCAGAGAGGGAGGGGATAAAGTGTGGAGTAGGTTTCACACAACTGCCTGACCTGCCTGTGAGGCATAGGTGCCGTATGCACACTACGCTACCGGTCTACCAAAATAGCACTAAAGCAGCTGCGCTTGTCCTGCACTGAAAGCTGACCAGGTTTGAATCGGTGCGTTTTCAGCGCACTTTTCACACCGCCGGCGAGCACAAAAATGTCATTGTGTCAGCTGATTCTGTCGACACCTCCCCTCACCACGCCACCACGCATAGCTTGGCAGACCTCAGTGCGCCTCAGTCTATGAAAATACCAAACTGGCTGTGCCCTGGGCTCCGCCAGACAAAAATACCACTGCGCGGGGCACGCCACCTTCTGCTGCGCCACCGGCGGGCACAAAAATAGAGCCCTTGGTCTGAGGCTATGCCCCTAACCCTCCTTATCCCCTGGGCTACCTCTAGTGCAGCCCCTTTTTGATGTTCACCTTCTGGGTTAACCTTTCTTGGTAAACATATGATTCCTTCCCTCCCTGGTCTTTATAAAGCCAACTTTGTACCTTTAACCTGTAAAATTAAGGAGGATCTGGCACGTTGGACCAGTCTTCTGTTATCAATTATAGTTAGGGTAAATCTTTTTAAGATGAACATTCTTCCTTGTCTGCTGTATGTATTCCAGATGGTCCCAGTTCTTCTAAAAAGAAAGTCACTCTCCATCCTTAATAGCTCAATATCTTCCTTTCTATGGAGATGGAAACTAGAAAAACTTCATCTTCGCCTTGGAGAGGGAGGATTATCCTTGCTGAATATCAAAAATTATCAGTTGGCTTGCCTTGGCCATTATCTCTGGGAATGTTTTAGAAATGATCCATGATTCACTTGGCTGAGCATTGAGGGTGCCCCTTTAGATCCAATCCCTCTTCCTAATATTATATATGTTTCTAAAAATCAGGTGTCAAACAAAATAAGAGGCAATACCCTCCTCCAATGCACATTAAAGGTTTGGAGAATTTTCAATAAAATAGGGACTCAAGAGGATTCTCTTTCTCTCTTCTCACACCCATTCATTTAAACCCAGATTTTCCACCATGGCCTTGAAGACAGAGTATTTCTCCTATGGTCTGAGAAAGGTTTTTGTACTGTAGAAGACTTGGAAGCTGATGGCATTGTTAAATTGTTTAACCAGCTCATCGGACAACATGACCTCCCCTCCAGACATTTACGTACTCACGTAATCCCTCTGACATACTTTGATGATCTCTGGACCAACTTGTGGAACAAGTTTTACAGTGTAACCTTCCCCAATCATAACACAGTAAATGCCTGGGCTGCATTATGACGTGTATTTCAAATGCTTGTTGTTTTATGTTTGTTTGTTTTTTGATACCCCTGCAGGTGAGATCTTTAATTTGATTTCAGGATTGGGCTGCAAAGTAAAGGGAAACACTGTCCGATTGATTTTTCAGGCCGTAAATCAGGGGTGTCAAACTCAACCACAGCAAGGGCCATAATCTGGATTTAAGTCTAACCTGAGGGCCCAAAAGGGTCAACATTTAAACCAAACTGTCAGCCTCCTTTTCAAAATCTATAACAAAATCAGCGATGATTATAAACCACTTGGAAATTCAAAAAGTAAAAAAGATAAATTCAAAGGCAATCTGAGATTTAAAAAAAAAACCTATAGATTAGCTAAAAAAATCAGAACACGATATTAAAATAGAGCAAATACATGAGAAGAAATTTTAGATTATAAATTTGAAAAGTCAAAATATGAGATCATTTTGAAATCAAGTAGAAAGTCAAAATATGACTTAAGATTTAACATTGGAATCTAAAGGATTAAAATGACATAAATCTATATACTGAGTTAAAAATAAAAAGCGCAAAATAAAAAGTCGAATCATGTTTGACTTTTAATCTTGAGATGCAAAATTGGAAATATGGATAAAACACAATTTTCCCCACATTCTAAACTATTTATTGAATCTTCCCTACTCTTTACTTTCACAGATTTTCATGGTTTATTAAGGACATTTTAAATAATGGTGCTAAAGTTTACATTATTATCCTGGAGGAAATCTGCAGACCTCATACTGGTGGGTCAGTAATAAAACAAATATGATCTGATCTCATGGGCCAGATACAATTGTTCCACGGGCCAGATTTGGCCCGCAGGCCAGAGTTTGACACCCATGGAGATTTCCTCCAGTATAATAATGTATACTTTAGCACCATTATTTAAAATGTCATTAATAAACCATGAAAATATGGGAAAGTAAAGTGTAAGTAAGATTTGATAAATAGTCAAGAATGTGGGAAAAAAAAAATTTGATGTTTTCAATTTTTCATTTCAAGATTACAAGTCAAACATGATTGGGTTTTTTATTTCATGCTTTGATTTGATTCAACTCAGTGTTTAGACTTGTGTCATTTTTATATTTTAGAATCAAATTTTAAATTTTAAGTCATATTTTGACCTTTTAAACCTGATTTCAATGTTCTCTTCATGTATTTGCTCTTTAAAAGCATTATTTTTCTATTTTCAATATCACGCTCTGATCTTTTTAACTACTAAATAGAAATAGAATATTAAAAAAACATTCAGGCTGACAGTTTGGGTGAAATGTTGACCCTGTTTGGCCCTCAGGGCCCTGTTTGGCCCTAAACCCAGATTATGGCGCTAGAGTTTGACACCCCTGCTTTAAATGAATGAGCAGGGATTAAACTTTTCCCTTGTGTAGTATGTGCTATTTTATTTCCACAGTGTGTACTTCCTGTCCTTTTTATTCACCCAGTGACTGAATCAAGGTCATTGAAAAAAGGAATGAAAACAGATCGCATTATTTGGCGCTGTCTTTGAGTAAACATTGGTACGACTACCTAAAATAAATAGCCAAAAACATTATTCATCATACTAAAGAAAGGTTTAAAGCTTACTATCGCCAAGAAATTGACAAATGGACTGTTGCTTTTTAGATAACCAGAACACGTTTTGTGTGTTACCACATCTAACTTGACCGTTCAAATCTTAGTGTACTTTCCGTATGTGGCCACTAGATGGAAGCAAACATTTATAATTCCACCCGGAGTTTTTTGTTCAACTGTTGTCGTGTGAGACGAGGTAAAAGTACAATAGATGTGTTTCAGTAAACAGTCTTTGTTGAAGCTAAAGAGAGAGTTATTCACACCTTTATCCAATGCAATTCCCCTTTCGCCATTCCTGTCATCATCTCGCACAGACCTCGTCCTGCTCAAAGTCACCAACATGAAGCACATTTATGTCTCCTGCGTTCACTACTTCGCTCCTCACCTCCTCCTCCCTCGATTATTAAGATGACACTAATCAATATCAGATCTTTCAACAATAAGACCTTTATTTTGAATAACTTTTTTTCCGCTCATTCTCTGGATTTCTTGCTGCTCACCGAAACCTGGCAAGAGCCAGGTGATGTCAGTCCCTTTTCTGAGCTCCTCCCTCCTAGCTGCTCCTATTTCAGCTGCCCACGAGCCATAGGCCGAGGTGGGGGCTTAGCCTCTGTGTTCAAATATAAATTCAAATGCAGATTAATCACAAAAGATACTTAATCTAGTTCTGAACTTCAGGTCTCTGTGTTGGATAGTAACTGCCCCATCCTGTGTGCTGTTATCTACCGCCCTCCGAAAGCAAACCAGAATTTTATTTCTGAATTTTCTGAGCTTTTAGCAGAGTTTTTTCCAAAATTTGACAAGATCTTGATCTGTGGAGATTTTAATATCCATGTCTGCTGCTCAGCCAATCAATTGGGAAATTACTTCATTAAACTTTTAAATTCGTTTAATCTCGTTGGCCGAACCAACGCATAACCTTGGTCACACACTGGATTAAATAATCACCTATGGTCTCTCGGTGTCAGTCAAAGAAATCAGTGTCACTCCTCTATCTGACCATTTTCCCATACTCTTCAAAAGCCCCTCTTGCCTCCCTGCCGTCGCTGCATTATCACCCCATCCACAGCTAGTGACTTTGCATCAGCACTTCTAAATAGTGATCCCGCTATCCTACACAACTTGTTATATCCTGCCTCACCTGATTGTTTCATCTCCTCCTTCCATTCCACCTGTACTTCAGTTTTTGACTCTGTTGCTCCTGTAAAGGTAAAATCTTCAAAGTCCAAGGCTGATCCGTGGCTGAGTGATTACACTCGCGCTCTCAGGCAAGACTGTAGAAAGGCTGAACGGAAATGAAAGAAGCATAAATCTACAGTTTTGCTGGGTATCTGGAGAGACAAGTCAGTCAGTTTTCAAAGAGCTATGAGAGACACAAAATCACTCTATCTGTCCAGACTCATCTCTACGAGTAGTAATCGTCTGAGGGTATTATTCAAGACCGTAAACTCTGTTATCAATCCTAACAGTAGTTGCCCCACAGATGTTTTGACAACTGCTTGTGAAGAATTTTTCAAAATTCTTTGTTGACAAAATTGTTTCTGTTGGGGAAAAAATTATGGCAAACACCAACGTCCAAACTGCAGATAATGGGCTGAGTTCTGCCTATGCACACCAAACTGTTGTTTTTAATCATTTTGACCCTGTTTCTCTCCCCCTCCTTTCTGAGGTTGTACAAAAGCTGAAAGCAACCAACTGTCCCTCTGACATTAGCTGCGTCCGAATTGCCAAGTAGTAGTCGAAGTAGTATCTAGCATGTCCGAATTGGCCACCGGAGCGAGTAGCATGCTACTTCAGATACTACTTCAGATACTAGACACGCCCACATTGTAGGTTGGTCGCGGTGCATCCTACGGGCACGCTACTGACCCAAAATGCACCACGGGCTTCTTCTTCGTCCTCTTAAAAGTTGTAGAAGCGCATGTGATGCTAGCGCCACCAGCATAGATGCGCCGGCTGGCCACAGCAGCGCGCACCATGTCGGAGCAGCAGCAGGCGGGACCGCAGCAGTACAGATGTAAGTTTCATGTAACTTCACACACTGTCCTAAAAAATGTGCGGTTGTATCTCTTTGTCATGTCATGGTGTCATATTTGCCCAAGTAATCATTTTATGAGCAAATATGTGGCGACATCATGGAGGTAAAGCTCACTTATTCCATCATTAAACTGCACAGCTGCAGTACTACAGCCAGGCTCGCAGATGAGGGGCTTCAGTTACCACTGTCTGCACGGGCGCAGTACCTACTCTCTGCCTGCGGGGGTCGTCTTTCCCCACCGCTCGTCTAGTGTGTCCGAATTGGGCCAACGTGTTTAGTATGTAGGAGTAGGATCTAGCAGTAGTATGTAGCAGTAGCATGTAGTATCCGAGCGGGCAATGTCACATGTCACACCGTCCATATTTTCTGTTGTTTTGATTTATTTACTCATTCATCATTTTATGACACAAGACCACTTCACACGGTCAAAAAACTGTTCGGCTTCCCAGGTGTGCGCACCTGTCCTTATCAACCAACCCATTAAATAGACAGGCACAATAGAACCATCTGCTGGCACAAAAAATACATAACAATAAACTGCAAAACCCCAATCTGGCTCCTACAAAAGTGTATGTGACAAGATGATTAACGTTTGCTTTTGTTAAATCAGGGCTTCCCCAGCCAGGACTTCGGCTCAGACTGTGGCATATTCATGTTGATGGTAGGTCATAACGAGCTGTAATGCACAAATATTGTATCTAGAATAACTTTCCAACATGGACTTTTTTAAAGTTATCTCACATGTTGTCTCATAATTTTTTTTTTTTAAGTCTGCCATGTACATCGTTCTGGAGTAACAGTTTGACTACTCAGTTGTAAGTACTTTTCAACAGGCAGTGTCATCCTCAAGGTTGTATTTTGTATTGTGCACTAAAATGAAATACCAACAAAAATTTCAGCATGACATGCCTGTTTTGCGGCGATGGTGGTGCCTGTTGCTCCTGGAGAACAATTCTTTGAACAGGTAGACAGTTTAAGTAAACTAGATGCCCTAATTAACTGGAAGACAATCAATATATTGTACTTAAAGATATATTGTCATTACAGTTGTGGGAAAATCTTCGCCCACTGGACCAAAGAATGTCAAGAGCTCATTGCTGGAAAGCATACTCCGGTCTTCAGTCTAAAGAGGAAGGCAGAGCAGCAGGACATAGAGGTTAGAAAATTGCCTTCTAAAAACAGTATTATCTCAGTGGGAGTCCTTCAAAATGCACACAGTTGTATGGATCAACATTGTCTCGATGTATTTGGTAATTGATGTTACTTTTCAAATTGACTTGTCAAGGAAACCATGACGCAGACGGCATCGGATGTCCAAAGAATGTGCATGGCAGATTCAATGCAATTCTGTGTCTACCAGACATCGAACAACACAGGAGAGAGGTGTGTTGCAGACTCAATTTAATAAATGCAATTATCGGGGCCTATTCAGTGATTTTCCATGAAGTGACCACTTTTTACATATAGTTTAAATGCACGAATCATGCGGGAAAATTATTTATACATTCAAATGTGCTGTAGAGGTATAATCAATTGGACAGCGTGTTTGTTTAATATTATGTTTGTCTCTCATTTGATCAGATTGCTTTACCCTGAGGTAAAATTGATAAAATGGGTCCAGTGCAAGACGTGCAGGGGCTGGCTGCATCAGGATTGTGCCGGGATTGACATGGAGCCGTTTGACTGCGGCTGCGAGGACTCCATTGAGCATCCTCGGTATAACATAATTTATCAAGGAAACATAGTATCAGTCAAAAATACGAGGCTCAAAGGTTGAAAAAATGAGGGCTTGCTCTTTTTCTTATTTCTCTGCAGGATCAAGGATGCTGTTGACGGTGGAGGAATTGATGCTGTCTTTTCTAAGACACAGATCAAGGTTGCTTTTGAATGCACTATCAGTTGTTAAAGCCACCGTTTCTTTTTCAGATTATTACATTTTTGTCTCTTGCTCTTTGGTTTCAGACATTACACGATGACCTACTCTCTGGAAAGATCCGCTCCAACAGGATGTTTCTTTGGAGGAATCCCGCCACCTCACTCCGGCTAAAGCAGCATCTAAAGATAAGGTCACTAAGTTGGAGTGAGCAGCGCGTAAGTAAAAATGCCATCCATCATGAGTATTTTTACTCTCAGAGGTGTTACATTTGAAAGCTGTTTACTTTCTGTGTTTTTCTTCAATAGATGTTCGAGCTCCTGCGGTTTATTGAGGAGGCAACAACCATATCGGAAAAAATCAAAAGAGGCGAGATTCACCTGCTTGATTTTGTCTTTGATGTCATGCTCCCAGAGGTGAGTAGATCAAACTATATAGCTTGCTTTGAAAATTGATGATATTGTTAAGAGGTTGTTCTTATTCATTTGGAAAGCTCAAGAACAACAATTAACCCATACTGCATAACTTCAATTGTTCACATTCTTTGACTGTTTTTCAGCTTTTGATCAAAGCACTTCAGGAGCATGGCATCACTCGACTCAAAGCGGAGCAGATGATGGCCTGTGGCAATATATTTTAAGCCCCCCACCACACCGACGGCAACGCTCTAAATTATGTATATATGATTATATTTTTTTTTACTGTTGGAAAATATTAAAGAAATCTTTGAAGCAGTTGTATGACAATTTCCCATTTCTTTACACAGTCTGTAATGACATCGCAATTCAATTGTTTTTGCTAAATGGCTCTTCTGAACCTTAAACAGATCATGTGTCTTGTGTCTCTACAATTATTGTATACTTGGATTTTGCACAGTTAAGCAATCCTGAAGAGGCTCACCAGGAAGCACACCATTTCATAAATTATGTCCCTGGTTACACAATGTTACTAAAGGATGGGGGGAAAATATGTGCAGCAATGTAAGCACTCTCATAAAACATAATTATGAACAACAGAAAATATGTGAGGGTCAGGGCAACATTGTTGACATTAAACAAGGTCCTAATAGATTCACAGTAGAGGATACATCACACACACACACCTGCTAATAGGAGAAACAAGGTCACAGAGAAGTTCAGAAACATTCATGTGCTGTGTAATAAAGCTATTGGAGAGAGAAGTTAGAAAACACTCTTATATGATGTGTAACAAGAGGTTAAAACAGTCCATACTTACAGCAAACTCTTACAAAAGAATTTGAGTAAGATGATAACTTCTATATACATTTATACCTATTCTGACAAATTATCAGAATATGAGGACATCAGTCTATATATACATATTACTGTAAACTTCAGAATTAAATCAGAACAAAACAGTAGTCATAATTAATACGTAAACGTTTTATTTAGATTTTTTGCTCAATAATAAATTCAATTCGATTCTTACGGAATGAACAGAGCGAAAAAAAAAAAAAAAAAAGCTTCCGGCGACGAAATCTGACTACCGGAAGTCCCTTCTGACAATCGATCATTGGAATAACCTTCCCACATGTTGTTTCTTTATTTAGCTGGACGAATTAATTCCGTTAGAAACGTACCGCATGGATGTGACCAAAAAACAAACTTTTGGCGAAATATTTCGGCGCCGGAAGTGCGCCAACGAGAAAGCCCATCCTCCGGAATGTAATTCTTTTGGGTCCGCCAATCGGAGGTAATGCAGAAGTTCATTGCGGAAGTTCATATTTTGGGTCCGCCATCTTGCGCTGCAGTCGTGTCCCTCTCGCTAAAAGAGGTTTTTCATTCTGTCGGACCTTACCTCCTTGCTTTTATCAACATCTGCCTTAGCTCTGGTACCGTCCCTGATGCATTTAAACAGAGAGGTGACCAGATGCAGCGCAAGATGGCGGACCCAAAGATAGAAAACCACATTTACAAAACGCAATAAGTTCCTCCGATTGGCGGACCCAAAACAATTACTTCCGGTGGAAAGGCTTTCTCGTTGGCGGACTTCCGGCGCCGAAATACTTCAGGTAGTCGGATTTAGTCGCCGGATCCTTTTTTTTTTGCTCCGTTCATTCCATAAGAATCGAATTAAATTTATTATTGAGCTAAAAATCAAAATAAAACGTTTATATATTAATTATGACTACTGTTTTGTTCTGATTTAATTCTGAAGTTTACAGTAATATGTATATATAGCCTGATGTCCTCATATTCTGATAATTTGTCAGAATAGGTAAATGTATGTAGAAGTTATCATCTTACTCAAATTCTTTTGTAAGAGTTTGCTACAAGTATGGACTGTTTTAACCTCTCGTTACACATCATATAACAGTGTTTTCTAACTTTTCTCTCCAATAGCTTTATTACACAGCACATCAATGTTTCTTAACTTCTCTGTGACCTTGTTTCTCCACTCCTATTAGGACCTCGTTTAATGTCAACAATGTTGCCCTGACCCTCACATATTTTCTGTTGTTCATAATTATGTTTTATGAGAGTGCTTATGTTGCTGCACAAATTTACTCCCCCCATCCTTTAGTAACATTGTGTAACCAGGGACATAATTTATGAAATGGTGTGCTTCCTGGTGAACCTCTTCAGGATTGCTTGACTGTGCAAAATCCAAGTATACAATAGTTGTAGAGACACAAGTCACATGATCTCTTTAAGGTTCAGAAGAGCCATATAGCAAAAACAATTGAATAGCGATATCATTACAGACTGTGTAAAGAAATGGGAAATTGTCATACAACTGCTTTGAAGATTTCTTTAATTTTTTCCAAACAAAATTGTGAACAGTAAAAAAAAATATATATATACAAAATTCAGCACTGCCGTCGGTGTGGTGGGGGGCTTAAAACACGTTGCCACAGGCCATCATCAGCTCTGCTCTGAACCGGTTGATGCCATGCTCCTTCAGTGCTTTGATCAAAAGCTGAAAAACAGTCAAATAATGTGAACAATTGAAGTTATGCAGTATGGGTTAATTGTTGTTCTTGAGCTTTCCAAATGAATAAGAACAACCTCTTAACAATATCATCATTTTTCAAAGCAAGCTATATAGTTTGATCTACTCACCTCTGGGAGCATGACGTCAAAAACGAAATCAAGCAGATGAATCTCGCCTCTCTTTATTTTTTTAGAAATGTTTGTTGCCACCTCAATGAACCGCAGGAGCTCGTACATCTATTGAAGAAAAACACAGAAAGTAAACACCTTTCAAATGTAACACCCCTGAGAGTAAAAATACTCATGATGGATGGCATTTTTACTTACGCGCTGCTCACTCCAACTTAGTGTCCTTATCTTAAGATGCTGCTTTAGTCGGAGTGAGGTGGCGGGATTCCTCCAAAGGAACATTCTGTTGGAGCGGATCTTTCCAGACAGTAGATCATCGTGTAATGTCTGAAACCAAAGAGCAAGAGACAAAAATGTAATCATCTGAAAAAGAAACGGTGGCTTTAACAACTGATAGTGCATTCAAAAGCAACCTTGATCTGTGTCTTAGAAAAGACAGCATGAATTCCTCAACTGTCAACAGCATCCTTGATCCTGCAGAGAAATAAGAAAAGAGCAAGCCCTCATTTTTTCATCCTTTGAGCCTCGTATTTTTGACTGATACTATGTTTCCTTGATAAATTATGTTATACCGAGGATGCTCAATGGAGTCCTCGCACCCGCAGTCAAACGGCTCCATTTCAATCCCAGCACAATCCTGATGCAGCCAGCCCCTGCACGTCTTGCACTGGACCCATTTTATGACGTTTACCTCAGGGTAAAGCAATCTGATCAAATGAGAGACAAACATAATATCAAACAAACACGCTGTCCAATTGATTATACCTCTGCAGCACATTTGAATGTATAAATAATTTTCCTGCATGATTCGTGCATTTAAACTATATGTAAAAGTGGTCACTTCATGGAAAATCACTGAATAGGCCCCGATAATTGCGTTTATTAAATTGAGTCTGCAACACACCTCTCTCCTGTGTTGTTCGATGTCTGGTAGACACAGAATTGCATTGAATCTGCCATGCACATTCTTTGGACATCCGATACCGTCTGCTTCATGGTTTCCTTGACAAGGCAATTTGAAAAGTAACATCAATTACCAAATACATCGAGACAATGTTGATCCATACAACTGTGTGCATTTTGAAGGACTCCCACTGAGATAATACTGTTTTTACAAGGCAATTTCCTAACCTCTGTGTCCTGCTGCTCTGCCTTCCTCTTTAGACTGAAGACCGGAGTATGCTTTCCAGCAATGAGCTCTTGACATTCTTTGGTCCAGTGGGCGAAGATTTTCCCACAACTGTAATGACAATATGTCTTTAAGTACAATATATTGATTGTCTTCCAGTTAATTAGGACATCTAGTTTACTTAAACTGTCTACCTGTTCAAAGAATTGTTCTCCAGGAGCAACAGGCACCACCATCGCCGCCAAACAGGCATGTCATGCTGAAATTGTTGTTTGTATTTCATTTTAGTGCACAATACAAAATACAATCTTGAGGATGACACTGCGTGTTGAAAAGTACTTACAACTGAGTAGTCAAACTGTGACTCCATAACGATGTACATGGCAGACTTTAAAAAAAAATTATGAGACAACATGTGAGATAACTTTAAAAAAGTCCATGTTGGAAAGTTATTCTAGATACAATATTTGTGCATTACAGCTCGTTATGACCTACCATCAACATGAATATGCCACAGTCTGAGCCGAAGTCCTGGCTGGGGAAGCCCTGATTTAACAAAAGCAAACGTTAATCATCTTGTCACATACACTTTGTAGGAGCCAGATTGGGGTTTTGCAGTTTATTGTTATGTATTTTTTGTGCCAGCAGATGGTGCTATTGTGCCCGTCTATTTAATGGGTGGGTTGATTAGGAGAGGTGCGCACATAAAATGATGAATGAGTAAATAAATCAAAACAACAGAAAATGTGTGTGACATGTGACATTATTCCACCTGCGGGCACGCATCAACTCAAGCAAAAAGGTGTTCGCCACAAGTAACAGCATTGGAAAGCTGTTATACACTTTTCAACTGTAATATAGAGCATGCACAAATACCTCCAAATCTCTGCCCGTTTTCTCAGTCCATTGCCCAGGACATATCTTCTGCGCAATGTTCCTGTTAATTTGAGAGCGTCACTTAGATTTCCCATGATGGAAACAATGGAATGCAGGGTTAGGGTTAGTTTGAGTGGTCGGAGGTGAGATTGAATGAATGCGGACGGCTTGCTTCTTTTCAAACTTCCTGAGAGTTCTTCTTCTTCTGTAAATTTTGCCGTCAGAAAGTGTAGGTACATACCGCCACCTACTGTTCTGGCATCGCAAAGCAGAAGTTCAAAGTTCATGTTTTGGGTCCGCCAATCGGAGGTAATGCGGAAACTTATTGCGTTTTGTAAATGTGGTTTTTTATCTTTGGGTCCGCCATCTTGGCGCTGCATCTGGGTACTCTTGTTTAAACATGCTGTGGTCAAACATCGTCTTATGAAACCTCACCTGGATCCCTCAGTCTTATCCAATTTTAGGCCTGTCTCTCATCTTTCCTTTTTATCCAAAATCCTAGAGAAAGTTGTCTTTATTTAGCTACAATCTTTTCTGGAAAATAATGCCATCTTATTCGTCTTCCTTTGCTCCCTAGATTCGTCTTCCTTTGCTCCTCTTTCATATATATATATATATATATATATATATACATATATATGTATGCAGTCTATGCAGTCAACTCTCTGTTTTCAACGATCTTAATGATCAAAAGTGTATTTTACGGGTGATATCGTTTATCAAGCATTTGACTACAAGTCCCAGAATCCATTTATGCTTTGCATCACAGGAAGTTGATCTTTTTGTATAAATTCATTTCCGCGTCTTCTGGCGGCCCTTTCCTGTCCACGGCCTGTTGGAAGATGGCGGTGCAAATCTCCAAGAAGAGGAAGGTTAGCATCATTTCATCTTTTTTGTTCAGATAGATTTCTTGTTTTTGTGTAAATGGGGTAGCGAGGGTGTAGAAATGACAATTTCGTGTCCGCTGGGCTATTTGTTGAGGATGTTCACCTACGAGATGAAGAGGATTACGACAGATGCTGCCGGACCCGAGTTCTCCTCATTTGGCTCGTCTAACATGGCTCTGACTCCGTAGCCCGGCGTGAGCTAGAAACCGGGACTTCGAGACGTGACCCCGGACTCTGTTAAAACTGATATTCGACTTTCGTTTGAGGTTGTGCCAGCGGACCTGAAATGTTATTCGAGAAGCTCCCCATCAATTCTGTATTTATCTTACTGCGTGTTGGATGTGCTAAGGCTGCTGTAATTGAGCCTGCAGGTATCTGAAGGTTTAGTTACTAACATCACATTTCGAGTCTTAAAAAAATACTAGGTTGATTGTAGTTGCTGCTGAAAACAGTATACGAACACAGGTAGCTGCTAACGACTGTCACGTGGATTGCACTGCGAAGTAGTTTTGGTACTGTCCACCATAGTTGGGTCAAGTTGACTTAGTCAGCTGATTCATACTGCACATGCTGAACAAAGTCAAGCTGGTGCTTATTACACATGGTCAATTAGGACCAACAGACAACACCTAAGTAAGCATCTTATTCATAGCTTCCAATCGAGCTGATACAGAAAAGGTTGTGGAAACAAGGTCCTGATCCAAAACCACTATGGTTAGACCTATCAGATGAAGACGAATATTAACGGAAAGTCCCAGACTTCTAAAAACTGTTTCAGAATCACGAACATTGAATTATGAGTGAAAATGCTGGAATTTCATAGCTTCTTTCTCAGGGCAGATGGATTTTGTTGGTCCAGGTTCTGATCTAGAACCATAGCAACTAGACCTGGTTTCAGTTCCTGCTGTATTTTTAAAGTCATATGGTTTTCTAGGATTTTATGGTTAAGATCTAAGAGGTCTAAGATCATGAAGATATTCAACATACTCAGATGGCTTCACTTACCCTGACAAAGGAGATTACAATCTGTGACCCCACAGAGCTGATAGTCAGCTTGTCCAACTCTGTTACTCTGAGTGAGCACATTCAAATCAACATGCTATGATAAAGAAAGAAGATTCGTTGAGACACGGACCAGTTTGCCCTCAGCAGATAATAATTTTTTAAACATGGCAAACAGCGACGTCTGTGACAAATGACAAATATGAACATGGAACCTTGAATCAAAGCAATAGAGCTGTTTGTGAAATGAAGATGTAAATGTCAGATTAGAGAAATGTGTAATGAAAGACTTGCAGGATAATTTTCTCATCATGACTTCAGTAAAGACTCGACTACATTGACTCCTGTCTGTGTGTAAAATTGATGCATAGCTTTGGTTTTTGTAATTTTACTTGACTGTAAGATGTGACATTGTAGCTGCCGTCCTGACTGCATCAAAGGGAGGGACATAAACCATACGCTCACAGTTATAAGTGGACGTATCAGAAGAATGCTGATCGTCTGACTCTCCTTCCTCAGTTCGTCTCAGACGGTATCTTCAAGGCTGAGCTGAACGAGTTCCTGACTCGTGAGCTTGCCGAGGATGGTTACTCCGGTGTGGAGGTGCGTGTGACTCCAACCAGGACTGAAATCATCATCCTGGCCACAAGGTAAGAGCCCAGGCTTCATCATGATCACACGCAAGTTCTCTTCTTTGATGGACCACCACCAAGACCAGAAGTTGTCTAAGGCTGGACTGCTTTGTTAAGTATCACAATAAAAACGAATGGCAGGTGATACATCTTCAGAATGTTTCCTTTCAATGATGATACGATGACGAGACAGAACAGGGCTTTGTCTGATCCTGAGAGTTACTGGTTCAGGTCCACGTTCTGTGGTTCTGCTCCAGTTCCTTAGATCAGCAGGTCTTTTCAGATGAAGACACAGAGGCATTTGTCTGAGAAAGGTGAAAGAATCATGAGCTGGTTCTTTTCCACAAGCTGACTCCTTTCACTTGTGAAACTTTTCCATCGACTCTGACTCTCAGTGATGATGTTTTTGTAAAGTTATAAAGTTGAACTCTGTCTTTCACTGTCTGCAGAACCCAGAATGTCCTTGGAGAGAAGGGCCGCAGAATCAGAGAGCTGACCGCTGTGGTCCAGAAGAGGTTCGGCTTCCCTGAGGGCAGCGTTGAGGTAAAGTGAATACTTGTTAAAAGTCAGACTTCTTCCATCACTGCTGGAGTTGGACAGATGACACTTTTAAAAAAAATTTTCAAACTTTGATCTTTCAGATGTCCTTTCTCCTGCTGTGTTAGAAAGTATCACACCCTTCTTTCTGATGTTAGAATGAAAAGTTACACCACAGAAGCTTCAGACTCTTGGTTTCCCTGCATTCAGTCTCTTGGTTTTTTGTCAGAAGTTTGACTGAGCTTTTTCTCTTTGTAAGCTGTATGCTGAGAAAGTTGCCACTCGTGGTCTGTGTGCCATCGCCCAGGCAGAGTCTCTGCGCTACAAGCTGCTGGGAGGTCTGGCTGTGCGCAGGTGAGTCCCCATCAGCTACAAACCAACAGAAAGGCTTTCTACTACTGGCTATCATTGTACCTGTCCCTAGACTTCATGTGTGGTGTCCGGCCCTATTGAATCTGAACTCAAAACGTGAAGCTTACTTATGCAGTCTGTTTACTCCTGGGCTCAGGTTTAAAGAGGTTCCCCCACCATAGAAAAATACTGCTGTGCAGATCACTGTAGCTCCTCCAGATATGCTCAATCTGGCTCTTTTTGGGGTCTTTTCAAAACCTGACCTGATTCAGTTACCTGAGCTGCATCTTCTGGCATTAAGATGAGTTTGAGGGCAAGCTTGCATCTGATGTTTGCATGCTGACTTCTTATTCATCCTTCTGGAAAGTTTATAGGAAGTATCTGAACCTTATTTTGTTCCCATCTTGGTCTTATTGGGTCACATCTTTCCTTTTTACTGCTCAAGTATGACTTTAGGAGGGTTACATATTTTTGTGATCATCAGAAGAATTTAGGGAAACTACGAAGTCATTCAATCCACCGACAAACACCCACAGGTAAGGTCGCATGTGAAGCAGCAATGTATTTCTGGTGCGAGGATGATTTTCGTGACCCTGTCTGAATCATCAAGCTGAGGGCATGTTGGAGGCTAGTCTGCCTCGGTGAGCTTGTGTTGCTCTCATAACTCTTTGTTCAGGGTCTTAGTTTCTGTCCCTTCAGTGATGATACGATGACGAGTCGGAACAGGACTCCTTCTGGTTCTGGCGGTTCCTGTTTCAGATCCACGTTCTGTGGTTCTGCTTCAGTTCCTCAGATCAGGGAGTCTTATTTGGTTGAAGACATTGAGGCATTTGTCTGAGAAGGGTTAAAGCAGCACCGTCTTTCCTGTTTGTAAATTAACTGAGAAAAGTGAATGTTTGCTTTTCCAAGATATTCCAAAAATGAAGTAAAATTTATTCCAGTTTGAAAGTCTGCAGACGGACCATTCACGGAAATGGATTGGTTCTGTCTATATGGTTGAATATTGACACCTCTGTCCCCCTCCCTCCTTTAGGGCTTGTTATGGTGTTCTGAGGTTCATCATGGAGAGCGGCGCCAAGGGTTGTGAGGTTGTTGTGTCTGGCAAGCTGAGGGGTCAGAGAGCAAAGTCCATGAAGTTTGTGGACGGCCTGATGATTCACAGTGGAGACCCCGTCAACTACTACGTCGACACAGCAGTCCGTCATGTGCTGCTCAGGCAGGGTGAGTACAGCTCTGCCTTAGATACAGCAACACATCTCATTATTTTTACGTGTGCCAGTTGTATCACTGTTAATGTCAGAGTTTGGTCATTTATCAAGCAGAACCAAAGTAGTAAAGCATGTAATAAACAATCTCCTAAATATAACTCTGATCTCTTTGATCATACTCAGTCCCCGGATTGTCGCCTGTCTCGTTTGTGGAGCCAGAAAGATGTCAAATTAGAACTGTACCCACCTCAACTGGGCAGCCTTAAGAAATGGGTTTAGCTGCAAAACAGTTTTTTTTTTTTGACTTAGACTTTTAATCATTACTGTTGTTTATTCTAAGTTAGATATTTGAGGGTGCCTTTTAAGCATCCAACTTTTATTAAGTGTGGGTCGTGGGGATTTCGAGCCAAAATTTTAGACAATTGTAAGGTCGTCTGCTTAGTTTTGATTGATCCCCATGCCTGCACTGTCATACCCTGATTATGCCAAATGATGTTGGATGGTCTTTAATGCTTGTCTTTGTTCTGCACTCGGGTCTGATTTGCGATTAATATTGATTATTGGTCAACTTCAGGTGTGCTTGGCATCAAGGTAAAGATCATGCTGCCCTGGGACCCTAGCGGTAAGATTGGCCCTAAGAAGCCCCTGCCTGACCATGTCAGCATTGTGGAGCCCAAGGAGGAGCAGCTGCCCACCACACCGATTTCTGAGCAGAAGGGGGCCAAGCCAGAGGTTCCTGTTATGCCCCAGGGAACACCTGTACCCACCGCATAAGAGGGTAAGATACAGCAGGTCGCCATCATCCCTGGGAGAGATTCACGGTTTATTACCATTACTTTTCTCAGAGAGCTTTCATACTTACCTTTTTTGATCCAGACTTACTGACTTTTCTGTTTGGTCTGAACCAAAATGATAGGTGTGAAACCTCCCCAGGACCTTGGTCCAGGCCAAACAGTTTGTTCCAACCAAAAGAGAACCATGGTCTGGTTCATGCCCTGTTTGAGAGCATTATTTTGAAAGGTTCAGAGCTTTGTACCAAAGACAGGAAATGACGTGAGGAGTAGAAGTTTTTGTCATTATGGAGAAGAGATTGTCCAAGAGCAGGATTTTTTTTGATATTGTCGATAAAGTTAGACCTCACGACTGAGAGCTTGTCTTTTCAAGAGTTTGACAACACAGACTTTCTCTCCAGAGTTGGTTTTGCAGTGGCTCGTAGGACCCATACTTTCCTTTTCTTTCCTGTCAATAAAGTTGTTGTCTAATGATCGAATTCATAAGACGAACTCACGTACAGCTCTTCAAGTTGTTGCTGTTTAGTAAATAATATGATGGTGGGAATGATGATTTCATTCATGTTTACAACATTCAAGACCTGCACGTCAACGTGTTGATGTCAGACGGACAAATGACCACTCGGTGTAAACTACAGAGACATGCAAAACACGTTAGTCCATTTGCAGTAATGACATTGTGAAACCTAAATAGACTGAACCAAATGTAAACAATCAAACAAAAACATGGACCTTTGTCCAGTACTTGGTCTTGGACTTTTAAATGTGAAAAGACCCTTTAGAAACGATTGAGGTTGTCCTCTCCCTCTGTGCTGTGGGGTCCTTTTTTGCTTCAGTGTTGTCCTTCAGAGGTTTGGTTCCTTCTTTGATATAGTCCTTCACCAAGGAGAGAGGAGGGAACCGATGTTTGTATCAGCATTGGCCCCACTCAGATTTGCAGTAAGCCAAGAAAGTAAAACCATCTGCTGGGTTTGAAAAAGGTCACAAGACCAGCGTCTGGTTTCAAGAGTGGAAAAACGGAAAACTACATGGAAGTATAAGGATTATAAACAATTCAAGGCCTCACTTTCTGTCCCTTCAGTGATGATACGATGACGAGTCGGAACAGGACTCCTTCTGGTTCTGGCGGTTCCTGTTTCAGATCCACGTTCTGTGGTTCTGCTTCAGTTCCTCAGATCAGGGAGTCTTATTTGGTTGAAGACATTGAGGCATTTGTCTGAGAAGGGGTTAAAGCAGTAAGAAAGGTGTTACCTGTTTGTGAAATAACTGTAAAATTCAGTGGTCACACTCGGCTTTTTCAGTTTGTGATCCTAAGATACAAATGAAGTTACAATAACATCTGTGGGAGGAATCAGAGTCACGTACATCCATCATGAATCGTTTTTGTGACAGAGAAAACAAAAGTTATCTTGGACTTTGAGCAGGGGCCTATTCTACGAAGCAGCATTACTGCTTAGCGAGGTAACTTCGAGGGTAAGTTCGGGTTTACTGTTCTAAGACAGGGTTCACTTCTTAGCGAGGCGAGTCTCCATGGCAACGTATGCCGAACGGCTAACCTGCTCCGGGGCAGGTTTGGTTCCAGATTGAACTCTGAGTATAAAAAACCCCGCCCACTGACCAATTAGCTCTCTCAATAATGGCTTGTTCGTTCTTGGAGGATCCTATAGACCTCGGTGCTCGCATTGTCTGAGGAGTTTTCAGGGACCGCACATACCCACTTATTTTTCCAGATGACCACCTTTTGTGAAAGGCTCATGGCCTACGTGTCACACAAAAAATGTAAACACGATAGAAATGAACAAATGAATGAATTCATCTTGGAAATGAATTACACATGTCTGGTGCATGTTAAAAGCACATGTTGAACAGTGCTATTTCAGGGTAATAATGGCATCAAACATTTTTTGCGCACTGTTCTTCCGCATTGAGACTGTTGGCAATTTTCTGCCAGCATTCCTTCTGTGCTTTTGCAGCGATGACGGTGTTGCTTTTGAGGTTTATGATAGATTTGAATTCTTCATACTTTCTCATGATCGTCTCCTGCTCCTCGTTTGTAAAGTACGCGGTCCTTGGCTCTCCGGCCTGCTCTGACGCTCAAGACTGGTCCATGTTCGCGATTGGTCAGATGCGGCAGGCTCCGCCTTACATGCGTGAACGCGCTCATAGCAGAGCTGGATCAACTTACAAGGTTGATAACCAGCGTTGTAAGACTGTATAGCGAGACTGCTGGCTACCGCGCTAAGTTAAGCAAGTTGGCTCCAAGGCTACCTCGCTTGGTTGAACTTGCTTCGTAGAATAGACCCCAGATGTCTCATTTGTTTTCTTTTTTTCACAGGTCTGCAGAGTGTCCTCCAGATGGAAACGACCATGATTTTTGTGTACAAAATCAATAAAACATATTGAAAATACACAAGGACAGTGTTGTAGGCTTTTTTGTGGGAATTTAACTATTTAATGGCAACTTCAGTGTTTGAAGGTGCAGTGTGTACTGTTTAGTGGCCTTTTTTTAAGTAGACATAGGAGAAGGCGTCTTCCCACAGAGGCAGCGGCCTTGCACCCTGGTGTTGCTCCAGTCTCAGTTTAGGTAAGGATATAAAATGCAGCAGAACTTTGAGGTTAATACCCCAGGGATGTTATGATTTATTCCTACTGTTGAAATAAAATGACATTATGGCATCAAGTTAAAAGACACTACAAGTGTGTAAATAACCTAAAGGAAAAATATCCATTGCCTCCTTAAAAACTGTACTAATCAGGTTTAACTAGAGTAATCTGTCCAACATGAATTTATTCCCTCTTGTGCTTAAAAGTGAATGTTGTGATTACCATCTGGACAAGAACACAGATTTTAGTTTTTTATGTTAATCAAAAACAATGAACATTTATAAAAAGCACTGGTGCAAACACTAAGACGATGGCAACAAATGAAAATCGCTGAATTTTATATATTTATATACAACCTTAATAATACTAATAAATTGAAAGAGTCTAAAATATTGGGAAGTTTCTTTCTTTTCCCAGCTGTGAAGGCATTTATTTAATGAAGTTAGCAGGACTATGTGTTTTCATAAGTCAGTATTTGTGTTTAGAGTATAGATGTTTATTTGTCATGTTCATATTAAACAAGGTAAACAATGCAATGAAAAGCCCTGGATGAGAGGACTGCTCAACTCAAAAGGAGTACAGATAAAAACACCATTAGTACTGAGAGCAATACAATAAAACAAAATGAGGATACAAAAAATATTAAAGATGAATATAAGAAATATTTACAAAGTGCACAAATGATGCAGTAGGTGCTGCGTGTGAATGTATCAAATGAAGGATAAGTTGGTGGGATAAATGAGGTATGAAAATTGCCCTATTACACATGATAATGGTGTACGAATTGCTGTATTGCACATCACCGCTAATATTGCACGTTTAAGTGAGTTTTTGCACAGAGTATTGTCTGGTGGTACTGTCAGGAGTTTAGTAAAGGAACTGCATGTGAATAGTAACTGTTCTTCAGTCTTTTAGTGTGTGCTGGCAGACTCCTGTACCTTCTGCCAATTGGTAGTAGATAGAAGAGTCTTTGTGCTTGGTGGGTTTTGTCCTTGATTACGCTGCAGGCCGTATGCACTACCCTCTGCAGTGCTCTTTAAACTATTTACTTGAATTGAAATACTGTTTCTTGAAACCCATGGAAGCCTGTTTCCACCAGAAAAAAAAAACAAAAAAGTTGGAAAAGTAAGTCAATTTAAAAAAATAAAAATTTTAAGTCATGATTATGAGACAGGTTTAATTCGGCTTCCAAGTTATGCCGAAGCTTCAGTTGCAAGGGGCTGAGACAAAGCTTCGTAGACCTCATGGATGTCATTATTGAGGAGGTGTCTTTTGCTTAAAATATTTACCATCCATTTTTATCTGTCAAACCAAATAAAGAATGTATGACTAGGGTGCTTTTAACACAGAACTTGAGGAATCGCATAATTTATCAAGAGCTTTAAGTACTACTTTCATTCTGTTAAGAAAATATAGTGTGTATATCTATGTTGGCAGTGTTTCCCACAAGATTTTGTGAGACTATGACCAACACTACAAACCCCTGAAGAACATTTTGTGTTTTAAAGTTAGAACAATCCGTTGCACTTTGACACCAAAATGAAGAGGTTAGAAATGTGCTCTTGTAAACAAATTGTATAGATATGAATGATGACAGTAAATTAGACCCCCTGATTATGGTTTTTTATAAGTCATATGTATCAGTAACTTTGTAAAATGTAAACAGTGTTTGTCTGACACCCCACCCCAGTAGTTTTAGACATTAAAAATGACTAAATTTTAATATTCGGTCTACTTGCTTACAAATACATGTGTACATATATATATATATATATATAGACAGAAAAGGTAAATAAAAGCCACCCCTGCGAAAGTCAGTGCCCCAGCCACCCAAGTGAAGAACAATTGGATCTACCCCTGCTGTGACCTTGGGTTCTGAGTCTCTGGCACCTTCTTTAAACAGTAGAAAGCAGGAGGAGGGATGTTTCTTAAATAAATGAAAACAGACTTGTGGGCTACATATGCATTAATTATACTTTTCTTTTGTTTTTTGGGGGGGCATCTACCGCTGATGTTCAAATTTTGACTTGGTATCTCATTTTAAAGCAATTGACAGAGTGAAACTAGGTTTTCAGACATTTTTTGCAAATTTATCCAGAATAAAATCCAGAATATTTCATAACCATTGTTAGCAATAAAAAGTTTAAATTTATGGTTGATTATTCTACGACTAGAAACTTTTTAGTGGCCCTAATCCTCTTCGTATTCCCGTTATCTATCCCACAGAAGAATCTTAAAGAGCAACTTGTACTTTTATTAGAGTTACATTTGACCACGGTACTTTGACTCAGGTATCTGGCACTCAGTGTATTGGGCCAGAGCCAAGCTTTTATTTTGAAAATTACAAGCACAGGGTGCGGCTGAGTGGCAGCAGCCTGGACTCGGCTACAGTCTATGCTCGGCTCCGGAGCGACAAGGTTTCGGAATGCATCTGTAAACTCAACATACTCAACACAATCTCCAAGAGTGGCTCGAGATCATACAGTCCATGCTTAAAATACACACCTGAGAGAACACAGTGAGATGTGTCACTCCGTAGTTTTTTCGTGGAACCAGAAGCGCTGTTATTTTACACAAGACTGTGGAGTCAAATTTTTGAGGACATTGTTCTTACGAAGAATACGACAACAAAAATGTGTCGTTTTTTATTTTTGCGGGAAAAGTGTTAAAGCTTTTATTTCATAGTGTTGTCATTTTAATGATGTTTTTTTTAGCTCATTTTGCATTTTATCCATTTCGCTGCCTCGAAGAACCTGATGAATTACGATTTGTCTTTGTTAAACTAACAGATCTGCAAATTATTACAGTATGAAACTATCAAAGAATGAAAGAAGAATTGTTTCGATCAATGCAGCTGGCTTACAAAGATGTTAGCAGTAAGTATGTATTTGCTAATCAAGAGATTAAGGTCGTTTTCAGAGCAGTTATGTTGTGTATCTACCACTATTGAACAAATATTGACATAAACCCGCATGTGACTCCGAGGATGCTAAGACAATGGTCAAAGAATGGACGACAGAGTGACTCATCTTCTCAGCTTTGGAACATCAGGTCCGGGTTAGGCCACGCCCCCTGATTCGTACAGTGTGGTAAAGTCTCCCAGCTCCCACCTGGACTAATACTGAGGTGAAAATGAGTCTACCGGACCTAAAGTCGTCTTCAAAACACTCTACATCCACAGTAAGAGAAAATCTTTGATAAAACTGTAGTTTTTGTGAAGAGTTGAGAGCTTTGTTAAAGTTTTTACAAACTTCTTGAAGCAGGAGGATGGAGGCGCAGCGAACGGTTGAGAAAATGTTCCCATTTGCACACATGGCTGCTAAGTATCGCCAGTAGATATTGCCTTTTTTTTTGTCAGTTTACAGATCTAAGTTTGTTTTATAAGTTTGAACTGTCTAACCAGCGGCATGTAGCGTGAGAAAACTTTAAGGAGATTAAATAAAAAATGTCGGAGTTTGGTGTTCGTCACGGATAATGAACTCCTGGATTGTATATTAGAAGGAAACAAACTCTAAAGCTTCCCGGAGTCTTTAGACAGCTGTTCTAGGTAAAAGCAGGTGTTTCCTCTGACTGCTGGTACAGTGGGAGGTTAAGTCATGAAGAAACTGTATTTAGTCCAGTAAAATAAAAGCACATTTATTGATCCAAAGTTACACTCACCTCTTGATTAAAACAAATGAATGTGTAATTGTAAGCTCTGTTGTTTGTAACATAAAATTTGCTGCAGGTGCGAATGCAGGCTGATGCTAAACAACACATTGACACTGTTTTTTTTCTCATTCTGCTCTGAATATCTTCATTGTTGTCTACTTTAGACCATAACAACTATTGTGATTTTGTGCTATAAAGGTTGATTGATTAATTGATTGATTGTGAAACACACGTTTATTTAGATCCCTCATGTATTTTGGATCTGAACCACTCAACCAGCAGCAGGGTTTTAAAATCTTTCCTCCGACAGCGTACTGGACGGATGTGGCCCTTTTTCTTGGACTTGAAGACTCAGGTAGCTGCAGGTTCTGAATCAGCTGCAGCTGGAGGTTTTAGAGAGACCTGCAGAGTTGCTCTCTGTCCATTATTCCAAATGTGCACAAAAATCTTGAACATCTAAAAATAAATCTGTGGAGTTTACTTCCTCTCCTGTAAATCTGCTGCTGTAGGAGGACTTAAGAAATATTGGACAGGTGTTGGCAGATAGCAGAGATGTGTGGTCTTATTATCCTGAACAAACCAGTGTGTGGGAGTAAGTTTACAAGTACCAAACCAAACAATAGTGTTCTTTTAAGAGTGGTACAAACTGTAGATAATGGAGATATCTGAGTCGTGTAAAAGTGCCTCAAATTTGTACTTAAATTCACTGATCAAATAAATAATACACCCAGTCTTTCTACCTCTGCCCATTTCTGCTGAAAACTATAAATAAACTGCACACCTTTGATCCAGGTGGTTAAAAGTAAGAAGGCAAAGCCCCATTAAGAATGACTGAATTGATGATGTTTCTTCTCAGCGCTCTGGGGTTGTGCAGCTGAATGTCGGAGGTCATCTGTTCACGACATCTCTGAGTACACTCAAGAAACACCCGGACTCCAGGCTGGCTGAGATGTTCAGCAAACAGCCTAAAGAACACATGGACGCACAGGGACGCTACTTCATCGACCGCAACGGCTCACACTTTGGAGCCATCCTTGAGTTTCTGAGGTCTGATTGGATGCCCACAGACAATATCAAAGAGGTCTGGATCCTGTCATTTGAGTCTTTATAACATCTGTATTAACCACTGATGGAGCACTTGCTGACGGACTGTATGCATGTGTGTTCTCAGGTCCACAGGGAGGCGGTGTACTACAACATCAAACCGCTGATCAAACGTCTGGAGGAAACTCCTCAGCTGTTTGGAGAGCTGGTGGCGAGGCAGCAGTTCCTCTCCAGAGTCCCTCACTACAAAGAAAACATCGAGGTCAGCTGAACTTCACCAAACACTTAAACGCTCTCCCCTCTAACCAAACAGGAAGAAGCTACAACTTCAAGGTTCAAGAGACAAAGCAAATTTGTGTAGGGTAACACAATCTTAGCTGTGCACCGTTGAGTATGAATGAAAAAAGTTCCTGAGAGGAGCTTTAAATTCTGAGGGTTGTAGATAATTTAGAATATGATTATAGATCAAGAATATAGCCAGAGTCCGCCTGTTTCAGCACAGAGGTGCCAATGCATGCTTTTATCTCCGCACGTTTAGATTATTGTAATGCCCTGCTCTCTGGCCTCCCCTAGAAGAATTTACATACCCTTCAATTATTACAAAATTCAGCTGCAAGAGTGCTGACGTGGGCCAGAGGGCGAGAGCCAGTTTTAGCATCGCAACATTTGCTCCCTGTCTGTTTCAGGATTGATTTTAAGGTTCTTTTATTATTTTTTAGACATATCAATGGTCTTGACGTCTCCTATTTATCTGACTTTCTTTTACCATATCAGCCCTTACGGATCCTGAGGTCCTCTGGCACAAACCTTTAAATCTTACCCAAAGTTAAAACAAAAACACACGGGGAGGCGGCTTTCAGTTTTTAAGGTCCCCCGGTGGAACAGCCTGCCGGAGAGCCTCAGGGCCGCAGAGACTGTTGATGTTTTCAAGAAGAGTTTCAAGACTCACCCTCTTCACAAGGCATTTACTAACTGCCTTTTATATTTCTCTTATTGCAAATGTTCATTTTTATCAAAGTTCTTATTGTTCATTTTGTGTCATTTTATTAATTATCTCTGTTCTCAGTCATTTTCTTAATTCTCATCATAGAGGGTTTTTTTTACTTCTTTTACCCCTTTTATATGGTAAAGAGCTTTTACTCATCTGTTCATTTAATATGATTTTCTTGTTTTATTTCATCTTTTTCTCACTTTCTTTTTTTATCTTTTATCTCCAGTGTTTCCCAAAGGTAGCCCTCAAGTAATGTCTTGGTGTCAGGCCATGCCTCTTTAACAATATATCTTAAATTCTCACTTTGTGTGCACTTGTGTGTGTATGTGTGGGTGAGTGCGCGTCTGTGGGTGGGAGGGTCAGGTTTATATTGTTGTTTAATTGTTGTTTTAATCCTCTGTGAGGTACTTTGAAATACATCTTTTTGTCTGGAAAAGTGCCATATAAATAAAGTTGAATTTGAATTTGAATCATAAAAATCAGAATCCCAGTATCTCCAAAATTATATGAACGTTTCCTCAGACCAGTTAAGACAAGGAATCAAAATACAAACACCTCCACCCTCTAAAAAGTGTGTTCAATGAATTCATTCAATACTCAGTCCGGGCTGAATCAACACAGACTGAAAGTTCCTCACTGGAGCTTTAAGTAGCTGATGGGAAATGAAACTTTCCTCCTGTAGCAAAAAATAATAATAATCTTGTACCGTGTCTTTTCTTTCAGGTGCTGATTCGTATCGCCAGAGCTGAAGCCATCGCCGCCCGTCACTCCACCATCATGATCTGCATACTGCGCACGGAGGAGGATTTTGGTCTCTATGACAACGCCATCAACAGCTTGGAGGCAGATAAGGAGTCTGCAGTGACGTTTGGACCCTGGAAGGCCACTCCATCCGTCAGCGACCTGCTGGACTGTGTAAAGATGGACATTGAGAGTCAGGGCTATAACCTGAGCATCCAGCCTCATGTGATGGAGAAGAGCTTCATGTCCAAGAGCTACAACTACTTCTACAAAGTGACCTTCAGCTGGTGGTGATGAGAGGGTCTCTCTTTTGAAGGAAGGGAAAACTGTACATACTGTTGCATTTAAATTATCACGGATCAGACGCCTGTAGATTTCTAATCCAGGTAAAACAGTAAAGGCTTTTATTTCAAAGGTGTAGACACAAGGCGTCAGTTTGGCATCTGTATATAAGGAGATGTAACTTTATAAACGTTTATGTAACGTTTGCTGTCAGGGAAATCTTGTTTCGTTAAAAACTATCTATCCTCACTAAGTTTAGGAGCAGGTTGTGCAATAAAGTCCTACTGTGTCAGCATTACTGTGTGAGATTTAATTCCATAACATGAGAGATCATTTATGCTCAGCTTTATTTTTTCTAAGTAAGAGTGTGACCTCACAGTTCTCTGTTCCTGTATGAATTAAGCAAGGGAAAGTCCGGTTACCGAGGAAAGTCCTGCGTCACACAAACAACATGAGGTACTCAAAACAAAATCGAAAGAGCTGAGACGACACAGAGGCCTGAGCCAGCATATTTGTTCAAAGTGGAGCAGCAGCCTCACCGTTCACCACAAGCTAGGCAGGGTGTCTACCAACTGCTTTGTTTTAATGTCATGCAGCTTCCTGTGTGATGAACAGTGTGAAAAAACAACAGTACATACATGCAAATACCATCCTGTAATGAAGAAAACAAGCTTTTTCTTACCAAGGTGTGATGGAGTCTGTGACAAAACAGCTGAGCAGACAAACTGGAGAAAGAAAGAAATATCAACTCAAAATAGTGAAACGGCCAAAATAGAGGTAATAAGATAATAAAAGGACCTCAGAACAGAATAACATTACTGAATAAATAAATAAGGAGCGTATTAGGACATTTCGTTAAAGCCAGACTAGAAAGGGAGGTCTTGAGTTTGCTCTCTGTGCCATCCTCAGGTCTTCACGTTGGTTTATCGTCAGACCTGGGACATATCACAAAAAGCTGCCTCACTCTGGGTCTCTATTCTGGCGTTTGGCCCCATTAAAAGACCACTACCTGAGGGTCCTCACAGGCTCAGACGGTAAAAGCAGATTTTGTACGCAAGTTGGAGCAATCATTAAAAGCTTTAAAACCTAAATTCTGCCTGTGATACAAGCATGAACTGGAGTCTATGCGATAGCTTGAGAGAGAAACTGTTGCACTCTAGAGATGTGATTAAAATGCTGTTTTAAAAATATTTGGCTCAAACTTGAGTCTGAATCAAATGTCTCCAAGTACCTTGACCTGCTGACAAAAGAGGTTTTTGGTTGAAAGGTAACGCTCAGCAAAATCATTTTCACACGGGGCAGTAAAAAAATCCTCCGACCACATTTAGGTCACTAAAATAGGACAATGAGAATGACTGAAAACCATACTGATAGTTTTTAGTAATGGAGTAAATCCTCATTTCAACATAACAGAAAACATTTCCGTTCTTCTAGAATAAAAGAAATTAAAACAGTTTGACTCAGGAGGTTAATGTTCATCCAGACAGTTTAATCCTGGGTTTAACACAGAGGCGACTTTTCTCTCTCTGATTCATTAAGAGTGACGACACAGATGAATTATGATCAGAAAAAACCTCTGAAATTATCTGAATGAAGCTTTAACAGATTTCCCTTGTTGAATAAATGTCTCTGTTATCTGGGGGGGGGGGGGGGGGGACTCACTTTTACTCAGAGAGTGGGTGATGATCTCAGTTTAGAGGGTCCACCTTGGTTTTGTCTGAATACTTTAATGATTGTTAAAATACTCAAACTTTACATTTCTAGCTGTTTTTTGTTCATCCCTAGATTTTTACATTTAATCCATCCTGAGGGATGACACTTGTTGTTTTGAATAATGATGATACAGTTTATTACAATGAAATTTTATACACAGGTATCCCAGCCAGAGTGTACGTTAAAAGCTTAGTGAATTGTCTGGTTCTTCATCCAAACATTACCATGTTAGTCATTGTAAAAGATAATATGAGCAGTTTTTCAGCCTAACCTAGCTCTTGTATTTCATTTTTGTCGCTTTTGGACCTTTCAATCACCAGGTGTGTTTTTCAGCGGAACTTTGTGAAAAAATAACACTGAACAACTCAAGCAGCCTGGAAAGACGGTTTAGGTTCTCCACTAATAATTCAGGCCAAAGTGAGTCTACTTCCTCCATTCAAAGAAAAAGCAGGTGGACAAGCAAGTCTTACCACAATGTGTCACAATCACACTTCCTCCTGAAACCCCCAGGTGCCATACGTAGGAAAACTGTATGCTGTGGCACTTTTTTGTCTCTTAGCGAGAACAAAGACTTGTTTTGACTCTGATTTGTTATCATAAAAGTGAAATAATGCTGTAGTCCTCTACAGATGGGATAGTTTTACTTTTGCTCCTCATCACGTCAGCAGGCTCCACATTTTAGTTTATTTAATCTTAAATCTTAACCAGTTCAAGCTGGCACTGAGTTTGTTTTTTCCCTCTAATTTGAAAGCCAAGAATACCTCTTAGGGTCAAGACAGATAAGGATTCACATAGGTCCTTTGCAAGAACCAGACTGGATAAGTTTACCAAAGCCCCAAGTGTACAGGGTTACTGAGTAATGCAATTATCAAAGCTCCTGTGAGGAGTTTTTGATATTTATGAAAGATACTGAAATTCAAGATAATTCTTTTTGTAGTCAAAGCAAACAAAACCCTCATTAGTGACTTGTCTGATGATTTCTATATCATCTTCTTCAGCTGCTTGGTTGATGTCTACTCCCCCACATGGGTTTTAGGCAACAAGAGTGACAGTATTAATCTTGTCAGTCTGAATGCTAATGGTCTTGTTTGCTTTTTTATATCATTAAAAGACATCAATGTGATTTTCAGTCCATTTTAATAAATATAAAAATACTTCTTGTAGGAGCTGAAGAGGATCAGATTAGGTGAGACTGCCATGTCCAAAATCGGCACAATCTGAAAGTTGCTCACTGGAGCTTCAAACATAAATTCAAAGTTGATGAATCAAGAGAATAAAACATAGGCAGTTTTCACAACATGAAAGTGGCTGCTCGGAATAATTTGTCCAGGAAAAATTATTGCAAAGAGCATGTTCTAACTTTTTTAAATTTTATAAATTCAGTAGTTTTTCAGCCCCATATCATCAGATGTATGTAATGGCTTCCATTTCAACGTAAAACATAGAATATATGATATGGTATGATATGATATGATATGACATTATAAAGAAAAAAGATAACAGATAAGATAAATGACAAGATAACAGAGAAGATAAGATATAAGATAGGAGATGAGATAAAAGACAAGATGAATAATAACACCAAATAAAAGATCAGATAAAAGATGAGATAAATTATAAGATATGAGATAAAAGAGAAGAAAAGATATGATAGCAAAGTTTTATAAAACTGCAGGTTTTATTGTAGGTTTTTTTTTTCTTTTTTCACCATACCTTAGCAGGACATGATAATGCCATCTTATTACATAACACTGAATATTAAAATGAGGTTTATCATCTGTACCCCTCATGACAGCGGGGCTGAAGGCTGATGTTTGTGTCCTTTTCTTTTGACACACACACAGGAAGTGAGCAGTGCTTTCTCAAAAGACCAAGAGACAGGCAGCGGGTGAGGAGCTAAAAACACAGAGGGAGATCATGAGGGTCATGCTGTTCTTCAGTTTCTGTCTAGCAGGTAAACCTTACTTTGCTCTACTTTAAATTAGATTTGATATAGTCGGTTTGGAATAAGTTCTTTACTAAAGCAAGTTTACAAGTGCAATAATTTAGAAATATGAAGTCTAAGTATCACAATAGAGAGGATAAGCTCTGTAAATGTTCTCTGTTACGGATATATGACATTTAGGGATTAATCATTTATATATTTATTATTGTTTAGTGCAGTGGTTCTCCACAGGAGGGTCACAGGGTAAATCTGAGACTGAGAGGTCATGACTGAGGTGATGAGAGAGATCCTTCACACCATTATCATTGAACAACCAACAAACTACCTTTAAGCTGCAAAAGAAAAGAGAAAACACAGATAAGGGTCAGCCAAGATAGAAAGGAAAAGCTGAAAAACAAATCTTTATACACGTCTATAAAATAATAACCAAAAGTTTCTAAAAGTTTTTAAAAGGAGAGAAAAGATGGGGAAAGAAAGTTACACATCTGAAATTTACGGTGGCGGCCATCTTTTTCACGGGGTTCAGATGGTGCACAAGATCTCTAATCCATAACTTAAACTCAAAGGAAACCTGTTTTTCCATATGAGTGGGGTTGCTGATGCAGAGACTGAGACAGACATCCTGTGATGCATCATCTATGATTATCCGCCCCGGGCCCTGAGCTCCTTCTTCTCTTAGGTTCCTCTAGACTGTTGCTGCAGACATGAACATCAGCCTCACTGACATTAATAACATAAAGCTAGAGTTAACTACTATTAGGCCTGCTGACTGTAATCTCTTTAAATGAACTGACTTGTTTCCTGATCCTGTAAACTGAATGAATTTTCTTCCATCATTATTGGTTCTGTCACAAGGACTCTGTATGAGCTGTTGTTGTTTGTGCTGTTGCTGCTGCCTCTCTCTCCCTCCCTCCCCATCTCTCTCTTTGTTTCTCCCCAACTCAGCAGCATCAGGTGGCTGTCTAACATGAGTCTGGTCCTGCTCAAGGTTTCTGCCTGTTAAAAGGATGTTTTGCCTTGACACTGTCACTCATGTTGGGTGAGATGGGTCAAATCTGTCCCACTTCTGCTCTTTTGGAAAGCATTTAGGGGTAACAACAGTTGTGATTTGGCACTATATAAATAAACATTGATTGATTGATTGTAATCCGGTTCCCAATATTTCTATGATAGCAATAAGTTCTCTAAAAAATCCTAATACATCAGAAAAACTTTGAAAACAAAGACAAAATCTCTTTGTTTTGGGCAAAACCATAAAGTATATGATATGCAAGCTGGTGTCATTTTACAATGATCAGAATTTGGCTCTGTATTAGTTGTAAATTGGGTCATGTTTAAGTTTAACTGAAGATAAGTGCATCATTCATTTACATTGTGTCTGCAGATGTAATAACTGTGTTAAAATCCTCTTCCCATCGTCTCTTCAGCTACAACGGGAGTTCTTGATAGTAAGAGTCAGGAAGAGTATAAATTTGGCCATTAACCTCTTTAAGGCAGGAACTGAGATCAGGCATGGAAAAATCGTCCATAATTGATATTCTGCCCTGCTGTGGGGGCTTTTATCAATAAATCATTTCAAGTTTCTGAATCTTACAATTGCAGAAACAAACTTTTTTTTTTAAGATAAGTAAATAAATAGTAAAACGTGGTATTGGTAGAGAAACGATTGTTAGCTTGTAGATCCATCTTTTTATGGACAGTTGAATTTTACTGCAGCTCCTACTTCTGTGTTTTCAGGTGTGTGGTGTGAGGACAAAGGAGCAGTGTTTGTCTACAGCACAATTGGAGGTCAAGCTCTTCTGCCATGTAACAACCTGGATATCACAGACTGCTCCAGCACCACCTGGAGCTTCTTCTATAAAGGTGAGGGAGTGCAGCACTTAGTGGACATCAGCAAGGGGAAGGTGATGAAGGACTCAAAGAGGTTGAACCGCACATCCATTCTGTCTAACTGCTCACTCATCCTGCACGACATCAACCCAAGAGACGCCGGTTCCTACACCTGTCTGTGGGGACGGAACGCCACATCTAACATATACCTGACCGTCCTCTCCATCACTTCATCCTCCTCTATCACCAACCTGCAGCTCGGAGGAAACCTCAGCCTGAGCTGCCTGCTGTACACCTACTTTGATGCAGGGAGCTGCAGGTCATACTCCAACACGTTCGAGCTCCGCTGGATTACTGAGGAGGGAATGGAGCTCCCTGAAGACAGCAGGTCTGTTTGTAATCTCTAACACACACACCACTACTGCAACTCAATGTATCAAAACTATTGATGGGAATTCATGTAAAGAGCATGAAAAACAGATTAATGATTCACCACACTTTTTGACAAAGCACAAACACTTGGAAGTAAAGTTCTTGCTATAGTGACACAGAAGAAGACTTTATAACAAAGAAAGAGGAAAAAATATTAATACAAGTGTCCAAGCAAGTATAGAAAATAGCTGCATCTATTTATGTAAAAAGAAATGAAAAACATTGTGCAAAGACAATAGATATTAACTCAAAATGGAGTTGATTCAAATCAATCAATCACACTTTATTTGTAATGCATTTTTTATACAAATCAAACAAAAAATGTAAGTGATTAAATGTGCTTAACACCAAAACAGCCCGTAAAGTGACAGGAAACAGAGCAGGTAGAAATGTATGTGCAATGAAATTTCAGTAAATAAAGCCGTAAAGGAAAAAGGGTTTTCTAAAAAATATTGGAAAAAAAAAAAATTAAATTGCTAAAATAACAATAAAAAGGCCAAGATGAGTAGTTACAATCAATGAAAGGGTAGAGATAGCAATATAAATGGGTATTCAAATATTAAAATGACAAGAGTTGAGGATGAGCTAACTAAAACACTTTAAAAATTTTAAACTAAAAAGTCACAATATTTGCAACCCCTTTGAAATCCTCAGGTTCTTCTCTTTTAGCTGTTCTCCCAGAAAGGAGCTAAAACAAGTGAAAGACTATGAGTTTTTTCTTCAAAGTTTTGAGCCACCAACTGTTGATATCGTCAAGACGGTCAAAGCTTGTCTTATCGGTCCCCTAGGTCTTAAAGAGAGGGCACATCTGTAAGTCTTATGATGGCAAAGAAAGAAGACTTTGTAGTGCTTAATTTTTTGACTATAGGGCAGGATATAGATTTAAAAAAAAAAAAAAACTTAGTAATGAGTGAGGAAGAAGATGAGTGATAACTTATGGTGACCACAAAGGTTTGAATAGAAGGTGAGAAGGATTAGAAATAAAGCAGCCCGAAGCTACTTCCTCCGCTGCTGAAAAACACCCAATCTGTTCTGCCAGCAGAGAAGATAGTTTAACTACAAATATCTGATTAATTGTTCATACTTATGAACTTATTTTTTGCTGTATTCTTTCAGTCTTTGGACAACAATAAAGCTCAATGACACAGAAAAAGAGGCCATGTAGAAAACAAAATGGAGAATTTGATTTAATTTTTCAGGTGAGAAATAAGGTATCACCTGACTAATTTTTAAACTACCAAAGACAAATCACAGGGCAGCAATAGTAGAATATTTACTACTTATAAAAGGCCACTTATAATGTTGGTCTGACGGTTTTCCCTCAACGCAGGTACAAGTTGGTCAAATTCAACAACAACCGCTGCAATGTCACCCTGGTGGTCTCAAACCTCCAGGCTAAAGACACTAACCGGAAGTGGCGATGCACGGTGGACACCAAAGACACCCCCCGGGTGGTGTTCCTGGACTTTAAAACCAGATTTTTGTTTGGACAGCCTTTTACTTCAACGGGTGAGAATACTTCAGCTGACTGTTTTAATCAGCTGCCTGTCAGCCGCATTGTGCTCTGTGCAGCTCTGCCCATCATGGTGATAAGCGTGGGGTTCTTTGTATGGAGAGAAGACCGAAAGAAGGTCAAAACATCCGCCACAGACATCGAGCTCCATGAAATTGGATAACTGCTTAGTGCTGTTTGTGTTCACTGATTTCCTTTTTTGGTCTTTGAAGGGATTTAACTGATTTTACTACCCACCTGAATCCACATCAACACCATCCTTTTTTATCTGCAAAGAGTGAAAGTTGTGATACCATAGGCAAACATAATCACATTACTGAAGGCTGCTGCACAGGCGAATGTTGTAGATATAGATACATGTATGTTCCTGAAACATATGCTGTAAATACCTGAATTTGTTTGTTTTTGTGCTCCACGGCTTCCTCTCTGTGTGTTATTTATAAATAATTTGACTGAAATGTCAGTCTTGCTTTAGTAGCAGACTTCTTGGTTTCAGAAATTCATTTTATGATGTCTGAATACCAGGACATCCTCAAAGTAAAATCAAGTGGCAGAAATGGAATTTAAAGAGGAATTGATTGTGTAGGATTTTTTTTTTTTTTGTAAACTTTAGATTCATGAATTTGATTAAAAAAAAAACAGTTTTCCTCCTGCTTACTTTCCATCTTTAATTAACTGTTTGTTCCACCACTAAAACAAAATCATTAACAACTTCAACTTATAATGAGTAGGTCTAACTACACTGAACTGTGAATTAAAGGTTGTGACACTCTGTAATATTCATAAATAAGTATAAAGATCACTTTAAGATATATGTACTTACTGTATTAATTTTTTGTCAGAAAATTAATTTTTGACAATTATATCTACAATAAACCAATGAATGTTTGCTTTTCTTTGCATGTTTAAATGTTTTCTCATCCCTAATTGTACAACAAATTTACTTATTACATAAAGATCAGCTCCATCACAAAATTATGAAGAGATATCAATTAGAGCTTAAATAGCACAGAAATAATCATGTTTTATTTTATTATATCTCCAGTTTAGCCTAGGATGATTAAAAAACATAGACTGTGTAGAATGGACCTCATCCACCTTCTTGCTGGGTGAAGCCTCCGCGAGGACAGCTCCCTAGGTGACAGGCTGCAGTATAGGTCATAAATCCCGCCTCCTTTAGTAAACTTAATGGAGTTGTGGACAAACTTTAGAAATTTGTTACACAAAATATAATTCTTTTCTCCCCCCTGGTTGTGATGTTGACATGTAGTTATTGTAAGACTGGTTTGTGCTCAAGTCCTTTTTCTGTGCAGCTCCATTTTTAAAAGTTATTAGGGGGTTCATGTTTTCTATGATTGACACTTGATGCCTATGGGTGTACGAAGATTGCTTAGCTCATCCAAGGGATATGCTGTATGAGAACAGTGTCATCACAGCGACTTTCCTGCCAAATGCGTACAATGCTACTGCGCAAGTGGTGGTTCCAGGAAGTGGAGAAAATCCCTGACACACTGAAAGCAATTTGGCTTCAAATTCATATACTGACAGAGGGCGGAGCCAAGTTGTCCATAGTATATACAGTCTATGTTAAAATAAATGTAGAAATGACAAACTATCTGAAAATGAATCAATACCATTTTATGAAACTCTAAACAATGTTTTTAAATAAAGACTGAGTTTGCATCTGTGATATGGTTTTTCTGACAAATTTACTTTTTAATTTAGAAGGCAATATGTGAGAGGGGAAGTGTATGATTCAGTGATAGTATTCTATAACAGAGATGACCCTTAAAAATGACAATAATTTGCTGTCATTAAAGCTCCTCTGAGGACTTTTCAGGCTGTGTGGATTTTGTTACCCTTTGTGGACTTAACAGTCTTTGCCATTTCTTCCGGTTTGAGGTGGAATATTTACACCAGTTCCTCCTTGTGTAATGCACAACAGTGGGGGCAAAGTTGTTCTGTCTTCGATCCAACTCACAAAAGCAGAATGGGGGTTAGATAATACTAATAATAATGCATCAGATTTTTATAGGCTTTTTGTCGGTGACCTCGTAGCGCTTTACATTGGATACATCATTCATTTGCTCACACAGTCACACCTTAGTGGTGGTAAACTACCTTGGTAGTCACAGCTGCCCTGGGGCAGACTGACGGAAACGTGGCTGCCACCACCACACAACACTCACAATCATGCACCAGTGGAGGACAATCACACTGGGAGCAAAGTAGGCTAAGTGTCTTGCCCAAGGACACAACGGTCAGACTAGAGATAGGGCAGGGTTCAAACCGCCAACCTTCCAACTTTCCAATTATTGGCTGACCTCTCTACCTCCTGAGCTTCTGCTGCCCAAATAATGGATGTGTAGTGACAGAGCCAACAGGGCAGAACAGTACGGTGTGTGTGCCTGTCTGAATGAGTGTAGAGCTGAACTGCAGAGGCTGTAGTTTCCTGTATATTTTTCCTGTATAAGTATATTTTCAGATGCTATAGCCTACCATAAGAACAAGAAAAAAAGTGCATACAAAAGCAGGGCTCTAGTTTTGAACTAAGCTTAGAGTGAGATTTCCTTGGGGGGGGGGGGGTTGATTGAAGATAATTATTAGTATAATTATCTCTTAAATACAACGGAGCATAAGGGGCACAATTACAAAAAAAAAAAAAAACGTTTTTAAATCTTAGAGAATAAAGTTATTATTTGGGAGAATAAAGTCATTAATATATAAGTATTAAGTCGTAAAGTTACCTGTTGTGAAGGAGAGTTGTTAAAATCAGCACTGTGGAGCATTTAGATGAATTGTACTTTAGTATATGTTTCACAAATATGGAGATACTTAATCCTTTGGTACATGAGCATTACACTGTCATGAGTATCAGAAATTATATTTGAGATATATGAGAAATGCTGCTTTTGTGGAGGGGAAAATGGCTGGAAATGGCTGTACAGATGCTAAATCCGTCAATACAGCTGTCAATAGCAATAGCATAGGGCTTTAGTTTATCATATGAGTTTATATGCCATGTGGTGTTGAGGTCTCTGCATGTGTAGGTTACTGACTTACTGTAATCATCGGGTCTATCTCGTCCTTATAAAAACCTGCTCTATTACGGCGAGTGTCTGTCTTCTTCTGTAGTCAAACCGCAAATATCAAAATCTACCCGGATACAGCAATGCTGCTTTTTGATTGGCTGTTCAGTAGATATACTTTATTTGATTGGCTTGCGCGTGGCACGCAGCTTCTGAACTCTCGGAGGAACTCAGTTGATTCCTACCTGTTCCATAGTTCAAAAGGTGCAACTTGGTTGACATCACGATGTTCATTTAAATGCGTGAGAAATACAATGTGTGAGCCAGTGAACGGGTGGGAATGCGTGTGTCACAAGCTGAATGCGTGAGAATTGAGAGCCCTGCAAAAGTATTGCTAAAAGTTGAAATTTTCTCTGTTTGTTACAGTGCTTGACAAAAGTTGAGAACTTGCATGTGTTAAAGTAAGGGCGAATGTCAGACTCAGTATACAATCGTTTATGGAAGATTATTTTAGCGGTTGACTTTATTTTTAAGGATAAATTTTCGCACAGTTTATACACACAAACACATGAAAGTTATGGGATGCACAATTTACATCAGTCTCTTCTTATTTAATTTAACACAGATAACACATATAGATCTCTTCAAAAGAACTTTAATATATAAAAGAAATATTAAAGATATATTATATATATATAAGATATATAAGATATATATTATATAAAAGATATATTAAAGAAATATATTTAGGTGAGTCCATTTTACTTGGCTATAACTACCATGCGTCAGAGGAAACACTATTTACAAAACGCGTTTCACATTTCCGGAACGTAGCTACGGAAAGCACCAAGGGACTTGCTGATGAATTGAAGAGGGTTGCTGTCTCACCTAAAAAATGGCAGCACATTTAAAAAAGCGCGTTTATGAAGAGTTTTCCAAAGTTGTGCAGGTAAGTAAAGGATTCATTTATCGCTTCAGCTGTAGTAACAAAGAAGAGGAAAGAGTGCCGACTCAGCAGAGAGCTAATGCTAACCGGCTAACAGCTAACAGTCGCAACAACATGCGGGGAAGACTATGAAATAAAAATAAAAACAGCTAAAAAGCCATAAACAGAGAGAAATAACAGAATTTGTCTTGTTTTTTTTTCTTCCAAGTTTAACTCTAACTCATTAAAGCTTGTTGATCAGTCTGACAGGCGCATGTAAGCCTGGAAATAAATAGTGTGTGGTCAGTAAATTAAGGATTATGTCGCACAAATATTAACCGTAGTCTTTTCAAAAATTATTCTCTGTTATATCCCGGAAGTTTTGTTTTGATGTCTTGAACTTTACTTTGCTTAACTCTCCATCAAAAACGACTGTAGCATCCTTTATAGCGATTACACTACAGCTATGTTAAACTATAGCTGAAGGATGTAAATATGAGTATTATAGGGCAAAGAAGGGTTATAAGAAGAGGATATCTCATCAGAGAATCATAAAAACTGATTATCGTGTGGGGAGGTGTGGTAGAAACAAATGTAACCAGGGTATTTAAGCTGCAGCTTTTGTATGTTCACAGATTCCCCACGAAGAAGCTCCGGCAAAGAAGCTGCGTCTGTCTAAACCCAGTAAGTCTGCAGCTCTGCACGTCGACCTCTGCAAGGCTACCAACTCCACAGATGCCCTGCAGTACCTGCTGCAGTTTGCACGCAAGCCAGTGGAGGCGGAGAGTGTGGAGGGCGTGGTCAGGATCCTGTTGGAGCACTATTACAAGGTAGAGGATTGTGGGTTTACAACCATAGACTGTACTATACCCAGTCCATGGTCAGAATGCTCAGAACAGCACCTAACTTCATCAACAGTTCATATAGGGTCCTAGCCATAGCACTAGTCATCAAACATCTTTTTAACTTTGCCTAATTTCTATAGCATAGAGACTTAACACAACTCACCACCTCCTTCCAGCAGCCGCGTGGCTCTCTGTATTGCTATCTGTGGTCGTTACTTAAGTTGGTGTATCTAGAAAAGCAAGCAGTTGGCAACATTCATCTGTCGACAGGTTTAATTTTACGCCGGAATATCCCTTTGAGTCTGCTGATCAGTTTTGTTCATCAGGTTTATTTAAGTGTAAGTGCAGAAAAATCAATGTAGTCTTTCTTCTTACAGGAGACAGATAACTCTGTGAGGCTGAAGATTGCTTCTCTGCTGGGTCTACTGTCCAAAACTCAAGGCTTCAGCCCAGACTGCATTATAGACGATGCTATCAACACACTCAGCAATGAGAGTAAGACACATGCAGACCTAGCTTAAAGATATATTTATTTTTGCCTTCTTTTGTAGGAAATTATTTTTTAGAGATTTCTATGAATTATACAGTGAATTTTACTGTCTTTATTATGCTCTGATTGGAATTTTTTTGTTCACACATCTTAATGAGAAAGTACCACAAACTTGACAGTGTAAGGTATTGAAATGTGTCTGGCAGGAAATATCCAACTGAAATGAAGACAAGCTGTCCCTCTTACCTAAGTGTGTGATTAAAACGGCCATTCAACTACTAGGTTTTAAAACGTGTGTGTGTTTCCACCATTGTTTTTCTTTTTCTTTGGTTAGAGTCTCATCAGGTCTTGGCCCAGCTGCTGGACACTCTTCTTGTCATTGGTTCACAACTGCCAGAGAGTCCTGCAATCAGACAGCGGCTGATAGAAATGGCCTGCAAGGTGAGACTCTCACTCACAGTGTGAACTCAACCCTGACCATGACACTCCTTTTACAGATTCAACAGGACATTTTATTAACAGAAACAAAACTCCCCTGCATCTTGTGACTTTCTCCTCTTAGCATCTATCTGATACGTATTTTGGGGTGAGGAATAAGTGTTTGCAGCTCCTGGGATGTCTTGGGATGGCAGACACTCCTCTGACCAAAGACAACGAGGGACCAGGCACATCATTAGGTTTGTGTTATTACCCGGTGTTGATGGGGCTGCATTGTTAATCAGACATTTTATACCTTTACAAAAGTGGTGGCCTGATGACTGAATCACTGTGTTGCAGAATTTATTAAGGGCACTTTTGTGGAACTGTGTATGACTTTCAAAATACTATGGTAGCAGAACTCAGTTTAACCCTAAAATATTGACATTAGCTTCTTCAGTAGGGTCAAAGGATGTTCAGAGTATCATCAGTGACTATTTTGGGGACCAGGATCCCAGAGTCCGCACTGCAGCTCTCAAGGCAATGGTAGGACACCAGAAACGGATGCACTCAACAGAAGCTTCTCCACAGTCCTTCATTCATTGGTCTTAATCCCTTCAATAAATAAACCACAAAAGTGAGATGTTTCCTACTGTTTGTTTTCCAGCTGCAGCTTCATGAGAGAGGAATCAAGATTCATGAGATCATCTACGAACAGGTGACAGCGCTTTTTACTGTTATTTTAGTGGATCCAGGAGGACACAGACACTTCCCCACATTGACAGATAGAGTTTTATGTCTCAGTGAGACTATTTAGACATGTTACTGATAAAGACAATGTGAGTAAGCTTTTTCAGTGTTTTACAGTGCTCCTAATACTGTAGGTCATTCTGTGGAGGTTGTGTCCATGTATTACAGTGGCTGTTACTTTGTAAACAACTGTGTGTGTGTGTGTGTGTGTGTGTGTGTGTGTGTGTGTGTGTGTGTGTGTGTGTGTGTGTGTGTGTGTGTGTAGGCCTGCAGGTTACTGTTGGACGATTACGAGCAGGTGCGCTCTGCAGCTGTGCAGATGGTTTGGGTCCTCAGCCAGCTGTATCCAGAAAGGTAAGAAGATATTGATGCACAAGACTTACTGTCTTCATAGCTGCTCAGCGTTCTGCATCACTAACAGTTCAAGTTTAATTGCACTGATTCGAGAAATCATTTCAGAGTTGCTTAGATGAATGTCACTTCAGGGATGTCAGAGCAGCCAGGTTTGGACCTGTCATGACTGAACCTTGAATAGAAAAGTCAGAAACTCAAGTTTTGCTTGGGAGTCCATAGATCTGTTAAAGTTCTGTTCCTCAGCTGTTAGTTTGGCACTTGTCATTTGGATTAATTTAACCGTGTCCTTGCTCGTCTTGTTTTCAAGTTTACTGTTCTGTTTGTCCAATCAGCATCGTGCCGATCCCGTCATCCAATGAGGAGATCCGACTGGTTGATGATGTGTTTGGAAAGATCAGTCACATGGTCAGTGATGGTTCCTGGATGGTTAGAGTGCAGGCTGCCAAAACTCTGGTGAGGGAGCAAGAAAACACACACATTTATCTTTCCACAATCGTTTGGTTTAACTTTTGCGAGTCACAAGAGAAATGATAGAAAATTGCAAATTTCCACACAATTAGAAAGTAACTTTTTGCACTGCTGCACAATCACAGATGCACAAGAAAAACTAAACTGAGTGTTAGATGCTTGGTGTGAGTTTTGGTGGGATCTGTTTAATTTAAGCACATTATCCTGAGAGCCTCTGTCAGACTGTTGACAATGATGTAGTTCAAATAAATTATAGCATGCTATTCTATGTCAGCTCAAATCACTTTCCCACAACAATCTGACAAGGTCACATTTTCCTGTGTGACCTTTTTGGAGTTGCAGAGGTCAGACCTGAATCCTGTCAGGTTAACAGAGATTCTACATCAGCACAAGATAAAACACAAAGACAGATATTAACCTTCAGGGCTTCTCGTTGGTTATATTTCTCCCGCTGTGCTAAACGGATTTTTAAAATACAAGCGAAGGAAGTTAAAAAATGTCAGAGTTTTCATTCAGACACCAGCACAAAGCTCAAAGTGAATCTTTTCTTGTATGACAGGGTTCGATGCTGCAGGTCAGCCCTCATTTTCTGGAGCAAACTTTGGATAAGAAGCTCATGTCTGATCTCAGGGTAAGTCAGCTGAAATTCGTTTTTGGTCTTTTTTTTTTTTTTTAGCAGAATTCGAAATCATAATCACGTTATGAAGCGAACCTCAATTTGTTCGGTTTTTTTTTTTCTGTGTCCAGAGGAAGCGTACAGCTCATGAACGTGCAAAAGACCTGTTTGCTTCTGGAGAGTTCTCCTCTGGCAGGAAGTGGGCAGACGATGCCCCCAAAGAGAAACTGGACACAAACACTGTCAATCTCATTGCCTCAGGAGCCTGTGGTGCCTTCGTTCACGGCCTAGAAGATGAGATGTTTGGTAAGTGAAGCATTGGTACTTTGGTGATCTTCATTTCTGAGGAAATGCAGATGAATGGATATGTTACTGATGGGATGTTCTATCATGAAGTAAATTTTTTACATCACTGATGTTGTCTTCTCTTTCTAAAATAATTCAGAGGTCCGTATTGCGGCGGTGGAGGCACTGTGCCAGCTCGCTCGGTCGTCTCCAAGCTTTGCAGAAAAGTGTTTAGACTTTCTGGTCGACATGTTCAATGATGAGATAGAGGAGGTGAGGCTGCAGTCCATCCATGTACTGAGAGAAATATCCACCCATATCACACTGAGAGAGGACCAGCTGGACACTGTGCTGGCTGTGCTGGAGGTAAACGCATTCATGCACAGCTTTTGTTCCTCTTAAAACATTTCTTTTGTTCAAAATAAAACAGCAGTCATGATTCAAAGCTGTTGATCTGCAGGACTCTTCTCGTGACATCAGAGAAGCGCTTCATGAATTGATCTGTTACACCAACGTCTCCACTAAAGAGTGCATCCAGCTGGCTCTGCTGGAGCTGCTGAAGAATCTCAACAAGTATCCTACCGACCGCAACTCTGTGTGGAAGTACGACTCTGTCTTTTCTTTGTCTCTGGTTTTTTAGGGTAATAGCTCTGAGGAAAACAGAGCCTTTAACCTGCTGTTATGTCTGATATCTCCAGAGACTGTCCTTCATGTGACTGAAGACTGTTAGTTAGTAAAGGCTCATTTAGTTTTGTTGTGTGCTATAGTTAAATATTTCTTGTAACTAGACCAGGTAGGATGACGAAAAAATCAGCTGACAATCAACATCCCGTGACTCCTCTGAGGGAGACTAAACATGTCAAGGTGAAAAAGAGGTCTTGGTACAAGAAAGATGAACTATAGGAAAACTCTGTGTCCTTCTCCCTCCCCACAGGTGTCTGAAGTTCCTCGGTTCACGTCACCCAACGCTGGTGCTGCCATTGGTTCCTGAACTTCTCAGCACACACCCATATTTTGACACACCAGAGCCTGACATGGACGACCCGGCCTGTATCCTTCATATATGACCGTCTCAAAATTGATCAGTGTCAGAGCAAACGGGCTGAACTGGAGCTGTACTTTTGAGTCCCAGTCCCTGCTTTGTTCGCAAACAGGCCCTTATTTTACCTCTTACACTTTGATTTAAGGTCAACCTCCTACTATCATTTTAAGTCGACTTAAGAGTAAGGTTGACCTCACAATTTCATTTAAAGTTGACCTCATACTGTGATTTAAAAATGACCTCAAACTTCAATTTAAAGTTGCTCTCATACCATGATTAAAGGTTGACCATATACTATGATTTGAGGTTGACCCCATACTTTGATGTAAGATTGCCCTTATACTATGATTTAAGGTTGACCGTGTCCTATGAATTAAGGTTGACCTTGTTTTATGCATTAAGGCTGACCTCGTACTTTCAGCCAACTCTGTATCAGAATAACAGTGCAGCTTTACTTAGCTGTCGTGGTAGTAAACTTTTCAGAGGCATGGTGACTCATCTGTTTGATGTCTGCTGTTCTGGGCGTTTTCTTGACTCAGCTGCTTCATCTAAGACATTGCAGTGCTGGTGTTAGTCTTCAACGCTGCTAAGTCGTGCCCCACCATGCCTGCCCTGTTCTCCGATCACACCTTCAGACACTACGCCTACCTGAGGGACAGTCTGTCGCACCTTGTCCCACCATTAAGAGTAAGAACTGAAACTCTATAGATTTTACAATACGCTCAGTATCAACAGCACCAAGAAGTTTCACTGCATGGGCACAGCTTTGATCAATAACCCAATTGTGGCCACAGATGATGACGATCAAACAAGTGATAATAGGTGTGGAGTTACTGTGCTTGGATACATACTTTCACACCCCCAATTAGACGTTTCCAAACTCAAAAGAAAACTCACTATTTCTCCTCTCCTCCAGCTGCCAGGCAGCGGTCTGGACTTGGTGGACTCCAGTTGTGGTTCAGGTTCTGTGGAGTCTGCTCAGGTCTTCCTTCAGCAGAGTCTAAATAGGGTCAACACGATCCAGAACCTAGATGCTCCTGGAGCTCAGGACCTACTGGACTTCACTATAAGGTACACACACACACACACACACACAACCCTAAATAGTAGTGATTTAAATCAATCAGTGACCACATGGATAATTGTATTTCTGACATCTTCAAAGTCTGCTGATGGGATTTGTACTTTGGTGGATCAATTCTCAGTGGAGAGGTTTCTGGTGTATGACAGTTATCATCACATCAGCAGAGAGACTTCAGTGAAAACAAAAAAATTCAAGGTTGTTTAATGATCTGGAAAATGTTTCCTTCTTGTTTGCAAATATGATTTTTCGATGGTCTGGAGGTCTTCTTTTTTCTTCTTGTCTGTCAGAGACCTGCGGCGGCTTGGGGAGCTGCAGACAGAGCTGGCTGGAGCTGCTGATTTCTGTGCAACATACCTGCGCTGCCAGCTGCTGCTCATGAAGGTGAGGTTAGGATGACTATGATAGAGAGCTGCACCATGAACAACACATTCCTCCACCTCATTGTGAGCATTTTCAGGAAACACAGCTCCTAAAGATTCAGCTTTTGGCAGTAAATTAGGAAATGAGTTCATGTTTATCGTCTGTAAATTCTTACTCTCTATAGTACCCAGTAGATAGTGGCCGGAGTATTACAGGTGGGCTTTCACACCATTTTGCCACCGCCACAGGAAGCTTTAGTGAGCTGTCAGCTAACCTCGGATAGGTTGGTGATCATTTAGTGATTAAAAACATGCATTTTTCATTCTGAGGCATCAGACTGCTGTTTATAATGAAAATTGTGAGTTGATTCTCTTTATTTTATTATACCACGACGTTTGTGGCAGCTTTTGTTTAAATCATGTATGCTCGTTATCTGATGTTCTGTTTTGCAGGAAAATAGACTCAAAGACACAGGTTTAGAAAAATACAGTTGTTACTAAAGTCCTCTGGTTAGCACAGGAATGATAACAAATGCATGAGTAACTTTAAGAAGCAAGAGTGGTGGTGTAAAAATTCAAGACCGGGGTGCTTTCCTTCTGCAGGCTCTGCAGGACAGACTGTGGAGCATGGCTGTCCCTCTCTGCCTCAAACAAAACGTCACGGCTACAGCAGCTGCTCAGCAGGTCAAAACACACACACACACACACTGTGTCAGTTTAGCTTTTCTTTGGAGATCATTCAGGTTGACTTGAGTCCACGTCTTCTTTTGTTTGTAGATCTTAGAAGAAACCTATAAGCTGGAGTTTCTGTACAGCGGCTTAGAAAGCAGACAAGTGGCGACCATCCACCATGTTCGACTTCAGGCTAAAGCTCTGCAGCTGGTCCTGACAGCTCGCACCAGACAGGGGTTCGTGCCTGCACACACACACACAGATGCTTGATATGTCTGTAGGACATCATTTGGGCCTCAGCTTTATCAAGTTATTCATCTCTTTAGGCTGGATCTCCTCATGAGCAGCTGTGAGAAGTTTCTGCAGGATATTGAGTCCTTTCAGAGGTGAGATCTTTCACTGATGTGTGTTTCTATGTAAGGAACTCTAGTCCAACCTCTGTGAATGTCCTTGGGCTGAAGGACTTGATATTTCTTCATGTTCTCTGTGACCCTCAGGCTGTTTCAGGCAGAGCTGCCTCACCTCCAGGACAGTTTTGTAGATAAACTCTTGGAGCTCATGCCACGCCTGTCATCCTGTAAACCTGTGGAGATGGTGAAGATCCTCCAGACAACTCTGAGACAGAGCGGCCTGTTGCACCTCAGACTGCCTGAACAGGTAGGGAGCAGGTTTCAACATGAGGGTGAGCTGACCACTGAGATAAGGCAGCATGCATTAAGCTCATGACATGACAGTTCAAATACAGATGTCAATGTGTAGTTTGTTAATTCACAGATCCATCGAGCAACGGCCACCATCATCGAGCCAACAGGGGAGTCTGACAACCCACTCAGGTTCACGTCTGGCCTGGTGGTAGCACTGGACATCGATGCAACTCTGGAGTACGTCCAGGACCCTCAGAACACCGTGAAAGTTCAGGTCTGTGAGATCTACAACTAGAGCAGTGCAAACTTGGACCAACTTAGCTGTCAGTAAATGAGGTAGTGACAGTCATGTCCCCAAACTGAAGGTTTTGAAATCTTTAAAGTCTGATTCCTTCACTTCGTTCAGGGCTTCTTTAAATCCCAAGTAGAGGATCTAAAGAGTTTTATCATTGCAGGTTTTGTATCCAGACGGCCAGGGTCATGTGATCCATCCTAAACCCGGAGACTTCAGAAAACCGGGACCTTACAGACACAGACTCATCACGCAGGTCTACCTCTCACACACAGCATGGACAGGTGGGTCAAACACAATCCCACCTTTGTTTTCAAGGCTTTTTCATCTTCCGGTTATTCATTAAATCCAAGAGAAACCAAGATTGAACCTTTGAGTATATCCTCAGCTTAGTATTTTCCTTCATTTGACCGTTTCTCCCTCTTTGTTCCTCCATCAGAGCCATCACAGGTTGAGGTGCGCCTCCTCCTTGCTTACAGCTCCTCCTCAGCCTCCCTCTCCTCTCAGTCTTTGGCCTCTAAACTGGGATGGAGTGACAGCACTGACAGCCCCTCGCCACCAGAGGCCGCCGTAGAGGGAACAATCCCGTTTAGCAAGTCCGTTAAAGTCTTCATCATGCCCAAACCGACACGGCGCTGATAACAAAGTTTCAACAAAGCTTTTCTTTTGACCGGACTGAACCAAGACGCTCGTGACCATGTGAGGTTCATGAGCGCTAACTGTGCTGATGTGTTTTTACTTCACACACTTTGATCTATGAATTCAGGAGTGGTCAGAAAGGTGAAAGCATTCTTCTTCCTATTTTCTGGTCAGGTTGTAAGAAACACGAGTCCCCTTTCTCTTGTTCATAAAGTATTTCTACATTTGCTTCTTATACAGATAAACCCGTGTGATTCAGACATGTTCTCTGATTTTATTTTATAGCAAACAAGCACAAGTACATTTTCCCTCATGACAAACAAGGCACAGTCATCAACTTGAATGAAAACACGATCAAATCTGTACATTTAAGATGACGCCTTCAAAGGTCAGTTTATTCTCCATTTGAAGGGATGGCCTCTACAAGCTGTGCACATTACCTTTAAAGTGTTGGTTTTCTCTGACTGATGTCACTGATTCATAGACTTACCGTACTTACCATATTTTTTACCTCGCTAAAGCATTCAATGTCTCAGATTCAGGAATTGACCTTCTGTATTGGTTTTCTCTAACTGAGCCAGATCTAGTGTAGTGGGTGGAGATCAGTCTGTCATGCAGCCTACTCCATCTTCTGCCAATCATGCAGCCGGTGCAGCAACCTGAGGGCAACCTCATCAGCAAGTGGAGTGGAAGACCCCGCCCACCTTTGCACCCTGGCCAGCCAGTTTGTTGTACTCAGCGACAGCCCTCTCCGTCTGCAGGACTCTGACATCAACACCTTTCTGCTTCACAAAGTCCACAGTGGTCGAGGGGACCTGACAGAAAGATGAGAGCACAAACAAAAGCACGTGGGGGTGGGGACTTTTCTACTGTACTTGACTCACAGGGATTTCTCAAAGCTGTGAAGTCTGAATAAAAGCACAGCTTTAGAGATGTCTTACCTGCAGAGCTTCACTCATGCCTCTGCCAATAACCAGCAGGTCCACTCCCTTCTTCAGCACCTCCTCCAGGTCAGCAGGTTGGACCCCTGGGTAATGCTGAGTGGAAAAATTATAAAACTGTGTGAGCACATGCATCAATGTTTGAGTTGTAGTTTTTCCGTAATGTTCTGGGTGCTTGGGTTCCAGTTTCGCTCACATCAGTCCCAGTCTCTCTCCAGTCCCAGGCCCTGCTGCCTCCGGGCCAAACCTTACAGTCCTTGTAGTTGGTGGAGCATCCCTTCACCTTCATGTGTCCCCAGGAGAGAGAGGCGATTTCTGGAGAGGTCATGTTTAAGGATTCACCTGCTGAATGAGAAGAAGAGACACAGGCAGGAGACAGTGACAGTGTGAATAGACAGAGATGAGAGTCATTAGTTTTCACAATTCTGCAGTGTCTGATTTTACAAATTCAAAAGGTGTTTACAAATTAAAAGCCCAGCTTCTTTATCCGTAGTTCACTCTGGACTTTGTCAGTCAAAGAACATGATTCGTATGCAGTGAGAGATCCCTGCTCTTCCTCTTACACACGTAGGATACCAGAGTTTGGGCCGAGGAGAGCAGCAGCAAAGACCCTCCAGGGTCCAGAACAGAGCAGCAATGATTGTCAGTTTAAATGAGACTGGTAAAATCAGACAGCATTATTAAAGAGAAGGGCTGGGGTGGAAGCAGGAGAAGAAGGCAGGCTGGGTACCTGCTTTTTAATTTGCCTGTTTGATGCAAATAAGACATAACCGTCAGCTGGATTAGGATCAGCTAATGTACAGTTGACAGAGCTTGACGTTGTAGTGTTTTGTGTTGACATCAACCTCAGAAGCATCACGACTGTGTGTAATTGCTAAAAACCAGATCATTGGCCCCAGATTAAAATATAAACATCTCAGCAAAGTTTTTTTAAAACATCAGCAAATAACGAAAAACCATAACATTCGTGTTGCTGTTTTTTTCATCAGTGAAAAATGACTGACTCATTTTTCTTGACCCCTTTTCCAAAATATTAACTATGATGAATCAACTTTCAGGCCAATGACAGAAGCAGAATTACTCACAGTTCACTTCTTACTTGAAGTTTAAAAAAAATATAAATATTAACAATATTAAATATTATTATTAAATATGATGAATCAACTTTCAGGCCAATGACAGAGGCAGAATTACTCACAGTTCACTTTTTACTTGAAATTGAAAAAAGGGTCAATATTCACAATAGTTATACTTTTTCATAAGCCAGTTCCAACCTAAACAATTCCTCTAAAAAAAACAAAACCGGTTTTATCATTCGGCTCAGTCCTTCATAAGAAAAGGGTGGGAAACAAAAACTCATTTCTGAACTACATGTTCAAGCAGCAGAGAAATCTGACCAAACCTCCCACTGCCAGCTCTGCTGTTATTCATAGGAGCAGACTGGAGCTATTTTTGGAATGATAACAGGCTCGCTTATGCTCCCAATCAGAACCATAAAAACAGGATCAGAATCTGCTGTACATTATATTATCCCTCTCAGGTAAAGTGAAAACCAGATGTTTGCAATGTTGTCTCTCGAAGTCCCTCAAAGTGGTAGAAATCCAGAAGCAAAGGACTGGGACACACACCCCTTACTGTCTTCCTCCTCCTCCTCCCAGAGCTGAAGACCACTCAGAACAACATTCAGATTTACACAGAACTAAAGACAACTCAGAGTAGACCAACATTCAGGTCTTTGTTCTGCAGATGTGAATCCAAATCAAAGCAGACACTTGTGAACATACAGTATGTTCAGGTTTGAAGACTCATCATCACAAAAATATCAGATCAGTTAGCATCATTTCAGGCCGCAGCTCCTAGAACCACAGTAAATAAAGTTTAATCATGATCACTGGGACATTATGCCTAAATCAAAGTCTAGAAATGATCAAAGCAAGAGATTATATCTGCAATGTTTCCTAAAGGTAGCTCGTCCCTTATGTAATGTCTCGGTGTCAGGCCATGTCTCTTTAAAATTTTATTTTAAATTCTCACACTGTGTGCGGTTGTGTGTGTGTGTTTGTGAGGGTGGGTGGATGTCTCTGCGTGCATGTGGGTCCATGGGTGTGTGGAAAGGTTGGGTTTTTGTCTTTATTGTTGTTTTTAGCCTCTGTGAGGCACTTTGAATTGCATCTCCTTTTGTATGAAAAGTGCCATATTAATAAAGTTTAATTGAATTGAATTGTATGATCTTTTTTCCGACTTAAACAGACCATAACAGTTAAAAAGCCATTTTACTTATTTTAAACTAAGCTTACCACCTCATCCATACAGAGTTTTGCATGTATTCATCATTTGTTTCTTACCAGACGGAAAAAAAACAGTATTGTTCTAGTGGTGTGCCGAGGCTTCGAAGCGTGTGACGAGTAATGAAGGGGGCGTTGGTGGAGCAAAAAATTGATCACGTAGCCTCGCTACCCGGCTGTACCACGTGACTGATTTAAGAAATGGTTCGCGAGTTTGGCGGATGATTTGACAGGCAGCGAAACAGATGCTGTGTCCGAATTGCCCGCTCGCACACTACATGCTACTGCTACATACTACTGCTAGATCCTACTCCTACATACTAAACACGTTGGCCCAATTCGGACACACTAGACGAGCGTTGGGGAAAGACGACCCCCGCAGGCAGAGAGTAGGTACTGCGCCCGTGCAGACAGTTTTAGACTCTGAATGGTAATTGTGCAAGTGATGGATGCTGCTGTATTATATTCCTGCACTGCTTTAGAAATTCACAAAGTAGCTTTTCCATTACTTTTAGCCTTCATTCACTCACGTGGTGATCGTTTGTTCAATGAGATCTGCCTGATTACTGCAGCTGTGCAGTTTAATGATGGAATAAGTGAGCGTTACCTCCATGATGTCGCCACATATTTGCTCATAAAATGATTACTTGGGCAAATATGACACCATGACATGACAAAGAGATACAACCGCACATTTTTTAGGACAGTGTGTGAAGTCACATTAAAATTACATCTGTACTGCTGCGGTCCCGCCTGCTGCTGCTGCTGCTGCTGCTCCGACATGGTGCGCGCTGCTGTGGCCAGCCGGCGTTCACGACACATTTAAATAGGCAGCAGCTGGTGGCTCTAGCATCACATGCGCTTCTACAACTTTTAAGAGGACGAAGAACAAGCCCGCGGTTATCTCACATGTTGTCTCATAATTTTTTATGAGCATCCTCGGTATAACATAATTTATCAAGGAAACATAGTATCAGTCAAAAATACGAGGCGCAAAGGATGAAAAATGAGGGCTTGCTCTTTTTCTTATTTCTCTGCAGGATCAAGGATGCCGTTGACAGTGGAGGAATTGGTGCTGTCTTTTCTAAGACACAGATCAAGGTTGCTTTTGAATGCACTATCAGTTGTTAAAGCCACCGTTTCTTTTACAGATGATTACATTTTTGTCTCTTGCTCTTTGGTTCCAGACATTACACGATGATCTGCTCTCTGGAAACATCCGCTCCAACAGGATGTTTCTTTGGAGGAAACCCGCCACCTCACTCCGGCTCAAGCAGCATCTAAAGATAAGGAAAGTATTTTTACTCTCAGAGGTGTTACATTTGAAAGCTGTTTACTTTCTGTGTTTTTCTTCAATAGATCTTCGAGCTCCTGCGGTTTATTGAGGAGGCAACAACCATATCCGACAACATCAAGAGAGGTGACATTCACTTGCTTGATTTTGTCTTTGATGTCATGCTCCCAGAGGTGAGTAGATCAAACTATATAGCTTGCTTTGAAAATTGATTATATTGTTAAGAGGTTGTTTTTATTCATTTGGAAAGCTCAAGAACAACAATCAACCCATACTGCATAACTTCAATTGTTCACATTATTTGACTGTTTTTCAGCTTTTGATCAAAGCACTTCAAGAGCATGGCATCACCCGACTCAGAGCGGAGCAGATGATGGCCTGTGGCAGTATATTTTAAGCCCCCCACCACACCGACGGCAACGCTCTAAATTATGGGACGTGGAAGCCTGTATATACGATTATATTTTTTTAATGTGTTTACAATTTATTGTTTGGGAAATATTAAAGAAATCTTTGAGGCAGTTGTATGACAATTTCCCATTTCTTTACACAGTCAGTAATGATATCGCAATTCAATAGTTTTTCCTTAATGGCTCTTCTGAACCTTGAACAGATCATGTGTCTTGTGTCTCTACAATTATTGTATACTTGGATTTTGCACAGTCAAGCAATCCTGAAGAGGCTCACCAGGAAGCACACCATGTCATAAATTATGTTTGCTGTATAATTATGTTGGGTCTAAAACCTGCAACAAATGACTGAAAACATATAAAGAAGAGAAAGACAATGGTTTCTTACTCGAGGAGAATGGACAGAGATAGTTGCAATCTCAAAACCATTCTGAAGGTATTTCCGCCCAGTCTCTTTATTTAGGGTTGTCCCTGGTTACACAATGTTACTAAAGGATGGGGGAAAAATATGTGCAGCAACGTAAGCACTCTCATAAAACATAATTATGAGCAACAGAAAATATGTGAGGGTCAAGGCAACATTGTGACATTAAACGAGCTCCTTCTGATAGGAGCGGATCCTTCTCATTACTTCCCACGATTCACAGTGGAGGATACATCACACACACACACCTGCTAATAGGAGAAACAAGGTCATAGAGAAGTTAAGAAACATTCATGTGCTGTTTAATAAAGCTATTGGAGAGAGAAGTTAGAAAACACTCTTATATGATGTGTAACAAGAGGTTAAAACAGTCCATACTTGTAGCAAACTCTCACATAAGAATTTGAGTAAGATGATAACTTCTATATACAATTATACACATTATTCTGACAAATTATCAGAATATGAGGACATCAGTCTATATATTTATATTACTGTAAACTTCAGAATTAAATCAGAACAAAACAGTAGTCATAAATAATACATAAAGGTTTTATTATGGTTTTTAGCTCAATAATAAATTCAATTCGATTCTTACGGAATGAACGGAGCGAAAAAAAAAAAAGCTTCCGGCGACTAAATCCGACTACCGAAAGTCCCTTCTAACGAAAAAAAATCGATCATTGGAATAACCTTCCCACATGTTGTTTGTTTTTTAGCTGGACGAATTAATTCCGTTAGAAACGTACAGCATGGATGTGACCAAAAAACAAACTTTTGGCAAAATATTTCGGCGTCGGAAGTCCGCCAACGAGAAAGCCCTTCCGCCTGAATTATTTCGCCGAAAGTAATTCTGAGTGAGTATTGTGGAAGTTCATCTTCTGGGTCCGCCATCTTGGGCTGCAGTTGGGTCCCTCTCGAATTAACAAGAATTATATCTCAGAATTAACTAAAACATTTTCGGGGGAAAAAAAAGTTCTTTTTTTATATAGTTAACAAAAATAATCATGTTAGATTTAAAAGAAGAACTTCAATTTGTAAAAGAAAACATTCTTCCCAGTTTTTCTGTGTTCAAAGATTGGTGTCTTAGCTTTAAAGGAATATTCAGAATAAAAATAATATCCCTTTTTCTCTAAAATAATTACATAAAGCAGCCTTTTTTGTTTTTATGATCTGGATATAGCACACACCATGTAAAATTTCAGCACATGGGTGTCTAAATTCAGGTGAAAACTGCAAACATAGCAAGGGACAAAATAAAATGTCAAGAAAATCTTCAAAGAAACAAGAGATATTTAGGATTGATACCACTGAAACACAGAGGAAAACTAAATGATCATAAAGATTTATTTTCAGTTCTTTAAAAAAAATAATCAAACAATTCATTTCCAATTCACTGTAGTGTGTGATCAGCACAGCTGATTTGTTACACTAGATAAAACTATTTTACGACTGTGTACATTATTTTTTTATTAAGATACAATATTTCAGCACACCTTTTCAATAGCATTTTATTCATGGTCCAGGTGATACATCTGTCCGTACAGAAAGGCGGTCACCAGTCCAGCAGTCATGTCTGAGTGTTTTAAAGTCACTCTTCCATCTGCAGATTTGTCAAAATGCTTTACTTCCTCTATAACCATTTGACTCGCCAAAACTGATGGGTACACATATCTGGTTCCAAACTTCCCCTCCATCACAAAGTCCATTTTGGTCTCAGCTTTTTCTACTCCCTGTCCACAGGAGCTTGGGTCCGACCCTGCACAACGGACGAGTGCACACACCTGCAGAAGGAAGGATACAGGTGAGACATGTTGTAAAGGACAGTGTCTATATCCATAAACCCTTTAGTTCATACCTGCAGGGATAGGTCTCCATCCAAAGTGTGCAGCCCAGCAAACGCACCAAATGCATACAGCTCCTCACTGTCACCCTGTGAAATTCGCTTGTACTGCAGGTGACAGCAAAAGGAGCCATTGCACACCTTCACCCTACCCTCTTTTTCATTTAGGAGGACAAATGTGAACGGGTCACCAATCATGAATGATGTGAATGTGGCTGATGATGAAGGGACTGAAGATGCATCAGAGTAGCTCTCACTGTGACAGAATCCAGAGTCTGTAACAGGGGATGAAGTGGACTCAGACTCCAATTTCTCCTCCTCTGTGGCCACCCTCTGCCCCGACCACTCTGGGTCTAAGACCAGCACCCTGGCCACCAGCAGCTTGCCCTCCTCTGGGTCTCCCCTCTTTGAGTGATGGTAGATGGATGAAAAAGGTGTGTAGATACCACTCCCAGCCATGTTCTTATTATCATGGGGGAGGTTGGCTGCTAGCAGGGTGATATTGGTGCTTCGGCTTAATGATTGATGGTACTGGACAGAGTCAAGCAGGGGGAGAGTGTTAAACCAAGCTGTAGGGAAGATCAGCTGACGAACATCCTAAAAGGAGTGGGAAGAGAGTCTACTTTTAAAAAAGAGATCCGACACAGGGACATAAAGCTAAATACACAATTGTGAGTGGTTTTACCTTTTCCACTAGTGCTATAGTGGGCTTGTAAAATAGGACGTCAAAGCATATCAGCAGGCCAAATTTTCCAGCAAAAGGAGTATCAAATGTGATGATCTCAGGCTGTGGTGGAGTGTCAAAGGACTCCTCATGGAAAAGGTTGTATTTATGGTAGCGTGCCACCAGCAGGCCATCAGACCTAGAAGATAATGAAATTAAGAATTCATGTGTTGATGCATTTGCTGGAGTTTAGCCAGATGTCTCTATTTTAAGATCTCAACTTCACCTAAAGGCAATATTGGTGTTGAACTGCCAGCGTCCATCAGATGGACAGGAGGAGGTGGGCTCTGTTGACAGGGGGCAGGGCTGCCGGTCAGGCATATTAGCTACAATGTAGATGTTATTCCGACAAGCCATACAGCTCAACCGCTGGAGAACCTGTGAAACAACCATTCTGAAATGTAATTCATAATAACAGACCAGTGTTGGCTGCTCGTGGGTATCTTTAAATCAAGATAGACATCAAACATGAGTGTATATCTGTGCACCTCAGTGTTTCTCCGGCTCTGTGCAGGGGTTCCAGCTCTCCTGCTGGGGGTCAGGAATTGTTTCAAGATAACCTACAATGGATGTGTGGGTGAAGTTAAACCCATGTAGACCATCTTCTGGAAACACCAGGATCTGGGCACCCTGATAAAGACAAGAGAAGACAGGACTGAATAAACATGCCAGGATTCTGAATGCACAGTCATTTGCTGTCATATAAGGTATGACCCTTTTATTGAATAATACACTTACTGGTTACGCAATAGAAAAAACCTCGCATATGGTGGCTCATTGATTTTTAATAGAGCAATAAGTAACCCTTTTTATAAGTCGCTACTAAGCATTTATAACTTTCCAATGAATCATACCTGCTGAGCGGCTTGTGCAGCCTGCACTTCGTAGATATCCAAGTTTTTCTGCATGTGTTGAAGGACAGCCCGCCGCGACACCGGGACACGAGGGTCTGGGTTGGTGATTAAATTGTGCTCATACACAGCAGCGATGTATGAGGACTCCATTGTCAAATAGATACCGACTATGAAACTGAATAGTTTCATGGCGTCACACGACAGAGACAGAAATGAAGTCAATAAGATCAGCTCGGTCTATTATAGCTCTTGAGGGGTCAGGAGTCCAACTCGAGTCTACAGTAATGAGGGGTGAGTCAGCTATTTTTGTTTTTTTCCTTTTGTTTGTTTATTTTTTACTTTTTTGGATTGTTTGTAGAGTCACTTGGGAAACCCATTTTGCGAAATGTTGACTGAACAAATATACGGACAATTATAGTTGTAACTTCTACATACACCGTGCACATGGAGAAAAAGGTTGTAGTTTTAACAACCTCAGCAGCTTACTGGGCCAATTTCAGATTACCTTAAAGCACCTGTGTACAATCACCTGTGTATCCCAGTGGCCTTCGAGCTGGACCAGCTGCTCCAATCAGAAAAAACAATTGACTTAACTCTATGTGTTTAAGATAACTCTCTGGTAGACCGAGGGATGCTGAGGAACTTTGAACCATTTCTCCTCTGTTTTTGTCTCTATCTTATGGCTTTTTCGCAGGGGTCATGGTCTGCTCCAGGTTTTCTGCCTTCTTAGTGAGAAGGTTTCTTCTGTGCCACTCTAACTTTCTAAATGCTGAAAGGTGCTCTGCTTATGGTACATTAAGATAAGACTGAGACTTATGATATAAGATTAGAATGAATCTTATCCTACAGTGATGTTGGCATGACATAGAACTGATTTATAACTCCACTTGCATACAGATTAGTGAAATAGGATGTCAGCTGCATAAAAATAACATTTAATTCAGTCAAGTAATATGAAGATTTTACATAAATTTCCCACTTTACTCTTATTTTTCTAAATTATAATTGTGCAGTTACTTAGAAAGTGATTTACTAAACAATTTTGTATCAGCACACCTATTCCAGCTAGCAACAAACCTCCAAAATAGGCAATAAAATGTACAGAGACCAGGCTGTGAACCAATTCCAGTGAAAAACAGCCTGAGGGAAAACCAGGAAAACTCAGCAGGATTGATAATTTTCAGCTCGGATATAAGAATCCATCACTGCTTTTATCAACATTCAGTCAGATCAGCATGAATAAAACCATGAAATCCGGCGGCATCCCTAAAAAGACTTTTTTTTTCCTTCACACAATACTGTTAATAAATCAAACACAATTAAAAGGTCTTTCTTTTTTTCTTTCTTTTTATGTTTTGGCTGAGTGGCAGAAGACACAGGATCAGGATCATTCATGTAACTCAGAAATAGCTCTGATCAAAATCAAATCAAATCAAATTTTATTTATATAGCGCCAATTCACAACAGTCGTCATCTCAAGACGCTTTTCAAGGAACAAGAGCAGGTCTAGACCACGCTCATTGTTTGATGATCAAGAACCAACCTAAGATGGGTTTTGGCCCATCTCAACTAACATGAGTAGCAGTGGCAAGGAAAAACTTCCTTTTAACAGGCAGAAACCTTGGGCAGGACCAGCCTCATGCTAGACAGCCACCATGCCGCTGCTGGGTTGGGGGGGCATGTGGAGAGAAGAGGGTAGAGGGGAGAGGCCAGGGGGAGAGAGAGAGAGAACAAGATAAGGGAAGGCGAGAGAGAATGAGTAAGGAGAGGGAGGGGGAGGGAGAGAGAGACAGGGGGCAGCAGAAACAACAGCAACAACAACAACAGCTCATGTAATGGTGAAACAAAAAAGAGTTCAGTTTACAGGGTTAGGATATGAGTGATTATGGACAATGTTAAATTAATTGAGTGTGATTACAGTTAGCAGGCCTAATCGTGGTCAGTTCTAGTTTATATTATTAATGTCAGTAATGTCAGTGAGGCTGATGTTCATCTCTGCAGTAACAGTCCAGAGGAATCCAAGAGAAGAAGGAGCTCAGGGCCTGAGGTGGACAATCATAGACAGTAGTCAACTCTAGTTTTATGTTATTAATGTCAGTGAGGCTGATGTTCATGTCTGCAGTAACAGTAACAGTAACAGTCTAGAGGAATCCAAGAGAAGAAGCTCAGGGCTTGAGGTGGACAATCATAGATGATGCGGCTAACAGTCCAGAGGAATCCAAGAGAAGAAGGAGCTCAGGGCCTGAGGCGGACAATCGTACATGATGCGGCTAGAGTCAGGCAAGTCTGCAGCAGGAGCAACCAAGGGGCAGGGGGTGTCTGCAGCAACGGTCCAGAGGAGCCAAAGAGATGGGGGAGCTAAGGGCCCAGGGTGGACAATCAGGGATAATGCAGCTGGGGTCAGGCAATTCCGCAGCACACCATCTGCAGCATTAGTCCAGTGGCAGCTAAGAGACTCAGAGACACTCAGAGAGACAGAAAACTGGTTAGTGACTTACACTCACCGGCCACTTTATTAGGTACACCTGTCCAACTGCTCGTTAACACTTAATTTCTAATCAGCCAATCACATGGCGGCAACTTAGTGCATTTAGGCATGTAGACATGGTCAAGACAATCTCCTGCAGTACAAACCGAGCATCAGTATGGGGAAGAAAGGTGATTTGAGTGACTTTGAACGTGGCATGGTTGTTGGTGCCAGAAGGGCTGGTCTGAGTATTTCAGAAACTGCTGATCTACTGGGATTTTCACGCACAACCATCTCTAGGGTTTACAGAGAATGGTCCGAAAAAGAAAAAATATCCAGTGAGCGGCAGTTCTGTGGGCGGAAATGCCTTGTTGATGCCAGAGGTCAGAGGAGAATGGCCAGGCTGGTTCAAGCTGATAGAAAGGCAACAGTGACTCAAATAACCACCCGTTACAACCAAGGTAGGCAGAAGAGCATCTCTGAACGCACAGTACGTCGAACTTTGAGGCAGATGGGCTACAGCAGCAGAGGACCACGCCGGGTGCCACTCCTTTCAGCTAAGAACAGGAAACTGAGGCTACAATTTGCACAAGCTCATCGAAATTGGACAATAGAAGATTGGAAAAACGTTGCCTGGTCTGATGAGTCTCGATTTCTGCTGCGACATTCGGATGGTAGGGTCAGAATTTGGCGTCAACAACATGAAAGCATGGATCCATCCTGCCTTGTATCAACGGTTCAGGCTGGTGGTGGTGGTGTCATGGTGTGGGGAATATTTTCTTGGCACTCTTTGGGCCCCTTGGTACCAATTGAGCATCGTTGCAACGCCACAGCCTACCTGAGTATTGTTGCTGACCATGTCCATCCCTTTATGACCACAATGTACCCAACTTCTGATGGCTACTTTCAGCAGGATAATGCACCATGTCATAAAGCTGGAATCATCTCAGACTGGTTTCTTGAACATGATAATGAGTTTACTGTACTCAAATGGCCTCCACAGTCACCAGATCTCAATCCAATAGAGCATCTTTGGGATGTGGTGGAACGGGAGATTCGCATCATGGATGTGCAGCCGACAAATCTGCGGCAACTGTGTGATGCCATCATGTCAATATGGACCAAGCTCTCTGAGGAATGCTTCCAGCACCTTGTTGAATCTATGCCACGAAGAATTGAGGCAGTTCTGAAGGCAAAAGGGGGTCCAACCCGTTACTAGCATGGTGTACCTAATAAAGTGGCCGGTGAGTGTATATGGGACATAAAGATCTAAAGAAGAGATAGAGACAGACTCTAGCTCAGTGTGCCAGATAGCCCCGGCTAAAAACAATGATTATGAGGGCAAAGTTGCTTCATTTTTTATCTTCCCTTCTTCTTTTCTTTTTTCCCTCTTCTTTTTATCTTTCTTTTAAACATTTATTTCTTCTTTCTTCCTCCCTTAATCCATGTTTGAATTGTTTTTATTATCACGAGTAGTGCCTGATACTTCTGCCAAAGCAGTTTACCAAACAATTAATTACCTGTCTATCACAAAATGTTTAACTAGGATGAAGACATCTAGTTTACAGTATTTGATAGGTAAAATTGATCATATTTTTTTTTCTTTCTGTCCTTCTTTCTTCCAGTTCTTTTCTTTCTTTGGTTATAAATAATTTTGTAGTTTGGCCAGTAAAGGTGTTGAATAATCAGCAGAAAAGAAAGGATTCATACCTTCTGATTACTAACACAACTCAAAAGTAGCTTGCGTAAAAATGATTATAAGTGTTTAGGGTTTTTTTACGCCCTACCTTCCAGCCATCTGTCCTCCCTTCCTTCTTTTATTCTCTCTTTCTCTCTTTCTTTTATTCTCTCTTTCTTTCTTTCATTCTCTCTTTCTTTTATTCTCTCTTTCTTTCTTTCTTTCTCTATTTCTTTCTTTCTCTATTTCTTTTTTTCTTTTTTCTTTCTTGCTTTCTTTCTTTCATTCTCTCTTTCTTTCTTTCTTTCTTCTATTTTCTCTTTCTTTTTGTCTTTTTTTCTTTCATTCTCTCTTTCTTTCTTTCTTCTATTCTCTCTTTCTTTTTGTCTTTCTTTCTTTTATTCTCTCTTTCTTTCGTTCTTGTATTCTCTCTTTCTTTCTTTCTTTCTTTTATTCTCTATCCTTCTTTCTTTCTTTCTTTTATTCTCTTTCTTTTATTCTTTCTTTCTTTCTTTTATTCTCTTTCTTTTATGCTCTCTTTCTTTGATTCTCACTTTCTTTGTTTCTTTTATTCTCTCTTTCTTTTTTCTTTCTTTCTTTCATTCTCTCTTTCTTTCTTTGTTTCTTTTATTCTCTCTTTTTTTTCTTTCTTTCTTTTATTCTCTCTTTCTTTCTTTGTTTTATTCTTTTTTTTCTTTTGTTCTTTTATTCTCTTTCTTTCTTTCTTTTATTCTCTCTTCCTTTCTTTCTTTCATTCTCTCTTTCTTCCTTTCTTTTATTCTCTCTCTTTTTCTTTCTTTCTTTCATTCTCTCTTTCTTTCTTTGTTTTATTCTTTTTTTTCTTTCTTTCTTTTATTCTCTCTTTCTTTTTGTATTTCTTTCTTTCATTCTCTCTTTCTTTCCGTCTTTTATTCTCTCTTTCTTTCTTTCTTTCTTTCTTTTATTCTCTCTTTTTCTTTCTTTCTTTCTTTCATTCTCTCTTTCTTTCCTTCTTTTATTCTCTCTTTCTTTTTTCTTTCTTTCTTTCTTTTTGTCTTTCTTTCATTCTCTCTTTCTTTCTTTCTTCTATTCTCTCTTTCCTTTTGTCTTTCTTTCTTTCATTCTCTCTTTCTTTCCTTCTTTTATTCTCTCTTTCTTTCTTTTTTCTTTCTCTCTTTCTTTTTTCTCTTTCTTTTATTTATTCTTTCTTTCTTTCTTTTATTCTCTTTCTTTTATGCTCTCTTTCTTTCTTTCATTCTCTCTTTCTTTTATTCTCTCTTTCTTTCTATGTTTTATTCTTTTTTTTCTTTCGTTCTTTTATTTTCTCTTTCTTTCTTTCTTTTATTCTCTCTTCCTTTCTTTCTTTCATTCTCTCTTTCTTCCTTTCTTTTATTCTCTCTCTTTTTCTTTCTTTCTTTCTTTCTTTCATTCTCTCTTTCTTTCTTTGTTTTATTCTTTGTTTCTTTCTTTCTTTTATTCTCTCTTTCTTTTTGTCTTTCTTTCTTTCATTCTCTCTTTCTTTCTTCTATTCTCTCTCTTACTTTTTGTCTTTCTTTCTTTTTTTCTTTCTTCCATTCTCTCTTTCTTTCCTTCTTTTATTTTCTCTTTCTTTCTTTCTTCTCTCTATCCTTCTTTCTTTCTTTATTTCTTTTATTCTCTTTCTTTTATTATCTCTTTCTTTCTTTCTCTTTCTTTTATTCTCTCTTTCTTTTTGTCTTTCTTTCTTTCTTTCTTTCTTTCTTTTATTCTCTCTTTTTTTTTTTTAGAGAGAGATTTCTCACAATAACATGAGCTTTTCTGCTCTTAAGCACGAATAGTCTTTGACATAGTGGGCAGGACTTTCATGTGATGTCAATGCATCACTTTTAAGATAACCATCCGAACGTCTCGACAGTAACACTCACAAAAAAACGCCTATGTTCATTTATTTTCGGTTAATTTTGATAATGCCTGTCACATTAAAGTCATAAACACTGTAAATATCCATGCACACATTTAATCCTTGTCGATGCATCGCTTAACCATCACGAAAGTCTCGACAGTAACACAAGTTTGTAGGATAATATTGTCATGAAATCTTACGGTCTCCATGTCGTAGATGTTGTCCTCTTTGTTCAGGTGTTTGTCGAAGGTGTTTGTCGGAGTCCTTAGTCGTCTGGTGAGGTTTTATTAACGATGAAGCCGTCAAAAGTTGTAAATTCGTGAGCCGCTTAAGTTTTCGTGCTGTTCTCTTCAGATTTGATCTTCAGAAATGACCGCTCTCTTTGGCTTGTAATGATTTAAAGTTTTTACATCGTCACAGGTTACCATGGAGATTTAAAATGCTGTTTACTTTAGAAAAACCCTTACACTGGTAGGTTATATCTAAAAGTTTAATATTATCTTTGATTTACTTTAATCTCAATGGAATATAAATATCTCTTGAAGTCAAGTGGAGGTTATTTTTCGCCAACTAGTTTAAGCATTTTAATTTAAAAACCTTCCTTATTTCGGTACAAAATGACGCCTTTTTGAAAACTATAGCTTAGTAGGCCTATGTCTCATAGGTAACCCAACAAAAACTGGAAACTTTGTCTCTCATTATAATTTCCACTGAAGCCTTTACTTCAATTAAATTCAGTCGATTTTCTTTAGAAGGCTACTAAAAATAGTCTATATATACTCCTATCATATAAATATTTTAGAGCAGTAACTACATCTGTAAAGCACTTTTTCCCCCTGTTTTAAAAAGAAAAACTAAAGTTGATCATTGTTATTTGACAAAGCCCATTATAAGGCATCAAAAAGGCCATAAAGATATCGAATTTTGAACTTTAAAAAATAAAAATATCACATCAGCTCTGAGCCAAAATACCTTTTCACTTGAGTAAAAAAAGCCTATTTTCATGTGATGGTACTTTATACTAATTCACACATAGAGTGAAGTCATTACATGCTTTTATTAACTTGAAAAATCTTTCTAAATCAGCATAAATAATGAAAAAAAGATGTTTGGCTGAAAAAGAGATTTAACAGAACGTGAAATATAGGCTAATCTAAAAATACTTCAACAGGAACCAGAGGGTGACAAGATACATCCTTGTTTCACACAGCCCATGACTTCGACATATTTAGATTCTGAGGTAAGAAAAAAAAGAGATAAAAAATAACGAATGCATCTCTGTTTTTGGGTTTGAATGCAGGCAAAAGGACTGTGTTACTTATTTGGTATCACTACTTTTACAGCTGTGGTTCTTAATCTGATGACAGCTCTTGATGGTAATTTACGGAGCCAACTTTTACGAATCATTCATCAAATCTGATATCTGCAAAACGAAGTATTCATCATTGTAAAGTAAAGCCCGATTTCCATAAAATCTGACTCCTATCAATTTTGCATTATTTTGGTCGCAACCCCATGTCCAGCTTTGAAAATAAAAATTGAAAAGTGCAGTTTTTGTGTCGCTGGGTGTTCAGTTTAATTTGGATGCAGCAGAAGAATAATGCTCAATATTGTATTTGCCAGATGAAAACAACAACTGTAAATAGAAGTAGTGACATTGTTAAGACATTTCCAAAGACACGTTTGTGACCTGATACTCATCCATAGTATATTGTCCAAAGTATATACAGTCTACGGTTGAGACAATGTAATTAACAAGTCAGCAGAGCTTTCATAGTTTTATTTCAGTTGCTGAAGATTTAATGCATCCTGAGGGGAAATTTTATTTATTCGTTATACTTTATTAAACAGCGTTATCTCGAGATAAAGAGATGAATAAATTGAATTGAAATGGTTAAATCAGAAATACACATTTGTTTGTGGGTTGGGGGAGTCGAGTTTACCTGAGACGGATGAAACTTTTACTTTGAAATGCTCAACAGGAAGCGTTAGTATTTTGCCAGGAAATAATTATACAGATTTCCGCAGTCAACATTAGAAGGGCACGGGCAGAGCAGTGGATTAAACAGAGTGGCGACAACTTCAGATCTCGCCGCCAGAGCGGTCACGTAGTTCATGTACCCCTCACTGTCCATGCTCTTCAACGGGGCAGACTGCAGTTAGCGCGCATTAAAGAGGTAAATATTAAAATTAACCGTACAAAGTCAACATTTGCAATTCTTATTGGATTACTGTGTACACATCAAAGTCACATACGTATATTTAGTGGCTGGATGACAAATAAAAGTGAAATAAGACAAGTTTGGTAACAGGTGTTACTTTTTAATAAGAGAAAATAATACAATAAAGTGGTAAGTAACAGGTGTTACAAGCTGTTTCAACAATTGTGCAATGTTTTGGTCTTGCAGCATGGCCTGCATAACATTTTTCCATGTTAAACATACGCCTTAAATACTGACAGGATTTAAAAAGTAGTGGTCCCTTAACTCTATCATCCCATAAGCAGAAATCAAATTGCATAGCACTTATGTTAGTCTAAAAAGAATAAATTGCACATAACATCGGGTACTGATAAAGGCTGAAATCTAAAATAAAGCCCATAAGTAACCATCTCAACATATGATTGATGATGATGATTTATCTGTGATTCAAAACTCAGTCACACAATAAATTCTGGCAGGCCTCTACAGCTGACGACGTCCAACTAGCAGGCCGTGGCTAAAAAATCGTTCCCAATTCCTTACTAAAAAAACGTAATTACATCTGTAATTACAATTTGAGCATACTAAAATTAAAATCATTTTACATATAAAGGGGTCCCTCGATACCATTTACAAACGTATTGGCATTACATTCGTTGATACAATATTTTACCTCAGGGAGTGTGGGAGCAAACCGTGGCTAAAAAAATTGATTCCAATTCCTGACTAAAACAACGTAATTACATTTGGGATATACATTTTTACATATAAAGGGGTCCCCTCGATATCAACAACACACGTATTGGCATTAAACTTGTTGATATTTTATCATGTAACCTCGGTGAGTGCTTGCCTTGTGGCCATAGAAGCGAACGGTGTCCGACCTGACAGGCGGTCATGTTGGAACTATTGAGAGTTCCATAACCCGGAAGTGGGGTCTGCCGGGCTGTACACAGTATGCCTATGGGAGTGTCGCCACTCTGTTTACTCCACTGCTCTGAGTAGGATGCACCGCGACCATACTACAATGTGGGCGTGTCTAGTATCTGAGGTAGTGTTCTTCTCTGAAGACGCGCTGCATCTCCAAGCGAGTCAAGCCTCTCACCCGAAAGGCGCAGCTGTGCAGCGGCACGCAAAGAATTCTGGGATACCAACAGCACGAAAGCGTGCGTAAATGCCATAAGCTGCGTCCGAATTGCCAAGTAGTAGTCGAAGTAGTAGTCGAAGTAGTATCTAGCATGTCCGAATTGGCCACCGGAGCGAGTAGCATGCTACTTCAGATACTACTTCAGATACTAGAAACGCCCACATTGTAGGTTGGTCGCGGTGCATCCTACGGGCATGCTACTGACCCAAAATTCACTGCGGTCTTCTTCTTCGTCCTCTTAAAAGTTGTAAAAGCGCATGTGATGCTAGCGCCACCAGCATAGATGCGTCGCGAACGCCGGCTGGCCACAGCAGCGCGCACCATGTCGGAGCAGCAGCAGCAGCAGTACAGATGTAAGTTTCATGTAACTTCACACACTGTCCTAAAAAATGTGCGGTTGTATCTCTTTGTCATGTCATGGTGTCATATTTGCCCAAGTAATCATTTTATGAGCAAATATGTGGCGACATCATGGAGGTAAAGCTCACTTATTCCATCATTAAACTGCACAGCTGCAGTACTACAGCCAGGCCCGCAGATGAGGGGCTTCAGTGACCACTGTCTGCACTGGCGCAGTACCTACTCTCTGCCTGCGGGGGTCGTCTTTCCCCACCGCTCGTCTAGTGTGTCTGAATTGGGCCAACGTGTTTAGTATGTAGGAGTAGGATCTAGCAGTAGTATGTAGCAGTAGCATGTAGTATCCGAGCGGGCAATTCGGACGCAGCAACAGACTGTATACAGTCTATGGTAAATGCACGCTTGAAAAAGGGGCGGGGGCAGTGTGGTTTTGAGCATAGATATATAGAAAGACTAGATAGCTTACCTACGCTGTGAGCCAATGGGGACTGACGTCGTCACACGGCGGCCATCTTTCCTAGGGGCTGCTGGCCCACTGATAACATTAATGTCTATGGTGCATGTACTGTTTCAATGACCATATCTATGTCTTATTAGTCTTATTAGTTATAACTAAGATAACTTAGTTATTAGTTATCTTATTAGTTCAATTTCGAAATTCAAGACTTTCAGGTACCATTTTATTTTTTTCAGGTTCAAATCTTATTTTTTCACTTCACTTTTTATTTTTTCACTTACACTACTTTTTCAATACTTTTGAGCCTGATCTGGCTCCATACATATCCTGCCCAAATTTCAACTGATTTTCAAACGGATTGGTTTGTTATAAACGCCAGAGATGTAGTTATGTTTCTGCATATTTACGGATAATTATAACCATGGACTTTCAAATTAAATTAAAAAAGGAGATAGTGGAGCAATACCTGCCATAGCTGCACACATACACACACAGTGAAATTAAATTGTCAGTGTTTCTTATATTAAACATTTAATAGTTAGATATTTTATAGTTCTATTTAATACAAATATTAAATATAAAGGGGTAAGTTGACCCACATGATATTTTAAACTTAATCTTAAAACTTTAACAAATAATGTATTTACTGATGAAAAATAATTTTAATAGACATTTTCCTTTTTCAAATAGTCTTCATTATTTTCTTTGGGTTATTAAACAATATAAAACCAATCAAAGTTTGTTTTTCAGAACCTTTTAATATTCGCAATTATAAATATAATATTGAAAACTTTTCTTGAATGAGTGTATTTATCAAAAATAAAAGATCATTCTGCTAATTTGAGTAGCAAAGACCTAATAAAAATTCTATAAATTGTGATTTTTATTGGTTCAATTTACTCCAAGGCTTTTGGTTCATCTAGCCCCATGGCCATCGTTTTGATAAAACCTAATTGATTTAATGCTTCAGAATGATATTTTGCTTAATGATTCACATAGTTCTACACATTGAATATCACTAACATGCATGATGTATAAGTTTAGACCTGGGTCCATTTACTTTAACATAAAAATCATTATACCACAAATGTAAAAAGTTCCATGGCCTGTTGGAAATGTTTGTGTTCCTATTTTAGGGTCACATAACAACTCATGTGTATAGTCTTAAAGATCAAGGGGATGGTTTGTTTATCTTACCTGTTCTGCTACATATATTTTCATATAAAAATTAAAATAAACACATTCAGTAACATGACATAAAGGTTCATTTATTAAACAGATGTGAACAATTACAAAACAATTCAACATTCACTCCAAACCAACAGTCACACTAAACCATGCAACATTCACTCCAAATCAACAGTCACTCACATGGTCGCAACAAAACCAACATATATACAAGTGCACAGACAGTTTGAGCTACTGCCCCTTGAAAAGGACTGTTTTGGTGAGCTTCTGTCTCACATTGTCTTTCTGTACGCTGCGTGTAGTCATTTTAGCAATGTGGTGCAGCCTTAATTTGAAAAACAGGGACACAACTAGAGCTAAATTATGATATTGTTGGGGTAATTCATAACGCTTATGCTTGAATGCCATTATGTAAACTTAAATAACAAGTCAATAACAGTAACATGTAAAAATAAATGTGAAAAAGAAATATTCAATGATTATTATGTAAACAAATGTTAGAAACATTCCTTAAATGTCAGGGTGAAAATAACTTGTATTGTACAAGTACAAATTTAACTAAGTTAGTAACAATTATCCTAAATATGTCCCTCAAGTCATTTCTTATGAATGAAAGGTGATTCCACGGGCTCTTGTTTGAACAGAACGTTCATTTGAGCATCCATGTGCTGCACAAAAGTCTGGCATCTTGGACTGAAGGGGATATTTCTGTAAACACAAAGCCAGGCATTTACTGTATCACAACGAATCTAAATTAAGGATATATTTTACTAATGAAACAGCTTGGAAATCATATTATGTGTGTAAAAAACAGAGGGGTAATTCTGCCTTTCTTACCTGTAAAGAATTATGTCTAGGCTACTTTGTAATAGTCCCAGTGGACCACTATGTCACATTCGCGCTTAAGCACGCTTATCCCGATGCAGTCTCTGAAATGAGACACAGCCTGTATATACTATGGACAACTTGGTTCTGCCTCCCACCTGTATACGGATTTAAAGCCAAAAAGTTTTAGGTATTTCCGGGACTTTTCTTCATTTCCTGAAACCAGCACTGCGCAGTAGCAATGCGCGCATTCGGCTGCGCGGTCGTCGAGGCGTTATTTGGAATCCCACATCAGCTCTAGGCAAACCCCTCTTTGCTCCACAGGCCTGGTGATGCAAACAAACCCCACCCACGCTGTTCAGAAGCAGGAAGCCCCACCGCTATGTTTTGTTTTGGCATCTATACATTTATTAGGTCGTTTGTGTTTGCAGGAAGGCATTTCTCCACACTGCGTGACCACAGCTGCACAGTTTTATTGTACATACCTCCATTCTGAATGTCAAGTTGATTTATAAGATCCCCGTTTATACAAGCTAATGATATGCAGCCCAAATTATTACACAGTGATATGTAAGCCTGTATGACTTCTTTATTAATATTCTGGAGAGAGAGAGTGAGTATGTGTGCGTGTGTGTGTGTATATATATATCCTATTTTATATAGGCTGATGATATGCAGCCCAACTTAACATTACTTTTAATACATTGATGGTATGTATAATTGTATATAATCCAACCCTACGTCTTTAGTCTCTTCAAGCCTCATTTCCCTCTGGACACTCGTGTTGTGAGCTTGTAGGTCTGCTAATTTTGTTATCCGGAAACCAGGGTGGTTAAATTTATTATCCACAATCAATGAACACAATATGGTTAAATACAAGAGTACACTAAAATCAGCACTCCTTTAGCCTTAGTTTGCTCCGTCAGACAAAAGGATTTGTGTATTCTGTCACTGTATTCTATCACCCAACAAAAAGAACAAGAAATAATTGTTAGTCTCCTTATTCATCTCTAAAGTTCAAAAACAATGCATTGTCTGCCAAAATCAGCATGCTTTAGTTGATTGAACTGATGCCAACCTGGTGTTAATGTAGCGCCCAAACATGTGCCAGGCTGTGGAGAGTTTGGTGAGGTTGTTTTGGATCTTTATCATTGGATCTATAATTTACAGTTTTTCCTCTGTCAAAGGAATTGTTGAAGGCGAGCATTGCATGACGAAAATGGCAAATTCTTTCTCAGCATGCGTGTGTGTAGATAGTTTAAACAGACGGCACCGAAATTAAAAGATTAGCGTGGTTTGCCTGCGTCACCAGGCCTGTGTAGCAAAGAAGGCGGGGTTTGTCTAGAACTGATGTGGGATTCCAAATAACGTCGCCGAGAGTCGCTTTGATGAATCTCTGCTCAAACAGCGTATCCCCTGGGAGAGCTACGCAATCCCTGAACGCCCATAGGCTGTATCAAGTGTCAATCATAGAAAACATGAACCCCCTAATAACTTTTAAAAATGGAGCTTCACAGAAAAAAGAGGACTTGAGCACAAACCAGTCTTACAATAACTACGTGTCAACATCACAAGCAGGAGGGAGAAAAATTTATGTTCTGTGTAACAAATTTCTTAAGTTTGTCCACAGCCCCATAAGCTTTGCTGGCAGAGGCGAGATTTATGACCTATACTGCAGCCCATCAACAGAGGGTGCTGTTCTCAGAGTGGCTTCACCCAGCAAGGAGGCAGATGCTGTCCATTCTATGTACAGTCTATGGTTGTGCCAGCTCACACAAAAAATAAGCTAGCTAATGTTTTGATGCAACTGAGGTTCGGTAGAGGGATAAAAGTGCATATTGCATTTAACAAGTCGAACAATAAATGCCTCTGCTAGGGAGAATTCAAATAATTAAACGAATGAACAAACAAACAAACAAATAAATAAATGCGTGTAGGCTTTAATAGTCAACCAGAGGAGGGACAGAGGATAAAAAAAAGATATAAGATCTGGATTATCCATGGAATTTACAAGACAACAACTCAAAATAGTGCTGCTAGTAGTAAAATGCAGCCCAGGAAAGGATCAGTGTTGTTGCCATGTTTTGACAGCTCCCAAAAATATTTAATGAAATGATCGATGATATTCTAATGGCGGCAGTAGCTCAGAAGGTAGAGCGGTCGGCCAATAACTGAAAGGTTGGCGGTTCAAGCCCCGAGAGGCTGTAGGTGCAAAACTGGCAGCCACGTTTTCGTCAGTCTGCCCCAGGTCAGCTGTGACTATTAAGGTAGTTTACCACCACCAAGGTGTGACTGTGTGAGTGAATGAATGATGTATCCAATGTAAAGCTCTTTGAGGGTCTCTGATAAAGCGCTATAAAAAAAAATCTGATGCATTATTAGAATGAAACAAGGAGGGATGGAGATATAGTTGTTGGAAAAACGTGGTAATACCACCAGTCAGCCAATAACAAGTCGTCTGATCAGTGGCATTCTCAGGCCGAAAAGTTCAAATGAGAAACTTTACATATCTACTTAACTGTTAAATGTTAATATAAGACTATCTGCCTTTACAGGTCAAAAGGGACAATAATTTATTCCTATGGATGGCTTAATGGTTTATATAAATTAAAGAGACAGTTGGTGAAAGAGAAAAATGTAAAATAAAATGTACTATGGCACTACAGAAAGGGAACAGGACATTGGGCTGTCAGTGTTTTGAAGTCTGCGGTCTTATGAGCAGTTAACAACCAGAGAATGTTTCAAAGATCATCTAATTAAGGGCAGGTTTATGGTTTTATCAGCTGTCAATCAGCTGAGTGTTAGCTGTCTTCATGAGTTCCTGCGAAGACCTTTTGGGCACATTTCTTAAAGTCTTGATCTTGCTGTCCCTCTGCTTGAACCCAGTAAAAATATTTTATAGATATCTTAAATCATTTTTCAGGTTAATTTTTCATCTTGTGCTGGAAAAGCTATCATGATTGACTGTTTCTGTTTTCTCTTGTTGGAGTTGACTCTGCTCACTTTTACGGACAGATCATCTTTTCATCGAAACCTTACAGCAAAAAGGTTTCTTTACAATCTGTGGAAACATTTCCAGTGAAATAAAATAAACACCAGAGACTCAGAGTGAAACTTTGATGCATTTTATTGAAGTTGTCTGTCCACAGAGAATAAAATGTTTCACAAGTGTTAGTGAAAAGTTTCCTCCTACAGAGATTAAAATATCACAGACATTTTGAATACACTGAAAAATAAACACAAGAACAACACAGTGAACTCCCTCCCTTTCCTCAGTTGGATCATTATTTTTAACACTCTCAGCCTTGGAACTAACAATTCCAAGAATGTACTGGTGCCCTGAACTCAACACATTAGCCTAAAGCAATGCATTATGGGAGTTTACATTTTAGACAACAGAGCACACATCCATTGCATAAACTCAGTCTCTTAAGAGGAAGAACAAAAAACTTGAGTCATTTCACTTTTGAACAAATTCTGCAGATGAAATAGACTGCTAATGTTGCAGGTTATGACATAATACAGGTTGTGGTCAAGGGGCATTGCTCGTCAATCTGTTCGAGCTGCTCTCAGAAATGACATTTCAATCACATATTCATATAGTTCCAGGTTAAAAATTTAACAAAGAACTGTCCTCAAAACATTGATGGGAGAGTTTGAATTTGTTTAATTTATTTTGAAGGAGTCAAAGAAAGGGGTGGGGCCACACTGTGATGTCATTTATCAAAACAAAATTAAGAAAAAAGACAAAAGAAATAAAAGAAACATCAAATAGCACCAACAGTAATTCCAGGCTAAATAAATACTCTGATGACATTTACAGTAAAAATATAAAACGGTGGAGTTCAAACTTATTTACAAATTACAGAGAGAAAAAAAGGACCAGAAGCAGAACCTGTACCAGGTCCAAAACTGGACTCAAAGTAGATGGAAAGTAACACAAAATCTCCACCTTCTCTTGACACCATATTTTCCTGTAAAGTGACAAGAAATGTTCTAAATGAAAAAACAGCATTTAAGCAGTTAATGCAGTTGATTTTTTGTTGAACCTGCAGCCGCAGTTCTGAAGTTTGTACCGATATGAAATGTCCAGACAGAGTGATATTCAGGCCAACTTTATTCATAACATAAGGACGACAGATTAAACTGAATCAGTTAATCAACAATTAGGAAGATAAAACACAATGTCTGGATCTGAGGCAGTCCTCATTAAGTCCTGGTCCTGGTTCTGGATACGTGCTTTGAGTAACAGGACAGAATGTTACCTCTTGTCTGTGTTGAAAGAACCTAAAGTTGAATCCTGACTTTGCTCAAGTGTGACTGTGACTCTCTGTTTTACACTGAAGCTTTTAACATTGATAAAGAACATTAACTCAGGCGAGCAGAAGGGGGCGCTCTAAACACGCCAAAGAAAACTGGAACAAAAAACATGTTTCAAGGTTTAATGTCAAATATATTCACAGCTTCTCACACGATTCTGCCCCTCCTTAAGTGTCCGACCAATCACACAGTCGCTGCCTCTCAGCTGACCAATCAGAATGCGTTTTCAGCCGTCCTTTCAGAACCATACTCAGTGCAGTTCTGGTTGGGCAATGGGCTCGGCAGAAGGCGGGGTTTCTGTCCACTTAGGTGCTTTGTATTGTTGGTCAGGTGAGGTGAAAAAGACACAATGATGCTGCTAGCCAATCAGATTATTACATCAGTGCTAATTTAACATTATGATTTTACTGTTCAATTTACTGTTAAAACTGCTGTATCAAATGTTATTTGATTAATTCATATTAACGTTATGATTTGGAGCTAGACATTAAGAATTAAAAACATTAACCTGAAAATAAAGGAAATTGTAAGTTTCCTCTTCTGATAAATTCAGCAAATGTCACATCAGGACTGGTTCAAACTAAGGTTCAATGATCTCTGGGATGAATATTGATGAGAAAACAAGATGAAATAACTGAGTAAAGAATGGAATTAGCTTTTTCAAAAGATGGCAGCTCAGTTCTGTACTTTATATTTGGACAAATATTTAAAAAAAAACGACTATTTTTTTTACAATTTTAACAAATGTGTTCATGGTGTGAATTAAAGCCATTTTCACAAGGAAAATATAAAAAATTATGGCATGTCAGCGTGTTACCAAATGGCATCCTGTGGTGTTGAAAAGCAGGTCCTTTACTGCTCACAAGAGGCTGTCTTTGAGTGAATCAGTCCCCACAAAGTCTCATGTTAAAGAGTCACACTTTACAGCCAGGTACAAAAAAATGTTTAGGACACTTTTCACGAAAAAATACTGGACACTGTTAATACTGGACATGCAACTAGCTGTAGAGTGCTAGTCCATCTGTCTCCACTGAGTCTCATTTTCACTGTATGTAATTCACACTAACATCAGCTGAAATCTGTCTGACAGCAGCACTTTGAGGCCAAAAATCAACAGATTTGACTGATTTAATGACAAACAGGCTGAAAGGACGCTGAAAAACTACACCAGGATACTTATTTAAAAAAGGTTCCAACGCATGGTTCATCAGGTCTCTCTGCAAGCCAGAATTCAAATTCTTGTTTGAATTTTTCTTGACTGTTAGGTACTAACTCTGCGCCCTATTGTTTCTTAGCAAATTCATGTTTTTTCCACTGCCGGTGCAGAGTAGTTTGACTGACAGAGTTGCAGTCATACTAAAAAGCTGGTATAACGGTTGGTCAGTGCTTGTCCTGCACCAGCAAACTCACAGCAGCATGATCCTCACAGAAACAGAGTCAAAAACCTATATGGTGTTCCGCAGGGTTCTATCATGGGTCCCCTGGAATTTCAGGTTATTCACCACTGTATAACAAACAAGGTGATTCCCAACAGACCACCAGCATTCTCTGTGGTTGAACATCTCAGCCAACAGGGGGATAATCCACAGACAACAATCAGAGGCAAGAAAACAAGAAAACTTGATGTTTACTTCCTCAGTACGGGTGTGAGGCGACAGTTTCCATCTGCAGTTTCAGATGCTGGTCGAAAGACATTTTTAAGTTCATGTTTCATGCAGAGCCCCTTTCATCATAAGATAAATCATGACACCAGTTTGACAGACAAAGATAAAAACTATCATTCCCAGTTTGAACTGTGACGTATGCTGAAAACAGAAAATAAAACTTTTGCTACTCTGAGGCTCTCCTGGTGATCTGAACATGAATAATTGGTAGATTGATCTGTGAATTGATTGGTCAGCTGGTTGATTGATTGAACGGCAGCATCATCGTGATAGGACTCTCTCTCCTCACAGACAAACATTTTTTGTTCCGTCTGTCCTCTCAGACTCTGCAGGAGGACGTGTTTCTGCTCATTCTCACTCCCTCATGCAGACATTGCACCTCCCGATGCTCTCCCTCTGCTGCCAGCCCTCGGTCAGTGTGGTGGGGGAGCTATTGGAGGTGGAGGTGGTCGTCTCCACCCGGGTCAGCCAGAAGCTATAGATATTGGCGAAGTAGTGGCAGGTTCCCCGGGGGCCCTGACACTCCACAAAGGGCTGGGCCCTGAAGTCTGTTAGACAGCTACCCGATGATGTCAGAGACTGACCACCACCCTCGTCACCTGCGCCTGTATGCTGCAACACACACAGGAAGTGGCATCATTAGTCCGACTAAGTCCAGTCCAGGTTTAAGTACGAGAAAGGAGCAGCTCTTTAAGTTGTACCTGCAAAATTTTACCTGGTATCAGTGGTACTTAAAGGTCCTGATCTACTAAGATCCCAAATAACAAATGCTAAATTGCCTGCAAACTAAAAAATTGCATGTGCTATTTATGAGTGTTGTGGGTGATGTACTATATTTGTGTGCACAGTTAATGACAGGTGCAAAAGTGGTGCGGACTGCTCTCTTTAAACAAGGATTTGCGTGCACTACAGGCTGTCAACATGGAGAGTTTGTGAGAGCGGAGTAGTTGTGGATGAAAAAGGACGTTTGAAGCCATGGAGTTGCACATATCATTTTTGGGAAGCCAGCAACTACATAAAAAGCAAGGCAGGCTTATCTGGATGGCACCATTCATACACAAGACAATTCAAAGTGCTTTACAGATGCAAGGACATATACTAGAAATGAAATGAAAAAAGATTAAACAATTTAAAATCAATAAGACAAACAGGGGATGGGGGGGGGGAGGGGGGGGGTTATGACCTATACTGCAGCCTGTCACCAGGGTGCTGTTCTTGGAAGAGTTTACCCAGCGAGGAGGCAGATGGCGTCCATTTTATATACAGTCTATGGATGGTGGGCTGGAATAATCTAGACGCAGGAAAATGCAGTGTCATCGTCTATCATTGCACATTTGTCTTCTTCCTCCCACAATGACCGTGCGTAACGCTGTTCCAGTTTGTATGCCTCTCCAATGTGCTAAATATGGATGCAAAAACAGCGACCGCAATCACATTGTGGAAACTGAATGATCCCATCTGCATCTACTTCTCCTGGTATTTTGTGTGTTCTGATAATCTGCATACATTCTGCATATTCATGAAGGCAAACATGCTAAATGGATTGCCCATGCTGTTTTGCTCACTTGACAGATGCAATCCTCGGTGCACCTGGTTAGTAGATCAGCTTTGCGCACACTATCAAGTTTGCATGTGTTTTTATACACGCAAACCGTTTGTAGATCAGGTCCACAGTGTATTTAGGCAAAAATATATTTTTAAAGGATAATTCTACCATTTTTAAAACCAGGGTTTTTGTTTTTCTTGTGTCCAAGTTAATACAGCTATAAAAGCAAAGTACAGAAACAGCAAAAAAGCTATTGCAATTGCAGCACCAACAGTCCTTTGAATTCAGATTTTTCAACGGTCACGAACCAGCGAATAAAGTAATAGTCCACTTAATTTGCGCCATTTATGTGATTCGCATAATCTAATCGCATTGTTACACTGACTTTTCATGTAATTCACTTGTGTGAATGACTTTATTCGTGTTTGATGTGAATGCACCATAAAACTGCACTTCATTAGATTAACCTCCTACGTTGTAGTACCCACCATAAGGAAGGAGTATCCTGTCCACAGGCTCCTCCAGTAGGGGGGGCAGTCCGGCTGGTCAGAGGTCTGGCTGTGCAGTGCAACAGGTGAGGAGGGGGCCTCACAAACCACACAGCGGCTGATGTGATCCTCAATGGAGGTTCCGCCCACTGGAATACTGGGGACTGCTGCTGTTGTGGACAGCCAATACGATTTGTCGTTTCGGCTGGCGTAGGAACAGCTCCCCATATTACAGGAAGAGAATGGCATGGTGGAGAACACAGGCATACATGAGCCCGCCTGACCTGGAGGAAACATCAAAACAAACAGATTTAGTCTGAATGTTGAATGTGATTTTTCCCTCTGGGCCCCGTGCAGTTTAGGGAGGATGTTTGAGCTCAATTAAAAAAATAGGCTGCTAATAAAAGAATGGTTTTCATTTTAGATTAAAAAAAACAAAACATCACCCTTAAACTGATATTTAATATACAGTGGCCAAAAAGATCAGCTGCACAAACATTTCATCATGGCAGAAGTATCAATTAAAAACAAAAATATGCAAAAATATTTCTCGAAACTCACAAAAAATTAAGCTATCATGTTTCATGACTCACAAAACATTTCATAAAACATAAAACTATTCAAGAGAACCTTTTTTGTCTGCATTACATTTCATTAAATATTTTGCCTAATTTTTACCTCGAAAGATGATGAAAGATTTGTGTGTCATAAGAAGTTTGCATTGCTGACCTTCAGGGCCACAGTATAAATGGGTGGTATTTAAGTGTATACAGAAATGAAAAGAACAAACAGAGCTAACATGTGTGGACAGTATTTGCATCAATAGAAAACATTCTTAGTGATAGCTGTAGTAATGCAAAACCATCAGCATGTGACCCTGGAGTTTGTTTCCTGAGTCTGCATGAAGCTGACGAACTGTGAAAGTATCTGCTCCCTGGAAACACTGTCTCACCCTGATTGCAACTGCTGGGTCATCCTGCTGCAAACATCTCAACCAAAACAGTAATTCAGTCGCAACCTCATCGAAGAGAATTGATTATTTACATGCACTGAGTTATACTTGGTGGTATGGCTCTATTCTGGGAGCTTATATATAGTATCAAGCCCTGAGGCAGGTAGAACACACTACTCTGAGTTTTATGCACATACATAAAAAGCCCAGGCAGGGAGAGCATCAGCAAAACCCCAGGGGTACACAACAGAGCAGCATCAGTGTCAAACCACAAGCCTCTGGTAAAATCACACTCAGCATTAAAAGGAGAACCTGGGCTGGAGACAGATTGAAAAGCTGTTTGCAGTAGGAACAGGTGGAGTATGCAGGCTGAAGGTGTTAAGATAAAACTACTTTGACATGTACAATTAGATGTTTCAAAGGTAACCAGCTGGGCTGTCAGCTGATATGGGCTGGTGGGAAGATCCGCTGATGTGCTTTGGACTGGCCTTGACCTTTGTGGCCTGCCTGAACTAACACTATTCAATATTCACTTTCTAGGTAGACTAAATGACCTCCAAGATACCTGCTGTGATAAGATACAGGATGTGAGGACACCTGATCCCATTTAAACCAAACTGTGTGACAGTTAAACAGGCAAATGGTTTGGAAACTTAAGTGTATTTGTGGGTGAGTACCCAGGTCCTGAGTGTGGGCCTTCTCCTGACCCTCCAGATACAGCAGACTGTAGCCCACCCACAGCACCCTCATGCTCAGAGGACACGCAGGGATCGTCGTTGATTGGCTGTGCATCACTAGCAGGAAGCCTGAGTTCAGCTTTCTGTTCGGTCCAGGCTGACCCGGATCACCTACCGGACCAGGATCACCTGGGACACAAAGACCACAAATTGTTTGATTAGACAACAAAGAGGATACACAAAAAACACTAAATTCAGTTCGACCCTGGATCAGTAATGTCCAAGGATCACAGAAATAAAAACTGAGAATTGAAAACAGACAGACAAAAAAGGGGGAGTGTCCACCTTTGTCTCCTATTACTCCACTCTCCCCAGGCAGGCCTGGTCCTCCTCGGTCTCCCTCTGAACCTGGGGGTCCTACTTGGCCAATCAGTCCCACAGGCCCAAAGTCCCCCTTTTTACCTGGAACACATCAGAGCTGTCTTACGCTTGAGTAGCAGAGAGTGTAACTGATCATTCTTACCAGACAAGACATAGCCTGAGCTGGACCTGGTTTGATTCTCCTGGATTGACTTAGCTCCTCTTATCAAAGTGGAGACACCTGACAGGTACTTGTCCACTCCTCTTTTCTTACCTTTGAGTCCCTGTGGGCCAATTTCTCCCTGGATGCCAGGATCTCCAGGTGGACCGAGGGGGCCAGGAGGTCCTGAGGGTCCTGGTGGGGCTGGAGGGAGTGTAGGGCAAGCGGAGACTCGTCCTTTTTCCCCTTTGGGGCCCACAGGTCCAAAAAATCCTTTTGGTCCAGGAGGCCCATTAGGACCAGCACAACCTTGAGGACCCTGATTACCAGGCAGTCCCATCAGACCTGGCGACCCTCGTATACCTGTTCATATACAGGCAGACACTTGTTTGCTTATCTATGAAAAGGACATTTGCGCTTCTTCAGATCATTCCATTATTATCTACGTATAGCAGTGATCATGCAGGTGCCACCCACACCACATTCACCCATTCACACCCTTTTCACACACAGATGGCTGGGACTGGTAAGGCACGGCCCATTGGCTAATCTCATTTAAACATTCACACACTGACTGTCACACTTTGAGGCTCTGTGTCTTGCTCAAGGACACTGCAATAAGTGACTGCGGCGGCTTGGATCCAACCCCCTGAGCCACACATGCCCCACATTTGTACCTGATGTCTCCGGTGTTGCAGGATCTTTGTGTGCGCTCCACAGTTTAAATAGCCTCAGAGACAGAGGAAAACTGACCTTTCACTCCAGGACTTCCAGGGCTGCCAGGAAATCCCTCAGGCCCTAAAGGTCCCTGTGGACCCTGAGGACCCCTGCATCCTGTGTCCCCATTGTCTCCATCATCCCCAGGCACTGGAGGGTTTGGACCTGGATCTCCCATTTCACCAGGGGCCCCTGAAACATCAAACAAATGTCAGAGGTCATCAAGAGAGGTTTATCTGGAAAAATTCCTCCACCATACAGCCAAAGTCTGACCTGGGTCACCGTCAGGTCCGGCACATCCAGAATCTCCACGGGGCCCGGGGACTGGACCTTTACAGTCTGGCCCAGGTTTCCCTGGAGGTCCCAGACCACCTGGGGGTCCTACAATAATGCAAAGAGACACCTCATTGACAGGAGCCATAGAAAGTCTTGCTTTCAGATGGATTAGAGGGTAAACACACAGACCCTGATGGGACCGACATTACAACAGACCTTTGGATCCTGGTAGACCTTTGGGTCCTTGAGGGCCAGGCTGGGATGTGCCAAATGGTCCTGGAGGTCCTGGAGGACCTTTATCCCCTGGCAGTCCTGTAGCACCTGGAGGACCTTGGACACCTAAACCTGAAGAGAGAAACAGATGCACTTAGTGAAGCTAAAGCTTAACATTTCAAATGTTTCAAGATTTCAAAAACTAATAAAAAATCAAAACTGAAGGGTCAGGGGCTCTAAAGTTCAGCCAAGTTCAGCCATGCTACATCTGATGGAAAGCCTCCTCTGTATGGCCCCGATCTGACAGACCATGCAGACTACAGTCTATGAGCACACAAGCCCCCCCCCTAAGGTTAATAAGTCCGGGGAGTTATACCTCTGGTCCCCATGTCCCCCTTCACTCCTTTTAGTCCGTCCAGACCATGAAGTCCCAGAGGTCCAGGAGGACCTGATTCAACAAAATCATTCATGAATACAAAAAAAATGTACCAGTAAAACAGTATTTTCCGAAGACACAAGGTCAGTGTGCACATGCCAACACAATATGATCAAAACTGGGACAAGGCTTATTATCTGGACACTTCAGTCCCTCTAAACAGTATTGTCTCATGAAACAATGAGAAAAACTACAGTAACTTCTGACCTTGGAGTCCCTGGCAACCCTGTGGTCCTGCAGGACCATCAGCCCCTGCTTTACCAGGAAGACCTGTCAAACCTGGGCGCCCTCTGGGACCTGGGGGTCCAATCACACCTGAAATAAACCAGACAGCAGACAAACAGGATCATGGTCTATTCCATTTGAGGGTCCAAATTCGGTCCTGCTGGATGTGACAGGTGATTAAGAAAACACTAAAATAAAATTTAGCCAGTTCAGTCAACAGCATCTCCTCTGCATTACAGCCTGTGCAGTAGCCCCAAAAACTGCAGTACCTCTTGTGTCCACTAGAGGCTGTCCCAGAAAACCAAGGAACCCAATACAAGCACATTTTCAAATGTCTATTTTCATAGAGGACTGAGCCTGGTACAAAAACCGATTTGGTCTCCTTTCCCTATGATAAGGGGTGAATTTTATCCAGACTCCCATCTCTTGATTTTAATAAGACCATTTTTTTGTTAGGTGTTTTTTTTTTTTTTTTTTAACTTTCTGCAGGTGTTGTTGTTGCTTAATTCACGCGAATGACTTGCTTAATTTGAATATTTGTATCTCTTCTGCAGAGCACCCAAACACCCATGTGATTACAGAGAAGAGTGGTTCTTACATGTCAGGTCAGTCTGTTTACATCAAACATAGCAGAGGTTGATTCCACTGCAAGGATCTGCATTATTTTAGTAGTTTTGAGCCGGTGTCCTTACCCTTTTTATCTGATATTTTAGTCCACATGAAACCAGCTACGTGCAGTCTTGATTTTATCCCCACTAGATTTCTCAAAGAGGTTGTTAACCTGGTTGGGCCCAGCATTTTATCCATTATTAATAGCTGTCTGGTAGAGGGAGTATTTCCCTCTGCTTTTAAACACGCTGTGGTCCAACCCCTTTAAAAGAAACTGAACCTTGACCCCTCTGATTTCAACAATTTCAGACCGATTTCAAAATTTCAATTTTCATCCAAACTTTTAGAGAAGGTGGTTTCTAAACAGCTTTTATGATTTTTGTCTGAAAACAACATCTTTGAGATTTTTCAGTCTAATTTTAGAGCAGGTCACAGCACTGGGACTGCCCTCCTCTGTGTGACCAATGACCTTCTTTTAGCAGCAGATAGAGGGGAGGGCTCAATTTTATTTCTTTTAGATCTCAGTGCAGCTTTTGATACAGTTGATCATGCTACTTTAATTGAACATCTTAAAAACTGGAGGGGTATCAGGGGCAATGCACTTGGCTGGTTTCAGTCGTATCTTTTAGAACAAACCTTTGCGGTCACCATAGGCAATCACACCTCCTCTACTTCTACTTCCTTTGAGACTTGAGGACCCAAAAGGCCGAGCTGCTGTCATGGACTGTCTTAGTGATATTAAAGGACATCAATGGCAGAAAATTTCCTTCAACTAAGTTATTGAAAATCTGAAATAATTCTCTGTAATATACAAAATCCCCCCTCTCATACAGTCTTGTCTCAGTAATCATCAAACCAACAGCCAGAAATCTTAAAGTAACTTTTGACTCTGACCTCACCTTCTCCACCCATAGCAATAAAATTATCCAGTCCTGTTTCTTTCAACTGCATACAATTTTAAAAAATTAAACAAATACTCACCCCACCAAATCTTGAAAGGATAATCCACGCTTTCATTTTCTCAAGGCTGGACTACTGTAACTCTCTCCTCCCAGGTCTAAATAACAAATCACTCTCCCACCTCCAACTAGTTCAGAATGCAGCAGCTAGGCCTTTAACTGCTTTTCCTGTCAATTTTGGAATTGATTTTAAGATTTTATTAATTACTTTTAAAGCACTCAAGGGACTTGCTCTAAGCTACATCTCAGAGCTTTAAATGCCTTATGAGCCAGCTCGCAGCCTCAAATCCTCTGGCAAAGGCCTCCTCGTCGTTCCAAAGTCGAGGCTCAAAACTAAAGGTGATAGAGCTTTCTCTATCAGAGCTCCTCGACTTTGGATGACCTGCCAGAGAAGATAAGGTGTGGAGAGTTAGTCCCTTATTTTAAGTCAATCTTAAAAACTCACTTTTACAGACTTGCCTTTATGTGATGCCATCCTTTATCTTTTTCTCTTATTTTGGTTTTACTGTCTATTTTAGCTTTTGTTACACTTTTAATCTTTTATTAAGTAACCTTTTATGCTTTTGATGTTTTATTTATCTATCTCTTGCTCATTTGTGTTATTCAATCTTATCATAACTATATCATCATTACTGTTTTATTTTTATGTTATTATCATTATTAACAAGTCTTTTTATATTTTCTATCCTGTTTTCTGCCTTCAACTCCCTTTTTTAATTGAATTTTCTTTTTCCTACGTATGTCTTCATCTTTTATTTCGGTCCTTATGGTCTCATTTTATGTTGCATGGTTCTTGTACCATCTGGGTTTCTTATGAGATATGAAAATGGTCTTCAACTTCTGAGGCATTTGATCTTCTTGTTTTTAGTTTTGTGCTGAAGCTCTTGTGCTCCTTCACTTTCGGTCAAAGTACTTTGTATACATCTGTTTTCAAAAGTGCTTTACAAATAAATGTATTATTATTGTTCTCATTATATTATGTTAGATGTAACTGACACTATATCTTTACAGCCCATGAGTGCAATCAACTTCTTTACCTTGTGGACCTGGGTCACCCTGATCACCTGGATCTCCTTTGCATCCTTTCTGTCCTGGACCCCCAATAAAACCTGGTGCACCAGTGTCTCCTCGAGGTCCTGGTGGTCCTGACAGATGAATAAAACCAACAGATTCAAGTGTTATTCTATTGGTTGTATCTTCAGCTTCAATCGGCTGATAACATTCATTTTGTTTCTCCTGGATGTAAAACTTCACAGAATTAAGGCCTGATCATCACCTGGTGTTCCGTAGTCTCCAGGAGGCCCCTTGTCTCCAGGTGGACCAGGAATACTAATAGAGTCTCCTTTATCACCTGTATTTAATGAATGGAAAATAAAATTGGTCACTATTCAAATAAACCTCCTGAGCACTGGTGGTGGGGTTTTGGTAGATAGTTACCTTTGGGCCCAGTACAGCCTTGGGCACCAGGTATCCCAGGTTGCCCAGGACACCCTGTATCACCCTGAAATCACAAACAAGAACAGATTAATATTTCCCACAAAACAAACAATGCCAAAGTTCTATTTCTTGGGTTCAAAGCTAACTGCTCTTCTTTTCAGACCTCTTCATGATCTTAAACAAAAGGACAAACTCGACAAAGCCTCACTCAACCCAACTCAACTCAGCACAATTCGATTCAGCGCCTTTTGACTTACCCGTGCCTTTCTTTAATTGATTCCAATCACCTAAAATTCATCCATCTGGACTTGCCATGACCCAACTGGACCTGCCTTGACTGACCCTTACTAGATTCCACTTAGTTTAACATAAACAGGCCTGTCTCTTCAAGACTTAGCCTTTCTATACTCACACAGAATTTGTCTCATCTTCTCTTCCCCTGCATAACTGGCACAACTAGAGCTACCACTATCTGACCTATTGGTATCGCTTGACCTTTCTTGACTCGACCTGACTTACTTTAACTTGACCAGGCTCAGCCTGTCTTGACACAACCTCTTTCGAATCAAATCAAATCAGCACGGCTGAATCTGAACTCCATCTAACTCATCTCCACTAGACTTGGCTCCCCCAGAGCTTGATTTGACTGGATGGTTCTTTGCATGACTCAGAGTGACTTAATTCACAAACCAACCAATCAGCCAACCACCAAACCCTTCAGAAGAAATTTGGATCAAACTCTGAGTTGTTCTGAGCAGTAAAATACACAGTGTTCTCTGTGGTGTCCATAATGCTTCAAGATTATCCATTAAAGCACGTAAACACACCAACATCAGCAAAACAACTCCCCAGGTCAATGAATTGAACCATACAACAACTCCTTTTCCCCAAACTTACAGAAAGAACAACGAAAATACATAACTGAGGTCGGAGTCCCTCAAAGACTTTGTACCTTTGTTAAAGGCTTCATCTGTGAGGTCAGTTCCTCTCCTTGTTGACTGACTTTATAATAAACTTCCAGATCCTCTGTGTTAGGGATCTACCTGTATTATCTTTGTTTATCAGGCTTTTTGAATCTTACTAGATCTCCATTCTCTCCTGGAAAGCCAATAAGTCCACGGGGTCCAGGACGCCCAGGTTGTCCAGGAGATCCCGGTTTGCCGTATAGTCCAGGGGGCCCTGGGATACCTGTGATCCCAGGGGATCCATCATTGCCTGAACACCCAGGCTTACCAGTTGCTCCTTGTGCACCTTCATTTCCTGTGGAGACAGAGATTGGACCGTTGTTGTACTTTCACAAATTTAATTGTGTCCCAACTCACTCTGGACTATTTTGACACAACTAAACTCCACATGACTCTTCCTGGTTGGATATAAAATGATAATTGTTGACTCTAACTGAAGTGGACCAGAAAAAAGCAGACTAAAACTGACCAAACTCAATATAAATGACTTTGTCTAACACCGAATAAGACTAGACTCAGCTCAGTTAACCTGGTTAACCTTATCATTAATGTGAAAGATCATAACCTTTTAACCTTCTGTTTGACATCATGCAATGAAAAAGGTTTCTATGGTAACAGCTCTGACCTCGTGGTCCAGGAAAGCCAGTGAGGCCTGGGGGTCCAGGTTTTCCCTTTTCTCCTTTGATGGGAATAATCTTAGTATCTCCTGGAGGCCCCAGGACCCCTTTACAGCCTGTGGGGTACATTCAGAAAGAAGGATAAATTTCAAGGGACAGTACTGGTTTATAGAAAGCTGCTCGCAGTACTCTGTGTTTACCCTTCTCTCCTTTCGGGCCTTCACATCCTTTTGCTCCATCTCGACCACTTAACCCTCTTGCCCCTTTTCTTCCAAGGGCTCCAGGGCACCCTGGCCGTCCAGGGGACCCCGGTGCTCCATCAAAGCCTGGGGGCCCCATCAGACCTGAAGTATACCATAAGTATTTTTGTGAACCTGCAACTATAAAACTCTTTAATGCATATAATGGCGAAAGAAGCTCACCTTTCTGACCCCCAAGACCAAGCAGTCCTGGATCTCCATTTGGTCCAGAGGGGCCTTGTGGGCCTGGGTACCCTGGAAAACCAGGATTGCCAGGTTTTCCTACAGGGCCCTGGAGACCAAAACCTGGAATTCCATCAGCTCCTGTCTCACCTTTCTCCCCCTGAAATCCTGCACAGTAATATCAGTGAGGGTTGTTAGTCAATACTAGTGTTGACAAACAACTTTAAGGTGGAATGAAGAAATTTGATAAAACAAACAAAAGAAATGACAAAGACAATAAAATACATACTACACAGTAAAGTAAGGTAAGGTGTTCAAAACCAGCTTTTACCTGGTGGCCCAATGGGTCCCTGGGGGCCAAAACGACCTCTGGGGCCAGGTTTTCCTGTATCACAATATTGAGCTGGGGGTCCTGCAGCACCAGTTATACCTGGAGCCCCATCTTGTCCTCTTTGTCCCTTGGCTCCAGGGCTCCCAGACAGACCAAGGGCTCCTTTTTAAACGCAGGAGGTAGGCACAGTAAACCACAGTTAACAGCTTGACACAGATCAACACATCCCTAATCTACAGAGTCCATAAACCCTTAGCACAAGTTCACGTCTTACCCAATTCAGATCATATAAATTCATCCCTAAATCTTTGACCCAGTAAGTTACCCTGTAGTCCATCATTCCCTGGTGGGCCAGGGACTCCTTTGGGCCCCTGTGACCCACGTGACCCTGGGAATCCAATTGGTCCTGAAGGCCCAACACTAGAGTCCCCTGCATGGCCCCTGAGTCCAGGGGAGCCTGGAAGCCCCGGAGAACCTGGTGGCACACACAGTAAAACAGCCGATAGTGACTCTTTAGTCTTTTACTGGTTTGGAAGAGTTTTTCACATTTTTACCACTGACTTCATGCTCTCAGTTTTTCAGCAAATCTCTCCTCGACTCAATATTAAAATGTTGCAAAAAGGAAAGCAGATGAGGCTTCTTGTTTTTGAAGTAACACTGACACAAAGATTGTCTTGACCCTGCAGTCTTTTCAATGCCAAGCAGGGGGCAAGTCCACTGGTAGTCTGATAGACAGGAAGTCTGATAGAAGTCTAATCAAATATATAGTGTTTCTTTGATTGTGTTGATTTTTATCATGTTTGACGTATAGTCTATTTTATCTGAGAAGTCTCAGAGAAAATGGACTGTCTTCTTAGTTCATTTATTCCCTCTGTCAAGATTTTCCTTACACATTTTGGGTTTCAAAATTTGTTTTCTACTCTTCTTCAATGCCACATGATGCTCATTTAGTATATCAGGGTCCCAGTGAAAAAGTCACACATTGGTGTGTTGTCAGAGTGTACTTTTTTGGTTGTCCAGCTGCCTTTCTAAAGAACCCAACAGTCAGGTGATTGTACCTGAATCTCCACTATAACTGATGCCCTCAGGTCCTTCCTCTCCAGTGTTCCCAACAACACCAGTAAGTCCTGCAGGTAACACAGGGTATGATTACAGGTAAAGTTATGAATAATTGCATGTTAAAGGTAATGGGGAGGACAGGTGTTGCTAAGGTTTAACAGGTAAACTGGGGTGCCTTGTCGTCCTGGTGGTCCAAGAAATCCAGACTGTCCTTTGTCTCCTTTAGCTCCATCAAGTCCAGTGAGACCAGGAAAACCTGCTGCCCCACGGGGTCCTGTGTAACCTGAGATGACCATTAGGTATGCAAGGTGAATTGGAAGTCAGAAAAACAGGTTAATGAACAGGTGGATATTACAAATGTGCTTTTACCTGTATTTCCGGTGTCCCCCTTCTCTCCTGGAGCACCTGGGTTTCTGGGTATGCAAGGCAGAGTGTCACCTACAGGACAAGGGGTCAGACGGTAAGGGTAGGGGCCAAATGTGAAGAGGGGGAGGTCAGACAGGTGGTGGTAAGCTTTTGGACTGGAGGTGCAAATTTTAAATCTGACCGTTTACTCCTTTTGGCCCAGGAAAGCCAATGGGTCCTGAAGGTCCAATGTCTCCAGGGGGCCCTCGCTGTCCTATAGCCCCCACTACACTTGACCCTACTGAGCCTGAAGGTCCTGCTGACCCTTTTGGCCCTGGGAACCCTGGCAAGCCTCTCTCACCAGGAAAATTTGGGAAACTTTGACCCTAAAAGAAACAGAAAAAAGATTTAAAGATGGGTTATTGTTCACAGTCCGACACTGAAGTCCCTCTTTGGACAAATAGGAGAATTAAAAAAAAGCATGATGTGGCTGCTGGGCATCAAAACGACAGCACGTCAGGTGAGAAAAAACACTGGCACACTGTATGCCAAGATGTTTTACAGTAGGTGTTCAATGGAGTCTTTGTTTTTCCTTGTTTTAAGATAATAATTCTTCTACAACAAACACAGGTGGAAAATAAGCTACAACAGGCAGAGCAGAATTATTTGAGGTCTCCCTCTGCTGGTAACCTGAGAGAAGTGAATTTTTCTCGTATTGCTGTTGAATCTATGTTATCCTTTCAATCAAATAAGAGTCTTAAATTTGCCAAACAGCGTTTATATGAATCAGGGGACAAACCAGGTAAATACTTGGCTTATCTGGCTAAAAAGAAGGAAACCTCACAGACTATTGTGTCAATTAAGGACTCTACTGGCAATATTACTTATGAGGCACAAACTATTAATGATGTGTTTGCTGCTTTTTATGAAAACCTATACAGATCAGAACAACGTGATGATGCCTCCCGAATAATGGATGATTTTTTCTCTAGGATTGACCTCCCTGTGATTTCAGACAAGCAGAGGGCCATTCTAAACGCTCCCATTACAAAGGAGGAGATCCGCAATGCCCTTACAAATCTTCAATCCGGGAAATGTCCCGGACCCGACGGCTTTGGCTGTGAATTCTTTAAGAAATTTCAAGATTTACTAATCGATCCTTATTTGGCCATGATCAACCACTCATTTGAAACAGGGATTCTCCCCCAGTCTCCGAGGGAAGCATATATCACACTAATCCTCAAAAAGGGAAAGTGCTCAGAGGACTGTGCCTCCTATAGGCCAATTGCATTACTAAATGCTGATTTAAAATTATTGTCTAAAATACTGGCACTACGTCTCGAACAGGTACTCCCTACTATTATTAATCCTCAACAAACAGGGTTTATTAAGGGCTGCAACTCCTCTGACAATGTAAGGAGACTTCTTAATGTTATTCAATATATGCATAGTCAAAAGGAAGCGGGGCTAGTGCTCTCTCTCTCGACAGCAAGAAGGCATTCGATAGGGTCCAGTGGCCGTACCTCTTTCACACTATGAGTATTTTTGACCTCGGCGACACTTTCATTCAATGGGTTAAAATTCTGTATAATGACCCCAAGCAGCGGTTCTTACTAATGGCATTAGGTCTAGGAACTTCCCTTTACAGTGCTCCAATAGACAAGGCTGTCCTTTAAGCCCTTTACTAATCGCCATTGAACCGTTTGCCCAGGCTATACGCCAGTCGCCTATGATCTCTGGGGTGGCTGTTGGAGGGAGGGAACATAGGATTAGTTTATATGCCGATGATGTTCTTTTATTCTTAACTACACCAGATGTCTCTGTTCCAGCTGTTATGGATGTTATCACTTTGTTTGGATCCTTCTCGGGTTTTAAAGTTAACTTCTCCAAATTAGAAGCCATGCCACTGGGTTCCCTACAAAACATACCAAATGCCCCTGACCCGTTCCCATTTCGCTGGTCCCCCGATGGCTTTGTTTATTTGGGTGTTCATATAACTCCCCTATTCGAATAACTATATAATGCCAACTTTAGCCCTGTGATGGACGTCATTAAATCTGACCTTGACCGATGGGCATCACTACCACTGTCCTGGTTGGGTAGAGTGGCGCTCATTAAGATGAACATATTACCACGGTTACTATATCCACTTCAAATGATTCCTGTCTTCCTTACAAGGAAGGTGGTTAAAATTATTGAAGGATGATTGAGCTCTTTTATTTGGAACAAGAGAAGGGCCAGGTTGAAATTAGAAAAATTGCAACTCCTTGTCTCTGAAGGTGGGTTAGAACTCCCCAATATAAAATGGTATCAGGCAGCTGCACATCTAAGATTTGTAGCGACATGGCTTAGCGGAGATGAGCTTTCAATCTGGCTAGATATTGAAGTTGCACAGTGTGACTGCCCTCTCCGAAATCTCCTATTTGTCAAAGATCCAGCTACAGTGAAGAAATTCTGTAACAACCCAAATGTCTTCAACACACTGAAGGCATGGAGGATGGCTAGGCTCTTAGAGGGTCGAGCCAAATTGACATCACCTCTCACCTTAATTCAAGGGAACCCTGACTTCACTCCGGGCGTTGATGACCCAGGGTTTAACTCTTGGAGAGAGAGTGGCATTACAACACTGGGAAATTTATTTCATGGTCCTACACTAATGTCATTTGATCAAATACAACAAAAATATGGTCTACTTCGTGGACAATTTTTCAGGTTCTTACAAGTGAGGGATTTTATTTCCAGATGTACAATGCTACTAACTAATATAGATACTTCTCCAATTGAGAGAGCATTGACAATGGATTTCAAAAGGGGTTGTATTAGTTTTTTCTATGGCCTGCTGAGATCTAACGCAACTGTAAACACACTTGATGCTAAGAGGAAATGGGAAAGAGATCTTGGAGTTAAAATTGCTGATGAAGATTGGTGTGAAATATTTGAGAATGCTAAAAAACTTTCGGTGTGTAATAGGGCCTGGTTGGTTCAATTGAGAACTATACATCGGTTGCAGATCCCACATAGCCTTCGCCATAAGATGAACCCCAGTCTATCACCTCTCTGTCTTAAGTGTAAGATTGAAGAAGGAGACTATTTCCACTGTATATGGTCATGTCGTAAGATTGAACGTTATTGGTTTGATGTTGTACAACAGTTGAATGAGATCTTTGACATGGAACTTGAACTTGACCCTTTGTGTTTGATTTTGGGACTGCCTGATCATAGGATTGTGAACAAATCCCATAAACGTCTGTTCAATCTCCTAACCTATGCCGAAAGGAAGAATGTCCTGTTGTCTTGGATCGATGAAAAGTCACCCACGAAAAAAGGATGGCACCAAATGATCATGCAGTGCATGCCGTTGGAGTTTCTCACTTGCCTGTTACGTTCCACAACCGATAACTTCTACAAAATTTGGGACCCATATTTAAGATTTATTGGCCCTCAATTAGCTGACACTTTGACATTGGGGTTCCTTAACAGAAGTCATATCGCTGATCTTGATGGGTAGAACTCATCCTATAACTGTGGTGGGCCTGTGGCAGGTTCCCCCCTGAATCCGTGCTTGTCCGATGGCGCGTGGCATGGCGAGCTACAGGCAGGGCTGTGGCTTGCTGTGCCGCTGCTGGGGTGCTGTTGGGCGGGCGCGGGTTCGGGTGGGGTCTGCTGTAGGTCCATTTACATGGTCACAGCTGTTTGTTTGTTGTTATTATTCTCTGCTGTATTATTATCTTTCTTGTATTGCTCACCCATATATACTGACTGCAAAGCACCAAGCAGTCTATGTTTGACGTTTGATTCTATTGTCCAATGTAGGTACTGTACACTCATTTTTATATTAACTGTGTCTTTGTTATGTTTCTGAGCTGAGCTGTTTGTGTCTGTTTGTCGTTTTCGTTTAAAATTTGAAAAAATCAATAAAAATATTATTGAAAAAAAAAAAAAAGATAATAATTCTCCTAACTTTTCATTGGTGGGAAATCTATTTGTGGTGTTGTGTGATTTGAAGGTGCAGCCCATGTGCACCGCACTGTTACATACTGAGTCTGAGGTAGCGCAAAAAAAACTTTATTGTTGAGCTGTAGTGGTTTTTATTTAGCTGTGGCAGTGTGCCATTACATGTAAGGAAAAAACCTGCAGTTGATGTTGAATAGACAAGGCTGATCTGCCCACAGCAACACTATCTGCTCCTTTTTATCACCAGTTATTCTTAATACATTCATGTTCTTCTGGTTTTGACTGTCAGGTTTTCTTTTCCTTTTGTTAGAGCTCATCTATTGGTGTTTGGTTGTGTTATGTAACTGCGACTTGCAATCATATCAAACACGTTTGATACCATTGCAAACCAAAGACTAGGAAAAGACTGATATACAGATTGCCACCTTAAAACTTGACGATCGAGATGACAGGAGCACGCTGACTCCGCTGTGACTCCAGTAAAACTCCAAGATTTGATTCAGACTTTCAGTTTTTAGTCTGGGACTGTGAAAATTGTTTGGAAGTCCAGCACAAGTTTCAATGATTTGATTCTGACCCTAAGAAACTCGTCAGGGCTCTTGTTTCTCCCTGTCTTTAATGGTGCTGTAGGGCCTGCCCTTTTTTCCAGCAGATTCTCTAGGTGTCTGACTCACTGGAAGGCCAGGGTTTCCAGGTGCCCCAGGCAGCCCATCAAGTCCCCTTCTCCCTGAGAATCCTTGTCTTCCTGGAGGGCCTGGCAGACCCTTGTTTCCTCTTTCACCTGAAAGCACAAGGCCGTTCATTATGATTAATATCATGACACTGAACTCACACATTATTTCATGGTCTTGACAGCTGCCTGATCACTGGCACCTTAGTATTTTTGTTCCTTCTGTTACTGAGATTCACACCAAAGGCTCTCTCAGCACCTACAGAGATGTTTGTCTACAGTGAATGCAGACACTCTGGAACACACCAATCATTTAAGCAGGCATGTCGATTGAGGCGAGCAGGAGACAGTTGAAAGGTAAAACCCACCTTTTATATCCACCAAAGTGAAGTCCCCTTTCTGACCTTTGAACCCTTTGACACCTGGAAATCCACCCAGACCCTGCAATCAATTAATTAGTCACTAAATCAATTGATCAATTAATCATCAAGCTGCTCATATGACTTCTGACCTGGTTGTCTGGGGGCTTACCTGTTGGCCACGTTCCCCTGTGTCTCCAAGCAAACCTTTCTCCCCTCTTGGCCCTGACTCCCCTGGCACTCCTGGTGAACCTGGAGACCCCGTTTCACCCTTAAAACCAGGGGGACCCTGGATTTGATAAGGGGGGCCACAAGCACATTCGCCCCGACTACCTGAAACACACATGAGGATTGACAAATAATTCACAAGTCAAAGTCAGCACTTAGTACTTAGTTATTAATGCTTAAATAAATCAGCCGTTCACAGCCTTTATTTGGACACTGACCTTTGAACCCTGGGTAACCCTGAGCCCCCGGAGGCCCCTGTTCACCTGGCTCTCCAGACACTCCAGGTGCTCCGGCAATGCAGTATCTACCTAAAGAGACGGACAGGAAATCAGCAAGATAAAACTGAACCTATACTGCATCTTTAAAGAGATTTGGACCATGGACAAACATGAGATCACAGGAGGAGCACCAACAGGTACAAATACTAGTTTGTTATACCTGGTATTCCTGGCTCTCCTTTCACTCCTTGGGGTCCAGGACGTCCAGGTTTTCCTGGTTCTCCAGGTGTGGGTCCATCCTTAAACGCCTGACCTGGATCTCCCTTGTCCCCTTTAGATCCTGGAATACCTTGCTGACCAACAAACCCCGCTGGTCCTGAAAGAGAACCATAGTGACTTTGGATTGATGCTGATCTCTTTAAAATCTTTTGACACGTTAACACACGGTTGGCCTGGTCTTACAAGATCATGTGTGTGTCTGTTCTCTTGGCAGGAACTCTGGTGGTCTTGTTGAAGTTTGTCATTTCAACATGAGCAGAGTTGTTATGGTTTTTACATCATAGTTATACTTAGGCACAGGTTTGAGTGAAGCTTGACTGCTGTCTGGTCACCAAACATCCTAAATATGACCACTTATGACATTGCCATGCTCATGAGCAGCTTGTACTCACCAGGTATGGACCTTCCTGGAGCTCCTCGGGGCCCGTGCATTCCCATTATTCCCATGTTTCCCGGGGGGCCTCTCAGTCCAACAGCCCCAGGATCTCCAACATCACCTAAAAGAAAGGAGGTAGCTGACCTCAGGACTGAGAGTTGATAAAGATATATGCAACACTGAGTGTCTGTACACAGACTTGACCATTCCTGTTTTGGTCAGTATTCATTTGTTGTGTGTCAACATCACGTCCTGATCCCTGAAACCAGGATTAACTCTTGTTTTTGAAACTTGATTTTGACACATTCTCAGAAAACTTCAGCCTAGCTTGTGTGCAGGTCCCTGCAGTTTCTCATCAAAGAACCAAGCTCACAGGCATCAATTGTAGCTTAAAAACTTGCTGATCATATGCTACCCATATAACCTCCTTTCAAAAATGCTGAAATATTCCTTTAATGTCAGAGGGATGAATCTATTCAGACCAAGAAGTGATGCTGGATCAGTCAGCTGATCTGTGAGTGTCAGTCTGTACCTTTGTGCACGAGATCTACAGTCTGAGGGAGGCCTTTGGGGCCAGGATTTCCCATCATGCCCTGGAAACAGACATCACATGTTAGGAGCCCTTGATTGGTCAGAATGGTGCTGATGGTGTCGCAAAGCAAAGATAGGTCCAAACTCACCTTTGGGCCTTCTTGACCAATCAGACCTGGCAGACCTGGAATTCCTTGAATTCCCTAAAAGCACATACACACAAGAAAACAAAGATTTCATGTTTAACTTTCATGCATTTCGTCATGATTGTTTATTGGGACAAATCTTTTGTTTTCTTTTGAACCACTCTTGTATTTACTTAGTCCACTGTTCACTGACAAATTTATCAGTTTTCTTTCCGTAGTGTGCCTTAACCCGTGAACAAGACCCCAAGAATCTAAAACCCCTCACTTGGAGCAAATAATCGCTCCAGACCCAAGAATAGTAGTCCACCATTTCCCAGCAGAGAACCATGGCCTCAGACCTGGAGGTGCTGCAAACCATCCTACTGCCTGCTGGAGGTCTCAGCATAAAGATGCCAACAAAACCACATTATCTGCAAGGAGCAGAGTTGGAATACTGAGGCCCCCCCACACTGTAGACCCTCCTTCCCCTGGATGCACCTGAATATCTAATTCAAGATAATAACAAACTGAAAATGTGACAAGGGGCAACCCTGGTGAAGGTCAACATGCACAGAACATCTTAGTCTTTGCTCTGTATGGGGTGCATGGAGTGTTACGGTGAAGCAGGAGAAAGGAGTCAGCCGAGGTGGTCTGGGCAATGATAAAAATGTTGATAACAAATGGAGATGAATCGGCAGCAGACGGTGGAGAGGAAGTCTCAGGATTATTAGCAGAATAAGCAGCACATCAAACACACAGATTCAGATTCACTCTACACTGGATCAAGTCAAGTCAAATGAGACTCAAGTGGGAAAAAACATGGCAGTTGAGAGGATGACTGGTCAATTTGTGCTATGTTACAGGACATGTGTAAATGCTTATGTTGCTGCCAAAGACCAACTATTTGTTCCTGTGTTTCTGACATTATACCATGAGATTGTAGCTATTTCATGTCAAACTTCCTCACAGCTGCATTTGATGTGTTTCCTTTTTCATTCAGCTTGCTTTTGATTGGTTGTAGTGTATCACAGGACAGTCCTCAGTGCGTGTGCTTGGATCTCACACATCTGATAGATTTTGGACACCTTTTATACTAGAGTTTCAAATCAGTGAGGCCCTCGCCATTGGCTTGGTTTGGGGGAAGTAAAACCACTCTTCAGACCCAACATGCCACAGGGAAATCTGACTAGATATTCTATACAAACATACAAAATCTAGGCCTTTAAGAAATTAGTATAACAAGGGGGATCTGGCACCAGATTGGCCCCATTCTTGTTTCCATATCCAAATTTGTACTTAGACTTACCTTGGATCCTCTGACTCCAATCTGTCCAGGACTCCCTGGAAGTCCCTGAAACACACAAACGCACCACAGACATGTTCAAATGGAGATGTTTTCAGTCTCCACAAATGTCACTGTGACTTGCTGATTCAATGTTAACCTTTTATACAACCTTCCATTGCACTTACTAACTCTCTGCTCAAGAGAACCTTTTTGGTTGGAGACACTCAAACTGACTACAGATAAATCCTGAATAAAAATGCAAACATGGAAGACTCCTCACCCGCGGTCCAGGAAATCCCAAAATCCCTTTCTCTCCTTTGATTCCTGGGAGAGAGTCCAAACCCTAAAACCATGAGCAAAGATTGTCATTGCATCTGTCTCGTTCATCTTTAACATCTGAATTGTTGACCCACACTCATGGCAGAAGAATAGAATAGAATAGAATAGAATATTCCTTTATTGATCCCCCATGGGGGAAATTTTTTTGTCACAGCAGCATCACAGACAAGCCAAAAAGTGCAAAAATGCAGTTATAACAATAAGGGTCCTAATATTAAGAACTTAAATAAATGTAATAATTAAGAAAAAAATTAGAAAAAGGAGAAGAAAAAATAAAGCTTTCTACAATATACACAATTTAAATGCCATAAAAAAAGTGGTGGTGTAAAATCAGTTTTGTTACTGTTCATTGTAAAGTCTTATTGCAGAGGGGAGAAATGATCTGCGGTAGCGCTCCGTCCTGCAGGGTGGGAGTCTCAGAATCTGACCTTTGTCCAATATTATTCTGAGCACTGAGGGAGTTTGAACATTTCGGAATTGGGTCTGTTTTTGTGGAACTACTCAAAGTGGAACTCTGTGTTCAGGTGAACCTGATGTTACTGCAGTCAGATGTTCTCAGGGTTTGATATCAAAACCTACCGGCAGTCCAGGACTTCCACAGACTCCTTTTATTCCTTGAGAACCCTGAAGAACAGATAGAACCAAATGTTTTAACCACCCCTGACCCCATTTAAAACAAGATAAGAACAAACAAATCTAACCTAGGAACCAGCACCAGCACAGACTTAGGACATGGTTAAAGAGCTAATAGAGGTCCGGAACCAACAGAACCAGCCTTAAGGACTAAGATAACTAACAGCAGAGCTGTAGACTGTTGACAGCAGAACCTCCGTGGTTCAGGGACAAAAACATCAGTTGAGTTCTTGGTGGCTTACATGAGAACTGAAGGAGGACCAAAGCAAAATAATTAAGTCCCGCCTACCTTCTCTCCCTTGATGTAAAGATCTTCTGGTGGGTCTATATACTCGAATGGTCCTGGAGGCCCCTGGGGGCCCTGCTCCCCCTGTGGACAACAGACTGAACTGCAACAGCACGACTTTGACACATCTCACAGTGTGTTGATAAAACACTAACACAGTATGACACCAAGTCAGACTGAAGCCTCCAAGGGCGGCCATCTGATTTCTCTGACCCCGTCCCCTCAGTGAACTTACTGCAGGTGTGTCCTTTAAACTTGCAGAAGGAAAACACCTTGTGTGATGTCACTGAGGGGGCATGGACTGAGGTAACTTCAAGTTTTCAATATGAAAATGTGTACCTCGTCTCCTTTCTGTCCTGGCAGAGATCGACCTTTTTCTCCCTGAAACACAAATACGTTAAAAATCATTAGCTGATCATCAAAACTCAGATTTACTGAAGTGGGTCTTTTTTTAACTGCAAACAATAGAACTTTATTTATGTCAGTGTGACACTTACAGGTGGACCCCTGAGGCCAGGCAGACCTGGGAGACCCTGCAGATGAACAAATAAAGGTTTTTTACATTCTTCTTTTTGTAGATAAAAAATGCCCTGTACCATATAAATAAACATAAAATACAGATGATAAAAAGTAGATTTTCTTCAGGTGATACTCACATTCGACCCTTTCAGTCCTGCAGAACCCACAAGCCCTGTTGGGCCAGGAAGACCTGGTCCCCCCTGAAGAAAGACAAAAGTACAGACAGAAACATTCAGTGGTTGACTGACTACTTCTAAAACACTCTCTAATGTGCCATGGACTTTTAGTTTTTTACTTTTTCTAATCTTTTCTAATTTTGCCTTGTAGTGGTTCACAGAAAGTGAAGGGGGACGTGGGAGAACTTCACTGTGCAGAATAATAACTGATGATAATGTTTCAAATACCTTTTTGCATTACAGCTCAAAAATCTCCCAACAAAGTGTCTCAGTTCTTGTTAAAAAATGTGTCACTGAAGGGCTGATACTACAGTTAAACTACATGAAATGAGCTGACTCTAAATAAAATGGTGTAAAACTGGGTTTGTTTCTTTAACTGTCTTAGGAGATTTATATCAAAATTACACTCTGGATTGTAAATCAAACAAGTCGCAGGTCAAAAAAATGACACCAGCTGAGTTTTACAAAAATAACACGTAAAGGACTGAAGTGGTTAGATGTGAGACACTTCACTGAGACTCATCGTATTGTACTATATGTGACCATATTTACAGCATTCTACAGCATCTGAAGTTTTTGAAATCTTACTTTGCAAAGATTTCAAGTAGAATGAAACAAAAAATTCACTTTCAGCTGCATGCAGTAATGGACTCAATACACTTTAGTAACTTCCACGGCCTGTGATGTAAATATGTGTGCAAATGTTGCTGACTGTTTGTTTCTCACCTGCAGACCAGGTTGTCCAGTGGGTCCAGCAGGTCCCTGTTAAATAGAAACATTCCTTTTTTAAAATCTGGTGCTCTGGAACCACTATTTCTATCAGTATAGTAAAGCAGTAAAACACATGAACCAAGAAAAAGAAGGTGAAAATATCCCAGGGTTTCCTGTCCATAGCACAGTTGATTTGATAAACTCACAGAGGGTTTAGACACCTGAGGGTCCTAAAACAATGATATCTTTGACTGTTCACAGCATGGCTTAGTCAGTGTTGTGCCCATAGACTGTATATACTATGGACATCTTGGTTCCGCCTCCTGCCTGTATACGGATTTGAAGCCAAAAAGCTCTCGGAATTTGCAGTATTTTTCTTTATTTCCTGAAACCAGCATTGCGCAGTAGCGCTGTGCACATTCGGCGGGAGAGTCGCTGAGAGTCGCTGTGATGACGCTCGGCTCAAATAGCATATCCCCTGGGTGAGCTATGCAATCCCTGAACGCCAATAGGCTGTATCAGGTGTCAATCATAGAAAACATGAACCCCCTAATAACTTTTAAAAATGGAGCTTCACAGAAAAAAAGAGGACTAGAGCACAAACCAGTCTTTCTGTAACAACATGTCAACATCACAAGCAGGGGGGAGAAAAATGTATGTTCTGTGTAATAAATTTCTAAAGTTGGTCCACAGCCCCATAAGCTTTGCTGGCGGAGGCGGGATTTATGACCTATACTGCAGCCCATCAACAGAGGGTGCTGTTCTCAGAGTGGCTTCACCCAGCAAGGAGGCAGATGCTGTCCATTCTTTATACAGTCTATGGTTGTGCCAGCTCACACAAAAAATAAGGTAGCTCAAAGTTCAGTTCATACCCATTAAAATGAACAGGTTCATATTCAAAGATCATTTTTAAAGATTTTGAACTTAGTTCATGATCCAAAAAATTAACTCGTTCATGTTCATTTTTCAGCTACAAGCTCTCTTTTTCAGTAGAGCCATATTTCCTTATCCCATGAAACCCAAGCAAATGTTTAAAGCCACCGTTCTCACATGCACTGCTTAGGTCAAAGGTCAAAGGTTACTTTATTTGTACCCTTAGGTAAATTTTGTTTGCAGTGAATCACATGTACGATAGTAGACAAACAGCACAGTACATACGTTAAAATGTGACAACAGTGTTTGGGAGTAAGAGATTAAAACGAATAAAATAAGACCAATAAAACCAAGTAAAAACCAACAGCTCTCAAGGTTTCTTCCCTGTGTTAATGTGCCCGATGGCTGATCGAATAAAACTATTTTTGTACAGCTTAGTTTTACAGGCTGGTACCTTGAGCCTCCTGCCTGATGGGAGCAGCTGAAACTCACCATTTAAAATGGAGCCAGCCATCCCCTGTAACTGCTTAGTATACAGGGATGGTGGGTAGAGCTGGGCCTCTCCAATCAGCCTTCTCGCCCATTTTGCTACTTGGTTTAGGCAATTTTTGTCTTTAAGAGACAAGTTTCCAAACCAAGACACTGCATTGAGTGTACTGTCAGCAGGTTTAGCAATGCTGAATGCATGGAAAGTGCAGCAGATCTGACTTCTGCTGCTGTAAAACACATTGCTTTCAGCACCTCTCTGAATGTGAGTGGTTGTTCACTTCCCCTGGAGTGAACCGGCTCATGTGTTATCAACTGAGTGGTTTGGTTCACCATTTATGAAAATTTGAGAGCTTATTTTTACTAGTTCATGCACAACACTAACACATCTTTTCAGCAAGGTTTAGATTTAGCAGCAAAATACAACCAACAAACAAAAAAAAGCATCCAGCTTCTTAGTTTTCAGTCTCATTATTCATGCCATGATCTGAGTGGGTGGGGTTTCCATGATGATGAGGTGGAGAGGAAAAGGTGGAAGGGCAGAAGAGAGCCAACACCAAATGAAACTATTGCATAATTAGCTATTTTTGATGAAAGTGCTCCTTACTGAAATATATTCAGGCGAGAAAATATGGTTTTATTTGATGGGACCTTTAAGTAAGTTCATAAAGGATAAATACCCTTTGACTTATACTTCAGGTGTACTTACTGGTATCCCAGGGTACTGAATCAAGTAGATCGCTGGATCTCCTGGAAACCCCTTCAGACCCAAGAAACCCTGTAAAATAAAACAGTCTTAGCCATGCAATTATGCAGTGACACTCTAGATTTAGTGTTGGTGAACCATGATGTGCAATAAAACAAGCGTCCAACAAGTGTCTTTATTAAATGGCATGTTGTAGCTCTTCATGATAACGGTTTATATACAGAACCCAATTCCATTGAAGTTGAGAAATTGTGATAAACGTAAATAAAAACAGAATACAATGATTTGCAAATCCTTTTTAACCTATATTCAATGGAGTACACTACAAAGACAAGATATTTAATGTTCAAACTCATAAACTTTATTTTTTTTTTGCAAATAATCATTAACTTTAGAATTTGTTGGCAGCAACACGTGCCAAAGTAGTTGGGAAAGGGACATGTTTACTACTGTGTTACATCACCTTTCCTTTTAACAACACTCAATAACTGTTTGGGAACTGAGGAGACTAATTGTTGAAGCTTTGAAGGTGGAATTCTTTCCCATTCTTGCTTGATGCACAGCTTCAGTTGTCCAACAGTCCTCCGTTGTCGTATTTTACGCTTCATAATGCGCCACACATTTTCAATGGGAGACAGGTCTGGACTGCAGGCAGGCCAGTCCAGTACCCGCACTCTTTTTCTACGAAGCCACGCTGTTGTAACACATGCAGAATGTGGCATGGCATTGTCTTCCTGAAATAAGCAGGGGCGTCCGTGAAAAAGACGTTGCTTCGATGGATGCATATGTTGCTCCGAAACCTGTATGTACCTTTCAGCATTAATGTTGCCTTCACAGATGTATAAGTTACCCATGCCTTGGGCACTAATGCACCCCCATACCATCACAGATGCTGGCTTTTGAACTTTGCGTCGATAACAGTCCAGATGGTTCTTTTATTCTTTGGCCTGGAGGACACAACGTCCACTATTTCCAAAAACAATTTGAAATGTGGACTTGTTAGACCACAGAACACTTTTCCACGTTGCATCAGTCATCTTAGATGAGCTCTGGCCCAGAGAAGCCGGCGGCGTTTCTGGATTTTGTTGATAAATGGCTTTCGCTTTTCATAGAAGAGTTTTAACTTGCACTTACAGATGTAGCGACGAACTGTATTTACTGACAGTGGTTTTCTGAAGTGTTCCTGAGCCCATGTGGTGATATCCTTTACACACTGATGTTGGTTTTTGATACAGTGCCGCCTGAGGGATCAAAGGTCACGGGCATTCAATGTTGGTTTCCGGCCGTGCCGCTTATGTGCAGTGATTTCTCCAGATTCTCTGAACCTTTTGATGATATTACGGAGCGTAGATGTTGAAATCCCTAAATTCCTTGCAATTGTACTTTGAGAAGCGTTGTTCTTAAAGTGTTCGACTATTTGCTCACGCAGTTGTTCACAAAGTGGTAAACCACGCACCATCCATGCTTGTGAATGACTGAGAATTTTTGGGGAAGCTGCTTTTATACCCAATCATGGCACCCACCTGTTCCCAATTAGCCTGCCCACCTGTGGGATGTTCCAAATAGGTGTTTGATGAGCATTCCTCAAATTTCTCAGTATTTTTTGCCACCTGTCCCAACTTCTTTGTCACGTGTTGCAGCCATGAAATTCTGAGTCAATTATTAGTTGCAAAAAAAAACCAAAATAAAGTTTATTAGTTTGAACATTAAATATGTTGTCTTTCTATTGTATTCAATTAAATATAGGTTGAAAAGGATTTGTAAATCATTGTATTCTGTTTTTATTTACGTTTATCATAATTTCCCAACTTCAATGGATTTGGGTTTTGTAGTTTATTAAAAATCAGCAGAAATATTTTCAATTGTCCAATGGACAAAAACATTGGAGTCATTAAAATCAATCATAAAGTTTAAGACTTTCATATTTCAAACACTTGACGCTGTAATGACACAATTCCAACGTTAAAATCTGCCACACCTGAAATGAGTCCCTGACACAGAAGCATTTCTGCTGACTCAGACCTTTAGGTTGGTTTCTCAGTCATAATTACACTTCAGTATATTTTCCTTCACTTCATATTATGATCAATTGGCCTCTGACCGGTACTCCCTGTGGTCCTCGTGCTCCAGGAAGTCCAGATTCTCCTCTTTCTCCTTTGGTTCCATTACATCCATCCAGACCGGGAAAACCAGGACCTCCAGCGGGACCTGGGTGACCCTAAACACAGTAACACATTCAGCCTGACCTTTGACCCTGACACATTAGGCCCAATGAGAGAGGCAGAGAGGTTGGGGGGGGGGGGGTGGGGGTCTTACCAGGAGTCCTTCCAAACCTTGAAATCCAGGAACACCAACACTCCCCTGAAACCACAAACAACAGACAGACTTAGGTTGTGGTTGTGGAGTACAGTTTCAGGGGTTTGATCTAGTGCTGGAGAGTATAAGTAACCTGACAGACGTCTAAAACACCTGAACACGACTCATCACCTCAGAAAGACAGCTATCTTGTCTTCATGTCAGATTTAAAAAGAAAAAACAGAACCACAGTTATTCACCTGGTCTCCCTTTGGTCCTGCGGCTCCTGTTGGTCCCTCATCCCCCCTGTGGCCCTTCTCCCCTGGTTGCCCCTGAGGACCTGGGAAGCCTGGAGGCCCCTGAGGGCCCTGCCGCCCTACAGGACCCGGAGAACCCTTAAAAAACATAAACAAACCGTTAAAACCTTGGAGAACTTGACTGAACCTGCTGGAAACTTACAGAGTGCTCGCAAAGGAAAATAGGACCAGAAGAACCAAATCAAAGAACCTTTTAAAAATTTATAAAGCCCAAAGACTGGAACAAGAACACTTCTTACCAAAAAAAGTTTGGAGCTGTTTTCAGCCTGATAAAACTTTTTACACTCTCCTAAACACGGATCAAACCTGACACCACCTATCAAGGGCATGTAGACCTTGGTAAAGACCTTCAGAGTTCAGAAAAATCTAGCAGGACCTAATTGAACCTGAATCTGTAGAATCAGAACACAGTCCATGTGACAATCCCAATGAAGAGGACATTTACATGACCTTTTGGAAATGTAAACTACCACACAGAACCGGATGGAACCTACCAGACCCTGTCGGAATTAAACCAAAAAACAGGAAAACATGTAAAACCTGATCAAACTGATGGAAAAAAAAAAGATTTTCTCCAAGAATAAAGGACCTGATTTAAACCACCTAAAACACATGATAGCATAAAGTGGACCAGCATGGGTTCAGCCACATTCTTCTACTTAAGCAGCGCACAATCTGAGGGCTACATAAGGCACAGGTCTCACAGAGTTTGTGGTTTGGCTCCTTGTTATTCTTAGGTGTGTTATGGTGCATCTGCTCTCATTTCCTTCAAAGCTGGATTTATGCCACAGCTTCTTAACAACACTGTACCATCTCCATGGAGAGCAGAGCTGTGAGAACCACATATAGCTACTCTGGAGGGTCTGCTCTGCGCTGCCTTAACACTAGTCAGTAGACTGATGTCTATGCTGCTCAGATCTCCACTGTTCAGTCCTTTTATGTTCCCTCCTTCTCTAAGTACAGGAGACCATGGTGTCTGGATCTGAGCCTGATCTGTTTGAGCTGAAGCTGATTAATGTTATGCGGCTGCTGATCATGCTGACAGGGCTCGTTGTCTCCATTGTTTTAACATGGTATCACATTTTTGAGGAGGTGCATGTCTGAAAAAGAAGCATAAACCAGTCTGCAATACGCCACTTTTACACCTGACCACACCTCTTTATTCAACCAACACACCCACCGGGGCTAACGTGGTTCACTTGCTTTCTACACACAATGGAGCCTAGGCTTGAAACTGACGAGTGCTTCAGGTGAAAATAACCATGACATTCATGTAATTATTTGATGAGCTTAAAGGGATTTTCCGGCGAAAAATTAATTTAGGGTCAAATACACAGAGTTAGACAACCCCTCGAGAGATGAATGTTGCCGACCGCTTGCTTTTCTAGTTATACCAACTTTAGTAACGACCGCATGATAGCAATAAACAGCGCTCTGAGGAGCCATACACAAACCTAAACCAAAACGCCATTCTATATCCACAAATAATGCTCAAAACAGCCCCTAACTTCATCAACAGTACATATAGGGTCCTAGCCATAGTACTAGCCACCAAACATCTTTTTAGCTTTGCCTAATTTCTTTAGCAAAGAGACTAAACATAACTCACCCACTCTCTTCCAGCAGCCGCTTGTTAGTAGTGAGACCTCAGACCTGTCCATTACAGACTGCTGTGGGGTGACACAGCTCAAGGAAGAACATTTATGATCTTTATTTCATGGAAATGCAATCAGACCGAGACGCAAAGGCAGAAGAATTACGGCGTCTGCAGTGGAAAATGATTAACATGGTGATTATTACTTCAAGGAAATGATAAAGAAATGATCATAAATGGGGGTGTCTAACTCTGTATTACGGTGTGTTTGACCCGAAATTAATTTTACACCGAAATATCCCTTTAAAACCGTTATGTTGTGCACGTTACTGCTGTTAAACATGAGGTCAGGGGAATATTTAAAACTCTAATTTAACTAGATAATCTACAGTCTAGCTTATTGCCATCATAACAGGTCAACTATTAACAAAAACTACCACTTCACTACAGCTCTATTCTCCTGATATTTATTACCACTTTGTCCTTGTAAAATAGTGACTTAACTGTAACTTTTTTCTTGCAATCTTGTAGTTTTGTGATAATTACAACTTTACTGTGACTTTATTTTTGTTGATCCCTCCATTCAGCTGAGAGTGATTCAAACACAGATGGAGTGACGAGTCTAACGAAACAGCAGGAAAGAGAATACAGCATGTAATGTGACCACATGACCACAGGGGGGCAGTGTGAGGCCGCCACCACATCAACAGCAGCAGCAAAGTTAAATCATCGAATTGAAATTAGAGCATTAAAAAAAGGTATTTTAAAAAGAACGGACCAGGACAAACAGAAAATGTCATTTTTCTTCTTTGTATGGACGTCTCGACTAAAACCTGTTAGAACAGACACACCTGAGGGTTGTCTACCTTGGTTTATCCTAGATCTGTTAATACTAAACTGTAGTCATGTAGGCCATTTTGTTGTTTTAAGTAAAGTGAACTGCGATTAAAACGCCATGACAGCTGATATGAGTGTTTTAAAACACATTATAAAATCCATCACTAAGCCAAACACTTCACTGAGCCTTTTAATCGCTCAGATCACCTGTGTGCTTGTTACAGTCATTACAATCATTAATACCTCATCATAAATCCAAAAATTACACACAGGTGAGTTAGTGTAACTCAGAAATAAACTTAACGTAACTCTGGATGTTGAAATAAAAGTAAAGCTGAAACATGTTCAAAGTTTCTCTGTGCTTTACTGTGTTTTGTGAAACACATGACCTGCCGTGATCCCACTTCGTCACTCTGACTGATTCAGTGATTGAAGATCCTTTTAATCATTCATATTCGAGTGTAACAGGCCTGGTGACAGAGCGCTTCACTCACTAACCTTCTTGTGCTCGCTTTGCCAGTATGTGAATCCCTGATGTGAAGTGTGAGTGTCCCGGTGTGTGTGTGTGTGTGTGTGTGTGTGTGTGTGTATGTGTGTGTGTGTGTGTGTGTGTGTGTGATGTGAAGTGGGTGTGTGTGTGATGAGATGTGACAGCTGTGATCTCTGTTAGTCCTCTCTCTGTCCTTCTTTCTCTGAAAGCCGTGAACTGTGAAATCACTGAGACAGACGCCTTCCCACAATCCTCTGTGCCTGTCTGCTGCCCCCAGCTGTACAAACACACATACTGACACACATACAGGCTAAACACACTCACACAACCTGACACAGGTACACACAGGAACACACACATACAGTGGCACACAGACGGGGGGTCAGTTTGTGACGTGACCTGGACCACAGTCTGAATCCACAAACTGCTGCTGGTGGTATAGTTGATAATGTTGGTGGTGTTGTTGATGTGGTTGGTGTAGTTGTAAATGTTGCTGTTTGTGTGTTTGTTGGTGTGGTTGGTGTTTTTCTTGGTGTTGTTAGGGTAGTTAGTGTTGTTGTTAGTGTAGTTGGTGTTGTTGTCATTGTGGTATTAGTGTAGTTGTTTGTGTTGTTGTTTGTGTGTCTGTTGGTGTGGTGGGTGTTGCTGTTGGTCTTGTTGGTGTAGTCTGTGGTTTGGATGGTGAAGCTGTGGCTGCAGTTTGTTGTTGTTTTACCTGATCAGCTGAGTAAAGTAGCTGTTGGACATGTGATGTTTAAGTAGCTATTTGATTGGCTCCTGAACTAAACAGGCCCAAGCTCTTTATACAAAACTGGGAAAATGTACCACATCTGGCCAAAACTGAGACTGTGGACAACATCTGTGGACAACATCTGGACAAAACTTGGACTGAGGAGAACATCTGGACAAAACTGGGATTGATTGGACTAAAGCACATGGATCACAGTTGGATTGTTTTGACTAACATCTTGGGCAAACTAAACACATGTTGAACAACACTTAAGGAGAAAATTTACAAACACACTTCGAACTGTCAGCACCTGGACTACACCTTAAGTTTATATTGAAAGATCTGGGTGGTTCCTGTATGAGACCGTCAACATCCAGCCTTCACTGTGACTTAAGACAAAAACACGTTGACACATCGTGAACTCAAACAAGTTAGACCACACTGATTGGACAGTCAGTCCCTGAATATTGTACTCTTTGTACTCTTTATCTGTTGACAGGATCTCAGAGATGTTTCTGGAAACAGGGGCTCAGAGCTCAGAAAGGGAGAGTAAGAAATCTATGACATTACGCCGTTGTGTTTGTCTGTGTCAGTGTGTGTGTTTGTGTGGAATCTGCTGACTCAGTTTAAGGTAAACAGCTGTTAATTTAACACTAACACATTCCTTGCACACACTCCTCCATAAAGCAGCTCATTATCACACCCTGTGTGTGTGTGTGTGTGTGTGTGTGTGTGTGTGTGTGTGTGTGTGTGTGTGTGGTTTAGAAAAGTGAATGTGCCACCAATCTGTTAGCAAAATAAACCTTCTGCAGCAGCCATGATGTCATTCTGCAAGACTAGCTGTGATTGGATGATGAGTGTGAGTGGGTGGAGTCTCACCCTTGCTCCTTTGGCTGGGAAACACTGACAGGTGGAGCAGTCCAGACCGCCACAAGGTTCCATCTGGTCGCCCTGGAAACAAAAGAGGGCATCAGTGTAAATCTGACCATGTTATAACATCACACCATCAACATTACAATCTAGTTAAATCACTGCATCACCATGACAATAACACTTCGCATCATCCCAGTTAGGGTCAAATTATTAGTGTACCAATGAAGTTTCCTGTTTGATGATGGCATGCCATTATAACAACATAATGACATCGGTGTGACCTCTCGACTGAGTGGCTAAAAGTAAAGTCCAGTTCTTCACCACTTAAGTCCCACTCCAATGCTTTTTTTAGTATTACCTACAGTGTTCTCGGGTTTCCTTTATTTGAGATGATTGCGTTTTTAGCCAAAATCAAAATACCTGTGTCATTTTCAAGGGCTTTCTTCTGCAGAGCCCCAGTAGCTCATTAGTAATTCGACTCTGAGTGGTTGGTGAAGACAGCGCTGCTCTGCGCACTCCTCTTCATGCTAGCTTGTAGCCTAACATTGACGGTGCAGCAGAAGTGGCGGGTAACATAGAAGCTATTCAGCTCTGCGACACTAATGTCTTTGGGGACATGATGAAAGCTAATCTCATGATTAGCTGTCTTACGAGCACTGCGATCCACTACCTCACACACTTATTCTACTTTGGGAGTCTGGTCTGCAGAGCAGGGCTCTGGGGGATATGAGATGTAGAAAATCCCACTGTGTCTGAACCTTCCGTTTGGGTCTGCCAAGGTTTCACAGTGATTTGAATGCAGAAATACTCAGAAATGCAATTTTGCTCTTATTTTTCTCATGATATGTCCTGTAGCATCGGAAAAATGCCACATGAACATGTAGACAACAAGAAAAAAATGATTTTCATCAGAGTGGGTCTTGAAACCCTGAGGTTCCTGTTACTGCTGAGTCAGCTAAAAACTAGAAGAACATTTTTAACATCTTGACGTTTCAACCCACTGGTCTGAGTGAGGCACCAACTCTTGAACACTGGGGGCCACACCTGTCGAGGTATGGCTCAATGAGTATAGTAGGAAGTTTTCTTTTTTTATTTCAAAAGGTAAACTTTCATATTTTCAGGGTTCATTGCATGCAAATAGATATTGATCAAACCTTTCTCTGGTTTGATTCTGGGGGGTTTGGCTTCCAGCTCGTGAAAATCAAATTCCAGCATCTCAAATTATCAGATTTTTTCCTATGAGGAGTAAAAAACAGCTTTTGAAATAACATTCATCCTCTACGAAGCTGATTATTTCTCCTCTGGGCCCTTGGTTAGAGCTCCTTTTGGCATGGTGTGGCATGTTGCCGATCAGCCTGTAGTTCTGCTACGGTGATGGCAAAGTCCAGGTTTCTGTAATAGCAGCCTTTGCGTCGACTGTTTCTCATCCTCCTTGCAACATAAATCGCACACACTCTCTAAGGGGTCCAGCTCAAGCTGGTCAAGCACAGAAATATCAGAGTCAGCAAACATGTCTCCAGTTGGTGCTTGACTCGCTCAGGGTTTTTGCCTGTCACAGATTCTGTTTGTGATTTTCATAAATACAACCTGAAGGTTCAGTCACAAAGGCAGCAATGAAGATGATGGTGGTGATGATGTACTGACTCAGGAGTGTGTCTGTGGTTTCCTCCAATAAGGAAAAGATGAGGTTAGGCTGACTCTGTGTAAGTTATCTCAGTGAACCTGCTGCAGTGATGCACCTGAGCAGGTAAGAGCAGAGCGTGTATGAATGGATGGAGGCTCAGACTGCAGCGAGTTGAGTTCAGTGTTTCCTGCTGACTTTTCCCCTGCAGAGTCTGTTTTGTATTTTATGGTGTTTTCTCTGTGTTCAGACAGTGAGGAATGTAAACACTGTGCAGAGACAGACAAGCATCTCTGAGATTCTCAGGAAGCAGACAGCTGACTGAGAGAGTGTGTGTGTGTGTGTGTGTGTGTGTGTGTGTGTTTATCAGATAACGTCAGTGACAATTGTGCTGCGTTTTTTTTTTAATCTACACAGTCTTTGAATAGTTTGAATGAGGACAGATGTGCAGCGGCTTCTGTTCATCAGATATGAATCAAACCATGAGAGCTTTAAACTCAGACCCAAACACACATGAACACGCAACACATGTCCATCAATGTCAAAATGGCTAAAATGACAGTCACAGTTCACAACAAGACAACAATTTTTCATTTTCACATCCTCAGCCTCCAGAGGAGGTAGGCTATGTAGGCTACGGGATCTGGACTGCTATATGATGCACGAACAACAGTCACTGAGTTTCTCTTACAATGAGTTATTCAGCTAGAGGCTTGTGAGCACCTCTCTCACATTTTGGACAAGTCCAGAAGAGTCCAACCACCATGGTGCTGCTCATAGAGGTAAAAACCAGTGAGGTAATATCCCACATCCCAAGAATTGGTCTAGGGGTTCTCAACCTTTTGCAAACTTGGCCCCCCCCAAAGGTGGTTCAATGCAGTTAAGCGCCATACCGAGGATCCTTACTCACACATGCATGCACTCAGCAACAACAGCAGCAGCAGCGATCAGATGTAAACATCAGTATTAAGTGTAATAAACTTCATCACCACGGTCTCCCTCATTAACACACCTGTCTGACCACAGCACCTCATTACACCATGCCACTGTTTAACTGAGATCTGACATAAAACAATGGAGGGAAAAAAATTTCTTACCTTCACTCTGGTGTCTAAAACAGTCAGCATTATCGGTCATCCAACACCAACAGGTTAATAATCTACCGAGATTATTCCTGTTTGAATTCTGTTTACAACCTCGCGGTCAGCATCTCATCCATTCACAAAAAAAAAAAAAGTTTTTTAGCGCTATTTCGGGTCGGCCGGCTCAGTGATTTTACTCCTGGTCCTCTTCCACCAGGACACGGAACGTGTCACGGTTCTGACGTGGTGAGTTAGTCACGGCCTGTCTGGACCTGTGGTCTGGACTCGGTACCAAGTCCAGTGATGCTCCTGCTGTCGGTCTCTATCAGGACACCTGAAGCTAAAGCGAGCTAAAACTTTTTTTCACACAATGAAAATGGATGAAACGCGCTGACCATGAGAAATGGGATGTAAATAATATCGGTGGATTATTAAACTGCTGGAGCTGGATGACTGATAATGCTGACTAGTTTAGACTGAGTGAAGGTAAGAAATATTTCCTGAAGGTTTGATCAGTTATGTCTCTGCTCGGATGTGTGGTGGACAGAGTTTAGGACATTTTATATTTTTTGAGGTCACGTTTCCTCCGTTATTTTAAATCAGATCTCCGTAAAACAGTGGTGTGGTGTGATGAGCTCCTGTGAAAGCTGTAGCTTGATGAACACAAGTGTGTCTATGTGGATAAGAGGAGACAGGTGTGTTAATGAGGGACTGCTGTGTTAATGTGTGATGGATCTTATGATCTTGTGATAGAAACAGATTTACCACTGAAATCTGGTCTACACAACACATCAAAGTTGAAATATTCACAGACATAAAAAAAAAAAATCTCACCTTGGAGCCATTTTTAAACATCATTTTAATGGAGTAATGTGTTATTCTGTCCAACAACTTTACTTTTCTCCTTTACCTAAAACAAATGTCACATCTGACCATTAAAAAAAAGTCATTTTAACTCCATTAAAACAGAGTTTGTCCAAGCTACTGAAATATCGTGAGCCAAAATTAAATTGACCAGTAACAAATATACCAGCTAAAACCTACCTATCAGTCTCTCCTCTGTCCATCTCTGTCTTTCTCCATCTCCCTCTCTCTCGCTCTAAACCCAGCTAAGTCATAGGAGATGACTGTCTAACATTAGTCTGGTTCTGCATGAGGTTTCTGCCTGTTCTGCCTCTCCACTGTATTTTGATAAATGCTGACAAGTGTTTCACTCATGGTGGGTTACAATGGATCAGAGTGGGTCTGATCTTGGAGAATGGGGTTCAATCTGATCCTGTCTTCTCATTGGGGGCTCTATTTTGGTGCCTTGCCGGAGACATGCCGCAAGCGCAGCGTCAATCAGATCCGCCGCGCTGACAAGGCGTTCCCAAGCACAATTTGGTATTTTGGTGAGCCGCGCAGCCCGGCGTAAGTATCCCCCCTCCCTAACTCAGCTCCTCCCAGCAGCATAAGTCGTAGACGGGGAGGAGAGAGGGCGTGTAGTGGGTTTAACACAGCCGAGACCTGTTTTCACCAATCACATCAGCTCCTCTCCTTGCCTTTAAATCCGCCACCGGCGAGGCATATTACTATTTTCATGAAGTAGTCAAAGAGATCAAGAGATGTCTGAAGACAGTTATGCCACACGATGGCGACAGAGGGCAGCTCCTCAACAAGTGTCCTCCACACTCTCTCATATGAGCACAGATGGATTTGGTGTGCGTAATGTTGGACCCACTGGTAAGACAAACACCCTTTTCCACAAATAAAGACACTCACATAAAGTTGCATATATTCAAACCCCACATGACAAAGGTGGGTTGAGCGCACAGATCACAACATAAACTCCAAAAATGGCATTAAAATCGGAACCATCTGTGCGTAAATGACGCATCGCGCTCCGTGGCCTGGCTCTTTCTTTCATAAATGTTGGCATATAAAATACATTTGGCTCACAAAACTGAATATTATAATATCCGTATGTCGGCTTAAAGTAGATCACGCATCTGAGCGCTGAAACAAATCATCTGTTCAGCCGCAGCAGCAGCAAGACGGACAGAGGACACGGAGACGTGTCCAGGTCGAGCTGCGCGAGAAATAAGAGGAAGAGGAAGAAAGAAAAGGAGGGAGACGAATTACATATCTTGTTAACTTCATCATGTGTGTTTATTTACTAGATATTTAATTTAATTTGATGCGGTTTCAGCTGTGTTGATTCGGTCAGGTTGTGTGTCCAAACACGTGCCAAACGCGCTCATCAGATCAGATATAGATCAGAATATATCGATATAGATCTAAATGTATGTGCTGACTCAGATTATTAGTTGTTGATGATTATTTATTGCACTGAAATGTGCCTGACACTGTGGAAACCTGCCGGTGAGGCATCAGTGACGTACATCGATACGCCGCCGGTCTACCAAAATACTACTAGACCAGCTGCGTTCCGCCTTGCGCTGAAAGCTGACCAGGTTTGAATCGGCGAGCTTTCAGCGCACTTTACGAGCACGAAAATGTCACTGCGCCTGCTGATTCTGTCGACACCTCCCCCTGTCACGCCACCACGCCCAGCTTGGCGGATCTCGGCTCGCCTCCGTGCGGCTCAGTCCACGAAAATACCAAAGTGGCCTTACGCCGGGCTCCGCCAGACGAAAATACAACTGCGCGGGGCTCGCCGCCCTCCGCCGCCTCACCGGCGCGAACGAAAATAGAGTCCTGGGTCTTTGTAAACAGAGTGAACAAATAAAGATTGATAAATTGATTGAATATTGTTATTTCTTGATTTTTGAATTGGCTCTATTTTAATTAGTAGGTCCAATGAAGGGTCAAAAAAAAAAAAATCAAAGCCTGAACTTGGAGGTCACGCCCAGCCACCAGAGCCTGTATTATAGCTGCTTACACAGCAACCTACTCGGGCAGTTACCAAACATCCAGACCTGCTGGTCCTCAGAAGACCTTAATGTGAGGAAACAGGGTCCAGATTTGAAAAGACTTTGAAAAGAGTTACTGTCAAGTGTGGTCTATAAAAAATGATGTTCACAGTCAGCTGAGTAGTTTGTATTTGAAGAGGTGAATGTGTGTAAAAGGCGTAGAGGTTTCAAATACGGGTGCTGTGAGGGGACATCAAGTAAATCAGGCTGTTAAAAGGAGGGAGCGCTGGCCGGCCCCCTTCAAATGTCCCACCCTGAGTGTCCCCGTTGTACCGAGCCTGTTTTTTTTTTTTTTTTTTTTTTTTCATGGGCCCCAGACGGTGAGTTTCCCAGCATGCAGCAGTGTTTGTGTAGCTGCCACATTCCTGCAGCGTTGTGTAAACCAGGTTACCAGTCAGGCGTGGCTATCAGCAGCAGGAATGTGGCTATCGCTCTATCTGCTGTCACGACCTGAAAGTCTATAATCACACCATCCTTCCTCCATCAGTCCTCCATTTACCCTCCATCACTGCTCTATCTGCTGGACCCGTCTGCACTCACTCCATCCTCCTGCAACCTCCAGCCTCTTTCCATCTGTTCTCCCACCAGCTCCCAGTGTCTTCTTTTACTCCTCCATCCACCATTCATCATCCCACCATCAATGACTGGCTGAACAGACACAGAAGCAGCTGATTGGCCCATTAAGCTGCTGTTCACTGACAGTCTGAACCTGACAACCTTTAAACGGATGGAGAGCAAAGTTTCCACACCTCTGCAGGGTCATTTCCGCATTATCTGTTTGTTATCCCTCCATCACAGTCTCCTCTACACACGCCTCTTCTCTTCCAGCTGCAACAGTAAAGACCAGAGGACTGAGGACAGATCCCTGAGGGACGCCCATTGACAGTCACAGACAGGCTGTCCAACCTGAGTCCACCAATCACCTGAATCTGGTGAGCCACAGAGACCCTAAAAACTGGGGAGTGCTGATGTGATTGTCTCTAAATAAAGGAAGGAATTAAAAGATTTTTTCAACTTCGGGGCTTTCACAGCTACATCTTTGGGTCTGGATTTACGGACTTTTCTGTTTGGTCTGAACCAAAATGATAGGTGTAAAACCTCCCCAGGACCTTGGTCCGGACCAAACAGCAAGACCTTGGTCTGACCAAAAGATGTGGTCTCAGTCTCAGTCTGGTTCCTGCTCAGTGTGACAGCATTATTTTTGAAAGGTTCAGAGCTTTGTACAAAAAGCGTGCGTCGAGTCGAAGTTTCTGTCATTATGGAGAATGGAGATTTTCCAAGAACAGGACATTTTTTGATATTGTTGATAAAGTTAGACTTCACGACTGGAAGCTTATCTTTTTAAGAGTTTGACAACACAGTCTTTCTCTCCAGACTCGGTGTTGCCATGACTCGCAGGATTGCATACTTTTTTCTCCCTTCCTGTCGACCGCAGAGGAACGCTGGAGCTCTGTCAGAGTGACCATCGGGTTCTTGGTCACCTCCCTGACCGATGCCCTTCTCCCCCGCTTGCTCATTTTGGCTGGGCGGCCAGCTCTAGGAAGAGTCCTGGTGGTTCCAAACATCTTCCATTTCTTAATGATGGAGACCACTGTGCTTTTTGGGATCTTCAATGCAGCAGATATTTTTCTGTAACCTTCCCCAGATCTGTGCACCGATACAACCCTGTTTCGGAGGTCTACAGACAATTCTTTCGACTTGGCTTGGTTTGTGCTCTGACATGCTCTGTCAGCTGTGGGATCTTAGATAGACAGGTGTGGCTCTCCAAATCATGTCCAATCAGCTGAATTTGCCACAGGTGGACTGCAATCAAGTTGGAGGAACATTTCAAGGCTGATCAGTGGAAAAAGGCTGCACCTGAGCTCAATTTTGAGTTTTATAGCAAAGGGTGTGAATACTTATGTATATGCAACATTTGAGTGTCTTATTTTAAATAAATTTGCAAAATGTTCTAAAAAAAGTTTTTATTTAATCCATTTTGGAATAAGGCTGTAACATAACAAAATGTAGAAAAAGTGAAGTGGCATGAATACTTTACGGATGCACTGTATGATACTTTTCTATGTTTGCATTTTGATATTGAATCCTCCCTTTTCGAGGCCATAGACTGCACACACATCCCCATCACAGCCAGTCTGCGGCCAAGTGAGGCAGACTATGTAAACCTCAAAAGCTTCCACAGCCTCAATATTCAAGTAGCATGAAGTCTAAGCAATGCACTAATATTTGCCAAGCTCCAAGTTCAAGTTTCATGCAGTATATCAGTCATCATTTAGAATTTATTGAAGCAGATTAGAAAACTCCTCTTAACCCCAAATGTGTCTACAGATGACGTGACCATCAGATGATGGTCACTAGCCTTGAGACAAAGTGTACGGGTTCTGTGCACAACTCCTGCATCTTCAGGGAATCAGTACTGTGCAGGAAGCTCTGTGGCAAATAAAAATCAACTCCATTGGCAACAACAAACTTACTAACCACATGTAGAGCTTAAAAGTTTTACAGTGAATAACTTCAGAAAATTCATTTTTTTTTCAGCGTGAGGCAATCTCACTTTGAACGTACATTAGTCAGACTGCAGTCAAAGTTACAGACCAAAGCACAGGAGACTGGAGGTCCTGAGCTGCAGCCTTTGTCCTCATCACAAAGTGGGTTTACTGCGTCCTCACAAATTAATTTTCCTTTAGGGATGCAGGATGTGTGCCCAGCCAGATCCAGGAGCTGACTCTCCATGGGCCTGCAGAGACACCTGTTTGGACCACTCAGATGATCCAGTTAACTCGGTTTCAAAACAGGCTTAGAGTTTAAATCTTAATAATAGTCTTATAAACGCAAATCTCTTCTTATTGAGTGTCTCATAATCCTCTTGGTCGTTGTTGAAAACTGCTGTTCTTCAGTACCTTTCTTTCTTGGACTCTCTGACACTCCCACTGACTCTGCACATCATGTCCACACATTTCAGATCTTCAGTCCTTCATTTCAAGCTTTTACAAAGAGAGTGAGCAGCACACACAGCTGCTGAAGACATTTGATCTCAGCTCTCTCCTCAAACCTGCTTAATTCACAAGTCTGACACCTTCAGCTCTGAGAGCAGAAAACTGGAGAGCAGCTGCCTGGAAATGCTGCCCAAATATCACATTCTTTTATTAAATACTTCTAAGTCGAGTCACAACAGCCAGATTTATGGGAAATTAATCTCCTGTTCTCAGTGCTGCACAGATTTAGGAACCTACCCCACACCCACAAATCTCTGCACAGAAACAAACACAGGACCAAACAGTCAAAGCTGACAAAACGGTCAAGTGCACACAAATCAACCATCAGATCCTCAACCTAGAACATTTTCCTGAGAACCACCGGAGTCAGTCAGGAACAGACTCGACGCTGATTCACAAGATTTATGTTCAAAATTTCCTGTTAAACTGAGACACATTCACAGTAAAAGTCCAGCATATAGAGGTGAACTCACCCCGAGAACAGCCAGAGGAGATGTCATCAGAAGGCACCTGGAGGAGGAAGCACATAGGCAAGTCAGTCAGCAGGTGATCTCTATGACCTGAAGGACAGACTCTCTGTCTCCTCTGAGTGCCATGTTCCAGGTGAGATTCAACATTAAGAATCAATAAGAGTGCTACAGTTTATATATTTACAGTATCTGGTGGTTTTGATGGTCTGAACAATGTTTTTAGGTGTGTTCTGAATATTGAAGACTTTGTTCTGACTTGTTTCATCAGTACCTGTCAGTAAGAGAAGAACTTTATTAATCCCCTAAGGGACATTCAATAGGATGTTACGTATAAAGATGTTTCAGATCCAGTCTTTAGATCTAGTCTGTGATCTAGTCCTGAAACAAAAATCCTGTTTAGTTTAGGTCACATTTTGGTATTTTTGGCTCTCGAGCCTTAGAGTTAGTAACTTCTGCAGTGCCTCAGCTACGCCGTGGGCTGAGACCAGTGGCGGCTGCTGGTCTTTCAAGGAGGGGAAGCTCATTTTTCTGGCCTACATCATAATTGTGTTTGTTTATTTGTATGTAACAGGAAAGAGTCGCCAAACACAACGGCAGTTGTTCTTAACAAAGACAAAAGTCGCTGAGGATCGGTAAAGTCTCCGAAACAGTTAAGAACAACGGAATGAATAACTTGGAAAATGCTTTAGTAGATGTTTTATTCTTCAAGATCGCTGATTCGCTTGTTTAGCTGTCAATCAAACAAGGATTTCGCCTCAGACAGCTCATCCAATCATGGATGCAGAAGCTCGGAGTCCGGGAGACAGTCGGGACCGCCCTCTCGCCATAGAACTCCAGTGAAGCTGAGCGTCCGATGGGCGGGACAAAGCCCAGCATTTATCCAATGAGCGTCTAGTTTCGCTGCTGGAACAACCCACTTTGAGCTTCCACATTGAAGTCAGCAGAAGCCCAGCGTCCGGCTGTTTAAAGCGCTGAGGCGCTGCGAGGATGAATGAGAACGAAGTTGTGCAGAATCAGCTTCTTACCACAGTGTGATAAGAAGCTGATTCTGAACAAAAGATGAAGGCTTTCTAGCGCGTATTTAGTTAATGAAATGTACACACAGCAGTACGTATTTCACCACTTTTTCTTTTTTTTGGGGGGGTGACATTTTAAGGGAAGCTGGGCTTCCCTTGCAGTCTTAAAGCAATCGCCACTGGCTGAGACATACCTAGCACTGAGTGTTTGCAATGCTCTGTGGTACCAGTCCTAAACACTGGTTTGCAGTAGAGCCGACACATCAGTGACACAAACTTTTTTTTTTTATGACAATGAAATATCGATATCGGGCTGCTGTGTTTCTCTCTAAGTCTGACTAGTTTTCAATCCCCTGTGTGAGGAATCTGAGGAATCCTGCCTAAACCTCATTTTTTTGTTTTTTTTTTTGTTTTGTTTGTTTTTTGTTCTACACTGGGTAAGAAGGGGATAAACTAACTCTCTTCAGTAAATTTGCATTTATCTTTCACTATCTTGCAGAGGTTTTTGATTTGCTTTTCTGAACTGTGTTGCAGAGTAGGCCTTGATTTTCGCACCATGCCACCCAAAGCCAACAACTCCACTGAGGAATACATCAGCGTGTCTCAACCGCATGAAATGTTGGACCAGCAAAAAGACTCTACAGAACTTTGCTAGACTGACAGGAAAGAAGTTTCAAAGCATGTGTGCAGATCATTTTAGACTCTTCAAACAAGAGAATTGATGAGCTATCAAAGGAAGTCTATGATCTCGAGGTGAATCTGGAAATGACTCAAAAGGAGTTTGACAACTTTAAAATTGCAAGTTACGCTTGGTCCAAAAGCTGAGTAGAAACAAGGTCAGACTTGGACACAATCTGCAAGAGCCTGCTCTCAGTAAAAGACTGAACATTTGCAGGAGAAGTCCAGACACCATAATATTGTTGTAGAAGGCATTAAAGAGACTGGAAACGAAAGGGCATCTGATTCTGAGGAAAAAGTGAGAAAACTATTCTGTGAGGAGCTACAGCTGGATCATCTGAAAATAGAGCTGGATTGGGCTTACAGGGCTAGGAAGTCAATGTCATCATCTGAGAAACCCTGACCCACGGTGGTCAGATACCTGAGACAGATGAACAAACTGGCTGTTCTTGACAAAACTAAGAATTTGAAGAACTCAGACACCTTTATCAATGGAGACTTTCCTGAGGCGGTTGAAGGCAGCTCAGCAGAGAAGTGCCATTGTATACTTCAGATATGACAAACTTATTGTCCATCCTCCTGTCCAAAAACCACCAAAAGAAACTCAGTGAACTTACAAATATCAGCAAATTAGGTTCCGCTATGCACTTATGGTTACTCAGCCTACTTAAGTACACAGCACTTTTGTTTTATGCTCAGTGTTGATTTACAGAAAATTAGATTTTGCAGGCCAGGGGCTCTATTTTCGTGCCTCGCCGGTGAGGTGGCGGAGGGTGACGGACCCCGCGCAGTTGTATTTTCGTCTGGCGGAGCCCGGCGTACAGCCAGTTTGGTATTTTCGTGGACTGAGGCGCACGGAGGCGAACCGAGATCCGCCAAGCTGGGCGTGGTGGCGAGGCAGGGGGCGGTGTCGACAGAATCAGCGGGCGCAGTGACATTTTCGTGCTCGCCACCGGCGTGTTAAGTGCGCTGAAAGCTCGCCGATTCAAACCTGGTCAGCTTTCAGCGCAGGAGGAGCGCAGCTGGTCTAGAGGTATTTTGGTAGACTGGCGGCGTATCGGCATACGTCACGGATGCCTCACAGGCAGGTTTCCACAGTGCCAGGCACATTTCAGTGCAATAAATAATCATCAACAACTAATAATCTGAGTCAGCAAATACATTTAGATCTATAGATATATTCTGATCTATATCTGATCTGATGAGCGCGTTTGGCACGCGTTTGGACACACAACCCAACCGAATCAACACAGCTGAAACCGCCTTAAATTAAATTAAATATCTAGTAAATAAACACAGATGATGAAGTTAACAAGATATGTGATTCGTCTCCCTCCTTTTCTTTCTTCCTCTTCCTCTTATTTCTCGCGCAGCTCGACCTGGACATGTCTCCGTGTCCTCTCTCCGTCCTGTTCCAGCTGCAGCGGCTGAACAGATGATTTGTTTCAGTGCTCAGATGAGTTATCTACTTTACGCCTACATACGGATATTATAATATTCCGTTTTTTGAGCCAAATTTATTTTATATGCCAACATCTATGAAAGAAAGAGCCAGGCCACAGAGCGCGATGCGTCATTTACGCACAGATGGTTCCGATTTTAATGCCATTTTTGGAGTTTATGTTGTGATCTGTGCGCTCAACCCACCTTTGTCACGTGAGGTTTGTATATGTGCAACTTTATGTGAGTGTCTTTATTTGTGGAAAAGGGTGTTTGTCTTACCAGTGGGTCCAACATTACACACACCAAATCCATCTGTGCTCATATGAGAGAGTGTGGAGGACGCCCAATGCAGCGCTTACAGTGACACTTGTTGCGGAGCTGCTTTATGTCGCCATTTTGTGGCATTACTGTCTTCAGACATCTCTTGATCTCTTTGACTACTTCATGAAAATAGTAATACACCTTGCCGGTGGCGGATTTAAAGGCAAGGAGAGGAGCTGATGTGATTGGTGAAAACAGGTCTCGGCTGGGTTAAACCCACTCCACGCCCTTTCTCCTCCCTTGCCACGACTTACGCCGCCAGGAGGAGCTGAGTTAGGGAGGGGGGATACTTACGCCGGGCTGCGCCTCTCACCAAAATACCAAATTGTGCTTGGGAACGCCTTGTCAGCGCGGCGGACCTCACTTACGCCGCGCCTGCGGCACGTCTCCGGCGAGGCACGAAAATAGAGCCCCAGATCTTTAATCCTTTTGATTCCTTTACCTATGACCCTTACCGTGGTAATGTTGATACTAGTTATTTTTCATCTTTTGATATCTCTAATTTTTGTAAATATTATGATAATAGTCAATTTAATGATTTGTGTGATACATGAACTCTGACAAATTCTTTACTTTCCATTTGAAAATAAGGAGTCCCTTGAGTGATTATGATAACTACATTCATTATCTATCTTCATTAAAACATGAATTCTCTGTTATTGCTTTATCAGAAACGGCTTACAGAGGAGTCTAAGGACATTTTAAATTGCCTAAATCCAGTTCAGTTCACTATGTAAGATAGAATCGTTCTGGTGGTGGAGTATCCCTGTTTATTTATGGTGACCATGAATTTAAAATTAGAGATTATCATTCTCTGATGTCTGATGGGGCAGAGTCAATTTTTGTTAAGTTCCCTAGTGTCCCTGTTTACAAAAATATTTTTGTTGGTGTCGTTTCTCCATCACCAGACTCTCTTATCAGAAACTTTGATGAACGTTTATCAGTTTGTTTTTTTAACCGACAAATAAGGGAGACAAACTCTGCTATATCTTAGGTGATTTTTCAACGAGAAACAAAAAGTTTTACCTTGATAACATTTCAAACAGTTCTATTTTTGAAGCAATGAAATCTGGGATCTTGTACTCAGATCATTTTCCTATATTTCAGTGTTCTCCAAAAGCATTCAATTAAGCTAATCATACTAAGAGAACGATGTGCAAAAGACTTATGAGTAAGTCAAATATTTTTAAATCTAAAGGTATGCTAGATATAATTTACTGGACAAAGTTTATGGGGAAAATAAAGCCAATTTAGCTTATCAAAAATCTGTGAAAGTTACAGGTTCTATTTTTGATGAAGGCATTCCATTGGGCAGTTCTTCTAAGAAATACAGTCAAGATCTTGATAAGCCTTGGTTTAGAGCTGACTCACTTAAGTTACTCACTACTCCCCTTACCCATGGTGCCTAGAAATCTTATTGAACAAATTTGTTAATTCCATCAGAACTGCAAAAAGAAATATTTCAAAAGGTGTTCTAATGACACTAAAAATACCTGGAAAATTATCAATCAGGTGTTACAGAGAGAAAAGACAGCTCAAGTGTTACCACTGCCTTTAGTTATGGTGAAAATGTCTTCAATAACCCAGTGGATATAACTAAAAAATTTCAGGATTTGTTTTTTTTAATATTGGTCAGAACTTAGCAGGAGTAACATCGGATGATTTAAAAAGTTGCTAAAATTATTCCAGTATTTAAAGCTGATGACCCAGACTAATTTAATCGGCCAATATCCATCTTTCCCTTTTTTTCAAAAATAGTTTTTAAAAAATTTAACACAAAAGAATAATATCTCATCTTGACTCAAATTCAATTCTCCATAAACATCAGTGTGGATTCAGAAAAAAAAATCAACTTACACGGCTTTCCTTCACCTTTCTGGACAAGATAGCTCTGCCTTTGATAAACATTGGTTTAGTTGTAGTATTTTCTTAGATTTTTCAAATGCTTTTGATACAGTTAATAATAATAATAATACATTTTATTTGTAAAGCGCTTTTCAAAAACACAAAGACGCTGTACATGAGTTAAGCAATAACAATAAAACACACATCAATAAGCAATAAAATTTACAACAATATCAATAAAAACATGTAAAATCTGGTAAAATCCGGGGGGGAGGAGATGAAAGGCAGTGCGGAAGAGGTGAGTTTTGAGAAGGGTCTTGAATCTGGTGAGGTCAGTGCAGTTTCTGAGTTCGAGTGGGAGTGAGTTCCAGAGGGTGGGGGCTGCGACTGAGAAGGCTCTTTCCCCCCAGGTTAATCATTGTTTTTTACTAAACCAGCTGCATAGATACGACTTTCAAAATGTTACGTACAACTGGTTAAACAAACATCTTTCAAACAGAAGTAAATTTGTTTGTGTTAAAGAATGCCATCCAGGCCAAGCTAGGCATCTGTGTGGGGTTCCACAGGGGTCCATTCTAGAACCACAATTATTTCTGATTTATATCACTGACATGTCAAATGTCTTAAATATTCTTTCACCAATCATGTTTGCAGATGACAGTTTCCTTAGTTTTCCTTCTAAGTTTTCTCTTGTTCAAATTTCTCATCATTGGTGCAAATGTTGGTTTAAGTGCTTATGTAAAATTGTTTTACTGAACTGTACTTAAATATAAAGAAATCAAACTTTATAACTTTTAGTGGCAAAAATCCTTCTATTTGGGATATGTCAAAAATCTTAATTGATTCTGTTGAAATGCTACAAGTTTCATCTAAAAGATTCCTAGGAGTTTTGGTGGATGATAATTTGAGTTGAAGAGATCACATTGTCTGGGACAGCACAAAGATTCAAAATCTTCTGGTACCATAAAAAAACCTGAACCTCTCAGGTTCATTATCATTCAACACTTTACACTCTAGAGATCTTCATCTTCCTAAATGTTTAATGAGCAGAGGCCAATTTACATTCAAATATAGGGGAACCAAATTATGAAACAATTATTCCCAACTCCCAAAAAATTATTGGACTGAAATGTTACATAAGATGTTCAAAGAAACTTTTGGCAGCTGATAACTAAACTTTGTTGTGTTGTTTTACTTGTTAATCTTATTTCTGTTTAATTCAAGTATCTTGTTGTTGGATACATTTTGTGGTGAAAATACAGGCGAGGTGAGGTCAGATCTTGCACTCAACCATATTTGGACATGCAGGTAGTCATAAAACTCTTACAATCAAGTTTTCATACTTTTGATATGTTTTTAATGTTACTATATGTTCAGAATTCTTATCTATTACTTTTTGTTGGTCAACTTTAAGTTTCTTTGTTTTGTTGTAATATTGTGTTCTTTTTTAAATTGTGTTTAGGTGAAGGCTTCAAATAAGCTCTGTGAGCTTTCTGCCAGGTGTGTCCAACCTTTCTGCCAGCGGTGGCATGACGAGGGCACAAATGTAGATAAAGTTAGAATAATACACTGTATTTGACTGTTTTATCCTGTGTTTAACAAGGAATAATTCAATTATCAAGTCTGTTTTAGAGATTTTGTAAAACATTTCATGCACTCATGCATTGGTGTCTATGATTCTGACATGCTTCAGAAAAAAAAGAAAAAATCTATGAAAATCAGGACAAGACATGATGGGAAACTGCTAATGTTAACAGATCAGACCACGTCCTGACACACAGAGGAGGAAAGATCACAGATCTTAAATGTCTGAACTTTGATATTCTGTCTGACTACACTAAATAAAAACACAATGGGTTTTCACAGGGATGGAGTTATACTGTCAACATTTAAAGCATCATTCAATTTGGTGTGTTGAACATGTCCTCAGACTTTCCTTCTTGTTATTTGAGAGGATTCACCTGGTTTGTTCATAACTGCAGCTCTGACTGATCACAGATTGGCTATTGACATTGATAATCTGAATCCTTCTCTGGTTTTTATCTACAGATCTGCTATCAGGTGGATGATCAGATAATCTTCTGCAGCTGATAAAAGTTCAATACTCCAACTTTAAACACAGATTTGAACACTGTATTATAACTGTTTCTTTACATAAATATCTAATTATATGCATTCATATTTACCAGAGCAAGGTGAAGCTGCTGGGGGCAGAACAGGAAGTCAACAGCATTTCTCCTCAGAGGACGTCCCGCCCACTTTGCAGCCCTTTTGGTCTGACTCCGCCTCCAGCTGGTTCTCAGCCAATGAGGACACTGGTGCTGGTGGTCGTCCTGCATGAACACAAAGAAAATCAACTCAGTGAACTCGTCAGGGTCGCTGAATCAGTCTAATCTCAAACAGGAGGTTGATGCACTTCTTTAAAAACTGCATCAGCAGTTGTGACTAACACTTGATTCAAACTGCCTGCACCAAAACAAACTGTAAGTTTTCTCCCTGGCAATAACAACTCTCTCAAACACAACATACCCAACCTACATCCCCCCTGCCTGTTGACACTGAGGTAAAAATGTTAGTGTCCAGTGTCACAGGCTGGTCTTAGGGCAGGAAATGATGACAGCAGGTACTGATGTGAGAGCAGCCTGCCTTGCAATCTGTATACCAGCAGCAGAGCTAGTGAAAGCATCACGAAGTTACTGCAAATGCTATAGTCTCAGACATGACCCAGGTTTAACATAGTTATTGATGTAGGACCGTGTCTACACTCCACTCCTGTTTTAGGAGCAGCACCGACAGTGGTGTTACTCTCTGGTAAACAGAGTTTCTACATTTGACTGCAGGGAAGATAGAGGTGATTTAGAGGTAAGTCCAGTTTTGCAAATATGAACACATATGGTCAGACCCAGATCAGTTACAGGCAGTCTCAGTCAGACTCTGTAAACTGGATGTAACTCCAGGCCAAATAGTCGGTTGTAGCTAAACTGAAATTAGAGATCCAACTAACTTTATGGCCAGGTGATGCTCTCAGCCTCAGATGAGTCCAAGCTCGCTATAAAAGGTACAGGTGGGGCACTGATGGTACCCAGAGTCATCATTTTTACACTGTGTCATGGGAGGATTACAGCTCTTTCACCGCTTACAGATTTAGCTCAGGCTGCAGATCCAACAAATCATTCAAACTATAAGAGCTTTTAGAAAACCTCCTTTAGAACCTTAACTTTCCCTGATTCAGAACCATGTCTCTCAATGTTTAGCCTGACAGTCTTAGCTCAGTACCACTCCTGCTTTCTACAGTTACTCTCTCTGTCCTTATTCCGTCCCTCTGCTTTTCAGACACACAGATGAAAGATGTTAGGGAGGTTGTGCCTCATGCATGGATGTAACAGGGCAGCAGTTTATTGTTTACCCTTGATTATCATATCTTTATGACCGTCTAGAGCTTTTATCGTAATCCTGATTGATGGTCTTGTGTATAGAGGTCACAGTCCTTGTTGCACTGGTCAGTGGTCTGATTTCCAGCCATGACCCTTCCCCCACTCTCTGCTCTCCACATTTCCTGTCTCTCTTTAGCTTTCCTGTCTGATAAAGGCAAAAATGCCCAAAAATATAACTTAAAAAGTCCCAGGTGATGAATTTGCTTTAAGTATTTACTTTAGTCACCCACAGTGGACATGCCAACATACAATGCCTTAATAAACTAAACAAACAAACAGTGGGTGCTGGTGCAGCCCACTTAAAGGGGGCCAACTATGGTCACCACCAGCTCCAACAGGCTGCTCAGGACCACATCTTCACCTACAACCAAAGCTTCAATCAGTGATCGGTACAGTTTCGAGGTTAGAAATATAGTCACCTCACCAAACAGCCAAACCCTAGACTCTTTCGTGGAAACAAATGGCTCACATGCATGACTGGACATGGCCATTTGGATGCTGCCATTAAGTGTTTTCACTTTCTGTTTCATCTGCTCACCTGGCGTGACTGTGAGTCCAGAGAGAGTTTCCTCCAACATGAGAGAGGATGAAGTTTCTGATAAGGACAGGTGCAGAGTTAGAGTATCTCTGACAGAGCACTGTTACTCCTTCACTTCTTTCTGTATATTTCAGTGCACTGGGGCTCATTCTGTACTACTTCAGCGGACTTTCCTTGTCGCTCTGCTGTTGGTTTTAACTCCTGCTCTGTTGTTTTTGTGTCTTTTGTCAGTTTAGAGCTCTGTCCATCACAGGAGTTCACCTCAGGAGAAATAAAGTTTCTTTTGTGTCACTTTCCTGCAGAAATTCCTGTCTCTTCCTCCCCTTACCACCCCACCTCTCTGACAGTTTGAATTCACTCATTAGATCCTGCGTGAACATTCATTTGAACCATTTAAAGAAATAAACAAGTGACTTTAAAACACTAAAAGGTTTATTTAACCTCAGGAGGAGGAGGAGAAGAACTTCATCAGGTTTATCTTCATGGTTGGCTTTAATGGGCAGAAAATGTTTTTTGATCTGTATCATCTTCTCTAAAAGACTCCTGCCATCATCCCTCTGGATAAAAACAAGAACCAAACTTTATCAGAACCCGGTTTACATATCTCAGAGAGGATTTAAGTTTTTAAACCATTAAAATAAACTAAAACCAACAGTTCAGTTCTTTTTTTACAGTTTGAAGTCTGAAAAATGAAGCGGAGTATCAGCAGCTTCCATCCGGACACAGACCCTCTCCTCCTCCGCCTCCTCTTCTCACTGTCTTCATCAGCCTCATTAACCGTCATTAACCTGCTGACGTCACCGGCTCATTAGCGATTATGATCAGCTAATTAAGAGTTAATTAACAGCTGATTTCCAACCGGTTGATGAGCAGCTGCGGCGGCTCCATCAGCCCACCAGCAGTGAAACAGGTGAGTCACGCGTACACACATTACACACACTTTACACACATTCTTCTGTCTTACCTGAAGGTCTCGCGCTCGGTTCGGAGCTTCACGCGCTCTCCATGTCAGAGACAAACAGACAGAAAAGTCCAAACTTTAGCCGCTAAACTGAAGCCGAAGCGCACCGCTGAACACGCAACTCCAAACCTGTCAATGCGTAGGAAACACACATAGGTGCGTGCTCTGACACTTCCGGTGAGAGAAGCCCCGCGCTACAAAATAAAAGCAGCTGAAATTAAGAAGGAAAAGTTTTACTCTTCTAGACATTTGTTACAGGACAGGAAGTTAAAACAGATGGATGGATGGATGGATGGTCTTAAAGGTTAGACACAGGGTAAGAGGTGATTTCAGGAACATAACCCTGAGTCCACAGCAGTTTTTACCACCTTCTTTAATATTGAAAAAAGCTGATATCATGACTTCAAATCAATGTCACTTTAACAGACTAAAATTCAACCACAGCCAATCACTAAATTCAGAATATTGTGAAATAATGTGTCCATACTATATTCAATGCTTTAGTAACTCATATGTAAAACTACATCAGGCTGTATTATATAAATAAATTGATTACAATAAACAACTTTATGCTGGCTTTTTTTTTAAGTAAACGAAAGTTGTATCAGTTAATTTCAAAAAGGGTATTTGATTTTATTCTCTAAAAATGTCCTTCCTGCCTTCTTAGTACTGCACACGTGTTCTGAGACTGAGCTACTTTTAGGATGCAGTGAGGACTATTTAGCAGATGGAGTAAAATATTCATAAGTTATGTCTAAACTGATAAAAAAAAATCTACTTTGAAAAAATAACAGTTTCTCTTTGTTAACTCACAGCCTTACATAGAAGCAAGCTTCTGTTTATGCAGGTTGCTATCTTGCATCACTATGTTTGGATGAACAAGCAATGTGAGTGAAAAATAAGGACAAAGACAAAAAGAGAAAGGTCATTCTTGTGCATCACAAACATTTGTAATTGACATTTTTTAATGATGAAAACTTGAAGGGTAAGACTCATGATACATCACAGAAGTTTCTTGTCCCCAAAGGCCACCATTACTTCACCTACAAGAGGGGTGAGCAAGGGAGCATTTTGACCTGTAACTTAACCCATAGGTACAGCAACATAATGTATGTCTATTTCTACACACTGGAATTCTTCAACCTTGTGGCTTCATGTAGATATAGTAAAAGCAGACAGAGAGTCAATAAGTGGGTTTTGTGTGTGTGTGTGTGTGTGTGTGTGTGTGTGTGTGTGTGTGTGTGTGTGTGTGTGTGTGTGTGTGTGTGTGTGTGTGTGTGTGTACCTCGTATTAGGGATAAAACTGCATCTGAGCTGAGAGGCTGCAAAACTGCTCTGAACTTTTCAGCCAAATCATTTCTATTTTAATGAAAAAAGTTAAAGTAATACTTCAGCTCTGACCAACCTGGAAAAAAAAGGAATTCTGTTAAAGTATAATGAAACATTTCTCTGATTTTTGGCCAAGTAAAATGACTCTGCTGACAGAGTAAATAAACTTCTCAATAGATCATCACTATCAGGTTTTTCTCCACAGCTTAAAAGATAGAACTGATAAAATTTATCAACTAACCAACCGAAGTCCACCACACGAATAAAAACGATCAGCTTTTATTTTGAAAACTTAAACGGATGTGTAATGCTGCATCATGCGGCCTTGACTTCACAGTGAGCGGGCTGCCTCTCTCTCTCTCCATCCCGCAGCAGGTTGCTGTGACCCGACAGAATCAGATGCACGGTTCTCCTCTGGGTTGAACCGAACTTAGCAGAACCGGCAAGAGGGACCAAGCTGAGCCGAGCCGATCTGTTCTCAGTCTGAACTCAGGGTGATCAGCGGGGACTCTGCAGCTCTGTGTCCGTCTGTATGGGGGCTCCGGGCGGCTCGAGGCAGAGGATCATGCTGCTGCTGGTTCTGCTGGTGTGGTGCCCCGCTGCTCCGGGGCACGCCGAGAGGGTGAGTCAACACACCTCAAAGACGGTGTAACATCCAAATAACACGAAGAACAGGTGGACAGGTTAGCTGCGCGGGTGAGAAAGTTTGGGAGAAAAAGGTTAACTGATGACCTTGACCACCTGTGTCACCATGGAAACTTAAGCTCAAAAACTCTTACTGTAGTTTTGGGTTAGACTATTTCTGGATCTGTGTTATATGGCTAATTTTATTGGACATTTACAAGAACATACTGACGGGAAAATGTGCTCTGATTGGCTAGATTCACCTGCTACCATACCCTGCGTTTGTCTCCATGGTAACTGTCAGACAGGTGTGTTTTCCTGCTGTACAAGAGACCAATTATCAGAATATGGCTTCCAGGTTTACATAACATGTTCTCTGTTCAGAGAAGCAGTGTCAATGAAATCTGTGATAATGTGGGTCATGGATGGTTTTCTGGACTTCTGTTCTTTGTGAATTCTGGTTCTGCTGAGTTCTGGCCTTTTATGAGAGCTGGTCTTGGTAAGTTCTGGTCCACATGGGTTCTTTTGGATTAAGTCTGGTCTTGATGTCTGGGTTTACTCTTGATGAATTATGGACCATAAGCACTGGATCTTATATTTTAAACCAATGAGTTCAGTGTTCTGCAAGTTCTGGTTTCGTAAAGATTCTGACTTGTGAGTTCTAACTTTATCAGATATAGTTCTGGTGAGGTGTGCTCTTGTTTAGCCTGGGATTTGATGAGGTCTTTTATTTTTTTTTGTAATGTCTTGGTTTTTCAAAGTTCTGTGCTGGTCCAGTGGAGTTTGCTATCTGGGGGGCAGGTGTTGCTGGGTTCAAGTCTTTGGGAGTTCCAGCCTAGATGGGCTGCAGTCTCACTAAAACTGTTCAGATTGGATTTCGTAAACTCTGGTCTTGGTGTGTTTCCTGAGCAAGGTGAGTTCTGGTCTTGGTAAACACTGTTTTTATTTTGTTCTGGCCCCATGTGTTCTGGTTCTGGCAGCTTCCAAGTCCTTCTTTTGGTTCATTCTGGTCTTAATGAGTGCTTGGATCTTTGGGGTTCTGGTCTTGGTTGATTCCTCGAGTGGTGATGGATGAACAGTTGGATGGATGGTCTAGTCCTGAAAATTTGGATCTCTTTGATCTGACCAGTTTGGGTACTGGTAAATCCTGGTCTTTGACAGTTTGGGATTCAGCAGGGAAACACAACTAATGACGAGATGTTCACGCCATGTTCACCAGAGCCTCTGGTACAAAACTAGTAGTGTGAGCATTCTCAAGACCATGCAGGCACCTAAGTCTGAACAGGCACCCAAGTCTGTCAACTCTTCACCAATTCCTGGTGGCGTGTCTGAGCTCACCTAAGGTGATCTGGACTCAGGGTCCATGTACATACTCAGAAGGAGGCTTACTGTGGGGTTTGAAAGTGCAGCAAAGAGTTAGCCGACCACCAATCTTTGATAAGCCTGGGATTTTACACCATCAGACCCAGGTCAAGCCACACCCACCCCAGGCTCTACCCACCAAAGGACGAGCTTAAGGCCGAGCTTCATCTAAGGAGGTTAGGGTCCATGCGGGGGTCGGCTACTTCCCCTGTATAGACCCCAAAGCGTAGGAGTCATCTTACCTTTGACCATAGTGAGAAACATTAACAGACTTCCTTACTCAAATCTGAGCTCACTTTAAAATGTCACTTCTCACCACCAGTACTACGTAGAATTATACACTGTGATCAGCTCAGGCACACTCCGTCTTCAGTTTCTCCCACAGATCAATTTTATGGTCCAATGAATAACAATCACAACTGAAGAAACAAAACTTAAACAGAATGAATCAAAACTTTTAGAAAGGTTTCATTTATTGACTGTTCATACTGAGGTCTGTAAGCATGGAACTGGTAGGGCCCGTGGGGCCTGGGCCCGACCAATAATTGACTAAATAAATAAATGGGGAAACAAACTATGTTGCCTGGCATAATTTAGACATCTGCAAATGAAGTGCTTGCTGTGTCATCAGTTGCAGCAGCAATGAATGCCAACTCTGACAAAAGCTCTTTTACCAGAGGTGCACAAGTTGATAAAACTGTTAGGTATACAGTACACTGAAAATTCAGCCACTGAAAATTTTCGCCTGAAAATTACCCAAAAGTTTCAGTTTTCAGCCAAAAGACTTTTATCACCGAAACAACATGGCCAAAGCCTTGGTTTCTTATTTTCAATTTCTGCAAAAAATTCCTTTTGGTCCATCCCTATTCTACACCATTCTGATGCCAGTGTTGAGAGGTCTTTCTCATCCCTTCGTTGTTTGAAAAAACAACTTGAGTTCCAGGACGACGCAAAACACACATCATTTCATGTGTGTTCACATAGGCTTTAGGCCTACATAAGGATGTTTTGCCAATAGTGGATGTTAAAAAGATTTTCAGAGACTTCACTCAGCTTAAAGACCAAAGGAGGCTGTTCTTTGGTTGTTAAGCTGAGTGAAGCATTAGACTGTAATGACAGTAGGTCTGCTGGCTGCATGTGTAGGTTTTTTTTCCCCTCGTGATTGTGTACACACATGGTGCATTCATGGACTCATAGCATGGAGGTGGGCCCCACCAGATCTAGATCTGTTCCGTGGTCCATGTCTGTAAGTGTTCATATATTAATAGGATGCACTGATGTCACCAGTCCCTGCTCACACAGCACAGGGTTTACTGAGCTGGTCATGGTGGACTCCTCTGTGCAGTTCAGCCATGAGTGACTGGACTGGTCAGAAAAGACGCTGTGTCTCTGTGCTGTATCTGCACTGCACCATCAGCAATGAGGAGACCATGACGGCTCGTCACAGGGCTTTTCTATGAAGACAGACTGAGTCCAGACTGACGGCTGTCTCTCCCTTTGACCCCTTTCATTGTTTGAGTTCATACTGATTCTCCAGGAGTGAAATGGGGATCACTTTGGTTAAAAGGGAAATATCAACCAAATTCTGACATTGTCGAAATGCACACACTTAATGACCACAAAGAAAGAACATTAAGGTAAACGAAACATGCTGCCTTCCCTCCTCAGTTTTCTCATCTTGCACCTTCAAACAGCAGTGCACTGTGCCTGTATTTTGAGTGCAGCAGTTCTGGGTTGAACCCAAGGATAAGGAGCTGCAGAGGGTCCACTCTCCTGTTTTAATGCATCTCCGCAGCTGTCAGCCGACTGTTGTCCATTTTATCAGCAGCTTTATCTGAAAATTTCTACCTTTTTTTTTTCACTGCAGAAACAAAAGAATGTAATAAGAATGTCAGACAGGAAATAAAACCTGTCTGTGTGTCTTTCTGAGTGTGTGTCCATCTGTATGTCTGTGTGCAGTCAGTCAGACAGTCTGCTCAAAGTCTGTTATTTTAGTTTGTCTGTTTTCAGTTTCAGCCTTTTGTCCTGATCTGCTGTTATTACTGACCCAAATGATTGGCACGTACAAACACACTCACAGGCACACACGCACACACTCTCTCTCTCTCTCTCTCTCTCTCTCTCTCTCTCTCTCCTAATCTTTTATCTGATCTGCTGAGCTGCAGTTAAAAGGAAAGTCATCTTCCACCTGACTGAAAGCTGCTGAGCAGTCAGTGAAAATCCATACTGACATTCTGAATTATTTCACTTTTACTCTTTTAAGACTAAGAGTCGCTCTGAACCATGAAACACGAATGTAGACAGAGCCACCCTGAAACCTCCTTTCAGCCATCAACATCTTGAACGATGAAAGAACTCAAAATATTTGCAGCTCAAGGGGTTAAATTCAGGGCCAGTATTAGCTTAGACAGTTTTCATAAATGATACCTGGGCCACCAAGGTATTGTATATTTCTTTAATGTATCATGCAGCCCTTGCATATGATGGCGGGTACGTCTTTATGAGTCACTTTTGACTCAAATTCAAATCTGCATTTTAACTCTGGAGGTAAAGTTCTTACATCAACTGTCATGAAGTCACTGTAATCCAGTAAACCAACGCATCATGCCGCCGTACGATCCAGCAGAGGGTGCTCTCATCACAACCCAGCCACTCCATGCACTCATGCTGTGCAAAAAGTAGCGCCCACAAGCTGTGGCTGATTGTCAATTACTGGAAAATGTCCCTGTCCTTCATTTCAGGAATCTGCTCCTATTATTCTCCTTCATCACTGTGACTGGTTTCCATCAAATGCTTGATATTGATTGGTCATGAGTCCAGAATAACAGAGATTGATTCTTGACAGGATGAGGAAAACCAGGAACGACCTGTTCAAAAACATCATATGAAAGAGTCCGGCACATTTTAATCTCTGCCTGTTGACAATGTTGCAAAGATAGAGCTTCTGTTAGTGACCCATCAGGTTAAGGTGACCAAATTTCTGTAATCAAATCCGGGGATATTCGGTGCGGACATGGGCTGCGTGATCACAGACAACATCTCGGTACTATTTAGTAGCAGCACATGCCCCTTGTAATAACCCCCGTAAAAACTGTTGCTCAGGACTGCTTACTTGTGCTTCTTACTCCTTCAGCTACTGTAATAACCGTTGTTCTGGCCCACACACAACATTTTTGTTCTCATTCATGAAACGCTTAAATCAGGGACATTTTCGGGGACAGCTTTTGCCGGGGACAGGTCATCCAATTCGGGGACTGTCCCTGGAAATCGGGGACGTCTGGTCACCTTACATCAGGTCCGACTCCCTGCTTTGGCAACCATCACAAAACTAGACCGACTGTATTTGAGCTCAAGTCTTGCAATAACGAATGCACTGAAGAGTAAAAGTCTGATATCTTTGTTCTTGTCATGCTAGGGCTTCTCAGAGAGGTTTTCATACGGCAGGTCATGAGGGTCAAACCCGCTGTCTGAACCTGAGACATGAAAACAATCTGATCCTCACTTCAGATTCTGCAGGTCTGTGTGAAACAGCTGAACCATCACTGTAAACTGAATGTGGAACATTACCCATGATGCCCTGCTGTAGGACGTGTCCAGGCATCAAGCGTCTGTAGGATGTGAGACAGGAATGAAGATAAGACAACATCAGGCCTTCATCAGCCTGTCTGTGACTCTGACTGTCTGCAGGTTCACTTTATCGCACAGGAAGGACTGTTACACCTGCAGGATACATGAAGGTGTTTGGGTTTGAACCCCCAGAAAAATGTCGGCCAGATAAAGACATCATGAAGAAACATGCTGAGCTGCCGCACTGCTGTGTTGCAGCCTAAACCTGAGACCCTGTTCATCCAGGACTGAGCTCTGAAACTGATACACCTGCAGAAACACCTCACATGACTCTAGTTTCCTCAGTGTTCAACTCTTTCTTCGTCTCTTTCTGCAGATCTGCCACTGCAGCGGCAAGTCCCTCTGTCACTGCGATGGGGTCAAAGGTCAGAAGGTGAGTGGGACAGAGGAAGAGTAAAAGCTGATCTATTCTTCACTGTAATATTAATCTGTTATTATTGTTTTTTTCACTGTTAAATGACGTGAATCTTCATTCTTTAGAAACATTACTTGTCTTTGAGCTAGTGACACATACTTGATGAAAACTGTTCTTTAGCTGACAGATGTTCCTACCTGATGCCCTGAGTCCTGTTTGCTGCTCCTCTTAGGCTGGGCTCACCTCCACCTGTCAAAGCTTTAAAGAGTACAAAGGCAGGCAACCTGAAAGGCAAAAAACAGGGCAAAAAAAGAACCATGAAAGTGATCTACTCCTTGTCTTCTGTTTTTACAACCATGGTACTTCATAACCCCCAAGGATGTTTTTTTTAACACACAGGGTACTTTTCAGGATCTGTTATAAGCAGTGGTGGGTCATGCATTTCACACATAGGAATTCAGTGCCAATCCACTTAGTCCTACCCAAATGAATACACCTCATAATACTATCAATATGACATTATGGTGCAAGAATCCATCAGAATCACACTTACACATTACATCACCTTGATATAGGCTAGCCGAGCAACACTTATTTCCCGCAGCATTTAAACCAATAAGCACACATTCACAGTTAAGAGTAGATACTAAGATCACAGATACTGTCAAAACTCAAAAATAAAAGGCGATTTTACGATCTCAGTCAACAAAAGGTCACCAAAAGTATGCCATTTGAGCTCAAACAAGTTTGTCCAATAAATTGTGCGTTGTCACCATTTCATGTTAAGACACCAAAGAGAAGATAACGAAACAAACTATTCATTACAAAAAAAGTAAACAGATCATTTGCATTTGTCTATGAGAATATGCAACAGCAAAACAATTGGACATAAGGGTGCAGCTCTGTGTTCTACCATGAGGATTTATTTGATGGTACCCTCTTATTTTCTGTTTGACGGTGAACTTCAGATACCCTGTGGTATATTTAAGGAACCCTCAAGGCTACTTAACTGAACTGGTGTTTCAATCAGAGGTACCATACCTTGAAACAGAACCTCAAGTAAGATCTGAAACAGAGCCTCCCTTGAATAGCAGTTAGGGTGTACCCTCTGGCTGCCCTGTCGTGTCTGTTTCTCAGTGTCAAAGATGAATCTATTTTGATGGACAGATAAGTGGTCTGTTTGCGGGGCATCCTGAATGGTCTGTCCTGAAAATTCTGTCCTAAATGGTCTGTCCTGAATAGTCTGTCCTAAATGGACTGTCAGATACAGTCTGTCCTGTATGATCTATCCTGAATGGTCTGTCCGGCATGGTCTGCCCTAAATGGTCTGTCTTGTATGGTCTGACCTGTATAATCTGTCTTAAATATTCTATCCTGTATTGTCTGCCCTGTATTGTTTCTCCTGAATGGTCTGTCCTTTGTGGTCTGTTATGTGTGGTCTATCCCGTATGGTCTGTCCTATGAGGTCTGTCCTGAATTGTATGTACTGAATGGTCAGTCCTATGTGGTCTGTCCTGTGTGGTCTGTTCTGTATTTTCTGTCCTGTGTGCTCTGTCCTGAGGGGTCTGTCCTGTTATGTCAATTATATATGGTCTGTCCTAAATGGTCTGTTCTGTATTTTCTGTCCTGAATGGTCTTTCCTGTGTGGTCTGTCCTGCATGGTCTGTCCCAAACTTTCTGTCCTGAATGGTCTGTCCTGAATAGTCTGTCCTAAACGGTATGTTCTGTATTGTCTGTCCTGAATAGTCTGTCCAAAATTGTATGCCCTGTATTGTCTGTCCTAAAGGGTCTGTCCTGTGTGGTCTGGCCTGAAGGGTCTGTCCTGTATGGTCCGTCTTGTATTGTCCATCATGTGTGGTGTGTCCTGAATGCTCTGTTCTGCATGGTTTGTCCTTAATTTTCTGCCCTGAATAGTCTGTCTTTTATGGTCTGTCCTGTGTGGCCCGTCCTGCACACTCTGTCTTGAGTGGTCTGTCCTGTATTGTCTGTCCTGAATAGTCTATCCTTAATGGTCTGTCCTATGCAGTCTCTTCTGTATTGTCTATCCTGAATGGTCTGTCTTAAATGGGCTGTTTTGAATGGGCTGTTTTGTACTTGTAACCCCTGTCCCATGTAGCTAGATAATACTTACTGAGAAATAATAGGGGTGTTGTAGTACAGTGGGACGGGGCCTGAAGTCGTCTGGCGCTACCTGTGATGATAATATATGAAACAATTTGACAGTGTGTCCAATAAAATTTAAGAAGTAAACACAACAGTTGGTACTTACCCTTTAAAATAAAAGTCACTTAAACCTATATTGATCCAAAAAGTATTACTTTCGTAACTACAACACAGGATTTAGTTTAACTATGAAACATTTTTAGTACAAGGTTATGAATTGGAGTTTCAACTTAATTAACTTGTTCACTGCCAACCTTTAAGTATGTGCTGATAATAGTATTCAAACACTCTGGCAGTTTTGACTCACAATTTATCCCTGATAGACCCGAATAGGAAAGCTAAAATAAATCAAAATGACCAGGGAAACTTGGATGCCCAATCCCAAACCGCCCCCTACATACTCGCCCTATACACTCTTCCTCCGTTTGCGCATTCCTGCGGAGGCTCCGCCATATTGAAGGCCGCCCCAAACCACAGAGTGCCGAGGGCGAGAAGTTGTTCAGCCCTTCAATAGCGAGCCTATTGAAGGAGGAGGAAACAACATACAAATATAAGTTCCGTATGTGTCCATCTTTGTCTTACTGACAAAAAAAAAATATCACAAAAGACATGGTTTGGAAAGATCAAACGGAAGTTGGAAAATCTTACTCTGTGCTGAGGTTTGATTTGATTGTGCGGCACATGTCAAATAGTGATGGGGTTCAAAGACATATGGAATCACTAACAATCAGAAGTATAATTTAGCTCCTGTCACTGTGATGGTTGCTGGATTTATAATTTTACAGGGAGGATGAAGAAACGAGGCAGCCGCTGCGGCTCAGAACTGAACATGATGTCCGTTCACAAAGAAAATAAACGCTGCCTTGCACAGGACGCGTCTTTAGGTTGCTATTCTGTTTTCAAGTGGAGTGAGGAGGGCGTCCCATACCCGCCCATCTTGTTTATGTCCCCCCATTTGAATTGGGGCGCACTCCACAGCTGCGAGTGTAACTTCATTACGAGTGACACTCAGTAGTGAAGGGTGAATGTGTAGGGGGCGGTTTGGGATTGGGCCAAAGTGTCCAAAGCCCACACTCACACACTCACTCACACCGGGCCAAAATAAAAAATGTTGCAGGCCCAGTATATGCTTGTGAGTGGGAAGCCGAAAAATAAATGGCCACCTCACTGGCTTTAACCAGCACAAACAAAAAGGCAAGTGCAAAGTGTTAATTGTACTCACAAATCCACACAGTCAGAGATAAGGATGGGTGCAAAAGGGACAAATGGCAATGTGCAGTTTCAGCGGCATGGAATGGAGCAACATCAACATGTGGGAGCAAACCACGCTCAAGCACAGTCGGTACAGTCTCTCCCACAGTCCAGGGCTCTCCAGGTCCTCACTCTCTCCCTCTTACGGCAAATGTCTGGTCCTCTGTCAGCTTCTCAGAGTTCACACACAACAACCATAGGATGACTCTCCGTCAGTCTTGGAAGTTAGGAGTGTTTCACAATACCTTTACAGCTTAGAGCTATCCTGGGGCCTATTCTAAGAAGCAAGTTCGACCTAGCAAGGTAGCCTTGGAGCTACCTAGTTCAACTTAGCGCGGTAGCCAGCGGTCTCGCTAAACGGTCTTACGACACTGGTTATCAACCTCATAAGTGGATCCAGCTTTGCTATCAGCACGCGCACACATGTATCTGACCAATCGCGAACATGGACCAGTCTGGAGCGTCAGAGCAGGCCGGAGAGCAAGTGGACCGCAGACTTTACAAACAAGGAGCAGGAGATAATCATGAGAAAGTATGAAGAATTCAAATCGATCATAAACCTCAAAAGCAACACCGTCGCTGCTGCAAAAGCACGGAAGGAATGCTGGCAGAAAATTGCAGACAGTATCAATGCGTAAGTATAGTGCGCAAAAAATCTTTGATGCCATTATCACACTGAAATAGCACTGTTCAACATATGCTTTTAACATGCACCAGACATGTCTAATTCATTTCCAAGATGAATTCATTCATTTGTTCATTTCTATCTTGTTTACATTTTTTGTGTGATATGTAGGCCATATGAGCCTTTCATAAAGGTGGTCATCTGGAGAAGCTCCTCGGACAATGCAAGCACCGAGGTCTATAGGATCCTCCAAGAACAGACAAGCCATTTTTCGAGAGAGCTCATTGGTCGGTGGGCGGGGTTTTTATACTCGGTGAGTTCAATCTGGAACCTAACCTGCCCCGGAGCAGATTAGCCGTACAGCATACGTTGCCATGGAGACTCGCCTCGCTAAGAAGTGAACCCGCATCGTAGAACAGGAAAACCCGAACTTACACTCGAAGTTACCTCGCTAAGCTGTAATCCTGCTTCGTAGAATAGGCCCCTGCTCACATGCTGAGAAAGCAGCCTCTGCTGTCCCAAATGCTGCGGCCTGTCAATGATGCTAAGCACCTCCTACCTGAACAAGGTAAGGACAGGATTGGCCAAGGATACATACATGCAAAGATGAGAGAATAAGAGATGCTTCACTACCCCACAACAAACGTGGTCTCCTGCCTTTTGTGCCAACAACCAAATTTCAATAGATATTAAAAACAAACACCACCTTTTTATGTCTCACTTTTGACTGTATATGAAATTTTAACATATTATAGTTCAACATTTTCAATATATTTACACCTCACAAAGTATTATTTATTACTAACACAAAAATCTGTATATGAATGAATAAAAATAATAGCCACAGGGCTACGTATGGGCTGTCCTGTATGGTCTGCCCTGTATTGTCTGTCCTAAATGTTCTATCCTATGTTGTCTGCCCAGAACTGTCTGTCCTGAATGGTCTGTCTTAAATGTTTTGTCTCGTATTGTCAACCCTGTATTGTTTGTCCTAAATGTTCTGTCCTGTATTGTCTACCATGTATTGTATGCTGAATGGCCTGTCCTATGTGGTCTGTCCTGTATGTTCTGTCCTGTATTGTCTGTTCTAAATGGTCTGTCCTGTATTGTCGGCCCTAAATGGTCTTCCCTGAATGGTCTGTCATAGGTGGTCTGTCCTGTGTAGTCTGTCCTGAATAGTATGTCCTTGATGGTCTGCCCTGTATGGTATGTTATGTCCTGTGTTGTCTGCCCTGTATTGTCTGCTGAATGGTCTCTTCTACGCGGTCTGTCCTTAATGGTCTGTCTAGATGGTGTACCCTGTATTGTCTGTCCTAAATGGCCTGTCCTGTCTGGTCTGTCCTGTGTAGTCTGTCCTATATGGTCTGTCTTATGCAGTCTGTGTTGTATTGTCTATCTCAAATGGTCTGTCCTGTATTGTCTTCCCTGAATGGTCTGTCCTAAATGGTCTATCCTGTATTGTCTGTCCTAAATGGTCTGTCCTGAATAGTCTGTTCTGAATGGTCTGTTCTATGTCGTCCGTCCTGTATGGTCTGTCCTGAACAGTTTGTTCTAAAGCCGTCCTGTTTGCTGAGGGTTCATTTAAGTGACTGTATTAGAAGGAGAAGATAGAGACTTTTTACAATCACTGGGTTCATTTTATTTTATTTTATTTTTCAGGATACCTGTCAGTTTTTCTTAAGATAACTTACGGGCTGTTTGAAGCCATCCTTAAGTGTCATGTGTGATTGAGCCTTTAGTTTTCAATTCTTTGTACCATTTAGTGTCCCCTCTGAAGGGCGGAATCTCTTCAAGTGTGCCTTCAAACCTCTTATTAATTATTATTTATTCTTAAACTGGTCTTTCAGAGTGACTTTGTGTTTCCATCTTTCAGCACCTAAAAATGCTACACTTTTACCCCATGTTGTCCATCTTTTGATGTACCCTGTGATGGTTATTTCATGGAGACCTTTAGCAGCCATTGAGATGTCATAAGGTGTACTTTACTGGATGTTTTCAGGTCCATTAGATAAAGCCCACTTGGGCCTTGGTTATGAGGTACCCTTTGGTATCTGTATTAAAGTACTATGCTGTCTCTTTTTCTGAGATATCCTGCACTGACATCTTTTTCAGTTGCTGTCTGTACCCTCTGGTTCTTTACTGCTGGTAACCCCCCCCCCACTCCAGTTTCTTTTCCTGGTCTGCTGCCCCTATGTAGTGACCTGTTGTCACTAAACACTGTCTAAATCTGAGTGTTGGTCAGCAGGATACTATTATTATAATATTCAAACATAAGGTCATAAACCAAAATAATCTGTGAATGTTTAGAAGTTTAGAAACTCTGACACACTGAAAGCTGAAAATCCTAAATAGTCCAGATTCAAAACATCATGAAGAGATAAGTATTTAGTTTGAGCTGCAGTGGGGTCTGAAATCTTTGTGTGATGTATCACAGGTGTGATATCACAGACCACCCAGGTGGGAACTCTATGATCTCAAGTGTGTTCAGCAGGAGAAAAAAGGCCGGTTCCTCTCTGCTGAACATGAAACGTCCGTCTTTTAGCTCAGGAGCCTGAATGCACCTGGACCACATCCAGCCTCTATGTACACCTGATGTCACCTGAGTTTAGTGCCCCTGTGTGGATACCCAGAAAACTGATCCAATCTTTTGTACATCTCATGAGACATACTTGTGTTTTTATCTTCTGTAGGGTGAACTTGGTTACCCTGGGTATGATGGACTTCCTGGAGGGGTTGGTTACCCTGGAAACGAGGGCCACCAGGGCCCACTTGGAGAAAAGGTAATGACCAAATAACTGAACATGATTTCAGGCTTTTTAATAAGATTTTTTTTATCACTTGATATTTTGACAACATTGTCGACTCCACCCATGGACCCTGAAGCTTACAATTTTACTTTTGCTGAAAACAAACTGTTTGCTTATGTAGTTTTTCTTCTGGATCATTTTAAAAAGTTCAACCAATTTGAGAGGTTTATTGTGTTGAATGGACTGTGGTGTGGTTCTACAGGATTCTTTCTTTGGTCCTCTTTTTTTTTTTTTTTTTAAATTTCCAATGCATTCAGTACTACATCTGATGGTTTAAGACTTTTGTTGATATGATATCATCATGGAAAATGTTTGAGCCAAACAGTTCTTTACTTTTGTGTCAACAGTAAACAGGTGAAGGTACTCTAAATTACTGGTGTTTTAGTCAGAGCAGACAGTAGGCTGATGATGCGGCCAGATTTCAATCTTTGATCACAAAGATGAAGACTAAATATTTTCATACAAAACTCCATGACCTGTGACAAAACTTTGCCCTCCATTGGTGCTGACTGAGGAGGGCACTGTTCAGTCTTTATCTGCTGCTGCTGTGTTCACATGTCACCCCCGTGATAGTTTCCAGCTCTAGAGTCAGGTGAATGTATAATGGTACATCAGCATCTTCTGAGAAAACTCTGAGTGTTTTCATTTTTCTTTCTTTCAGGGCGATCCGGGACCTGGAGGTGTTCCAGGACTCAAAGGTTCTCGAGTAAGACAGAAAACAACATTTCAGACACAGTTCTACTAAACTTGTTCAAACAGGTTTTGTATCTCTCCAGACCTGACTGAAAGAAAACAGATAATTTCAGCAAAGAAATCCACTTTCAGTCACAGTCTCCTTTTTTATTTTCAAGGGTCTTCCAGGAAAACCAGGCTTCTCAGGACCTCCAGGACTGCCGGTGGGAACTATTAATTAACAATCATATGAGTTTTACACAAGGAATGGAAGGACTTAAGATACGTATGAATAAGCCTTCATGCTGAAATAAAGTATTATGTAGAGAGAAGGCAGTGTCTAATTTCTTTAGTCAAGGACATGACTCAAACTAAACTCAAGCCTGAGCTGTTACAAGCATACTTCTGAATTTATGTCTTGTGTGGACTTCCTCATTTCTATCAAATGATAATTTTCTATTGATAATGGATATTTATCCGGGGATCCTTGGACCAACCTTCATGGAAGTAGAATACAAAATAATTCCAGATGAGTCAGTTGGTCATTAGCCTGTTACACTAGTGTTTGCTTTAAAAAATCTGTTGGGGAGTTTTTTTTTGTGTTTTTTTTTTAAAAAGCTTCTGAAACTTCAAACAGGAAAGATTCAAACTACACAAATGGATTTTCTCACTCATATGAGATCACGCTGGTTTATCATTCATGAACTTCTGAGACTGTGTTGTTGGGTGTTCTTAGGGACTCCCTGGACATGAAGGACCCATCGGCCGACCAGGACTCCCAGGATGCAATGGGACAAAGGTAGAGCATTTACCTGGACACTGGGTCCTTATGTTTTACTGAGTATGGGTCTGAAATCATGTCACATGCTGAGCAGGACTGTCATTGTCAGTCACCAGAGATCCATTGTTTTTGTTTGTCAGGCTAAAATTCATGTAGCTTTAAAACTGTAATTATTTTGGTGTTGTTGTAGTAATTGTACTCTTAAACTAAAGAAACCACGTTGAGTTGACCCCTGGGTCATTTTGTTAAAGGTTAACTGGCGAACATTTGTCAGTGTCTTGAGGGTGGTGTTCTGGTCTAAATGTGACTCTAAAACAGCTGTTGTAACCATGACTACTGCTGATATTTTGGGGTGAAAGTCACCAGATTACAGGGTAACTTTTTAAACCAAAATACCAGCTTCCCATCATGCATGTGAGACCAGTACACATGGCTTTTGTTTGTCTACACAGTTTGAAAATGGGGCTCTGTGTGATGTAGTGATGCCAGGACAGCCCTGCAATGGTCTTAGCTTGGGTCCGCTTTACAGTACTGCAGTGGGCACAAAAGATGACAGTAATCAACCTTTTTTTTTTAAAAAAAATCTGAATCAACAAAAAACAAAAAAGCTACAGACATGAAAAAACCTGAGGAGTGCATGTTATTGAGAAAAAGATCAGGACCTAGAACTGGGCCCTGAGGTACACCACACATGGATTTTTCACACAATGAAGCCCAACACCAACTCTAATGTACTCCATCCTGATATCTGAGGTGTTGAGAACATCAAAGGACTTTACTGAACTTTGGGGTCACATGATGCAACACAGTGCTTCAGAGGAGGGTCTTTGTGAGAAAGAAATAACTCAGTGTCTTTTAGGGGGATGTTGGTTTTCCTGGCTACCCTGGGGATCCAGGATCTGTTGGCCTTCAGGTGAGTTCTACTTTTAATTGGTTCAAAGCATCCATTGGACAGTTTAAGTTAAAAAGGCAGTAGAGAAATACATTAGGCTAACTAACAAGCTCTGTAAAGATGAGGCTAACTCTGCTGTTGTGATTTAGGGTCAACCAGGACTGCGAGGTGCAAAGGTAAGACAAGCTGTTTAAGTCTCAGGCAGTCAGTCAGTCAGTCAGGGTTTTTTCAAACTCTGGTCAACATTTCTTTTCCTGTGTCTGTTTTCAGGGACACATGTACGTCTTTCCCATAACTCAGGAAATTAAGGGAGCAAGAGGACCACAAGGACTGGATGGAGAAAATGTCAGTCACTTTCAAACATGCTGATTTAGACCAAGCAAAAAGTCTTCTCAGTAGTCTTTAGTCCTATTTTGTTTCCTGTATTCTGCCAACATTAAGGCTGTCTTTCTCATCTGTATTTAATTATAAGCTGCAGTGAAGGATGAGATTGTGAGTCATGACCCTCACTGTCCTTTAAAATAAGTGTTCAGGCTGTTTCATGTGAGAAATGTAGCTTTTATTTTGAACATGTGGTCAGTCTAACAAAACAAATGATTCGGACTCATCTTGAACCCTCTGATGAACTGTCATACTCTCCTCTGATTGGTGGGTTGTGTTGCAGGGGCTGAGTGGAGCTCCAGGTGAACCAGGCATACCAGGACCAGCTGGATCTGATGGACCTTCTGTACGCTCCTCCTTAATAATTAAGAAAATAATGCATTTTATTTTTAGGTGCCTTTCACAGCACTCAACTGTCACGCTTTATTTGTCAACAATCAACAGAATCAGCAACTTGTTTTATTTTTTCAGGGAAGTCCAGGGTTGCCTGGGGTACCAGGAGAAAAGGTCAGTGTGAATTAGGCTGAACAGATGTAAAAACACTAATTCTGTTGTTTTGACTTTGCATGAAGAGCAGTTACTGCTAAAATAATGTTGTTAAACCGATTCTGCTAGTAGAAGTGAATATCTTTAATTGCTCACATGCAAGTCTCTTTTTTTGCAAGTTTCCTTTTTGAGGAATTTTAAACCTGTTCAAACATTTGTCACATTATCCTGCCTAACCAAGAAAGCACCACATCAGGACAAGTTATTAACTTCTTATTTAATAAGTCAGTATCTAACATGCTCAAGAAATATCTCGTCCATCCAAAATTTGGTAAAGATTTAGTGGAATAATTTCATATCTTGCTCAAACAATTTAACACTAACTTGTAACTGAATAAGTTAGTTTCGCTTCTGTGCTTTTGCACAAGTTAGTATCTGGCTCATATGTTGGAGTCTTTCCTTCAGTGAAGGTTAGTATCCTGTTGCATTTCTTAGAGTCTGGTTTGCAGAAGACACAAACTTGTTTCCACATACAGTATCTTGTTTTCAGAAGTTTTACCTTCCTTATACAAGATACTTACTTTCAAAAGTAAGTTTCCTGCTTGCCTTAGTATCTGGTCTCAGAAAGTTAGTACTGCTTGCATAAGTTACTGTTTTTTTTGTTTGTTTGTTTGTTTGTTTGTTTGTTTTGTTTTTTCTGATAAATATATCTGAGCAAGTTCGTGTTTGGTAAGCTTTTTGATATCTTGCTAACAAAAGGCAACATCTTTTTCACATAACTCCAAATGTTGTTTTTAAACTTTCCACAGGATACACAATCACACAGTGAACAAACTATTGGACTTTCTAATCAACCACCATGTTAGCGGAGTTTGGTCACCTGACATCAGTTGTTGTAAAAACTTCATTTAGTGTGCATCAAAATCAATGCACAGGAGACAGGATGAGATCTGAAGAGCCTGGGTGTCTGGGTGCAGAAATCAGTACAAATGTTACAGAGTCTAGACCAAAGTAATTTGGCCCAAGCTCTCCTCTCACTCACTTTTATGCTGCTGAGTGTGTGTGTCAACATAACAGGTGTGTGTTACGTTATGTATTACAATTGTGCATCTCTTAAGCGTGTGCGTTACAATTGTGAGCCCTCTCAGGTGTGTGTGGCAAGTGCAAGTCTCTTTTGGTGTGTATTACACAAACAAGTCTCATCCAGCCTGAGTACAGGCACCTGGGAGGTGAGCCAATAAAAAACTGTATCGGGCTCTATTCTTGTGCCTCATCGGCAGCTTGGCCCAGGCACGGTGCAAGTCAGGTCCAACTCTGCCACGCTGATGGCGTGTGCCCAAGCACAATTTTGCACTTTGGTGAGCAGCGCAGGCCGGCAGAATTTCACTCCCTCCGTATCTCAGGTCCTCCCAGCAGCGCAAATAGGAAAGAGGGATGGGAGAGCTGAGTCTTTATACCAATCACATCCTCTCCTCACCTTTGAATGCACCACCAGTGAGGCGTACTACAAAATTGGTGAAGTAGTCTACAAGATGACTGTAGGTTATAATCGGCGAGCTTTCAGCACACTCTCTACGCTGCCAGCAAGCACAAAATTGTCAATTCTTTCAACACCTCGCCCTAATGTACAGCCACACTCAGCTTGGTGCAGCTCGGCGTGCCGTGCCACCCTGCACCGCTGGCAGGCACTTAAAAAGACCCTTGTCTTAAGATCAACAGAACATTAGTACCTCTAGGAATGCTCAGCTTTACTTTTCTGGCAACCACCAAGGTTAACAGGACCTTACACGCCCGAACTGACCCCACAGTTGTTGACAAGACTGCTCCTCATTAGCATGACTGCCTTTGCATTCCCCTATAGTCTGCATTCTGCATCCTGATGATGCTGTGTTCTGGTTTCAGGGTCAGGAGGGTCCTAGCCCAGTGATTCCGGGCCCCCAGGGACAGAGGGTGAGCTGATAGTCAAGATCTCATTTCTAATGTTGAGACTAAGACTTTGAATCCAGATGAATGTTTCTAATTTCTGTTATGTCATCACCATTATCATCGTCACTGTCATCACCATTACACCCATCATCAGCTTTCTTTGATTTTCAGGGCAACCGCGGTCCTCCTGGAATCCCTGGACAGAAAGGAATCAAACTTTACGCTGAAGGACCAAAAGAGCTAAAGGTCTATCCTTCTGTCCATGTGTCTGCTAACTGTTGTCTTCCCTTTTACTGATGTCTTTGGATTCCTGTTTCAGGGAGAACCAGGTGATGTTGGGGAGAAAGGTTGCCTTGGATTCCCAGTAAGTTAAAAATAGTCTAAAACTAATAATTACATCCAGTAATTGTTATTTTATTGACTGGGATAGTAAATGTAATAATGTGTTTCTGTTTTCTTCACCAGGGGTCAGCGGGGAGGCTGGGAATTAAAGGAGAAAAGGGCGAGAGAGGAGATCCTGGTACACCTGTGAGAAAACTTCACGATCACAGGATCTATGAAAATGAAATCTGGAGTTTTATTTTTGTGTCTCTCTGTGGTTTTGCTCTGAATCAGGTACTGGTCTTATGTGTTATTTGATGTTTTAGGGTAAACCAGGGAAGGATGGACTCATCGGAGAGCTGGGATTACCGGTATGATGTCCTCAAAGATCTCAACTCAGAGGATTACACCAGATCTTAGGCTACATCTGTTTCTGGCTGGTCTCTTTAGCCACATAATGGACAGGAACACTCTAGGACCAAAACTAAAACCAATCACGTCTTATTCCATGTTACTTTGAGGAATCCGACTTATCGGTGCACACTACATTATGGTGTCTATTAGACTGATCTCTGATTCTAGACTATCTGTCTGCAGGGAGACCCTGGGGACCGTGGGTACATTGGTCCTCCAGGTATTGATGGAGCCCAGGTGAGTACTGTGAGGTATAGAAGGTAATACTGCAGTAGTACATGAGGTACAATATTTTGCGGTGTTTAACATGTGTGTGTTGTCAGGGAGAAAAAGGTGAACGTGGTTTTCCAGGTCTTCCAGGAGAGGTGAGTCTGGATCACAATGTTTATGTAACAGACACAAAAAATGGCAAAATAAAATACAGGCTAGAAATAGCTTTAATCCTTCTCCTTAGGAAAACTGCTTTTACTGCTTAGTTGGTAGTTATAGGTGTGCAACACTGAAGTCCTCAATGGTTCTCCAAACAAGTTTAATAGAGGGTAATCGGATCGGATATTGTATTATTTTGAATTATATTACATCTTATCATACCACATCGTATCGTATTACATTGTATCATTTCATGTCACATCTTATCACATCATATCGTATGAACTGTATCCTATGGCTTATTGTAGTATGGATTGTATTTTTTGTGTCATATAGAACCATGCATCATGATGTAAAGTATCATATTCGGAAGCTCATATGTTACTGTGTTATTAACGATCAACATTGTGTTGTATAATATCATAAGGCAGACATACTTTTGTCATTTAATAGATTATTACCGGGTGTCTTATTTGATCCCCTAATTGAGCTATGACCACAGATTGACTTATCAGTCCATGTAAACATACAGACTGTGGTTTCCACCTACAGTAAATGAGGAAAGTCACTTAGCATGTATCTTTTCTTTTCATGTGACAACATACAAGTTCCTCAGTTTTTTAAATATATTTAGGTTTTCAGGGGCTAAAAGGATGAGAGTTGTGGCAAAAAATTTATTCCTGTGTATTTTGAATCAACAGAAGACCTTCTGTATTTGAGTTACCTTTCTGTTTTTGATTTCCCATCAGACAGTCTGGAATCACATATTTCTGAAGAACCAACCTGGTCCCCCCGGGCCCCGTGGACCCCTGGGAGTCCCAGGGCAACAAGGTCAGAGAAGGGTATCACTACTTCAAAACCACACAGGTGGATGTTATCATGTTTACAGTGTTCCAGCTGATCCAGACTGTTGGCATCTAAGTTTCCAAAGAGGCTCAGAGTAAAATTATGATGTGTGAATGAAAAGAATGCCAAGCCAGACTGATGAAAGATGTAACAGGTTTTATTGAAGATAATGTAATGCTAAAGGTGAGTGAATCCAAAGTCCATGTGAGGTGAGTCCAGATGAGAGAGAGTGCTGGGCGGTGGGCTCGTGTAAAGCACAGAGGGAGGCACTGGAAAAATGGGAGAGAAAAGGAGGGCTAGACAAAAGAAATCCTAAACCACCAGAAAATCTTCAAATATTACTCAGTAGTCACAAGTAGCCTTTGAGGAGGTCAAGTACCACTGTGTAGAGGTGATAATACTCTGATGCTGAGGCATGGGTAGGCCTCAGCATCATCCCCTAAGGGGAAGGGAGCAGCCTCTGGAAGCAGGTGATTAAATAACAAACAAGCCTGCCCAAAGGGTGGACTCCAAACCAAAATTAAAATTCACAAAATCCATGCTCACTACAGTACCCCCTCCTCAATGGACACCCACTGGCATCTTATCAGGCTTGTCAGGATGAGTAGCATAAAGTCCTGCAGCAGAGCAGCATCCAAAACGAGCTTCCAGAAGTCCAGGAGCTTTCCTCCAAGTCCACTGGGTACTAGAAACCCCTGCCCTCAGGTCATAGGAGGAGATGGGCCTCAGGAGAGACAATGAAAAGTGGATGGACCTTCATAGACTGGGAGCTTGAGCTTAATTGGGGAGGGGTTAATGATTTTTTATCATAGGGAAGGGACTGATGCAGCGAGGTAAAAGCTTATGTGACTCGGTCTGCAATGGGAGGTCACATGATGAGAGCCACACCATCTGCCCAGGACGGTACTCCAGGGCTGGAGAATGACGCATGTCCGCCAATCGTTTTTATCTCTCTGCCATAAGAGTGAGTGTGGCTCTGGGGCTCCTACACACTTCATGCATCTTCCTGGTGTGGTCTCTAACAGAGGGGATGGCCACTAAGCATTCCTGCTCAGGGAATAAGGGGGGCCACAAACTCTCTGGACTCCTTGGTCATCCAAGGTCACCAGAAGCTCCGCTGAAGGAAGTGGAGAGTTCTGTGGGTCCCTGGATGGCAGGTAAGTTTGAAGGAAGGGCCCCACTGAAGCACTTGAGGGAGGGCAGCCTCAGGAACAAACCTTATCGGGGGGCCTCTGAATTTCATACAGAGGCAACGGGGAACATGTGTGAAGTTTGAGATTGCTGAATGCTGTGACTCCTATATTGGGTTCTATTTGGAGTTTCACGGTTCTACCACTAGATTTGTGTGTACGCATGGTCAGAGTTGTGCTTAAATGTACGCACATTTCTAAGCACAAGTACAGGTTCCATACTTTGCATGGGAATGTTTGTACGCACTCACTGCACACACAACTGTGCATACGCACGGTTGATAAATGAGGCCCCAGGTTTTTCTGAGACAGCACAGCCCCTACTACGGTATCTTAAGCTTCCACCTCAACAACAAACTGACGGGAGGGATCCAGGTGTCTTAAAACTGGGACAGATCAATAATCTTGGATGAATATCCTGTAGAAATTTGAAAACCCCAGAAATCGTTGGAGGTCTTTACAGGAGGTAAGATTGGGCCACTCGACCACTGCCTGGATCAGGGCCAACCCCTTACTGAGGACAGTGGAGAGGTCATGATAATCCTGGGGACTAGAAGTCCAGCTGAGCTGGGGTGACCAAGGGGCGGCAAGAGAAGGGATTAGCTGAGCAGAGGCAGTGTGAATGGCAGTGTACACTCCAGTTTGTGATGGTGGCAGTTTTTCAGTTAATTTGGGGGTTGTGGAGATGAAGAACTATGACCAAGAACTATGGGAGCATGGGGAGAAGCTGTGACGTACAGCTAGAAGTCCTCACAGTGATTTCCAGAGATGATGAGCATGACACGGTGGGTGACTCTTGCTAAAACTCTGCCATCTAATGCAGTGACAATCTTGGGGCTGGATAGGAGCTCTAATAATAATAATAATAATAATGCATCCGATTTTTATAGCGCTTTATCAGAAACTCTCAAAGCACTTTACATTGGATTCATTATTCATTCACTCACACAGTCACACCCTGGTGGTGGTAAATTACCTTGGTAGTCACAGCTGCCCTGGAGCAGACTGACAGAAACATGGCTGCCAGTTTGCGCCTACGGCCTCTCCGACCACCACCAAATAACACTCACAATCATGCACCAGTGGAGGACACACACTGGGAGCAAGGTGGGTTAAGTGTCTTGCCCAAGGACACAACAGACTGATTGGGGATGGGGGGAATCGAACCACCAACCTTCCAGTAATTGAATGAACACTAGCTCACACCTTCTAACTCGAGGGGGAGATTGACCTGTCTCACCATTTCATTGTGAACAAAATTATCTTTAGCCCTGGAATCAATCAGAGTCTGCAGAGGTAGTGAATCCTTCTCTCAAAGAATGCAGGAGGGAGTAGAGATCTGTTTGGGAGAGCTGGGGAAAGAGGAGGTTTGCCTCATCAGTGCACTATCCACAACTGATGAGCCTAATCTTTAAATATAGCAAGTCAGGAGGCCAGGAAGTGACCCTGCTGACCACAATAGATGCAGAGCCTTTGATTGATTCTTCGTTGTCATTCACTGGGGTGTACTTAAGCTCTTCCAAGCTGCATGACCCCCTCCTGGGCCATTGGGGAGTTGGACGGTGAGGGAGACAGGGAAGAGGTATTTACTAAACCAGCAGGGAGAGCCAAACTACAAAACTTGCCTGCTCTTTTCTGACCTCTCTCCCTGTGTCTCTTCCTAAGGCAATTATCTATCAGAATAGCCAGGGAAATAAGTTCCTCAGGCTTATATCGAGAGGCTGGTTTGTTCTTTGACTCATCAGATAAACTCTTCAGAAACACAACCTTTGACTCTAACTTACCACAACCACATTCTGATGCTGCAGTGTGAAAAATTAATAGAGAAGCCTGCCACTGACTGAAATCCCTGAATCCGAACCAAAATTAAAATTCACAAAGTCCATGCTAATCACAAACATGAAGCTTCCTGAGGATAAAAACCAAAGTAAACTGAACACACAGCATCAATGCCTGAATGCCGCTGTTTACTCCTGTATTAGCAGAGAAATGAGATTCTATCTTTGTCTGTGATGGCTGAGATATACAGTGCATCCGGAAAGTATTCATACCACTTCACTTTTTCCACATTTTGTTATGTTACAGCCTTATTCCAAAATGGATTAAATTCTTTTTTTCCCTCAAAATTTCTACACAAAACACCCCATAATGACAAAGCGAAAAACTTTTTTTTAGAACATTTTGCAAATTTATTAGAAATAAGACACTCAAATGTATACATTTGCATGTATATAATTATTCACACCCTTTGCTATAAAACTCAAAATTGAGCTCAGGTGCATCCTGTTTCCACTGATCAGCCTTGAATTGTTCCTCCAACTTGATTGCATTCCACCTGTGGCAAATTCAGCTGATTGGACATGATTTGGAAAGCCACACCTGTCTATCTAAGATCCCACAGCTGACAGAGCACGTCAGAGCACAAACCAAGCCATGAGGTCAAAAGAACTGTCTGTGGACCTCCGAAACAGGGTTGTATCAGCGCACAGATCTGGGGAAGGTTACAGAAAAATATCTGCAGCATTGAAGATCCCAAAAAGCACAGTGGTCTCCATCATTAAGAAATGGAAGACATTTGGAACCACCAGGACTCTTCCTAGAGCTGGCCGCCCAGCCGAAATGAGCAAGCGGGGGAGAAGGGCCTTGGTCAGGGAGGTGACCAAGAACCTGATGATCACTCTGACAGAGCTCCAGCATTCCTCTGAGGAGATGGGAAAACCCTACAGAAGGACCACCATCTCTGCAGCACTCCACCAGTCAAGCATTTATGGTAGAATGGCCAGACAGAAGCCACTCCTCAGTAAAAAGCACATGACAGCCCGCTTGGACTTTGCTAGAAGGCACTTGAAGGACTCACAGATCAGGAGAAACAAAATTATCTGGTCTGACGAAACGAAGATCGAACTCTTTGGCCTGAATGCCAAGCGTCATGTCTGGAGGAAACCAGGCATCGCTCACCACCTCGCCAATACCATCCCTACAGTGAAGCATGGTGGTGGCAGCATCATGCTCTGGGAATATTTTCCAGCTGCAGGAACTGGGAGACTTGTCAGGATCGAGGGAAAAATGAATGCAGCTAAGTCCTTCGAAACCCTGGATGAAAACCTGCTCCAGAGTGCTCGAGACCTTTGACTGGGGCGAAGCTTCATCTTCCAGCATGACAATGACCCTAAGCACATGGCCAAGAAGACAAAGGAGTGGCTTCAGGACAAGTCTCTGAATGTCCTTGAGTGGCCCAGCCAGAGCCCGGACTTGAACCCGATTGAACATCTTTGGAAAGACCTGAAAGTAGCTGTGCACCAACGCTGCCCATCCAACCTCACTGAGCTTGAGAGGATGTGCAAGGAAGAATGGGAAAAACTCCCCAAATCCAGGTGTGCCGAGCTTGTTGCATCATACACAAGAAGACTGGAGGCTGTATTCGCTGCCAAAGGTGCTTCAACCAAGTATTGAGTAAAGGGTGTGAATACTTGTGTATGCAACATTTGAGTGTCTTATTTTTAATAAATTTGCAAAATGTTCTAAAAAAAAGTTTTTCGCTTTGTCATTATGGGAAGGGAATTTAATCCATTTTGGAATAAGGCTGTAACATAACAAAATGTGGAAAAAATGAAGTGGTATGAATACTTTCCGGATGCACTGTACATTTGTGTTTTTATTATGTAAAAAGAAAGTTTTGAAAGCCATGAATGTGTTTGTAGATTTTGGGTAGATTAGATTAAACCCATCTCTGTCCTCTCCTTAATGTCTTTCAGGGATTATTGGGTTTCCTGGACTGCAGGGCGAACCAGGTACTCTCCCCTTTCCCTCTTCCATTCTTTGCCCAATTTCTGTTGAAGGCTGATTATCAGAAATCAACTGAGCATTACTTAAAATGATCAGGTCAGACTTGGCCCTCTAACCTCGCATTCACACTAATTTGCACAAATATCTTGCGTAATTTGCATGCTTATATTGCATCTGTAGAGTCCAAACACACATTTGTGATGTGATTCATGTGAAAAGTCAGCTCAATTTGCATTTACATGTAATGCACTTGCGTAAATGATTTAACTCGCACTTGGTGTGACCACAAGGTAAGAGCTCAGGCATAGATGGTGATTCCTAAAAGAATCCTGCAGTGATAGACCTTTATGATCATGACAATTAGGGTTCTATTTCCATGCCTCGCCAACGTCGTGGCACAGGCGTGGCATAAGTCAGATCCGCTGCACCGACAAGGCGTTCCCAAGCACAATTTGGTATTTGGTACAATTTGGTGAGCGGCGCAGCCCGGCGTAAGTATCCCCCCTCCCTAACTCAGCTCCTCCCAGCGGCGTAAATTGTAGGGAGGGAGGAGAGAGGACATGGAGTGGGTTTAGCACAGCCGAGGCCTGTTTTCGCCAGTCAGGACTGCTCCTCTCCATACCTTTAAATCCGCCACCGGCGAGGCATATTACAATTTTCGTGAAGTAGTCAAAGAGATCAAGAGATGTCTGAAGATAGCAATGCTACTTGAAGGCGACAGAAGGCAGCCCCTCAACAAGTGTTGCTGTAAGCACTGCAGAGGGCGTCCTCCACACTGTCTCATATAAGCACAGATGGATTTGTTGTGTGTAATGTTGGACCCACTGGTAAGACAAACACCCTTTTTCACAAATAAAGAAACTCACACAAAGTTGCATATATTCAAACCTCATGTGACAAAGGTGGGTTGTGCACATAGATCACAACATAAATTCAAATTATTGGCATTATAATCCGAACCATCTGTGCGTTAATGACGCATTGCGCTCTGTGGCCTGGCTCTTTCTTTCATAGATGTTGGCATATAAAATAAGTTTGGCTCCCAAAACTGAATATTATAATATTCGTATGTAGGCTTAAAGTAAATAACTCATCTGATCACTAAAATAAATCATCTGTTCAGCTGTTCCCCACCGTGTTGCCAGCGGACACGAAAATAGAGCCCTTAGACTTTAAATGAAGACTCCTCTTCTTTCCTGCAGGCGTGGGTGTCACCGGACCACCAGGTCCCCGGGGGCCACCTGGCCTTACTGGACCAAAAGGAGATTCAGGAGAACCTGGGCCATATATTGTAGGGCCTCCAGGACAGAATGGGATCCCAGGAGCTCCTGGGGCTGATGGAGACCAGGGGGAACCTGGAATACCAGGTGATAGTCGGTCTCATTTATTTTTAAGGGTCATTGCACAGGCCTGGACTAAATTAGAGTGAAACATGTTCATAAATCTGTGTTTTTAAAGATTTGTAGAAGCAATTACCTCCTAAACACTTAGAAAGTATAGAGATTGGATGCTGCTGGATATGAAAAGAAATAAAGAGTCTGGATCAGGTGGAACACAGTCAAGAAGTTTTACAGGGAAATATAGGAAGAAGAAAAAAAAACTCTACATAAGAAGAAAGAAACATGCCAACATTTTAGTCAACTGTTAGTTCTGTGAGTTTAAACAGATTTAGAGTGCTTCAGGGAACATCCTTGAGTCCCTTGCGCTAAGATAATTTATTTATACCGAAGAGGAGGTTTGTTTTACAGACAGCAAACCTTTCAAAAGGAAAAAAAGTCTTCATTAAAAAAAAAAAGAAAAAAAAAGGCATTTAAAAGGAAAAGTTTAATCTTGATGGAGACATTTGGCCCAATGTTGCATGCAACTGTGTCCCCTTTATACAAAAATATCTTCGAGATGGTCCTCTAAAGCAGATATCATAACTGAGTTTTGAAAGAAAGAATAATTGAAAAAACACTGTACGAACATGGATAATAACAGATAAAAATACACAGATATTAGCAAATGTTTTAATTCTAATAATGCAGCAGGCTTTAATCTGTTTTTAAACAGTTATCAAAATATACACTTTTTGTTTGTATGTGTGATTATTTTTATTTCATGATATGTAAATAACAATAATAATAATAGTAGTAATAATAATGATGATGATAATAAGATTAAAATAAAATAAATGACTACTGTTTCATAGTGGAGAGACTTAACAAAACTAACAAAGATGATAACTATGAAAAAAATATGTATATACAGTTTATTATTATTATGAAGGGAAAAAAAAGAAGAAAAACTATAATTTACATATCCAAAAAGGAGTGGGAAGAACTCCCCAAAATAAAAACAAGGGGATAATAAAATAAAACAAAATAAAATAAAATAAAGATGAGGAGACAATGGAATCATTTAATAAACAGTCGACCCATAGTAACTACAGTATTTTTAGCAAGTATCATGTAGTCAGCCAGGCTTAGCATGAGCCTGGAATTGGTAGAGGGGCCTAGTTTATATATAAACTATCATTACAAACTGACAAAAGGAAAGGACTGCTCCCTGGACTCAACAAAGAGTTTGTCTAATGTGCTATTTGGAATGGGATTCACAATTGAAACAAAAAGAGAAAAAACTCCAAGGCACTCTCTTAATAATATTACAATGCCTAATGGCATGGTTCAATGCTTTAATGGTATGGTCATATAGACTTTAAAAGCCAACTTCGACACGTTTTGGCATCAAGCCTTCATCAGGAAGTAAAGATAACAGATGCTAGGTTGTGGTAGGGCCTTTTAAAGGGGTGCTTCTCCAATAGGACATTACCACTTGACCAGAGGTTTGACCAGCAGATGGTGTTATTCACGTCAATGAATGTTTCAACAAAGTTTTTATCTCAAAAATCCATGCACAACATAATTCAAAACAGATAAAATAGTGACAACATATCAGAATTGGTTTACAACATTTGACTAAATTACCTGCAATTTTTAAAACTTTAACTCAGTGCTTAAAGAACATCTTTCCTTTACAAGAAAACAGTGTAATCCTGTTCTTCATTTAGTCTAGGGTGTTTTGTGGCTTGTAGTATATCAATCCAGAATGCCTCCTTTTGATTCAGTTTCCTTAGTCTGTCACCTTTTCTGATGGTCAGAAGGATGTGGTCAATACCAATGATTTGTAATATAGTTGGGTTACTGTTATGGAATTCCAAGTAATGTTTTGCCATGGGGCAGTGGATGTTTCCAGTTCTTATCGCATATTTGTGTTCTGCAAATCTGTCCTGAAGGCGTCTTTTTGTTCTGCCAATGTAAAAAACTTTGCACATTGGGACATTCTAGCCTGTAAATAACAAAAGTGGGCTTGCAGTTGATAAAGTGATTGGATTTGTACTCTTTTTGTGATGTTAAATCCAAAAAAGTTTTAGTCTGTTTAACATCTGTATGTGGTTACAGTGACTGGATTGATAAGACCCTTTTGGTTTTTGTCCCAGCCATAAAGTTGGATTGTTGGGTTTAAGGTGGCTATGAACCAGTTTATCTTGTAGGATCAGGTATCTTCTAAAACTCAAAAGTGGAGGCTGTGGAAAAATGTTGATAAGTTGTGCATCACTCTGAATTATGTTCCAGTTTTTATTAATTATCTTTTTTAATGTTTTCTGCTTCTGTGCTGAATGTGGTGATGAAAATTGGTCTGTTTTTTTTTTTTTTTTTTTTTTTTTCTGGGGGGGGGGGGGGGGTCTCTCGATCAGATTTTGTCTATCCAGGTTTTTTCTTTGTTGAATGCTTTTTGCGGTGAGGCATGTTTGTATCCTCTTTCCTTGTACATCTTGTAGACCATGTGGACCCTTTTAAGGTTTACATGACCATGCCATTAAAATAAAGGCATTTTAATATTATGAAGAGAGTGCCATGGAGTTTTTTTTATCATTACAAGCTATTGAAAGAAAAATGGTCATACAACATCAATCAATCAAATCAATCAAATTTTATTTCAATCAATCAAATTTTATTTATATAGCGCCAATTCACAACAGTCGTCATCTCAAGACGCTTTCCAAAGAACAAGAGCAGGTCGAGACCACGCTCATTGTTTGATGATCAAGAACCAACCTAAGATGGGTTTTGGCCCATCTCAACTAACATGAGTAGCAGTGGCAAGGAAAAACTTCCTTTTAACAACATGTCTGCTTGGTTGATTTCACTCTCCTTCTTTCAGATTTCCTCCCTGGAAATGCTGGTTCTCCAGGACTTAAAGGTCTTAAAGGCTTGAGGGGATACCCTGGAATCAGAGGGGAAGAGGGACGGATGGGTGAGTGTAAAAGAGAGAGAAAGTACACTGATGTCATATGATGTAGAGATATGATTTAAAAGCATTACTCTGCACAAGTCTGTTGTCCAATCTAGACCTGACTTTCTTCAAGGCCAAAGGGTTGAAACCTGCTCACAGAAAAAGAAATATAATGTCTCTGCATGGCTCTGCAGCTAATCTTGTGTCAGTAATTTTCTCTATGATACAAAAAAGCCTGTCTTGCGAGGAGACAGAGCACACCTAGGAACTACATTGACATAGAAAGTGACTCAGACCAGAGCAGCCCTGGAGCAGATGTTTCTGTGAAGTGATCACAGAAAGTGGATCTATCAGTACCTCACAATTAACATAGTTACTGTAGGCTGAGCTCAACCACTGACAGAAAACAGGATGGCAAAATCAGATGGGACCAGACAGAGCTATGCAGCTGCAGAGAAACTGCACATTGCTGAACACAATTAAAATCTTATTGTCGAAAGAATGGTAAATAGACTACATTTGTACATTCACTTTATATACCACACTCACAGCACTTTAACATCACATCACTTTTCACCCGTTCACACACTAATGGCAGAGGTTGCTTTTTATATACAGCTGTGGCCAAATGTTTTGAGTATGACACAAATATTAATTTTCACAAAGTCTGCTGCTTCAGTGTTTTTAGATGTTTTTAACAGATGTTTCTATGTTATACTGAAGTGTAATTACAAGCATTTCATAACTGTCATTTTTTAAGTTTTTGTTTGTCCACCCACATGTTAAGGACTGACCACACATTCTCTATGGGATTAAGGTCTGGGGAGGTTCCTGGCCACAGACAACAAATTTTTTTGTTTTTTTGTCCTTGAGCCACTTAGTTATTACTTTTACCTCATGGCAAGATGCTCCATCATGCTAGAAAAGGCATTGTTGGTTACCAAACGCATCTCAGATGGTTGGGAGAAGTTGCTCTCCGAGGATGTTTTGATACCATTTTTCATTGATGGCTGTGTTCTTGGACAAAATTGTGAGTGAGCCCACTCCCTTGACTGAGAAGCAACCCCATGCATGAATAGTCTCAGGAAGCATTACTGCTGTCATGACACAGGACTGATGGTAGCGCTCACCTTTTCTTCTCCAAGCAAGCTTTTTTCAAGATTCCCCAAACAATTATTAAGGGGGTTCATCAGGAAAAATGACTTTACCCCAGTCCTCAGCAGTCCAATCTCTGTACTTTTACAGAATATCAGTCAGTCCCTTACGTTTTTCCTAGAGAATAGTGGCGTCTTTGCTGCCTTTCTTGACACCAGGCCCTCCTCCAAAAGTCTTCACCTCACAGTGCGTGCAGATGCACTCGTACCTGCTTGCTGCCATTCCTGAGCAAGCTCAGCAGACTTTGTGAAAATTAATATTTGTGTCATTCCTAAAACGTTTGGCCACAGCTGTAGCCCACCAGCTTTCATATTCACACACCACTGTATGCAGCTAGCAGGGGGTGAGTGTGGTCAAGTTTCTTGCCCATGTGCACTTCAGAATGGGGGAAGCAAGACCTGAGCCACAGCCACCACCCAAGAGACAGTTAATGCTTCTTTCCAGAATGAAGAAACCTACTGTTTGACCAACCTAACAAAGAGGTGGAGCTGATATTCTTGAAGACTCCAAAATCAGGCCACTGGACTGTGTAGAGTTGAGAAGACGTTTCGCCTCTTATCCAAGAAGCTTCTTCAGTTCTAAAATTGCTAGTGTGAGGAGCAGATATTTATCTTACTGGAGAAGGGGACAGACAATGACTGGGAGGAGTTGGAAAGAATGGGTCGTAGAAACCCATCTCCGGGTTACTACCTGAGGAAGTGGCTCTCCTGTGTTGAGCCATGCGCTTGTGAAGCGGTTGTTTAGTTTCCCCAATGTACAGGTCCGAGCATTCCTTGCTGCACTGGACAGCTTACACCACATTACTCTGTTTATGTCTCGGTGTTTTGTCCTTGCGATGGACTAGCTTCTGCCTTAGTGTGTTGCCAGGCTTGAAATGAACAGGAATGTGGTGTTTGCCAAAGATCCTTTCAAGTTTTTCCGACAGGCCTGCAACATAAGGGATTACAGTGCTCTTGCATCTCTCCTCCCTTTCGTGTTCAGTGTTATTTCTCTTTCTGTTCTTCACAAAGGCCCACTTAGGGTATCCACAGGTTGTCAGGGCATTTTTGATGTGCTTCTGTTCCTTTTCCTTACCTTCTTTCTTCGTGGGGATATTCTCAGCCCGGTGGTTGAGTGTTCTGATAACACCCAGTTTGTGCTGCAGAGGATGGTGGGAATCAAAAAGTAAATATTGATCCGTGTGTGTGGGTTTACTGTGCACTTCAACGTTGAGACACCCATCTGCCTCCAGGTGTACAGCACAGTCCAAAAAGGCCAACACAGTGGCCCTCATTTATCAATCTTGCGCAGACCTGAGCGCAGGATTCATTGTACCATAGGACACACGTGAGATTTATGAAAGGGTTCGTATCTGACCGATCCCAGCGTACGTATGATCGGGTCTTGATAAATGCGGTGGCTGAAATCGATCGTCATTAACATGTTTACGCCCTTAAATATTTGTGGTTCAGAAGCCTCGCCCACTGAGGTCAAACATGAGAAAGATTTGAAACTTTTCCGAGCTGAAAGTGGATATTTTCACATCTTTCTCTTTGGAAGCATCAAAACTGGTATAAAAGCAGTCCAGAAAACTCCTGTCTGGAGCAGGATTATGGTGGCGCTGAACAGCGCTGCTGCGGAATAGCGGACAGTGGCTGAAGTTTGAATAAATCATTAGTCAATACGTGGCTCATGATGATAAATTATTATCTCATAAACGCCTCATATTTGTTTATTGCCATGACATAGGGTACGTTGCTCCTATTGTTGAAAGTATTTAGTTTTAATTTGTTGCGTCTTTGTAATGTAGAGCAGACTGGAGAGTCTGAAAGAGGCTGAACAAAAGTAAATATTAACATTACTAAACGGTGTGTTGCTGCCCTTGCGGCACATTTTTATGGATTTCTATTGGATTTTTATTACTGATTTAATAGCAAGAGCACTTTCTAAACTTATATTTTACATCAGAATCCATCGATAAGGTCCTGTCTCCTCTGTACAGCACCATTGTGGAGTCTCTCCTCGTTATAGTTCTCCAGGCATCGGGTCCTCACATTGCACCGGCACAGCCAACGGCACTCCATTCGCCAGAGCAACATTGTGCAAAACTGTACTGGCCCAAATGATGTCCCACACCCTTTCAGGAGTGTACAACAACGTCCCCGCTGCTGGGCCAAGACAGAGACATCTGCCTTTTAGGAGTCAAACGCAGCGCTCCACAGTGGCGCGTGTACGCGCAATGTTAAAACAGCGCTCCTGCTCTGTGGCAGTGTTTTTGGGCAGAGTTATCGAATACGCCTATTTGCCTAGGACATAACACATTTATTGTATTTTATTTTATTTAAGTCTTAATCTTTAATGAAATCTGGCTGATTGTGTTTAATGACAGGTTTGAGGTTTCTTTATCAATTATTTTCAGACAGACATTTGCTGCACCGCAGATCCACACTGACTCAAACTTGCGTACACGATGTCAGACCTGTTGTGAGATTTGTTCGTAGCATACGCTCACATGCAGATTGATAAATGCCGATCCTCACATTAAAATTGTCGTACGCAAGGTGTACACAAGTTTTCTGCCGTACGCAAGCTTGATAAATGAGGGCCATTGTCCTTGACATCTTCATGGGCGAACTTGATGTTGCTGTCCACTGTGTTGATATGGTCAGTGAAGGCCTCTACTTCATGTGTTTTGATCTTAACCCAGGTATCATCCACATATCTAAACCAGTGGCTAGGTGCTGCTCCTTTGAAGGAGGTTGGGGCCTTCCTCTCAACCTCTTCCATGTACAGGTTTGCCACTATTGGAGAAACCGAGGAGCCCATAGCACATCCATGTTTCTGTCTGTAATGGCGCTCTCTGAACTTAAAATAGGTGGTGCTGAGGCAGATGTCCAATAAGGAGCAGATGTGGTCGGGGTTAAGTTGGTTCTGACCTCTAGTGTGCTGTCCTGTAAGAGGCGTTGTCTTACTGCTTGGATTGCCTCTGTTGTCGGAATACTCGTGAAAAGTGATGTGACATCGTAGGAAACCATGGTTTCATCTGGGTCCAGTCTGATGTCCTTGATTTTCTCTGCAAAGTCCTGTGAGTTCTTGACATGGTGAGTGGTGTGGCCGACAAGAGGAGCTAGGATGGTGGCCAAATATTTTGCCACTTTGTATGTGACTGAGTTGATGCTGCTGATGATGGGTCTAAGGGGGTCCCCTTCCTTGTGTATTTTAGGTAATCCGTAAATGCACGGGACTGCTTCCCCTGGGTATAGCCAGTGATAGAGTGGGCGGTCGATAACTCCATCCTTTTCCATCTGTTGAAGTACGCTGATAACTTTCTTTTTGTAGCTGTTGGTGGGATCCCATTTTAGAGTTTCATAGGTGGCAGTGTCACTGAGAAGGCTTGTTACTTTGTCATGGTAATCCTTGGTGTTGAGTACAACAGTGCATCTCCCCTTATCTGCAGACAGGATGATGATGTTTTCATCTTTTCACAGTGATGCCAAGGCTCTTCTTTCCTGCATGGTCAGGTTGGAAGGAGGTGTTTTGGCATTTGAGAGAGCTGCTGTTACCCTCATCCTAAGTTGCTCTGCCTCTGTGACCGTCAGATTGTTGTTACGGATAGCTGACTCCGACCTTCTTGGATAAGAGGCGAAACATCTTCTCAACTCTACACAGTGATTTTGGAGTCTTCAAGAAAACCATGATCTGGATGAATGAGAATCTACATGGAGCTGATGTGTGTCCAGACCATAGACTGTATATACTATGGACAACTTGGTTCCGCCTACCGCCTGTATACGGATTTGAAGCCAAAAAGCTCTCGGTATTTCAGGGATTTGTCTTCATTTCCTGAAACCAGCGCTGCGCAGTAGCCATGCGCGCATTTGGCCGCGCAGTCACCGAGAGTCACTGTGATGATGCTCAGCTCAAACAGCGTATCCCCTGGGAGAGCTACGCAATCTCTGAACGCCCATAGGCTGTATCAAGTGTCAATCATAGAAAAACATGAACCCCCTTATAACTTTTAAAAACTGAGCTTCACAGAAAAAAGAGGACTTGAGCACAAACCAGTCTTACAATAACTACATGTCAACATCGCAAGCGGGGGGAGAAAAATTTATGCTCTGTGTAGTAAATTTCTAAAATTTGTCCACAGCTCCATAAGCTTTGCTGGCAGAGGCAGGATTAATGACCTATACTGCAGCCCGTCCACAGAGGGTGCTGTTCTCGGGGTGGCTTCAACCAGCGAGGAGGCAGACTCTGTCCATTCTTTATACAGTCTATGGTCCAGACCCACCTGACTAACAGCCTCAATGCTATGTCCATATTGTACATACATATGCAGACTTCTCAGCCATGCTATAGTTGAAACAGGAGAATTCTCTTTAAAGGCAGCTTACACACTTTTTATGAACAAAGAAATGAGGCCAAAGCTGCTTTAGTACCAGGTTGTGAAGTCGGACATTGTAACATAGCACTCTCTGAGGACTGACTTACTGCAGGGACAGCCTCTAGTGGCCACTAATGGGACTGCAGTTTTTACTTCTTCAATGATGGCTTTAAGTTTTCTTTAAGTTTGCCAGTCGCAGATTAGATTTGGCACTCTGGGACCATCTTGGACACCATGATAACAGTTTTTTTTTTTTTTATGGTGTTCTGGTCTTTCCATGAACATATTTTAAAAAGCGGTCTTAGTTATTTAAATATTTTTGTGTTTTTCAGGAGATAAGGGGGAGCTTTGCACTGTCTGCCCTCTCCTTCCTGCCCTCGCTGCTCCTCCAGGTAAACCAGGAGAGCCTGGTAAAGATGGATTACCAGGTAAAACCCTCATCTGGGTGGATTATTTACTATTTGACAGAGGCATTGATCACATCATTTACAGCTGGATGTAAGCCTTGTAAGCAAAAGTTTTTTTTGTTTTTTTTTCTTTAATTTCTGTGAGTGTCTGTACCAGAGAATACACTGATAATGAGGGATTAAAGAAATGATGAGTGGATTACGGTGAAATAACATTTTCTTTGACTTTAAATGAGTAACCCACACTGCTTAATGCGCCCAGACCAGCAGATAGCAGGGTCTAGTCCACAGTCAGAATCTGGTCCACTGTCATGGTCTGATCCAGTCAGGATCAGATCCTGACTGTGGATTGGATAAAGTTAACAAGTGCCTGAAACTCATCTTTCTGCCTCTGTAATGTCATTCTGTGTTCAGGCTCACCTGGCCTTTCTGGGCCCAAAGGTCAAAAAGGGGTCAAAGGTATTCTAGGACAGCCTGGTTCACAGGTAAGTTCACTGATCACCTGTAGACACGTCTCTCTCCCAGCTGGTGCTGCTGTGGTGTTTGATTCCTCAGTTTCAGGGGGTCTCATGTGTTTAAAGCCTTTTCTCTGCACTCCAGACTCCTCCATCCTGTTCAAATCTGTTTCAACCCCACCATCAGAGCCATCATTCACTCACTCTCTGCCACATTTTCCATCTTTAGGGCACCTTCGGTCTCCCTGGTGTCCCAGGTTCTGCAGGACCTGTTGGTGACCCTGGGATCATGCAGAGGGTAGGGCAGAAGGGGGAGACTGGGGATCCAGGTCAGTCAGGACCACCAGGCTTGGAAGGGACTGATGGAGCTCCAGGAGCAACAGGGGAGAGAGGTGTTCAGGGACCGAAAGGAAACCCTGTAAGTAACAGATACATCATCCAAAGGGACCACCTGTTCAGTTCAGATTTTTATGTATTAAGGGGCCGAAGGTCCGGAGTCAAATGGGATGAAAGTTAGGTCAGAGGTGGGATTTGCAGATGCTATATAAATCAAGTGTATCACTTTCTTTGTATCAACTACCCTTGGATACAAACTTTCCTGAAGTATTAAAGTCAAACAGAGAAAATATGCATTTTGAGTATTTAGTAATAAGAACAAAATAAAAAGAACAAAATAAAAATTGACATCACTTTTTTCGTCTATTTGGCAATCTCAACCTCAGGTTAACTCACACAACAGGTATTTATTACTCTTATATGTGGGCCCACAAAACAAACACATAAAAAGCCGGCAGATAAACCAAAATAAAAAAATAACTCCCGTTGCAGGCCCGGTAGAGCTGCTTGCTGACTTTATTATGAAGACGAACCAACCTGTCGTCTCTGCGGCCCAACCAGTTTCGGCCCTCACCCCCGTCCAGTTAAGTTCCCATTCCCTCCCGTCTCAGCAGCGGGAAGAAAGCCAGCAGAAGGAAAACCAAACGCCCTCAGCATCAGGGGAAACACAGCCAGCAGTGTCCTCAACTCCGGCTCGGCAACATCCAGAAAACTTAGCCAGCGAGAGCAGCAGCAAGCTGTAGCATAAAATCCACATCTAGTCCCGCAGCTGGTAAGGCACGCAGCGAGCGCGACAAGCAGCAACCGCGACAAGCAGCAACCGCGACAAGCAGCAACCGAGAGAGAGCAGCTAGCTCAGTGTGTCCAACTGATCTTCTCGTCTCTCATGTTAGTCCTGCCGCCCAGCCAATTACAATAAAAGAAACATAATGTCTTTTTACATTGGCAAATAAGACGCAGGAAACTAAAATAACATCATGTTAGTTTGTCACACCTCATGACAGGGATGTACATTTCAAACAAACACAAACATTTTCAGGCTTAAAGTGACAGTGTACTGTTTTAGTAACTGTGAAGTTTTACCTTTTAAACACTTTTTAATACATCAAGCTTAACTATGAGTTTTAACTTGGACTTTGAACAGTTTTTTAACTTGAAAGTTAAATCTTTTGTTTTCACTTTGAGTCTTACAAGTTTAGACTCTAACTCTGGGTTTTATCCTAGGGTTACACAAGTAATACAATTACTAGCCTGTTCAGCAAGGGGCATTCATATGTCAGTGTTAACTTTGACATAAATAAGAAGAAATAAACATATGTTAAAAAAAGAGATTTTTCACTGAAATGGGCAGTCAGCACATACAAAATATCTTTGAGTTAAACTGATCACTTTAAAAGACAGCTTTCAGGCCTCTTTGGTGATGATTTGTCAATCCCAGGTTGCTCCTCCCTAAATCTTCCTCTTTTTCTGGTTGGTGTGACTTTGAATGTACCATAATTTACAAAATGACTAACGTGCTTTTTTCAAGAAGACTGTGAACCACAGACTAAGACCATAAATTTAGAAGGGATATGTTTACTGAGGGGTAAAAATAGCTGAGAAGCAAAAACCTTTTCTCAGAGACTTTCATACAGTCAAAATGATTTTCAGTACCGGAAGAGTCATCCACTGCTGGCCATAACGGCTGCATCCACCACTTGCATGTGATCTAAGGAAACAAAGAAGACCTTCCTGGAACAGTGTGTCCAGTAAACAGATATTGTATCTATGCATGATGATATACAGTATGTAGTTATGCTGTTATATGTGGATGATGGTCTGCTGATTCTCTCTGACACCATCTTCAGGGGCCCCCGGGGGAGACAGGTGAAAAGGGCCTGAATGGGGTAACTGGTCCCAGAGGGCCAGTAGGACAGGTGGGACCTCCAGGACCACCTGGGATAGGCTTTCCAGGGCCTCCGGGACCTAAGGGCAATGTTGGGGTCCTGGGACCACGAGGAGATCCAGGAAATCCAGGTAAGCATGGTAGGACTGCAGGCTGGTTGATTTTGAACCTTTCAGGGGAAAAAGAGTTTGGTGTTGGAATCTTTGATTTAAAGGGCCGAAGTGGTCAAACAAACAGAGTCAGAAAAGGATGTCTAATAAGATGGAAAACAATAAAACATCAAATCAAATGTCCAGAGTAACTCCAGTTACTGACAGCTCTGTCTGTGTGTCCATCTGTCTGTCAATTCAATCAGGAGAAAAAGGTTCTCCTGGTGAAATCATAACCTATCCAGGAGATCCAGGACCAAAAGGAGAGAAAGGTTTACCAGGGAACCCTGGACCTGAAGGTGAGACCAAGGACAAAACCTTATTTTGGAATAAAAGGAAAAAAAAACACAAAAATTGTTCAATAAGCAAAGTTAAAGAATATCAAGTTGTCAAGATAGTTCTTAGAGAGGATATGTTATTTTTATTTTATTTTTTTAGGATTAATATGTTACAACCAGGCTTTCCGTTGGTTTGCTGGTCCACCTTTTTCTACAGGTTAAACTCAGTAGGCTTGTTGATTTGTTACTTTTGTTAGCTTTTGATATTTTTAAATGGCTCTTTATAGTAAGAGAGTCTAATGGAGTTGTTCTTTGTTGTAATATTTCGAAGTCTGTGCACATTTTCCATTCCCTCATTTCTACTTTGGGTGCTCCACTCCAGTCCAGTAAGTCACAGAGGTGCTCCACTGAGCTGATTTGCCCTATCTGTTTCATTTACATTCACACTGACAGGGACAGCGAGGAAGTCAGATGACCTTTATTTTGTTGAAGAAAAAAAAGATGCATGTCTAACATTATTTTGACTTTGATGCACTCTGTTCCTGCTAAGTTTGCTTTAATCCTTCAAAAATTAACTTAACCTGTATGTGACTCCCCTGTGCACTCTCCTGGTCTCAGGTGTGCCCGGATATCAAGGTATACCAGGATCTGTTGGTCCAAAGGGAGAAAAAGGAGATAAAGGATTTTCAGTCCAGGGACCTCCAGGCTTCCCAGGGGTCAAAGGTCAGGTCCATGAACAGTGTAAGATAAAACCATTGAGGCTAAAAGTCAATCAAGGATGATGTTATTTGTTTGTTTCTGGATCAGGAAACAAAGGTGTCCCAGGAGCTCTAGGTTTACCAAGTTTTGGCATCAAGGGACGGGCAGGGCCATCAGGACCCCCAGGGATGCCAGGCCCCAAGGTAGTGTGGACTGACATGAAGAGGTAGACCTGCGATGGGAATATTTAAGTATAGTGCACTTTCAGTGGACTAGGGGATGACTTCTGATTTACTGATGAGTTCAGGTTCTCTCATGCATTTCTTCACTCACACATGAAGTAGCTGTCAAAAGCCTTTTTCCACCAAATCCTGCATCAGCAGATCCAATTTGGTTCGAAAAGTTGCTTTAATTGGTTGGTTTAGACAGGTCAGATACATGAAAACATCAAACTACTGGTGTAACAATCAGGTCCATGTTGGTTTCTGATGTTTGTGGTGGATTCTGCTTTCTGCTTGCAGGGGGACCGGGGATTAGGTTTCCCAGGGCAGCAGGGTCAGGCAGGCCCCCAGGGAGAAGATGGCTATGTGGGACCACAAGGAGACCCTGGACCTCAAGGTTCAGATGGAGCGCCAGGAGCCCCAGGACAAGATGGGCCTCCAGGAACAAAAGGTAAACATTTAAAGATCTGACAAAGTGGTACAGGGTTTTTTTCAAAGAACTTAACTTGTTTTTTTGGATAAGGAGGAAGATCCTTTCAGTGCAAATATCAAGATACTGTTTTAAAAACTCAAACCCAGGACGAAATGTCCATATTTGATTCACCCATCAATACAGCAACAGAACTGACTGAAAACATTGAAGGTAAACTGAAGTGTCTCTCAGGTCGTTGTGGTCTGGATGGTTTACCTGGTCCAGTTGGTTTTGTTGGAGTATGTATATCTGGAGATCCTGGTCCTGAGGGAGCAACAGGAATGATGGGTGTCATCGGATTCACAGGTACCAATCTCATGAGCTGAGGATGTTCTTACATCAACCTTCCCTCTTACTCTTACGATGCAGAAATTAGACTGTCTCATATCTCTGTTTCTCTGGTTTCTTCAAGGGGCCCGGGGCCCAAAGGGTGGGAAGGGTGACCCTGGACTGCCAGGCGTTGGAGCCATTGGGTCTCAGGGACCATATGGGGCCCCAGGGTTTGATGGAGCTCCAGGGCTAGTAGGGGGAGTTGGATTAAAGGGTCAGAGGGGTTTAAATGGGATACTAGGAATCCCAGGTAAGACGTTGTAGTCCCTCCTGCTTCCTTACCTCTAATGTTTTCAACTGTTTCTTTGGATGTTGACACTGCTGTGATCAATCTTGTCCAACATTCATAGTCCCCACAGCATGATCCCCTGACTTTCTTCCTCGCACCACCATCAGTTAAACAAGTGTTTGTTTTTAGGTGAAAGAGGGGACAGAGGCCCAGTAGGAGTCTCTGGTAATCCAGGATATGATGGAAAACCAGGAGAGATCGGTCCACCTGGGCAGACAGGTTTCATCCATCCAACAATCTATCAATGAGTCAATCAATCAAACAATCAATCAATCAATCAACCAGTCAATCATTCAGTAGAACAATCAGTCTGTCCATTCTTTGTGTAACTGTCCATAACCTGCCTGTCCCCCAGGTCAGATGGGTGTGGATGGGGTTAAGGGTCCTCAGGGGCCTGTGGGACCTCAGGGAGACCGTGGAGCACCAGGATCAAAAGGGATGGAGACAGTTGTGGTGCTGTATGGAGACCCTGGAGACCAAGGAGCTCCTGGTACTGCAGTTGGACTGTCCACTGCTCAATATGATAATGTCTTTAGGGTTCCTCAAAGTGAAGGGTCCTGCTGTACTTTTATACCTCTGCTGTCTCCTCTTCAGGGGCCTTTGGTTTCACTGGACCAAAAGGAGAAAGGGGCCCCATGGGGCCACAGGGCCCAGATGGTAGCAGAGGTAAATCTGGAAGTCCTGGACCACAGGGTGAGCAGAACTAACCTAATACTGTTTGTGTACTGTAGATGCCTCATTTCCCTTTCCTTAGACATGATGGGGTGGACATGTGGTGAAGAACTGTTGTCCTGATGTTATAACCTTTTTTTATGGCGAACTGCTAAAGAAGCCGTACATGCCCACTCACAGGGGTGTTAATTCAAATGCATTACAGACAGAACAGAGAGATATCAGACGGGAAGGGAAAAACAGCAAGCAAACCATACAGGTGAAAGGAATCAGCTGAAAATCAAGGTTTACAACAACTGCAGTGGGAGATAAAGAAAAGGTTAGGTCTGTTTGGTGTCAACAAACATTAGCTGACAGCTGACAATATGTGAGCCATGCTTTTGTGAGAGCTGTGTCAGTAATACCTAAAGCACTCTGTGTATCCCCTATAGGTATCCCCTATTGCATGAAACCTAACCCTCTGTCTGACGAAGTGATCGTAAATTATACTTGGGTTGACGTGACAAAAAATGCTGGATCAAATTGAAGTCGCTTGTCATAGCAAAAGGACTTCAGTTCCAGTTAGGAGACAAAGTTCACTAAAGTGGTTTATGAAAACTAACACAGAGGTTGCTTTTTTCTGGCATTGTCACTGAAAATATTGTATTAATTTTGTATTCATCATTTTGTTTGGTGAGGAGGTTCAGGAATTTCCCTTCCCCCAAAGGGCATGACAAAAAAAGTTTGGGAATTTCTGGACTACAGAGAGGTTAACATACTTGCCAACACTGGATTGTGAAAAATAGGGATTTTTTTTTTAAATCTGTGTATTGGCCCAAAAAACAAGGCTCCTGCGCCAGGTGTGCGCATAAATTCTTGCCTTGTATTTTAGAAATTCGTCTGAAAGTATTGTTTCTTTGATATTCAAATAAATGATTCTGTTTATCATTGAGGGCAATGAAAAATTCAACAATTTAAGTTGTTGAAAGAGTACCAGAAGGCTAAATAATATGGTGGTTACACTGCAATGCATTTCATATGCAGTATTTATTGCACATCAAATTAAAAGTGCCACTGACTGTGCTACCATCTAAAGGATTAAGTGGCTGTTGTCAAAAGGAAAACTGAACTTGTACTAAAAATTCCATAAAGTTCTACTGCAAATGAGACATGTACGGTAATTAAACAAGAAAACACATTTAAAATAGCATAAATACAATGGGAGACTATTAATACAGATTACATCAACAAGGCAAAGATTTAGCCTGTAAACAAGTCTTGGATAATGCACAGGAATTATTTCTCTATCCATCTCTGTCTGAATTCTGAACTGAGCAGAAGATAAAAACCACTACAAGTGACTTCTTATTACAATTATTATCTTCTGGCAGTATTAGCGCTATTTGGCATATCAATGGTGACTGAGTCACGTCACTGGCTTGCTTTATATCTGCAAGCAGGCCAGTGTTGCCTGTTACTGAGACAAATATTCCCCACAATCTTACTTGTTTCCTTCACTGTAAAAATCAGGAATTTAGCAGGATAAATTACAGCCCGGGAGCATTGCAGGAGATAGGGTTAAAAATCGTGAATCTCCCATGTGAAAGGTAGAGTTGGCAAGTATGGGTTAAGATGTATGAAAGACAGTTTTTCCTGTCATGTTTTATTGTACAAATTTAAAGTCAAAGTTTTTTGTGCTTTTAGGACTCCCTGGAGACCCTGGCACTGTTGGACCCCCAGGTCCCCCAGGTCCTTGTGGAATCAATGGGAATCCTGGAGAGATGGGGAAACCAGGTAATGTTCCTCCAAACACAACCTGCGTCCGTGCAAATATTTCCAGAGACATGTACAGAAAATACATTTTCCTTCTCATCACAAAAAAAACTGTATCTTTAGGGAGGGGCAGTGATGTTAAATGTATCATGACCCACTTTTCCTAACTTTCAACTGTCATGAGACAAATTAAAATCTACTCTAACAGGTGTCTAAAATGTGTAAAGGCTCTTTCAATAATCAGATTCTGCTCTGCAGCAACACAAAGCCATTTTATAGCCTCAACAATGTTTTTCAGAGAACTGAAATGTTTACCCCTCAAATAAACATTTAAGTTCTCTGTAAACATGCTTTACTGATCCGCTCTGGGAGGAATTCTGTTAATCAAAGATCTCCTGGTGTTTCTATTCAGGTTGTAGAGGTGAGAAAGGAAATACAGGGCCTTGTGGACCACCTGGTTTGGATGGAAAATCTGGACCAGGGGGAGCAAAAGGTCCTAAAGGAGAACAAAGCCCACCTGGACCAGGGTTCAAGGGATTTCCAGGAGAGAAGGTATCCAACTGTAAGCCTTTTTCAACATCACAGTATAAATGGCCACTGATGTGGTAAATAAACATACATTTAAGAGGGGACAGCGTTAAGAACTGTCTCCTTTTAGAAGGTTTAGAAGGGAGACCACCTACAGAGGATCGCTCATCCAGTTGTTTGATTAAGGCAGACGAAGCATATGATAGTGAGGAGTGTCAATATTCAAAAATGACTGATAAAGTGCGTCAGCCCTCTACACAAAATTTTTATATGCAGATGATCCTCTCCTGTCCTCATATGTAACTATTAAGTTGACTTTGATTATTCAGTTTGTTTCACACACATTAATGACTCTGAAAGATGCAATTACAAATACCCCTCTATGAATCTTAAACTAACTGTGATGATGAGGTTTGGGTGTCCCTGTAAATCTGCTATCTGTGTGGCCCCCCCGGTATGGTCTCCCAAAGCAAAATGGTATCAGGTTAAGTATCAAGACCAGAGTAGTTCGAAAGAGTCCTATTAAGCGGGCATTTTAGGGTAGCTACCCCAACAAAGCAGCGAGACTGGGACTGTGCCTAGACGTGTTAGAGGGGTGGCCAAACCTTTAATCATGAGGCCCAGTCAGGAATGAACTAGATTGAGCTGCCAGGAAGACAGTTGTCGTCAAGAGTGAGCTGTGCCTGATGGAAAATCTCTCTGTTAACTCTTTGCTTGGTACTAAACCAAAGGTAGAGTCACTCACTGTCATTGAAGGAGAGCTTGAAGAAGAGCTGATACTCCTTTGTGATGAAAGTGTAGTGATTTGAATTTATAATAAATGTCTAAAGATAAATAATCTTCAATTATGAAATTTATGCACTTGTTGAAGGAGCACCACCCACCTTTAGTGGTGGGAAAATAAAGAAAAACAAAAGTTTAATTCAGAAATCCAACATTATTTCAATCTTGACAGAATTCTGCTCCACTTGAACCTGTACCTGCTGTGGGAGTGGTCAGGGTAGAAATATCTGTTCAAGAGCTGAACACCAGTTGTAAAGTTATATTTTTAAAACTTCATTTTAGAGACATGGAAATCTCTTCACTACCATTGAGAGTGACTTCAGCTAAGTCACAGTTCTTCAGCTGTTATCCTTAAAGTCAGATTTCCAGTTGATCAGTGGGCAGCTAGCTATCTTATCACTCCACTTAATTAGAAATCAGTTATCTCCAGATTAACAGCCAAATGTTAGTTGGTTCCAGGAGTGTTAGTCAGTCCAAGAGTCCACTGACTCTTAGACTAGCGCCATTACCAGTTCAAGATTTACTGTTCCCAGTATCGTTGGTTACTGCTGAGAATTCCATCCACTTAAGCCACACATGGGCCATTCAAGTTGGTTTTACAATAGACCCGCAATTGGCTTCATACAGGGTTCACTTTCTGATCAACAAGACATGTTACTTTGACTCTCTCTTGAAAAATCAACCAGATAGAAAAACCCCAGGATCATCTGCATATAGAGACAGTAAAATAATTCATAATCAAAGCGTATGTGTCGACAAGAACTTGGTTGCTGATCACTTTCTGAAAAGATAAAAAATGTTGTTTTCTAGGTTCACAGGGCTGTAAGGGTCCTCCAGGTCCTCCTGGTCCTGGTTTTAAAGGGGAGAAGGGAAATAAAGGAGCAACAGGAAACCCAGGACCACCTGGTTTCTTACATTAATTAATCTCATATTTTAAGCCAAAATTCTCATTTCAGAGACTCCACTTCTGGAACAACACTAACAGACAGGAGCTTAGAAAAAAAATCATCTGTTTATTACAGGATTAATGATGGTACAACATACATGCAATAAATGATGATAAGATAATAAGGGATAAATAGTAATAGGTGAATAATAAAAGATTCTGAGTCAGGCTAGGAGCACTAAAATTAATGATAGTGAGTGAATATGCTCTAACAAATTAACCTACACTAACTTTGGTGTCAAGATATTTTTGGATGTGGATTTGGATGAACCTAGGATTACCAGAATAAGTGAATATCTGAGTCATGACCACATGAGACAGCACTAGCCCTGTTTGGAGCTCTGGAGGTTTGCATACTTAAGTGAGACTGGTCCTTGGAGAAGATGGAGCAAGTACCGAAGGTCCAGGGCTACTGGCGGTTCGAGCGTTTCAGCTCAGAAGACGACTGAAGTCAGCCGAAGGATGGGCCAGGAGTTGCAGTACTCGGGTCCAAACAGAAGCCAGCGCTGTGGATCCTTTGGATGTCTCACTGTGTACCATTGTGTAGTTTAACATGTCTGTTAACATGTCGAATCACGGCACAGTTTTGTCATACTGTGATCTCTATATTTAACACTCATTTTAATTAACCGTTAAATGTCTGATCCTCCTTTCAGGGCAGTGCAGGATGTCCTGGTCCTCAGGGGTCAAAGGGAAAACCAGGGGACTTGGGAGCCCTTGGTGCTCCAGGAGAGTGTGGCCTCTGTGGCTCTAAAGGAGCATCTGGGGCCTCAGGATGCCGAGGTCTGATTCATTTGAGTTATTCATCATATGTTTGCCATTTATACAGTTTGTATAAGATACATAAAGTGTGTGATGAACACACGCAGATCGAATAATCCGTTCCATAAACTGTAAATGGTATGGACAATGTGACTCAGCCTCCTGTCATTAGATGGATAGAAAACTTTATTGATCCCCACTGGGGAAATTCATTTGCCACCTCATCAACCCATGGATACAACATGGACAGCACGTTTATAATGCACAACAAGAAAATAAATAACACCAGAGAATGAATACATGTGATACAAAAGTTACAGCTTCAGCAGGAAAACATTGTGGCATTCTGCTCAAACAGCATATGCCTGGATGATCAATGCAATCTTTCAATCATAGAAAATATGATGTCATATCCCATTTTTATAACCCCCTTACAACTTTTAAAAATGGAGCTGTCCAGAAAAAATAGGACTTGAGCACAAACCAGTCATACAATAACTGCTTGTCAACATCACAACCAGGGCGGAGAAAAATGTAAATGACTTATATTTAATTTTTAAAGTCTGTCTATAGCACCATTAAGTTTGCTGGAGGAGGCGGAATTTATGACCTATACTGCAACCAGTCATCAGGGGGTGCTGTCCTTGTATACAGTCTATCGTCTTTATTTGAAGTATATGCTATTTAGAGGACATGGTCTAAAGTTTTTTTTCAAGCCTTTCCCTTAAAAAGGTGCATTGAGAGTAATTTAAACATTCAATTTGTGGTTTTGTCTTTGTAACATTTGTAACAGTGAACTAGCAATAGGTGAAACTCAGTGACACTGAGGGAACATTAGTGGGTCCTGAAGGTCAGTCAGCAGAGATGACCATGACATCCACACAGCATTAGACCTTTTTTATCATCTCTTTCTGCCTCAGGTCCTCCAGGGGTTCCAGGTGATAAGGGTTGTGATGGTCCCCCTGGGACAAATGGCCCTTCAGGTCCCACAGGACTCACAGGTACGTGAGCCAATGTGACAGTTTTTGAAACCCTGAGGTGTAATCTGGAGTCCTAGGATGTCAGTCTGTTCACATAAAAGTGTAAAACGATGACTGCAAACCGTGCTCTGTGGCCTGTTGTGTCAAATTTCAGGGAACAAAGGGCCTCCTGGAGATCCTGGTCCAGCTGGTCTTAGAGGAAACCAGGGACAGGATGGGATACCTGGACCCCCTGGAGAGAAAGGAGCTATGGGAGGTAAGAGACCAGGGGAGATGAAACTGGTTTGTGAGCAGCATGACTGATGGTTTTGCTCATTTTTGCTGTGAGCAGTTTACAGGCTTTGGTTCCTAACCTGATCTACTTCTGGACTGTTCATCTCCTCTCCATTTTCCTACAGCTCCTGGAATCGGGCCCCGGGGCCCAGAGGGAAAGAAAGGTCCAGCAGGTGAGTCTTCTAGTGTAAAAAATGTGTTTAGTTGTCGATCTTAGTCGTACACTGAAAAAACTTTTTTCCCCACCTTTGGCCTCCTCAGGTTGTGCTGGGGAGCAGGGTCCACCTGGGCCCTGTGGACCTCCTGGCCCCCATGGAGTAAGTGGAGATCCAGGCTGTACCGGTCCTCCTGGACCCCCTGGTCCACCTGGTTGTCCTGGCAAGGAGGGACTTTGCATTGAAGGAAGCAAAGGAGAAAGTGGATTCTCAGGAGCACGAGGACCAAAAGGTGATGAGGACTTTGAGTGTTTAAGAGAGACAGAATTCTGCTCCACTTGAACCTGTACCTGCTGTGGGAGTGGTCAGGGTAGAAATATCTGTTCAAGAGCTGAACACCAGTTGTAAAGTTATATTTTAAAACTTCATTTTAGAGACATGGAAATCTCTTCACTACCAGACTAGCACCATTACCAGTTCAAGATTTACTGTTCCCAGTATCGTTGGTTACTGCTGAGAATTCCATCCACTTAAGCCACACATGGGCCATTCAAGTTGGTTTTACAATAGACCCGCAATTGGCTTCATACAGGGTTCACTTTCTGAATGTTATGCCTCTTTCCAATCAACAAGACTCTTACTTTGACTCTCTCTTGAAAAATCAACCAGATAGAAAAACCCCAGGATCATCTGCATACCAGGATCATCTGCATATAGAGACAGTAAAATAATTCATAATCAAAGCGTTTGTGTCGACAAGAACTTGGTTGCAGATCACTTTCTGAAAAGATAAAAAATGTTGTTTTCTAGGTTCACAGGGCTGTAAGGGTCCTCCAGGTCCTCCTGGTCCTGGTTTTAAAGGGGAGAAGGGAAATAAAGGAGCAACAGGAAACCCAGGACCACCTGGTTTCCTCGGTGAACCTGGACAACAAGGCAAGCAGGTTAGTACATCATAAAGTCACAATGGAGCCCAGAATTTATAGACTGAGTATCCACTTTATCAAAGATCTTCATCTAAGGCTGTAGCTCAGGAGGTAGAGACACCTTTTTGGTGAGGTTACCTCAGACCAAGAGATTGGAAGTATCTTTACTTGTCATTAAATCCTCATTATCCAAAAAAGTCACTTAGATGTTGTTTAAATTTGGTCCTTCCTATAGGTTTTGGCATTAAAACAACAAACCCCAGTTTATCCTACTGGTTGAAGTGTGCAGACAGCATTCAGAGGCTATAACTAATTCTCTTTGCAGTTGTAGCTTGTTCAGCTCTCAGCAACAAGATTTTTCTTGCATGTCTTCCTCCACTCTCTATTCCCCACATTTCCTGTCTGATCCTGGCTGTCTTACTCACAAAGGCCGAAATATTTGAAGAATAAAGCTTGTAACAGTTTTGCAGTTGCTCTCATAGATTTTTTCAGGCTGAAACAGTAAAGGTGGGCACAAAGTCTGTAAAGTCATCTTTCAGGGAGAGTGTGCCTTACTAAAGTATTTTGGTGGTACATCCACCAAAACTTCTTGTCTTTGTCCCTGACAGTCTCAGACTGATATTACTGTATGAGTCTGACAATGTTACTGAGATAAAGCATTTTGGGGTTTTTTGTCCTTTATGGAAGTTCTGATACTTGTTACTCTGAAAAAATCTGATTTTGTTGTATTAAAACTCAAATATATGACCTATGATGATCTTTCTGTGATAGATATTACTAAGGCTGTCTCTGCAGTGTTAGACTGAAACCTTCTCCTTGTCACTGCTTTCAGACTTTAAAAATGACAAAGTATTCAGTATTTATGTAGATGCCCTGGTTGGTTTTGTAACCCATATCGAGATATCAATATTCATTTGCCTGTTTCTTTTTTTAACTAAAAACTCCTCTCAAACAAGAAGCTCTATATCTGCAGGTACTTTTACTGTAACATAGTGAGGCACTGAGAAAAGCTCTGTGCCTCAATGGGATAAAAATGGGCTCTATTAGAGGATGCACTTTGATCAGAACCATTTCTACTGAGGATTATCATAAAGCCACATCAGGCTGAAATTATGTATTGGAGTGATCACCAAATTTCAGTGAGTATTTAGATATTTATATTCCAGATCCAGATAAACTGGGCTCAGGTTTGAAAACAATAGTTTCATCTATTCATAAGACCCAAACTGAGTCGACTTAGTAATGTCTTTTTGATATTGACAGGGTGAAGATGGACAGCCGGGTCCATTTGGACAAAAGGGCCAGATGGGATGCATTGGTATCTCAGGACCTGTTGGTAAGAACACCAATCCAACAGCCAGTATAAAGGGCAGTACAAGTAAAACCAGATGACCTGGTTCACTGAAGAATTACCCCGCTTCTACTTTTGATTCTGCAAAAGTGGAGCAGAGCTGCTGAATTTGGTGGGCATTTTTGAGCTTGAATATCATTGGAGTTATTTGCTACACGAATTAGCTCTTAAGGTGTAGCAGATAGTGGGGGGAAAAAATGCACAAGTTTTTTTGCGCAATCAACAGCTGCTCCCCATCCTTGGTAACCCCCCCACCCCCACCCCACCCTCACTTATACACCCATCAGGTCAGGCCAGGTCCACAGTCATCATCTTTTCATACTGCAGAAAGCTCTTTTCATTTATGATGGTCTCTGATGTCTCTGGTGATCAGGAAACCAAGAAAAGACCAACGACAGACACCTTCAATTTTTGAGAGTATATGACCACAGTAGTTTATCTTTATGTTTTATTAAGCTTCATCTCTGAGTTTATTTTTCTCTTTCAGGTCTTAAAGGGGAGGAAGGACAACCAGGGAAGGCTGGCCTACAAGGACCTCCAGGACCACCTGGGAGAAGAGGTAACACAATTACATCAAACCATGACCACATACAACACGAATTTAGTCTCAGCTATGTCACTAATGGTATGTAGCCGAAAGATGGCAGTCGCCATATTGGAAATGCTGACTCAACCTAACTTTCAGTCGGCCGGGCAAGAGGTGGGGCCTAAGGGGTCCAAGCTTTCAGCAGTGTGTCCACCTGTCAGTCAGATCAGATCTGCCTCCAATAATGCGTGACATGCAGAACTCCAAACCTTAATATCTTAAGAACAAGCACATCAGACAACAAGTGACTCCCTGCACAGGGTGAATAAGGCAAAGCTACAAACAACAACATGGGGCTCTATAAGGTCTCCTGGGCTTTTAGAGCAAGCCCCAAGTAGACACCTGAGAAGCTGCAGTTTTTAATACTTTCTGTTACGCTTCATTGTTAAACATCGGAGGTTGAACTTCAGTCTGGTTAGCAAACCATCCAGCCAGAGTAATACCGTATTAGCTACCTACTGAGTTATCCCATCTCAGTGTACCTCTTTGGCTGGCATGTCGTAGGTGCGGCATAAGTCAGGTCCGCCGCGCCGACAAGGCGTGTCCAAGCACATTTTGGTATTTTGGTGAGCAGCGCAGCCTGGCGTAAGTATCCCCCCTCTCTAACTCAGCTCCTCTCAGCGATGTAAGTGTAGAGAGGGAGGAGAGAGGGCGTGGAGTGGATTTAACACAGCCGAGACCTGTTTTCACCATTCAGATCAACTCGTCTCCTCGCCTTAAATCCGCCACCGGCGAGGCGTATTACAATTTTTGCAAAGTAGTCAAAGAGATCAAGAGATGTTTGAAGACAGCAATGCCACACGATGGGGACAGAAGGCAGCCCCTCAACAAGTGTCGCCGTAATCGCTGCAGAGAGCGTCCTGCACACTGTCTCATATGAGCACAGATGGATTTGGTGTGTGTAATGTTGGACCCACTGGTAAGACAAACACCCTTTTCCACAAATAAAGACAATCACATAAAGTTGCACATATTCAAACCTCACATGACAAACGTGGCCTGGCTCTTTCTTTCATTGATGTTGGCATATGAAATAAATTTGACTCTCGCAACTAAATGTAATAATATCTGTATGTAGGCTTAAAGTAAAGGACTCATTTGATCACTGAAACAAATCTGTTCAGCCACCGCAGCAGCAGGACAGGAAGAAGACACAGAGACATGTCCAGGTTGGGCTGCACCAGAAATAAGAGAAAGATGAAAAAGAAAAGGAGGGAGGCGAATTACATATCTTGTTAACTTCATCATGTATGTTTATTTACTAGATATTTAAATTAATTTAATGCGGTTTCAGCTGTGTTGGGACTGGGCAATTATTTGATCGCGATTGATGATCGTGATAAATTTCAGTTCAAAAGATGATCAGCTGTGAACATATTTACTCAATCAAACGTGGCGAAAATGTGCGTGACAACAGCCAATCAGAGTCTAGCTTTTCCTGCTCACTTCTGTAAGTTGCCGGAGAAGTGAACAGGAGAAGTAAACAGAATGACCAACATGGAGCTAAACACAGAGCTTAGGGCAGCAAAATATAGCCTGGCTGGGCCATCCAGTTGCGTGAATCACTTGCTGTTCCTTCCCACAACAGTCTGAATTTCGGCCAATTGGGAGCGTGTATTAGAAATCAGAAAATAACCGGGCAAATCAGTGACTGCGTTTCCACTGTTCCCCAGACAACAGGGAAAGGCAGCCCCTGATTGGTCCATGTGTAGATGGTGATGTCTAACACATGCTGGGGGACTTTTCAAAGCGCCGTTCATTCAGAACACCTTTAATTCTGCAGTTGACTTTGCAAAGTCGGCAGAAATCATTTATATCCACAGAAGAAGACATAAAAGACATTGTTTGCTCGCACACGTTGAAATATTATCAAACCTTTATTTGATGCTTGAGAGCCCAGCAGGAAACACAGTTGCACACTGTGATGACGTCAGATGTTTGGTTACGGTGATTGGTTACAGTAGTCTGTCTATCAAGGAAAGCACTCCCGCCCACTTTTAGGGCTACCAATTGGCCGAAGTCCAGACTGTTGTGGGAAGGAACGGCAAGTGATTCACGCAACTGGATGGCCCAGCTAGGCTAAGCAAAATAGATGTCAGCCATGACATTGACTCATTCCCTGAAGATGCCATTGTTGAGAAGAAAAGTTATTCAACGTCAGTTGTGTGACGGTGGTTTGGGTATCTCCAAAGTGATGTCGAGCAATGAAGCCGATGTGTAAGGTATGTGGTGGTCGGTGCCCTCAAAAACCGGCAACACAACAGATCTGTTTAATCATTTGAAGAAGTACTTCCCGAGTGATTATGCGCAAAACATGAAAATGCGAGCAGAGTCTGTGCTGACAGCATGAGTAGCATTAGCAACTAAGCCACAACTTGCGGTACAGCCACCAGACCAAAGCAATCAATCGTATCATCTATGTTTACATCATCTAGTGTTTACATTTTATGGCATCTTCATTATCTCTGAGGGGGCATTTGTTTATTTTGGGTCTTGCATACCTGCAAAAACACTCAGGATTGTCAACTAGTTCACTGCATTATATAGTGCTTATCTACATACATGTTGCACTGTTGAGTTAAAATGTTTTTTATATTTTTCTAAGTGTATCTTACTCAATTTGCTCTGTCATACTTTGTATGTTAATAAAGTGTTGAACTAATCTCTAGTTTCTTTAGTTTTTAGTACAGATACTTTAAAACTGGCAATTTAAAACTGACTCGTGATAATAATCGAGATTGGACGGTATAACAAAATATATCATGATCATTTTTTTTGCCAAATCATCCAGGCCTAAGCTGTGTTGAAGCTATGGTCTACGATCTGAAAACCACTTTGGCTGTTGAGACAGATTTGAAAAACGCAGCCTGCCCCCCCCCTTCACTCACCCCTCCCCTCTGGGTTCCAAGATCCTGCCACCCCAGCTCATGTCGCCTCCTAACAACACGCCCCCTCCGATAGCGCAAGAAGCTGGCCGGCAGAAAATATCAGCAGTGGTACACAGTGGTAACCATTTCAATTGAACCGGTGCGATCAAAACCATATATTAGCGGGGCGAAGGGGGTCTGGGGTCGCCACTGTTAGCAGGTCAGAGCAGAGCCGATTGTGGGCAAGGCTTTACCTTTCTAGGCGTGTCTTCACCAACTCAGTTTACAATGCTTAAGTTGCGTGGCTAACTTATACTAAAATCTATTGACAGAGCCTACCCGTTCAGACCAACAACATTCAGTCACTCACCAGTATAGGCACAGACTAACCAGATATTCAGCAGACATCTCCCACTGTAGTAAACAAAGTAATTACCTGTTCAACAGAAATTTGGCCCTCAGCATCAGTTTTCAGTCCCAAATCCTTCTGCAGCTTTTTCAACAGATGTTGTGCCGTAGAATGCATCCCTAATGGGAGCGTGGTTGAAAGTACATAACAAGGCGAAACAATCCAAGTTTTCCTTACTGTTGGATAGATTCAAAAGTGTGTGCCTTTAATGGTTTCATTCAGGCTATTCAGATGAGCCGAAAAAATAGCCCTCTGATTCGGAATATTTGCTGTCCTGAAAATATAATGTTCTCTAACTAGACAGTTTACTGTACAGTATATACCCAAGTACATCTCTTTATGTGCATTTTTGAGCCACATAAAAACAGAACGGAAGTTTGCTGCTCCATTTGACATGCTGTCATGATCCAATATTCGTGTTGTTTTTTTTTTTAAATATGAGATCATTTTCCTCCACTGTAAGAAGCTAATGAGTGGATAGGATGAAGGGGTGCATTCTACGGCAGGGGTGCATTCTACAGCAGAACACCGGTCGTACGTTTCTCCAATGTAGACTCTCCGTTGGCACCTGTATTGCTCATATTTCTTTCTTACTTCAGCCTTTTCCTCGAAACTTTTACGTTTCCTTCCCTTCGATGTGGAGGGTAACAGAGGCGGGCTCATGGTTTCAGTGTTTGTCTTCTCCAGCTCCATTACTCTTCAGCAGCTGTGCAGCTCGCTAATCACATGTACGTGAGAGGGGTAGTGGGGAGGAGGCGGGACCATGGGCGGGACAGTGCGGACCAACAGAGACAGGAGATTGGATGGATTGACAGACCCTGGTCAATTATTTTGCCTTTTTGCCGCGGAGAAACTGAATGGATTTTCTTCGTTCTTTTGATCTTTATATTGCATAGATCGGACCATAGGACCATAACGGCCTTATAAACAGTGTTATTAATAAGTACCAGGCTTCCAAATGGTAGACCATAGCTTTAATTCAGTCATGTTGATTGTCCAAACGCATGCCAAATGTGCTCATCAGATCAGATATAGATCGGACTATATTGATTTAGATCTAAATGTATGTGCTGACTCAGATTATTAGTTGTTGTTGATTATTTATTGCACTGGAATCTGCCTGACACTGTGGAAACCTGCCGGTGAAGCATCGGTGATGTATGCGCACTATGCCGCCGGTCCACTAAAATATCACGAGACCAGCTGCGTTCCGCCTGCACTGAACGCTGACCAGGTTTGAATCAGCAAGCTTTCAGTGCACTTTCCATGCCGACAGCGAGCACGAAAATGTCACTGCACCCGCTGATTCTTTCAACACCTCTCCTTTGCGCCACCACGCCCACCTTGGTGGACCCCGGTGCGCCTCAGTCCATGAAAATACCAAACTGGCTGTACGCCAGGCTCCACCAGACGAAAATACCACTGCACAGGGTGCGCCACCCTCTGCCGCACTGCTGCCGGCGGGCACAAAAATAGAGCCCTTAGACTGCTCTCTACTGTACATAACCCTGAATGAACAACTGCTTATTGCCCCCCGACAGGCCAGAGGGGGAGGGACGCAACTGTTGATGTAAAAGTGCTCCCTGGATACCCAGGCCCACCTGGACCTCCCGGACCCCCAGGACAGAGAGGACCCCAGGGATTCAGGGGGAGACCTGGATCTCCAGGTTGGTTTGAAGCTGTAACCAAAGATCCAGATTCAGAGTGAATGAACTTGGTTTGGGATACAGATACAGTTATCAGTCTTTTGAAAAAGGTTCTGTGTTTCATGGCTGCAGGCTGTAAGGGCAGCACAGGTAGATCAGGTGGAAAAGGTCTAGATGGTCGTCCTGGGCTGAAAGGGGATCAGGGAGAACCAGGATGCCGTGGACAGAAAGGTAAGAATCTAGTTCTCTTTGAGCACAAGGTGGTTTTTTTTAAAAAAAGATACAGAATAAGTCTATAAAAGCTGGAGACTTCATCCCCTTCACAACCAGAAGTAACCATTCCTCTCATCACAATTAAGAAAAAAGAAGAATTTTTTTTTAATCAAAAACAAGACTCAGCAGACCAACTTCTGCCACCGAGTTTTAAGGGTTCAGAGAAGTCAGGAGTTCCCGTTTTTTTCTGTGTGGACATGACATCAGAACTTCTGGATGCCCCTGCACCCTCTGTGTTTTTGGTTAAATGGATACTTTCCTTTCAAGTCTCTGTTTAATTCTGTGCACTAACCTGAAGTAGCAGAGCTCAAAGTATCTAATAAAAATTTAATGATTAATAAAGCTGGCTCTCTGCTGACAGGTGTTATAGGTTTTAGAGGTGCAGTTGGTGCCAAGGGTGCTCGAGGTTGGCCCGGCTCCATCAGAGAGCCCACAGAGCATGACGGCTTCCTATTCACCAGGCACAGCCAGGAACTCTTCATCCCAGAATGCCCTGCAGGATCCACTAATGTGTACAGCGGATACTCACTGCTCTTTATCAACGGGAACAACCGAGCTCACGGACAAGACCTGGGTAACAAGTGACATGTGAAAAGGAAACCACAAAGTAGGCCACTGATGGGTCTAAAAACAAACAGCCCATCCTCCAGGACGCAGGAACTAGATCAGTCCAGTCCCTGAAAGATATTTTATTAACATATTAAGGGTGCTCTTGCCATGAGGGCTCGTATTCATGTAGACATGAAGTGTCTTCATGCAATAAACAGTTTAAAGTATTTCAGAAGTTCCCTTTTTTGTCTTTTAAAAAGGGAAGTTCTCAGTTCAGTTTTTATTGATCAGTATCTTAAATTATTCCATCATTCCATTGGCCTGTCACAAATCTGTCACAGTACAATCTGTTAAGTTTTCCTTCATAGTGATGAAGTTAAGACAGATTTCAGTGGAACTAGGACTAGACATGAACCTTTTGTGTTACTTTGTGTTTTGATTGTAATCTTGCAGATTTTTTTTAACACTGTTGAAGGTGTGAATTTTTCCTGATGTTACAAAAGAAACAGCGATGTTTCAGTTTTTCTCTGAACACGGCTTTACTCTGACTCTATGAACAGGCTGTACAGAAACATGTCTATGTTAAAAACAACCTAAACTTGCCTGTCTTTCTGTATCTTCAGGTACGTTAGGTAGCTGTCTCCCTCGTTTTACCACCATGCCCTTTCTGTTCTGTAACACTGACAACACCTGTCGCTACGCCTCCCGAAATGACTACTCCTACTGGCTGTCAACTGATGAGTCACTGCCGGGCAGCGTGCCCTTCATCTCTGGGGACACTCTGAAGAACCACATCAGCCGGTACTACACCAACACAACACACACCTGTGGCTTTGAGATGGATTAATGCTGCGAAATATCAATTCTATATGTTTTATATGCTTAAAGGTGTTCTGTGTGTGAGGCCAGAGCTAACGTGATCGCCATCCACAGTCAGACCAGTTTGATTCCAAACTGTCCATCAGGCTGGGACCCTCTGTGGTTTGGATACTCCTTTGTGATGGTGAGTTCACATTGACACACAGTTTCACACTGGTTCAGACTCAGTCCTGCTGTTCTCAATATCTCCGACCATCAGGCAGTCTAAGCCTATAGCAGTGTAACAAAGATCTGGTCCAAGCCTGAGCTAGTCTCCATTGTAAGCTTTATTAAAAGGCAGGGATTTAGCCAAGTCTTAAAAAGTAGAGAGGGGTTCCTCCTAAATCCTGACTGGTAGAGGCTTCCGTAGAGAAGGGCCTGATTACTGAATGCTCTACCTCCCAAAATAGTATCAGAGACGTTGGGTACCAAACCCAGACCTGCTATCGCAAAATTTTATAAAAGCTTACTGGTAGTTCAGCTATATTACTGCTGTGACGTTTGACCCCCCGCTGCTGGTTCTACAGGAAACAGGAGTGGGAGCTGAGGGATCTGGTCAGCCTCTGGCCTCTCCTGGATCCTGTCTGGAAAATTTCCGGAAGATTCCCTTCATCGAGTGTCATGGCCGAGGAACCTGCAACTACTACACCGACTCCTACAGCTACTGGCTGGCTGCTCTTGACCCCGATAACATGTTCAGGTACAGCCACCTGTACGAGGGCTGAAATTTTTAACACGTTCATGTACTCTGAAGTCTGAACACATGAACATGTGAATGTCTCTCTCTCTCTGCAGTAAACCAAAGCCTCAGACAGACACTGCAGCGTTTCCAGGAAGTCTGATCAGCCGATGTCGAGTCTGTATGAAGCGTCTGTGAACACCAACACTGCTGATACTGCTGATACCACTACTGTAAATATTTGTACTACTACTGATGACCATGGTGCTACTTCACACCAGCAGTGAGACGAGCTTCATCTAATATGAAGATAATTACTTTAAGAGGAGGAGTGGTGACTTTTTGCAGCACTGACCAATCAAAGCACAGAGTGTGCTCCGACTTTAAGAAAACATTTTATGTCTTTAGGGGATTTAATACCTAAAGAAAAAGTCAGTTTGTCTCAGTTATGCTCCATATAACATTAGAGCAGAATCCCTCTTTTTGATTGGCTGCCATGTTAAACACAGTCCTTGTGAAGAGCTGAATATCTACTCAAAATGATCATCACCTGTTAGTGTCCTTCTCATTTACAACTACTACAACCAAATAACTTTTGCTACTTGTGAAAACAATACTTGTACTATTACTTCTACCATAGTGGAGCAGATAAGTGACATAATCATTCAGTTGGTGAAACAAGCATGAAAATTAGCATGCGCATTCTACATGGATCACTTTACTAGGAAAGTGTCCCAGCCATTTGAAATTTTAAATTGGCAGCCATTTTTCAAGAATCAGAAATACTTTAATAATACCCAGGAAATTGCTTTTAGTTACAGTAACTCCAGTGCAAATAAGGTAGAAAGAGGAGATAAATAAAAGATAAAATTAGTAAAGAAAGGATAAAAGCCTAAACAAAGTAAAAGTGGACGAAAAGTCTTGAGTAAGCGCAAACAGGCTGCATGCGTGTTCGCGCTTGCGCACTACACCAGGTGAAAAAATTAGGTTATGTTCTTGTTAAGTTGGTGATATAGCCATGAAAATTGGTTTGAACAGTCCTCATGAATCACTCAACAAGAAAAGTTGGGGGTCATAGTTTATATTCTTTGCACATTTCTTTTATTTATTTTTTCTATACTAAGCTCTTTAAGATCATTGACTTGATGTAAAGAGTAGGCATTGGATAAAATATGTTTATTGTCCTTGTACAGTGAACAACAAAACTGAACTGAGAATCCTGACGGTATAAGATAACAATGTGATTAAAAAAATTGTAAAATAAAATAAAAACACATAGTAATAGAGTAAAAAGTTAACATTAAAACATCATAATCTAGTTGTCTCTAGTTGTCTGCTAGGGCGGCAGTAGCTAAGGAGGTAGAGCGGTCCAATAACGGGAAGATTGGCAGGTTCCCCCATCCCTAATCTGTCCGTTGTGACAGTTAACCCACCCTGCTCCCAGTGTGTGTCCTCCACTGGTGTATGATTGTCAGTGTTGTGTGGTGGTGGTCAGAGATGCCGTAGGCATGAATTGGCAGTCATGTTTCCGTCAGTCTGCCCCAGGGCAGCTGTGACTAGTTTACCACCCCTAGGGTGTGACTGTTAGAGCGAATGAAAAATGTATCTAATGTAAAGCGCTTTGAGGGTCTCTGATAAAGCGCTATAAAAATCTGATGCATTATCTTTTTGAAAATTCAGTGAATGCCCCTCTGCAATTGATGAGAGTGACCTGCAAGCGTTGAAGAGATTTGTTATGGTGATGAACGACAGTTCCAGTGATGTCACAACTGTCAATGAGACTAGACTTGATCTTTTTGCAAGAAAGCAAAGAAAGCAAAGACCTGATCCAACCAAGTCAAGCAGCACTGAAAGAGCACGCCAAATGTGTAGCTTATGAGACTGGATATGTGTGGGGACAGGCATTGAAGCAAAAGCCAGAAATGCCAAGCTCATTTGACTGGGGATGGATAAAAGAAGATGAGGAATGGAGAATCTTTTGGACTCCTCTTCCTCCTGCTGCAGAGAGTTGTTGGGAGTTGACCGAATGTGGGTGCACCAAGGAATGTAATGGATGATGCAAGTGCTTCAAATATGGACTAACTTGCACAAGTCTATGTAGTTGCCCCTGTTAGAGGCTATGTGTGTATTCTTTTTGCCAGGACTAGTACTTCCCCTTGTCAGAAAGAAAAAAAGTTACAAAAAAGGTACAAAAAAAAAAAAAAAACTCCCTTGTGACTGTTATCTTGTTGTGGTAGGGGAGCTTGCATGCTTCCGTGAACCCTAAGAGCTATGCCATTGGGAGGCAACTCCTTGCAGGTTTTACCAAATTGGACAGGTCGAGGGTGAGGAGTTGGACAAAACAGTCAAGCATTTTCTTGTGAAGTGACTTATGGAGAATGGTCTTTCCAATTTTCATGTTTATATCACCGACTTTACATGATATTACTGCTGTAATGAAATGGCAGCCATCTTTTAAATGGTCGCCACCTTGAAATTTCAAGCTGCTTGGGGCAGTTATTCATGGAGAATGGTCTTACTATTTTCCATGTTTATATCACCAACTTTACATCATTTTACTGCTCTAATGAGATGGTGGCCATCTTTCAAAAGGTGACTAATGGTGATTGAGTGGCTCATGAAGACTGTTCATGCCTACTTTCATTGCTATATCACCAATTCAACAAGTACATCACCTAATTGTTCCACTTACGTGGTGGCCATTTTTGAAAAATGAGTGGCTGGGACACTTTTCAAGTAAAATGACCCATGGAGAATGCTCATGCCAGTTTTTATGCTTGCATCACCAACTGAACGATTCTGGCTAAAATTTGTACTTGGCCGCTGCACTACCACCAGTAACTGACAAGTAGCTACACTGTAATGATAGAAATCCTTTGACTGCTGCACTGAAAACAGTCACAGATGTAAAAAGTTCATGAGCTGATATAAAAGTACCCTTTCTAAAGAAAAATACTACTCCAAACTTCATTTTATCAGGTTTCAGATAAATAAGATACACTACAAATGATACTTTGTAACAATTATCGTTTTTGTTTTATTCTTCTAAGAGTAACTAGTAACCATCAATGGAAAGAGAGTGGATGACATTTCTCTCTCTCTTCTTCCTGTGTGTGGTGAGTAGTTAAAAGAGAGATTAAAAAAAGACTTTTTGAAACAATACAAGAGCTGATATCTCTGCTGACCTTTATTTAAGCTGTTTGCATTTATTCCTCTAACTTCAGCACTTTCAGCAGCAGAGGTCATTTCTGAATTCAAAACAGAAGCAAGTTTTTATAAGTAAAAAAGTACATAAATAAAACTTTTGCAATTGGTAGTATGTGGAGATAAAATCTCAAAAGTGATGCTCAGTGCATGATAACAGCAGAAAAGCACCACAGCTGCACCTCTTATATCGTCGAAAAAAGACCATATTTGCCTAGTGAGAACCTTGAATTTGTCAACGACTCCTCAGGTGTGAAGGACACTGTTTTTTTTTTTAATTTGGTCAAAACTATTAAAATAAGTTTATCATTTATACTGCCATGTATCGTCACACCCTGAGAGCTCAGAGGTACTTTTATACGCCCTAAAGTTTTTCTACTTGAAATAAATGCTTAATTATTTGATAAAACTATAATTATTTAGAAAAAGTGTACTTATTTATTTCTGGGACTTAAAATGCCCGAGCACTAGCAGTAAAATCTACATGTATCATAAGTATGTATTGAAACAACAGGGAGGAATGAACACTTGATTATATCAGCTTTTAGCTGCATTAAATTAATTATATTAGGCAGTTCTAATTACCACGACTGCGAGTACTGCAAGTACTACTGCAAATAACTACACTGCTAAAGTACTACCACTACTGACATCACCTGTTACTATTTATCTAACTACTGTTAAAGTTTGACTGCTGTCACTGCTGTCAACACTAATACTGGAGCTGCAGGGCCAAAACACCATAGCACAAATCTTAAAGGTGAAAGGCTGCAGTCCACAAAGTGGAGCTCTAAGAAAACTTAAAGGTTGTGAGCAAACAGAATTTCTGCACTGCAACAAAACTTAATCCTATGCAATTAGATCAATTTCACAGCAGTACATGCTGGATCTTGTAGTTCTTTTGGGTGCAAAAACTATAGTAATATGATAAAAACAGAGACATGAATCAAAGTTTGGAAGAGCATCTATAAACCATTTAAGTGTTTTACAGTGTAAGATCCCTTTAAAAGGCTGGAGGAGCTCTTGAGGTCTCTGGAGTTTTCTGTAGTTCTTTTGAGTTCTCTGCATTCTTCTGCAGTACTTTGTAGTTCTCAGGAGTTCTCTGAAGCTCTCAGATGTACGTACTCTGGCCTGGTAAATTTACTGAAGCTGTGTGTACATTGTACTATAATACTGTGTTTGTTTTGTGAATATGACCCTTGTTGACTTCAATTAAACATGTTTTACAGAGATTGATCTGCTCACACATTCCTTCAAGTTTATATTCTCTACTGCACATGTTTCAATACAGCAGGATGAGATTTGTTATTTTTTATCCAAGATATGTAAGAAACAGGACTGACACATCTTAGAGACAAAATCAGCAATGAAATATAAGGTACAGCTGAAGGTTCTTTACAGGACCTTAAAAATTGATTGTTTTTGAGATCCCTCTGTTTACGACCACCAGATTCCACAGAAAACTTCACCTTCAGTAAGACAACTCTGGGCCTGTCAGGTATGCTGATTCTCTGAGGTAAAACCACTCTAGTTTATATTATCCTGAAGGAAATTTGATTTTTAGCTGGCAACACAACAGGAAAATACAAAAATACAAATAAATCCCCCTCTCAAGTCAAGACAAAGGTACGAGACAACATTGAAGCTCAGAAGGCAGCACTATAATGGGTCAGATAAAGTGCTGAACAGTGTTCAAAGTCAAATAAATATAAGTCATTGTAAGGAAAATAAAGAGCACCAAAAAGTGAACATTTAACTACTGAACCTCTCTAATTTAAGAACAATAAAATCATAAACATTGCAGAGGGTTCTGCGTAAGAATTTGAATATTTCCTGTATGTATGCAGGATTTTCACAGAATTTAAATTGCTAAAGTTCTCAAATGTAAAGTTCCTGGGTCAAGGAGTGGGAACCTTTTTCTATTTTCAACACAACATATCAAGAAAAAGAGTGTTAATTTCCAGAATGTGAATTAGAATCAGAATATTTTATTGATAAGGAGTTAGGACCCTACAGTTTTTAGGTTTCAGGTTCCTTAAAACTGTAAGGTTGTCCTAACTGCCAAAAGGTTAGGTCAGTTTAAAAGGTGGGCGGAGTAAAGGTTCCTGATTGTTACAAAGCTTTAAAAGTTCCTGACAGTTAAAAAGCTCTAAAAGTTTATGGCTGTTAAAAAAAAAACTATTACAATTCTTGGCAGAATCCAAGCTTTAAAGATTCTGACACCTTTAAAACTTTATCACCAGTCAATTTCAAGCCTTGTAACAATGTTCCTGATACTTTTGACCTAGAGGCCCCTTCAGTTAAAATGTATCAATTGAATTCTTGACAGTGTAAAAGTTCTTAATAGTTCGATACACTCTTTAAAGTTTAAGGTTCCTGACACTTAAAAAGTTTCTGTTAGTTTGTAGGTTACAGGATTCTATATTTTCTGGAGGTTTCTGATTATTTAAAGGTCCCTGAGACTTGAGGTTCTCAAAAGCATAAAGGTTATGGACTAGTAAAAGGAACTATTAAGGAGCTTTTTGTAATGCTGCTGACATGTGAGTGGAGCTATATCTGAGTATGTCAGGGGCCAAAACAATAACTTTTGGAGAACGCACTTTTTTCAGGTGTATCTGCTTCAAAGGATTTAACTATAGAAATCTCATCCTGTTTGTTGCTGCCGACAGAAAAATAAAAATCTCCATGAGGGAAATAAGAACTTTTTGTACCTTTTAGGCATTCAGAACCGAAGTATTAGAAAAATACCAGAGGGAGCGTCTAAAAATGACTCTTTGGGCTGTTGATTCTTTGATCATCTTTCAGTCTGAGTTTAGTCAGCCATTAAAGTGTTTTCCTGTTTGTGACTTTACTCAGTGACTCAGTGTGGAAACTAAAACCGGATCCATCACAGGGGGCAGAGTGATGTCACCACTTTCCCATCATGCGCAGCGTGTGCCGTTGTATGTGTGTTCATGCCAGTGGCTCCTCAGTGACTGATGCACACTGTTAATGTGTAACCACGGCAACCAGCTGCCATTAACGTGATGATTATAAGCATCCGAAGGAAAGTGATGAAGATGAAGACTACAGGGATGGACGTTCTCTTTTTTAAAGCTCTGATACTCAAGATCTTCACTGGGAAAACTGCTCCAGGACAAAAAAAAGGGCAGAGCAGCAGAATCAACAGATACATAAATAAATAGACCTGGATCAACTAGTAAACACTTTTATTTAGCAAATCTAAACTGTTGTCATTTTTTTATATAAACAAGCTTCAAACATGTCTATTTATGTTTAAACTCATTCAGCACAAACCAGACATTCCAGTCACTTTTCGAAACTTCTTCCTGATGTTATCAGATAGTCATTCCTAGTAAAAAAGAGGTCAGAAGAACTTTCAATTACCTCTGCGTCGTACCTCCAGATCTCTTAAACTTTTACCCTTTCACATTAGGGGTGTGTTTCAGTTTGGTTTGATAAGGGATCTTCTGTACAGACAAAACTGTCATGCCTAACACATTTGGATGAAGTTAAAACTTCATCAATCATTGTCATTTTCTTGTTGTCTTACCCCTTCATTATTATTATTATTATTATTATTATTATTATTATTATTATTATTTGTTTATTGTTGCAATTATTATTGTTACTATACTATACTATAATAACTATTATTATCTTTGTATTACTTCTGTCTCTGTTCCTTCTATTGCTTTCTTTACTTGACTCTCGTTTCTCTTTTTGTATTAGCCCTTGGGCTTTTTTCCTCTCCTGCACAATTGTTGACATTGTATCTCTGCATGTGTTTTAAATTTAGAAAAAAAAAAAAAAATAATAGAGGACCTCCTTCACCACCAAGCCACAGCTGTATCACCTTCCTGTGGTAACCAAATTGTGTTCAGTTATCGTGGACTCAACAATAAAAAAATATGAGAAATGTGTTGTAAACAAACAAAATGTTAGCAATTTGACAGTAAATGTAGATAAATGACAAACATCATCAATGCTGTCACCCAATGGTAAGAGGTGCCATGAAGCCCAAAGATGGGGGTCTCCATATTAAAAATCTACCCATTACCAAGAGGTGGGACCAGGCTCTAAACATGTTAACTTCTGCTGTAAAATCCAACATTTTAACATGGAGCTCTATAAAGATTCCCTAACTGCAGGACACAGCCTCCACTAAACACTAGAGCAACTGCAGTTTATTTTTATTTTTGATGTCTGCAATGACTTAATTTTTAACATTGTTGGCTGCTGCCTATATACAGAGGTAGCAGCCAACAATGTTAAAATAATAATTATTATACTAATAGTGAACCAGGTTCTGGGGTCTGAGTGTGAAATGTAGCTCAGGGGCGGCAGTAGCTCAGGAGGTAGAGCGGTCGTCCAATAACCAGAAGGTTGGCGGTTCGATTCCCCCCTATCCGAAGTCTGTCCGTTGTGTCCTTGGGCAAGACACTTAACCCACCTTGCTCCCAGTGTGTGTCCTCCACTGGTGTATGATTGTGAGTGTTGTGTGGTGGTGTTCGGAGAGGCTGTAGGCACAAAATGGCAGCCACGTTTCCGTCAGTCTACCCCAGGGCAGCTGTGACTACGAAGGTAGTTTACCACCACCAAAGTGTGACTGTGTGAGCGAATGAATGATGTATCCAATGTGAAGCGCTTTGAGGGTCTCTGATAAAGCGCTATATGAAATCTGATGCATTATTATTATTATTATTATTATTATCCTAGGCAGGCCCGCGTATCATAAGGACTCCTCTACTACATGCTGTTATGATGGTGTGTCATTTAAACTGTATTAATTATTGTATTGTTTGGCATTTTATGGTGTAAAGGAGAGTTTTGTTTCTTCCCTCCTCTCTTTCTCTGCTTCTCTGGGCTGTACTGCAGGGGTGGTGCATCTGGATTGGAGACGCACCAGACGCGCATTGGAAGACTGCTGTGGAGTGGAGGCGTGTGATTGGTGGAGAGCTGATGGGCGGCATTTTAAACTCGGCTGCATGAGTAGGGATGCCGACTCTCCTTTGTCACTCCCAACATCTCGCCAGAGCACAGCGTTTTCAAACTATCATTGAGTTGAGTTATATTGTGTGATTCTGGATTTATAAAAGGACCTTAGAGGGTCATTGTATTGTTAAAAACAGTATGTACAGTATATGTAGGGGAGAGTGAGCCCTTGTTTTCTCCTGTTTTTTGGTAGGGAGTCAAATTTAGGTTTGTATATGTTTTATTTCTATCATAGATGTCAGGTAAGGTATTTTGATTTATAAGAGTGTTTTTTTTGTAACTGTTTGTTTTGCTTCCTCTCCCTGAGGTATCTCATGAGTATTTGTAAATAAAAGAGAAAATGAACAATAAAAACCAATTGTTTTGGACTGCACATCCTGTTTTCGGTTGTTTTGTGCTGTGTCACCTTGAGAGTGACAGAGGAGTGGTCAAACTTTTTATGTGACCTCCAGTATTCCCTAGGCTGGTCGTTACAATGCTGTTGTAATCCCTGCAGAAAGTTTTTTTTTTCTTTGTCTTGCTGAAATATAAGGTCTCCTCTGAAAACTTCAATGTCTGGATGGCAGCAGATGTTGCTCCTAAACCTGTAGATATTGTTCAGCATCATGAGTGGTTTGTCCATAAGGGAGATTGGGTGACACACCACCAAAAGGGAAAAAAATGATTTTTTTTATATCTATATCATATTCTTCCACTCTTCCACAGTGGTTGCTGTGATAGTTCTAGACAGTTTCAGCTGCTATAAATGTCACTGTCAAATCGGTGTGAGGCAGTGCTCTATGAGGAACCACCCTTTTGGGGCGATTTCAGTCAGGCTGAAAATCGCCACAAGTGCTCCCATTGACTCTAATGTAAATTTGTTTTTAAAATTTATTTATTTATGGTGTTACAATACAATCTCTATGGATTCCTGGAGGGCGCGTCCCAACTGGCTTTTGTCCTAAGTAACATTAAGATAGCTGGTGTAGCCACTACGTGCCAGTCCCCTTCAAGGTTAGCATGGCAAGTATATGGAGCAACTCAATGGTTTCCTTGAAAGAAATCCCCTTCAGTGGTCGTTGCATAAGGTGACCAGATTTCTCAAATGAAATCTGGGGACACTTCCAGTTTCGAGGCTCAAAAACATGCACGTGACAATGATGAAATAAAAAAAATCGGGGACAATTATAGTTTCCAATTATTTTCACTATTGAACCAGAAAGAAAAACAGACATCAACCAGATTACCAGATAAACCTGCAATAAACTCAAATAAAAAGGAAGAATGTGATATTTCATTAGGTCAAATTCACTAATGATAGACCCAAAATAAAACATTAATCAACATTTTTGGAAACAAACTTTATTATAGCTGTTCATTTACTGTTCCTCGTGAGGTGGACGCCGGTTGGTGAACAGACGCCGGTTTTGACAGCTCTCGAAAACTTTGCCCAAAATCTCACAAAAACTGTGCTACAATCATTGGATTCAGTTGTTTTATTTATTTATTTTTTACTCTATCTTTTAACCGGCCAAGAATTTTAAATCGGATTTTAAGCTGCTTTTAAATGAACTGATTCGCCGGTTTTTATGTAGCCGGCGGTTAAAGCTGCTAACCCCTGCTCACTGAACCTTAAACCATGGAAACACTCACCTCCTCACACGAGTGCAACAGCTGCCTCAAAAAATCCAAAACTATCGCTGAGCTGGAACGACGTATTTCCAGCCTCCACTGGATCCGCAACGAGGAGTCACTCCTGGACTCGATGTTGACGCTGGGTGCGGGCCTCCCTGTGAACCCAGCCGAGCTGGACTCCACCATCCCGGCCGCCGCTGCTCCGCAGGCTCCACCGGCCCCAGCGAGCGCTGCTGCTGCCTCTGGCTCCCCACCTTCCACCGCGGAGGCTCCTGCTGAGCCGGCTCATCCTCAACCCGGGGAACCTTGGCTGACTCAGGGGGCAAGGCCAAAGCGAGTGCCGGCTCCCGCACTGGACTTCACTCCTCACCCGAGGTTCAACATTCGGAGTTCCACCCCACGGTCAACAGCGGCTGCAAAAAGGAGGACCAGCCTGAAACCACTGAAATCCCACTTCGATCTCCAGCTGTCCTCGAGGTACGATGTACTCAGTGTTGCGGATTTTCCTCCGCTGCCAGGAAGGCCGGATCCGGGCCCAGCTGATGTCGGACGAAGCGCAGCCTCACCTCCGTCTTCTGCTGGGAACGAGGAGGTGAACGTAGGTATGCACACGGGGCCTCGGCGCCCCCTCCTCCCCCCGTCATGCATACTCCCCGACCCGGTGCAAACCGTTCAGGGAACCTCTGCGAAGGCACTCCGCTGGGAACAGAGGTTCTCCGGCCCCCACTTGCGCACCACCGCCACCGCCGCGTCCTCGCCCACTGTTCCCGCCGACCACGGCAATCATCGGAGACTCCATCGTGAGGCACGTCCGTTTTTTTAACGCAGTAACCCACTGCTTCCCAGGCGCCACTGTCCCAACTCTCCTCCATAAACTCCCGGAGCTGCTGGGCTCACTCCCATCCTCCATCACGAGGCTGGTTTTACACCTGGGTTTTAACGACACTTCCTCCCGTCAGTCTGAAGTGACCAAGGACTATTTTAAGAAACTTTTTAAGGTTCTCACCGACTGCGGTAAGTCTGTTTTTATCTCGGGGCCCCTCCCCTCCTTCGACCGTGGCATGGGGCGCTTCAGCAGACTCCTCAGCCTGAACACCTGGCTCCATTCCGCCTGCCCTTGCGGGTTCCGTTTTATCTACAATTTTAACTTGTTTTGGAACCGATCCCCGTTCTATAGGGCTGACGGAGTCCACCCCTCTCGCCTGGGCAGCAGGGTGCTCGGCGACAACATTCGACATGCTGTCCAGTCCACATACACACCTACACACACACCCAGACACACACCTGACACACACACGTGACTGATTTCCCCCTCTTCCTCTGTGTCACTGTCCCAAGCCACTACCGCCGCCACCAGCCCCCCCTACCGCCCACCCCCAGTACTACACCATACCACTGCCACTTCTCCTCCAATCTCATCCTCTGCCTGCATACAGTCAGTTTCACCAACACCTCACTTACAGTTCACCCCCATATCCTGCATCCCAGTCAGAATCTCACACCGAGCCCACAGAACATTCCCTTCACGGACCATCAACTTAACTCCAGTCACATTGGCTCCCATTTCACCACTGCCTGAGGATGAGCGCACGCTCGGCACAAACACTAATATGGCCCTGCTGAACGTGCGCTCGCTTTTAAATAAGTCGTTTATCATCCATGATCTGATTTTAGACAATAATTTAGACATTCTCCTTTTAACAGAGACATGGCTTGGCACTGATGCTTCAATTGTTCTCACCGAGGCTTGCCCCCCTAATTTTAATTTTTTATTTTCAACAAGGGGGGGTAGAAAGGGAGGAGGCACTGCCTCAATATTTAAAAACACACTGTGCCCAAATGAAGTTTCTTTTAACAGTTTTACATCATTCGAATACCACACATTTGTTTTTAGCAGTCCTCCTACTCTCTGTATTACAATTTACAGACCACCCCACTACTCCAACTCTTTTATCAGCGAATTTTCTGATCTATTATCCATTTTACATACTACCCATAACAGGATTTTAATAACTGGTGATTTTAACTTGCACATTGATACAGCGTCTGATCCAATGTCTAAGGAGTTTTTAAACCTTTTAAATTGCATGGGTTTTAAACAGCATGTGGCACAGCCGACTCACAACAGAGGGCACACCCTGGATTTGGTCATAACTTCCGGCCTATCCACTGGTGTGTCCTCTGTTGTCGACCTGGCTGTGTCGGATCACTACTGTGTGTATTTTAATATCACCAGTTTTAACCATCAGGAGGCCCCGGTGAGAACGGTGAGGAAACGCTACCTAACCCCCGAAGTGGCTGCAAATTTTATTGGGATTCTACAGAGCACTCCTGCCGCAATTTTACCTGCACCATGCGATTTTATTGTGGACCATTTTAACAGAACATTAAAAACCACATTGGACACAGTGGCTCCACCCGTAATTAAAACTATTAAAACAAAACCCTTACCCCCATGGAGAAAAAACAACGAAATCAGAAACACAAAGAGAAAATGCAGGAGTGCCGAACGCAAATGGAGAAAAACCAAATTAACAGTTCACCTCGAAATACTACAGGACTCACTCAAAAAATACAACAATGCAGTAAAAAAGGCAAGAACAGCCCACTTCTCAAAACTCATCACAGACCATAAAAACAATTCCAAATTCCTCTTTTCCACCATCGACCTCTTAACAAACTCCCATTTTAAAAAATCTTTTAAGACCCCCACAGACGCCCTCTGTGAGGACTTTGCAGACCACTTCGGGAGCAAAATTGATGATATTAGATCCAGTCTTTTAACTCATCAGAATGTGATTTCCAACACATCTGAACAGCTGATTTTACCTGAGGAAACACTGGAGAGTTTTGCCCTGGTTGACGCAAGGACACTTGGTCGAGTTTTCTCCCAAGCAAACCCAACTACCTGCCTTTTAGATCCGATTCCCACATCATTTTTAAAAACATTTTACGAATTTTTTGAGGAACAGATTTTAACCATAGTAAATTGCTCTCTTCAGACAGGGGTCTTCCCCACTGCCTTTAAAACGGCGGTGGTGAGGCCCCTTCTGAAGAAGAGAAATTTGGATACTGATGTTTTTAATAATTATCGACCCATATCCAACTTACCGTTTTTAAGTAAAATCTTAGAAAGACTGGTTTTTAACCAAGTAAATTATTTCTTAAAAAGTAATAATATCTTAGAGAAGTATCAATCCGGTTTTAGGATGAACCACAGTACCGAGACAGCCCTTTTAAAGATTTTAAATGATATCAGGTGTAATGCCGATAAACAGAAACTCACAGTTCTGGTACTACTGGATCTAAGCGCTGCCTTTGACACAGTAGATCACCAGATTTTATTAAGCAGACTCAGGCACCTGGTGGGCCTCTCTGGGACTGTTTTTAACTGGTTCATTTCTTATCTCTCGGAACGATCCTTCTTTGTAAGTATGGATACCTGTTCCTCAAAAACTCATGAAATTAAGTGTGGGGTGCCCCAAGGGTCAATTTTAGGTCCAATACTTTTTAATCTCTATATGCTTCCCCTTGGGGACGTCATCAGGAGACACGGCATCAGCTTCCATAGTTACGCTGACGATACACAGTTGTACATTGCCGTGTCTCCTGAGGACACAGGGCCTATTGATGCCCTTTTTAACTGCATTTTAGATATCAAGTCATGGATGGCAGAGAATTTCCTACAGCTCAACTAGGACAAAACAGAAGTTTTAATTATTGGTCCTGAAGGCAAGAGAGAGAAACTTTTACCAAAACTACAAGATTTTAAACCTGCTCAATCTGTTAAGAATCTGGGCGTAATTTTTGACTCTGAGCTGAATTTTATTCCACATATCAAGAACATAACAAAGATAGGTTTTTATCATCTTAAGAATATAGCCAGAGTCCGCCCGTTTCTCTCTCAGGCCAACACGGAGGTGCTGATGCATGCTTTTATTTCTAGTCGTTTAGATTACTGTAATGCCCTGCTCTCTGGTCTTCCCAAAAAGACCACCCACATGTTACAACTGCTACAAAATTCTGCAGCATGTGTGCTGACGAGGACCAGAGGGCGGGAGCACATTACACCGGTTTTAAAATCCCTGCACTGGCTCCCCGTGTGTTTCAGGATCGATTTCAAGGTTCTTTTAGTAGTTTTTAAGTGTCTTAATGGTCTTGGCCCATCTTATTTATCTGAACTGCTTTTATCTTATCAACCCTCGCGTACCCTGAGGTCCTCTGGCGCCGGCCTTTTAGTTGTTCCTCATACAAAAACCAAAACTCACGGAGAGGCTGCCTTCAGCCATTATGGCCCAAAGTTATGGAACAGCCTGCCAGAGAACATCAGGACCGCAGAGACTGTTGATGTTTTTAAAAAGAGGCTCAAGACCCACCTTTTTAGTTTGGCTTTTAGCTGATTTAACTGTTTTAGTTTATTTTATCCTTTACTTTTACCACATTTTTATGTCACTTAGATATTCTAACATTATTCTAATTTGGTTTTAGTTTATTTTATCCTTTACTTTTATCACATTTTTACGTCATTTAGATATTTTAATATTATTTTAATTCCTTCTATGCCCTAGTCTTTTTAGCTCCAGAGTTTCCTCGTGGGGGCCCTCCACACTGGGAGGTATGTCTGGTCCGCCCCCGGGGGGCGCGGCCCTTGGGATCATCCAGGCCCAGACGGTTAGGGGGCTCTGCACTATGTGCAGGGTGCACCCGGGCTGTCTGGGTCGGGGGGTCTCGGGGGCGGTGCTCCCTGTGGGGGTGGGCTGTGGCTCCTCTCGGTGTGGACGGCTCCCATAGGTGGTCTTTCCTTACCAGAATCATCAGTGCCTTGCCATGTTTTTACTGACAGTTACTGTGTGGGTGTGTGGATACGTGTGTGCGTGTATGTGTGTGTGGGGTGGGCTGCTGTGCATGCCTGTATATGCTGCTGTGGGTGGGAAGGGACGGGTTTTATGCCTATTTAAGTGCCCTATATTTACTGTTGTTTGTTTTGTTTTTTCTTTTTTTAACGTTGTTTGTTTTTACCTCTTTGTAAAGCACTTTGTGTTGCAGCTTAAAAGCATGAAAGGTGCTATATAAATAAAGTTTGATTGATTGATTGATTGATTGATTGATAGTGCTGATGAGGTGTTGAGTGGTCCTGGTTGCCTGGAATCAATATATTAAAAAGAGAAGACAATGAGTACAAAACTGGGCATAGTAATTTTAAATGTAGCCATGCAACCACACCAGAGAGTTTAACAACTACAGTAACTACATTCAAATTTAAATAAAATACAGCCCCTAACTAGCAATGATAATATCCCCTCCTCATAAGAACATTAGCAGGTTTTCTTTTTCAGATCTCTGTCTCAACTCTGGCTCTGCTCTGCCTCACTTCTTACATCTCTCACTCACTCTTTCTTTCCTTACCTAACTTGCATATTTCTTAGAAGAATGTATTTTCCTTAGGATGGCTCGATCTTTGGCCAGCATCTCCATGAACTCCTGACAAGGGATGTTGATGTTTGTCTTCACTAGAAGCATGGCCTTAATGGAATCAACAGTAAATCTGTTTCTGGCATCAGTCCAGATGTCATTCATGAGGGAAAATACTCTTTCAACAGGGGCATTGCTTCCAGATAAGCACATGACCAAAGAAACTAATTTAGCGAGGTTATGGTATGGAATCTCATTTTCTTGAAGGTGAGTAAATGAGGCACTCCACCTCTCAATGAGGGGTGTCTCAGCTTTTCTCCACTCTTCCAGTAATCCACTTTTGAGGAATTCTTGCAGGGCAGATATTTCGTCAAAGAGATTATCGTTATGGATGATGACATTGGGGCACTTTTCTTTTAGTCTTGTGGCTGCATTCTCAATATCTTGACGCTGGACTGTCTTCTTTAGGAGGAGACAGTTTAGGTCATTCAGACTGTCAACGTGCTTCCCCCATGCCTGGATATAACTAGTAGCAGTTTTCTTCCAGCTCCCTCAGCAGTCCTCTGGCCAGGACTGGGATAAAGTCGTCATGATGTCGTGCTGTCAGTTTAGCTTCGAGGTCTTTCAGAATTGCAGCTAACTCCACAGCACACCTGTCCTGGCCTTCAAGTTTTTTAATGGCGTCCTTGAATATGCTTAGGTTTCCAAGGGCAAAGCTGAGCCACAGCTCTTTGTTAGGATCCTTAAATAGCCTTCGCAATACAACAGGGCACTTGTCTTCAGAGAGAAAGAATGATTTGAGTAGTGCATACATTTTAAGCACTCTCTCTAGTGCAGGAAGCATGGACAGCCAGCGTACATTGCTGTGTCCTAATATGTTGTGGTACTCCTGACCAAAAAACTCACAAAAGCTCTTCAGCCTTTCTACTCTCACAGTAAAAATATGAAAATATCCAAATATTTTTGTTAGAATGTACTCAACATCAATTGGGATGATGCCCAATGCTGTTCTGGTTGTGTTATGGATGATGTGAGCAGGACAACCCAAGCCAATCACCTCCCTCTGCAGACAATCTTTGGCTTTGGTGTGCACATTGACCCTCCCTTTCCTATTCAGGCCCCCGAAGTTGGTGTTTGTGTTGTCTGCAGAGAACGCCACCACTTTATCTTGAAGAGTGAAATATTCTATGACAGCTAAGATCTCAGCTGCAAGTTGCTTGGCTGTCTCCCCTTTTAGCTCAACAAAATCAAGCATCTTTGTTTCCACTGTCAGGCTACCATCATATATTTTGCAATATCTGACTAGAACTGGCAGCAGCTTCACATGTCCATGATTTGATGCATCTGTGGAAATGAACACAAATCCGACCCCGTCTAAGCCCTGTTTTACCATAGAGGTGGCCCATGGTGCGAAAACATTCTTGACAATGACATCACCTTTTGTCCTAGCACAGGTAAACTTCGGCTCATAAAGCTTCCTTGTCAGTAGAGCAGTACAGTCAAGGGAGCAGTAACTATGGTTGTGTTTCAATGTATGATATGCCAAGATTCCCTCCTGTAAGGTGAGATCAAATTCATCTTTTGTAGGCTCTACCTTTTTATAAAAGGTTGTTACTGAGGGCACACTTGCACTGGCAGTAAGAGAGAATTTGTGTTCTTTGCTCTGTTGGTGTTCCACTACAGCAAACCTCCCACCACTTCCTATTGAAAAGGAAGACTTGCAAAGGGAGCAGTGCACCATGGTTTTCGTTCTGGCCAGGCCGACAAGGATGGATAAATGGGAAGTCCTCCTGTAATTTGGCTGTGAAATGACACTTCCTCTAACCATGCACAAGCGCGGTAGTAAAGAACAGGTGGGATTTATCATCACCGATTGATAACTTACGTGTGCGTACGACCGGTGTCCGCACGTTTGATAAATATGAATTTTTTTGTACTTACGCACATTCTAAATTTCATTCCTATGCCAGAATTAAGAACCTTTTTACACACGTTTGATAATTAAGGCCCCAGGTGACAAAGTCATGGATGAAGTTTGTGTACTCTTCCTCCTGACGATCCCTAATACACATCATAATCGCAGTATCATGAGAACTTCTGCATGTGGCACAGTTCTGAGTTGTTCTTGAAGTCCGATGTGTACAGGGTGAACAGAACAGGAGAGAGCACAGTCCCCTGCGGAGCTCTGGTGCTGCTGATCACAGTCTATGACATGCAGCCCTCCAGCCGGACATACTGGGGTCTATCAGTCAGATAGTCCGTAAGCCATGCTACAAGGTTTTGATTCAAACCTATTCCAGTAAGCTTGTCTCTGAGGAGCAAGGGTTGGATGGTGTTGAACACGCTGGAAAAATCAAAGAACATGATTCTCACTCTGCAGTTGTCCCTCTCCAGGTGGGAGAGAGACCGGTGGAGAAGGTAGATAATCGCATCATCCACCCAAACCCTCTTCTGATATACGAACTTGAGGGATTTCAGTGCGTGGTGGACTTGTGGCCTCAGATTATGCAGCAGGAGTCACTCCAGCATCTTCATCACATTTGACATCAGGGCAACTGGTCTGAAGTCGTTGAGCTCCTTTGAGTGTGGTTTCTTGGGGGCTGGGATGATGCAGGACGTCTTCCACCTCTGAGGCACCCTTCCCAGTTGCAGGGACTGGTTGTAGATGTACTGCAGTGGTTCCCCCAGCTCCAGTGCACAGGCCTTTAGTAGTCGTGGCGAAAATATCGTCTGGACCTGCTGCTTTGGTGGGGCGAAGCCTCTTTAGCTCTCCACTCACCTGAGAAGCTGTGATGGTCAGTGGCAGGGGGAGGGGTGGGGGAGAGTCTACTATGGGGGGCGGGGGGGGGGGAGAGATGTGGCCCTGTTGTTAATGTTACTGTCTACCAATGTAGCAGCAGGACTGGGGGTGGGGCGGTCAAACTGGTTGAAGAATGATGTTAAATTGGTTTGCTCTTTGTGTGTCCCCCTCCCCTCCTTCACCCCTCTTGGAACCACAACCAGTGATGGTCTTCATTCACCCCCACTTCCCTTAGGTTGTTCTGCTGTAGCTTCTGCTCTGTCTCCCTTCTGTAATTGTCCTTAGCCTCCCTGAGTTTGATCCTCAACTCTTTCTGTACACTCTTCAGCCTCTGCGGATCACCATCTCTGAAAGCTCTCTTCTTTTGGTTTAGAGGAGTCTTGATGTTGCTGGTGATCCAGGGCTTGTTGTTTGGAAAGCATGACAATATCCATGCAGAGGTTGATATAGTCAGTAGCCCAGTCCACTATGTCCTCAATGTCCTCAGTGTGAGCCGACTCCTGCAGCACTGTCCAGTTTGTGCAATCAAAGCAGTCCTGCAGAGTGTACATGTGTTTGTTTTGTGCTCACTCTGCCGAGCGACTATCACCTTCAGCAGCCATGATATTCTAAGGATCGGATTATGTTACGAAGGGAAAGTAATAAGTGAGTTTCTCCGCTCACACAAAACCCCGGCGGAAGTAGCGAGGAGCCCCGGCTTTCCGTGGATTACCATCCCGAAAGGGGAGGAGGGGCAGGCGGAGGGAGAGGAAGCAAAAGCATGGCTGCAGAGCCGGAGCGCTAGTAAGGCTACGGAGGAAGCCATTCAAACCACTGCTTCCCAGCCTTTTCCTCTCCAACGCCAGATCCCTTGCGAACAAGATGGATGAACTGAGGCTACAGATCAAGGCTAACAACTCTGCCAAGGATGCATGCATTCTTCTCATCACTGAGACCTGGCTTCAACCATCCATCCCGGACTCAGCGATCGAGCTAGCGGGTCACACTATACAGCGCCATGACCGAACAGCCGACTCCGGTAAGAGCAGAGGAGGGGGGGGCTCTGCGTGTATGTAAACAACAGCTGGTGCACTAACTCAGTGATCATGGAAAGCCACTGCTCACCCGACATAGAGTACTTGACTGTCAAATGCAGACCCATCTACCTACCAAGGGAGTTTACGGTAGTCATGGTTACGGCTGTGTACATACCACTGAATGCTAATGCTAACTCAGCCATCGAACTGCTACATGCTAGCATTAGCCACACACAGAGCATATACCCTGACGCTGTGAAGGCTATAGCAGGGGATTTCAACCATACAGACTTAAAGGCAGCGCTCCCTAAAATCCATCATCATGTCAAGTGTGCTACTAGGGGAGCCAACATCCTGGACAAGGTCTATTCAAACAACAAACTGGGCAACAGGGCCAAACCACTACCACACCTGGGCCAGTCTGACCATCTGTCCATGCTACTAATTCCTGCATATGCCCCCCTCAGAAAGCTGTTGCCACATGGCCGGAGGATGCCTCCCAGCAGCTGCAGGACTGTTTTGATAAGACCAACTGGGAAGTCTTTGAACATCAGGACCTGGAGCTGTTCACAGATAGTGCACTATGCTACATTAAAAACTGTATAGACACTATCACTGTGGACACTTACCCCAACCAGAAACCCTGGATGAACCAGTAGGTGCAGCAGCTGCTGAAGCAGAGAAACACGGCCTTCAGGACTGGTGACAGCGAACTGTACAGCGCAGCTCGAGCCAACCTGAAGAGAGGCATCAGAGAGGCTAAGGCAGACTACAGGAGGGGATTGAGGACCACCTGAGCAGCAATAACAGCCAGAATGTGTGGCAAGGGATCCAGCACCTGACCAGCTACCAGACCAGCCTGGGAGCTGCGGTCGGTGATCTTGCGCTGGCAGAGGAGCTCAACATCTTCTTTGCCTGCTTTGAAGTCACTGCACCTGAGAGGGCCAACTCACACCAGGCCCACAGCAGCACCACCCTCACCCTGGACGAACATAAGGTGAGGCGCACACAGCGGTACATCAACCCAAAGGAAAGCAATGGGTCTGGACGGTGTCCCGGGGACGTGTGCTGAGGGACTGTGCAAACCAGCTGGCTGGAGTCTTCACGAAGATCTTCAACCAATCCCTAGCACAGTCCACTGTCCCATCCTGCCTGAAGTCCTCCACCATAGTCCCCTTGCCCAAGAAGGCTCACATCTCCAGCCTCAACGATTACAGACCAGTCGCACACACCCCAGTGGTGATGAAGTGCTTTGAAAAGCTGGTCCGTAGTCACATCACAGCAGCCCTGCCCCGCAGCCTTGACCCCTACCAGTTTGCCTACAGAGCGAACCGTTCCACAGACGATGCAGTGGCCATAGCACTCCATGCTCAGCCTCAGTACTGGCTCCCCCCAGGGCTGTGTGCTGAGTAAGGCTGCACGATATTGGAAAAAAATAATATTGCGATTTTTTCAACCCTGCGATATATATTGCGATATTAAAAATACAGTTTTTTCACCGGATGACCTGAATAGCACTTAATGTTATGCTGCACTGCTGAAATCTAGAGGACAGTTAATCTGCTCTGATCTTACCTCTTTTTGTGAATGTTAGTAGAACGGCTTCTGTCTGTCTCAGAGATATTTTTAGCTTTTATTGTGCTGGGACGTTATTGTGGCAACAGATGAACACAGAAGACGTGTTTTGGTCGACATCATCCTTCTTTTAACCGAAATAATTCCAGATAATTGACTTTCCTTTTCTTTTTGGCAACAAATCTTCATTTTCGGTGGTTTTCGCTTGTTCGTTGTTCATTTTGCGATCGTTGTTGTTGTTGTTAGCGGTGTTGTGCTGAGAAACGCATGTCCTCCGAGAATTGCATGCACCTCGCGAAACGCGCACCGCTTATAGTAGAGTGGTCCACGGAAATGTACAATTTAAAACCCATACAGTTCTTATTTGTTGGGCTTAATAGTCATGAGTAAAGTTCCGAAAGTAATTCTCAGCAGACACACGTCTCCCTCCATGTGCAGAACATGTGCAGGGGTGGGTTTTCTCCTCCCTGATTTTGATTGACAGCTGGCAGGGTAGTCTGATTGGCAACTGAGAAGTGAGTCTGATTGGCAACTGAGTTAAGGACGAAGGCGATTGGTGGATCGCTGCACAGCACATGCAGAGTCACATGGAGTGTATCTCAGTCGGTTACCCTTGAAATTAAATGAGTTCATTCACCTCCAATATCGCAGGCTCTGCGATGTGACTATCGCACACACGTACATCGCGATGACGATAGTCAAACGATATATCGTTCAGGCCTAGTGCTGAGTCCCCTGCTCTACTGCCTGTACACACACGACTACATCCCCGCTCATCACAGCAACACCACAGTGAAGTTTGCAGACGACACGACAGTGGTGGGGCTCATCTCGGGGGGAGACGAGTCTGCATACAGAGACGAG